TTTATAGCAAGCTTTCTGTCCTTTCTCCTACTCTCTTAATCTATTTTGTTTCGCTCTGATATGAGATCTTTCTCTACCCTCCCCTCTTTTTATACCGGGGAAAGTCTGGCTCAGGCAAAGAGGGCCCAGCAGACGGTGGCGTTTGCTTTCTCATGATATTAAGCCGGATACTTCTTCAATATTATATCAGCCTGTCCATTATTCCCATCACCATCAGCTTAATATGCGACTAATTCCGGCCGCGTCCTCTCTTCACCACCAGGTTTAATGGACTTGCCCGTAAGGGGAACTCCCGAGAACCTGCTCAGGAATATGGAGCCCTCAATCTCCACCCAGCCAGGCCGTGGTGAGACTGTGGAGTCGGCGGGTGGAAGTACCAGTACTCTAAGGCCAACAAAGGTGGTTTACATGCATCAAACATGAGCTGTGGCCGCAGAGGAAGGTCGCATCACGTTTATTCACGGGATATGCAGATGTTCGGCCCTCAGCTTGTTGGTCTTTACGACGGAACCGCCTTTCGTTCGAATCGCGTTAGAGCTTCTGCACTCGTTTCTATAAGTTGCATAGCGACAATGCATGTGATGCCCGCTACAACCCTACGTGGTGCCATTTAAGCCATACATGACACTGCGAACGAGAGTGATTTAGCGGAAATACCTTTTTGAACAGTGATAAGTAGGTAAGACTGTACATAGCGTGAAAGGAGCCTGACCCAGCTTCTTGCTGCTTTGCATGCAAAGCACTATAAGATCGACGGAGAAATATCGCCGCATGCAAAATCTCAGCTTTAGGTGCGTTTTCATCTCATACAACCCCTGGTCCTGGAAAGATCTGCCCAGGGTCATATCCCCAGGCCAGGCAACATACTATGTAGTAACGATACGACTTCTTAGAGTGTGCTCGATTAAATGCCGCGCTCTCAATTCCCTCAATCATTTGTTCACATAGCGGCGGTAGGTGGCTTATCAAACGTACCTTGGTAGATCCGACGCTCTATAACCGAGATGCGATCTGTCACATTAATGCCACAATGGGGCCATTTGGTGATGAAACAGAGACATGTCACAAAAGAAGGAATCCCCAACGGAGTAAGCAGTAGCGAGACGAAAGCCGCCCATTCTTTTCACAAGCGCTGCGGCCTTTATAATGTAAGAATCTCCCTTAGTGGTGATTAAAAATAAATATAAATATAAAAATACAAAATTGAGATTGGTGTTGATGGAATGACAAAAATTCTCCACGCTCACTGTATCATTGTGATAAAAAACGATAGCCTGTATACATGTGGGCTGACACACGCCACAAAAGCTACGTTATACAGTATATTTGTAGCCAGCACTTGAAGGTGGTCAGAATTTGGGGACCTGACAACGCAGTTCGTTTTCTCTTTACATAAGTGAAGTGAATCATCAAACACGTAGCCAACTAGCCAGCGCATCTATGGAGAAGGCTTTTGACAACTGTCTAGCGCTAGGCGGAATATTAAATATTATATGATCATAGTTTTACGTGCAAGGAGAATATATCAGTCGAATGAGCAGAGGGAACCGTATCTTTTTTTTCTAGGGTAGAATTGGCGGTTGCGATTGGAGGGTTGGGCTGTGGTAGTAGATAATTGGATGAGAGGTGGGATGGCGACGATTTGCACTGCGGGCCGTGTTGAGGGTGATGATGTCGGAGTGTTGGATAATAGAAAATATACAAATGATTTGAAGTTAGGATCTCATTAATAAAAATGGCACTTAAAAAAAGGTGATGCAGTAGTATCTGCGTAGATGATATGATCAAAATACCACATGCATCCATACATGTATGCCTTGATATCGTAACGTGAGCGGAATGTTTGAGATGGTTGTTTTATTTTAAAACCGTTCACATATGATGAATGATTTCCACTCAATCTGTTAGCTAATTATTATATTCATGATTTCTTTCGAACACGAGGAAAAAGCGAGTTTTTATCCTAGTAATATTGGCCTCTGCGAATTCTATAACCTACCGCCGATTTATCTAGTCTTTGAGACTCTGGTAAATCATACTTTGAAGTGACCAAGAGAAGAATGACTAGGGAGATTAGAGATTAGATGGCCCCTCGTTCTATAATAATTATAGGAGAATAGCCATACTAGAAAGAGGAAAATAGATCCTGTATATACATAGGTATATTTAACCCTCTTACGGCATGAAATTTGTGTCTGATAGTGGGGCTATAAGATATATTTGAACAGCTTAAGTTTGTATCAACGGTTCATCTTCAAGTTGAAGTGATATCTTGTTCTCAATAATCATGTATCTTTGAGTTAGATGGCTAGTAATATTGATGTTTCTGGTACTAAGCACATTAACAATGGAATGTACAGTGGTAAAATCTCGTTGAAAATCTTGGTAAGTGAGTACTTTAAACCGATTAAACCTGCAGAACCACCTCAGTTTGGGAACAGTTCGAAAATATGACAAGCGCCGTTAATAGAGAGCCCTTGTAATGTTTTTTTTTTTTTTTTTTTTTTTTTTAGCTCGCTCTCAAGAGCTGGTATCAAGCTCTTCACGAGGCCTTACAGACTATCCTCCATCTCTTTTGTACGCCGCCATTAAATTCCAAGGTAATATGTGACTAGTATGCCGTTACATTTGAGGACTCGAAGCCAACAGGTACATCAGCATAGAATATTGTGCTATGACGAGATTTCCTAGGGATCATTCGCTACGAAATCCTAAAAAGCTGCGAGGAAAGCTCTTAAAATTGAGAAAGAGGTTAAGTAAGCAATTAGGTTTTCGTCGGAGCATCAATGAAACATGCTTTAAGATGTTGTCCGAGTAATTATCCTTTGTGCCGGAACTCTGCAAGCGCGCAGAATGAGAAGTAAGAGCGAATGAGAGCCCAAAAATTTGCTTGGGCTCTATAAGCATTTATATCTCAACTTAAGAGATGATTCAACTTCTTGGACTTTGATACAGGTATTAGTTTTTGAAAGAATGCAAAACAGAAACTGGCAACTTCCTGCTACCGTCCGCGTTTGTCTATATAGACGACTTCGACAAGGCCTCTGTGTGCGAATTCACGGCAATGCTTCGCCATTAATCATACAAAAACGCATTCTCAAAGCAAAAAAGAAAAAACCAAAAAAAAGGAAGATTTATGTAACACGAGCTATAAAAAAACACGGAAAATATGGCACCTATTGTCCTTGATATATGCCTGAACCACCCTAGACGTGCTCCCCCTTAAATATTTCGCTGAAACTGTTGAATAGGCAACTGCTACGTAACATTCGAGCTATCATATTGGTATTTTTGAATTGAAACTAATATCTCCAAGGGATGCATGGACTAAAATGGCGGTGAGGGTTGCTGGCATTAAATAACTTAGATATGTATCATTTGACAAGGCAGGCATCCTATAGCGAGGCTGATATGTACGAAGTATTCCGTAAATATGATACAAATATTCAAAACGCGCTATATCTAGTTAAATAAGCACACTTTGATAACATCAATCTACGGAATAATTTGGGAAATTGATAATTACATGTACATAGGCTTTTATAAAGGTATGCGCTGGCCGATAACGCCTATATGTAGGTCTAAACACCAGCCGAGAATACCTCATCTACGTTATTACCGCTTATTAGCCGACAAATCTCTTTGACAACAGGCACTAGCCAGCAATTAGGTGTCTTGTAAATTGATTGATACCTGAGTCGCATTCGTTTAATTTGGCGGCACCGATACAACTCTACTGCCGAACGACACCACGTTGCGATCACTCACGGCAGTTGAGGAAAGTGATGCATCATAACGAGATTGCCTCTTTCTCCTCAAAAATGCCGACATAAACTAGAGATGTGTTCAATGAAGCGCACATTTTCATTACGATAAACAGCGAAAAGTGGATATTCTTCCAATATTGAGCCAATTCCAAGAGAGTGCATTTGCGCCCACCATCGTGGCCAGATCAGCTAGTTGAAGGAAACGATAACGCACTCACGACTTTAGTTAAATGTTTTTGAGTGCGTCTAAAAGGTTACAAGCCCTATCAAAATGAAAGCTTGAAAAGTCGAAATTGTCGGTACTAACTCCCGTATTACTTTTCTGCGCTTGGCTTTGTAGCCGCTGACTTGTCTACCGCTTGTTCACTACACTTTAAGATTCTGAGCCTTTTTAGCTCTTTGTACAGCTTTACCGACCGAGAGCTCAACCTACAGGCAAGCAGCAAGTTGCTTCTGCAGGCAAATTTTATTCAATGTAGATAGCATGAATCAGTATCACTTTGTTTCGCTTCTTGAAAGTGAGTGGTCAACCTTGTAGATAATTACCCCCTGAGTCAGGGATATACACGATACAAGGAGCAAAACGCCCGCTGGAACAAGTCTTGCATTTCGGTCTTATTTTAATCAGAGATCATAGATGGTTTCCCTTGCAGAGTTGCAATTGTCATCCGAACCCAAAGGAGATTGACGGATGAAAGAGCGGGATGAGCTTAAGGGCAGAGAAGATACGAGAGAGCCACTTTCAGCAAACTTTGCAACCGGAGATAGGTACTCGCAGTGGAGCGTAGCTTTGTCAACAAGTTTCTCGGGCATATTTTTTTTTGGTCTTGTCAGCATCTTATTAAAACGGGACTCCCTTGGCGGGCCTGTCTGCCTAAGATACTTCTAGAACAAGGCCCGGGGATAATGTGTGATGTCACAGCAAATCAAGGCTCAACATGTTTACTGATACAAAATCAATAAAGGGTTTACGATGTTGTGAAATTTTAACATGGGGCGAGGCGCGACATGCAAGAGATAGTAGTGAACCAAGGCCAGAGTTGACTTATCCAGCCTTGGAGAGGAATCGGCGAAAACCACCCGCGTTTTCCGCAAGACAATCAATCATATATCTATAACCCGGGGCAGCTCAATGCGTTCCAGCGTCGCAGGTGCATAACCGATCGGTGAAGAGTAGACCGACACCGACCATATGATCTTCAGAGGTGATTGGCGAGACGCAGCGTGTTTTCGCCTTCCAAAGTCGTCGAATCAATGGTGGCTGAGACTGAAACCCAGAGCTATTGTTATCTAGCCATACAATAGCTCTGCGGAGATGAACCATACTGACCGGTTTAGAAGATTGTATCCACAGATGCTACGTGCCTGTGCTTCGTGTTGTCAGCTAAGCGAGTGACATAGCGGCTCCGCAAAAAGGCCGTTTTGGAACCGATGCTTTGATTTCCATTTGCAGTCGATTATGATATGCAAGACGACCAGACAAGGCTGACGTGGAAAGGGTTTGATATCCCGGGCTTGGTAGGCCTGACAGCACTTTGAGTCGCTCGCGATGTAAACTTCGTAACCACCCACAAAGAGTTTCAACCACCGCCAGATGCGGACACGGACACGGCACGGCCGCGCGCCTTCTTCCTCATCCAATATTGCTTGTCTTTAGAAGCTTACCGCTTTATTTCCTAGTGCCCGCCCCCCTTAAGCCTCGTGAAATGGATTTATATGAGCGGCGTTTCCTATTCCTCCGCTGGTTTCCGCACGCTCGTGCTTGTATGCCATGAGTTGCCGCTGTGAGACAAAGAGAGGAGTCGTCAAAATTTTCGTGGATGCCGTCCCGTGCGGCCGCCGGCCGGTGATAGGTGCGGTGCTTAGACGCGGTGCTGCCCGGTCCCACCGGCATGACTCTTGTGCCTGGAGAGACGGCCATGACTCGTAGGTGCTGCTAGCCTTGAATTTGTAACGCTGAGGCAGCGAGTTGATAATATAAGACACGGCCGCATAGACTGCTCCGCACCCCAGCATCGACGGCCGGCCCCTTATTTGTCTGCCTTTTTGGAGATTCGAGGTGCTGGTGCATTGGACATGCGTGTGGGTCGGATGCGTTCGCTCCTTACGCAGCGCAGGCATGAACGAATCAGACATCGGATCTATTAAGGGATTAGAGATCATGGGTTATCGATCATGGCTAGCCGTCGATGCAAGGATCTCGCTGGGCTAGCAAAACCACGTTGCCGGGTTTGGCCTCGGAGCGCTGATCAGAGCCTCGGCTGGCGCTGGAACCCTTGAGCGATGGTCTCTTGACGCTTGGAGAATTTGGATCGTCGGCAGCTAGTCGTAGGAGGCTCTAGCAGTTGCGGTATTGATGACCCTCTACTGCCGGCACTGTCGACTGGCGAACGTAGACGAGGCTGGTTTGGGACTGAGATGGGCGGGCTAGACAAGATGGACGCAATGGTGAGGTACAAGGGCCGAGTTAGTGCCTGCCCTTGTGACGGCGCGTCCGTCTATCAGTTGCAAAGTATCTTGAGCGGCGCACAGGCAAACAGGAACCTGGCAGTGTTCCCTGTGCCATGTGGGAAGGCGAGGAAGGCACGGATAGAGAAACGGTCCGAGGGATGTGCTGCAGAAATGGTCGCGTTTCCGTTTCATGGCCACGCGGCACCTTGTTCAAACTACATGCGCAGAATGCGGAAACTCTGCACAGGGCTGATATGGCATCAGCTGAAGAGCAGAACAAAGAACAAGAGGATTGCAAATCTTCATCTCTTCGTTTTTTCTAGCCACTCGTACAGTAAGACATGCAATTTCGACCCCGCTTGGTCAATTCGGCAGACATGTCTGGTGTCCCTGACAGTCCGCAGATGTCAATTCCAACTTCTTAGGCTGAATACGCCAGGCCAGCCTTGTTTATGACCCGCTGTGGGCTGCTGGTTGCGCTCACCGCGAGACTCTAGCCACTGAAGAGCTGAGAAAAAAAGGAGAGAGGGGGGGAGATTGAGCTAGAGAGGCAATTCATCCAGATCGAGGGTTAGCATCACGGGCCTGTGCGGATAGCTCTGGAGCTATGAGGGCGGGGCCTTGATTGATTGACAGTACACGCAAGTGCGGTACGTCTTCTATATGAGATCTTCTGCAGGTCCAGGCCCTTGCAGACGGTCCTGTGCCTGGGATTTACTGCTGCTGCTGCTGCTGCTGCTGCTAAAAAAACCACAGTGTTGAGCTTGAGAGCACGACAGCCTTCTTGGCAAAGATTCGATCAGGAAGCGAGTGTGTCAAGGCGATGCCGTCTTCCTTGGCGATGATAGCGCTGCTTATTCTTAGCCATTCTAAGAAGGACCCCGACGCGCGATGCGGCCGATCTTTGTGTCGATGCATCAGTGGCCTCACAAAAGCGTCCGACGAATTTCTTAATAGAAAGTTTCAGAGCTACAGTACATACGACAGACTAGCCTTAACGACACTGTTTCAAAGCAATCTTCTGACCTTTCTGTGTCGCCACTGTCTGTACTACTCTGGCCTTTGGCGTACGACTACGGACGAGTGGGAGTGCTAGTCTCATTGCTTGTGCTGATCAAGCACCAAATGAGTTCTAATATCGTCACGATGGGAGGCGGCCTTCATCTAGGCACCAGCTAGCCTTACGCGAAACCAGCTAGAGCCCGTTGAGGCGAATCTGGAATGCCTGTCTAAAAGCCGCCATGTCGTTGGACTCTTCAGGGGTTATGACTCTCCGGCCACGCTAGTCCCTGGCCCTGGTTTTTGAAGGTAGTATGGGGAACTGCTCGGGGGGAACCTCCGCCACGTCCGTTCCATACCTATTTTCAGAGTAGGATTGCTACGACGGTGCTGCAGCAGAGTAGCGCTCCGTACTCCGCACGTCGTACAGTACGGAGCGGCTCTAACACAATTTGACTACTCAAGTAACGTCCGGTACTAACCAGCAAGCTATTGACTAGAGGGAAACGGTGGCGCCGAACCAAAGCCATTGGGGGGCCTTGGCACAGTTTCCCGCGCTGTTTGTCCTTAAAATTGCTTACAGGCTATTTTTGTCCGAGCGTTTTAACGTCATTTTCTTCAACATCAGGGTCTCTGACGACCAATTCCCCGGATGGACGTTGGGCACATGAAAATGTGCCCAGAGGGCTTTGAATGTGGGGGCAATATTGTTCTTGGTTGCGCCCCTGACGGCTAGCTAGAACAAATTTTTATGATGCTAAAGCATGCATCCAGTTATGCTCCATGTCAATCCAACCCAAACGCTTTGCCACGTTTGTACCGATATTTCGCACACTAGCTAGGCAACGGGCAAGGTTCTGTGGGCTAAATGAGGTCTTGATCCAGTCGTTACCTCGCTTCGACATTGGCCAGATACATCTCCACTCGCGTCCGCTCGCCCAAACCCACTCACACTATGCATGAAGCTGGACTTCATCTCCGGCCCCAGAGTGATATTCGCCATACGGATGCTATTGACTTGGTTCCGTTGTCTCGGCCCCCCTGCTCTTAGCCTAACCACCTTGTTGCTAGACATCCTGCTATGGATTTTTCAATACCCGCTCAAAGCATCTTCGTCCTGTCCGCTAGGCTCGTATCGCCGCAAGCCTGGTACGGGTAAAGGCTGTTTTGTCTGGATTTAACCCTTTCCAAGCGTACCCGTACGCCCTAACGATTGTGACGTTCATCCACCCAGTGGCAGGCATTCTGAGACGTAGGCGCCACTGACCGTTTTTCCACGCTTCCAAACCATCTTAGACCCTCTCGCCCGTGCTTCTGGCGCCGGCACATGGACCGTACGCTTGCAGCGAACTACTGAGTCTACTTCGTCGATCAGATACTACATTAAGAGGGCGCGGTTTATTAGCACGGGAGCTTGCTCCCGCCTACTCCGTGCTGGCATTTATGTGTTCTCTCCCATCCTCTTTCCAGCTTGCCATGTTTTGCCAATTTGAAGTTGTGAAGTAGTGCTCTCACGCACCCTCTTCACCGACCCCTGCCATCTGTTGTTGGGTAGTACATGCACTGCAGCGGAATCCCTGATTCACCTCTTCTTAACTGCACATATAATACTGATAGTCTTTCCCCTCTTCCCCATCTGGAGAAGCTGACGAGGAAAGTTCATACGCTTGAGCTGGGAATTATTAGTCTCCTACCTCACTGACGAGGACCGGGGCTGCCGGCACGTCTACGCCTTCAATTCGAAATATACGAAGCTCATGAATCGCATTTTCTCGACACTTTGCTCTTGACCACTCAAGATGTCTGACGGTCTCACTCAGCATCAGCTGAATCTCATCAGCGACATCGAACGAGTCTGTTCGGTCATTTCTCTTCTAGGATGTGTCTTCGTCGTGGTTACATTCTGTGCCTCGAGCTCGTTCCACAAGCCTATCAACAGACTTGTGTTTTATGCCTCATTTGGTAATATGATGACCAATGTAGGGACGCTCATGTCTCGTAGCTATCTCAGTTCACCGAACTCCCCCGGATGCCAGCTACAAGGATTCCTCATTCAGATGTATGCTTTTGATACAGAGATAAACATGATTTCTTGTTGTTATGGTCCAGCTGACAAAGCTTAGGTTTATGCCTGCAGATGCATTCTGGACGCTAGCCATGGCGTTCAATGTCTATCTGACATTTTATCACAAATATGACGCTAGGAAGCTGCGAAGAATGGAGATACCCTACTTGCTTTGCTGCTATGGTATTCCTTTTATTCCTGCCTTTGTATACATCTTTCTCAAGAACAAGGACGGGTATCGAGCATATGGTAATGCCACTATCTGGTGCTGGATCACAACTGAGTGGGATATTTTCCGTATCGCTACGTTCTATGGCCCCGTTTGGTAAGCTTTTTTTTTTAAGAAGAAGAAATTTGAAGAAGAGATTGTCTTTTGGCAAATAAAAGAAATAGGTGAAACCTCTTTACTAACTCCAGTTCAGGGTCGTTATTTTCGCCACCTTTTTCATCTATATCCGAGCTGGACGAACAATCTACGAAAAGCATAAGCAACTCAACGACTTTCACTCATCTGAGGGCCTATCTTCTATCGACGTCATCACTACTCTCAGGACAACTGAAGTAACGGTCACCACTTCAGAAGCCAACCCCGGAAACCTCAACGCGAATGGCTCCCAAGGCCACCGACCGTCTCTTACAGAGCCCGACTCACAAAATCCCAACTACTCTGTGCATATCTCGGCTAGTAAGGCCGCCGCGGATGACAAAATTCAGCCTGTTCCAGCTCCTGAAATCGAAGCTGTCAAGAAATCCAGACTCGGAAGAGGAAACCGCCCGCCGAACGCTCGACGACGCAATTACGAAATCAACAACGCAGCTTGGGCTTACGCTAAGTGTTCTCTTCTTTTCTTTACAGCACTTCTCATTACATGGATTCCGTCAAGTGCCAATCGAGTCTACTCTGTGGTGAAATCGCAGGAGATCAACGCACCACTTGAAATCATGAGTGCCTTTGTGCTTCCGCTCCAGGGATTTTGGAACGCTCTCATTTACGCTGTAACATCATGGGGTGCCTGCAAGAGCTTTTTTGAGGATCTAAGATCTGGCAAACGGCCAGAGGTGATGGAGTTGGTTGGAGGAATGGGTGCGCAAGACGAAAACAGCCGCCACAGCCGCCGTATAAGCCAGTTTAGGCCAGGACGCGCGAATAAGGGTCTCGACTCGGAGAGTATGACGGAGCTGGCCAACACCCGGACACACTCAGCAGATGCTCATTCGGCGGAGACCAGCTCACAGTATGGACGCTCAAGCACTGGATAAAAATAATGAGGATGGAAAATGTGTGTTGCTACTACTTCCAGTATATTATTTAATCGCCCAACCGAGTGTTTGATGCTCTCCGGTGGACATGCGTTCATTCGCTTCTTTTTTACCCATGCAATGTCTTTATTTTTTTTTCTTCTCGCATTCTCTTTTGTTCCCTTTTTTTGGTTTTTTTTCTGTATGTTTATGACGGCAAAGGATGACAAGTTCTGAGAGGTATTCAGGGATGGCGATTTGCCACTTGGGAATTGACAAAAGGCGGGAAGATACCCAGGACGTTACTATGACTATCAAGATACTATCGAAGCTGAACTACGCTGCATTCGCTAATGATTTCTTAATCTTTTCCCCTCCCTATTTCAGTACGAAAGACTATACTCCCCAACTGTGAATCGTAGTGTCCAAATCTGCAAGGGCTGAAAGGACTCAATCTATGCGGGGGTATCAACCATTGCTAACGAGCAATGCAAATGCAAATGCAATTACATTCGGCATCATATTCCGACGATCTAGTCGACAGATACAGAACAACTAGCCGCCCCTCGATCAAATTTCTTTTTGCTGGCCCCAAACGTACACGATTACTCCGTATTCCAATCTAGATCCAGGCCCTCTCCCCCTCCTCTGCCTCCAAGGGTCAACACGTGTGGCACACAACACGGGTAGGATTCAGGAACAAGGGTCCCCTCAATCTCCGCCGCAGCGGCACGCTTGGGGTAGGTCAACCGTGCGTGACGAGAGAAGCGGGCTGATTAGTAGTAGTGCTTTATTAATAAGAGGTGAGAGAGAGTGCGTGCATTGCAGACACCTACTACGGAGTACTACTGTATGTACAATATGCAACTACTACTCCATATAGCAGCTAGCTGGCCCGTATCAGGCCATTTTTCTTTCTGTTCGGCCTATGAAATGCTGCGGGCCTCATTCATCAGCTTTCATCAGCTTTCATCAGCTTTCATCAGCAGCTTTGGCCAACAGCAGCTGATTGCGATTCCCTGAATATTACGCCCCCGGGATTCTTCTCCCATCATCAGCATCATCGGCGAGCAAACTCCCTTTCCCGAACAGTCGGAGAAATACGGTGAGGAAATGGACGATGTTTTCGGGGAACACAAAATACAGCCATCAGCCACCCAAGCAAATTATTTCCGCATTTATGCGCTCTTTTTTTTTTTTTTTTTTTTTTGTTATTCCCCGCATATCGTTCCCGTCCACGTCGCGTCCAACAACAACTTCACAGAATCGTCACAAAGGCAAGGGTACAGGCCAAGAGCCCAGGGTATTCACGAGCGTGAAAATGCGCGCTCCGCTTTGCTAGACGAAGCATAGTGACGCGGGGTGAGAAAGCACTGTAAGCTCAGTGCTTATATAGGATTGCAATCCTAGGTAACCTGGCTTGTCTATCCGTATGCATTTATAGGGCTGAGGTGTGATTTATGCTGGTAGCTTAACTTTCTCTGCTTTTTCTCCTCATCAGATATCCGTGTGGCCGGGTGCTACATACATAGTATCTCGGACAGATGCTAATACCCTCTTTTAGACACGATTATTCCCTTGCTAGACGGCTCCCCCGGTCAGCACAACTTACAGCATTGCCAAGGGAAGCCTGCCCAACGGTCCTGCCAAAACGGGAGAGTGCAATGATGCACAAATGAACAGCGTCAGGCCAACAGTCGGCCAAATAGCCCGTGTCTTTGTGATGCCTCTCGTATACTCCCGTGTGCAGAAGACAGAGGAACCTTCAACATCCGCAAGTGGGCGGAGAAGTGTAGCCGTCGGTCAGCATTCAAAAGGAGCCTAGTTTCCGGGACGGCGAAACGATGGCGCTGCTGGATGAAGAATTTAGGCACAAATGCAATGTTAGCGGCTGTTGAATCAATTCGTTGACAAGACTCTGAAAGAATTATTCCCTCATCCCTGCTAGGGTAAGAGACTGAGGAAAAGGCCAACCAACGGAAAACACGGCCGTGGTAAAAATTAAACGGCTAGCGGCTCAAAGATGGTCGGATTTGGAAAAGAGGCGCCCATCGCAATGGGTTTTATTCTCCGAGAAAGCAATAGATTCAGAAGAAAGCTCGCACAAGCCGCGGCTCAAAGGATGCTTTCTGTTTGTACCTGCACTGGCCTGCGGACCAACTTCCTTATTCGAGACTACTGCAGAATCGAAACAACCGCTAGGGGACGGTTCGCAGCTTAAAGGGGATGCATGATGCATACTTGTAGGTAGTAGTATATGGTTGGTGGTATCTGCAAAGACGTTGATTCGGGGCAGCAGTGGTTGGCCAACAGGTTGCCATTCGTGGCTGCATGATTGCACAGCACAGCCGCTGTTTCGTAATCACATACGCAAACGCAAACCCCTCCCCTTGTCGACGTAGCATCAGGACTTCAGTTCATCATCCAAGCAGCCCCCTGTTTACGGACATTGGATGTGCAGCCATCCTCGCTGATCGTCAACAGAAAGGGGCCCCTGCGTCTGTCCCACTCTTCTCATGTAACACTGGATCTATCGAGAGATGCAACCAAACAGGTTGCAGTACGGAGTACGGAGTGATATCTGTATATGGTGCTCGCGGAGTCTTTTGGCCCGAGCTGCTTGTCACAAGCTCTAAACGGCAAACCGGGTTGCTTGAGACACAGGTACGGGAATGATCTTCTTGCTGGTTTCGATAAGCCACAAATGGTGCCCTGAACTAGATGGCAAATTCCACGCCCTAATATCCCAACCGCAGCAACGCCGGCCTATACACGACATGACTCTTCTTGGAAAAACGAACGACTCAGTGCCAAGAGCCATCAGTCGCAAACAAAGAAGAAAAGAAAAGAAAATATCCATCTCGGCCGAGTCAAGGTTCCGGTCTGAAAACCGCATATTCACCCCCTGTTAATTCAGTGTTTGTCCCAAAAAGGCAAATATCGTTGCTCTTCAACACTGACTCGTCGGTATTCATTCATAGGCAGTTTCTAGTCAAGCCTGGCTGTGTATCTACGCCGTCTTCAGTTCCTTGACCCCTTTGACGGCATGGTATTCCCATAGTGTACCCAGCTCGAGACACTCGGCGACGCATTCCGGGTCATCCCACCACCATCTATTACAAGTCACATATGAGCCCCATACCTCCACCCAAAGCATACGCCCGACTAGACTTCTAACCTGCGCCTTGTCCTCATTCTCCATTTGCACTGAGCCTTTAGCTGCATCTTGATCTCTGCTTATTGCGCTACCCGGCATGGCGTAAAACCTTGTAGTCGTAAGGATGCTTCCATCGCCACGGAGACAAGCCTGAGCGAGTAGATGCGGAAAGACCGTGCTGGGGCTCATACATTTTCCTTGTTTTGCTAGGTTCCGAAGTAGATTCTCCTCTATCCATGTTCTCATCTTTGTGCCCAAGGTAGCAGCTCGAGGCAGTGGATCAATAAGTATCAGCCGAATGAAGCCTTTTTTATTTAAGCATTTGTAGACATTATTGAGTATCCCAGGTAGCAGGGGCAAGGGACACAAAGAAGGAAGCGTCAATGAATGAACCGATTCATAAATCCGGGGCGCTATTGGAAATTCTGTAGGCGAGACTCTGGGAACCGAAATTATCCGAACGTTGTTAAACAAATCTTCTTTCAGCGTCGGCATAAGCGAGATATGGTCGTGTTGTTTCGAGGGTTCAAGTGCAGCGAGATAGGCGACAGTAGCTATGTTAAACACATATACATTAGCATATTGCTGCTCAACATGAAGCAATATTAACATTTACCTGCTGAATCATAGAGACACACAACCATGCGAGCTGTCAGGAGGCACTCCTTACGAGGTAACATTCGATTTTCTGGGGTCGGAATTTGGTCCATGTGGATCATAGTCGAAAGCATCCATCTGCGCAGACTCTCAGCTACAGGGCTGTCTGCCAGAAGGTCAGCGACATCTTTCTCTGCGACCTTCTTCCATAACGTCTCTAGTATAACTAGAATTTCCGCCGCACTCTTCTTTGCCATGCTAACAACTGCTGCGTGTAGTAAACGAAAATCGTTATGTATTCCACGGCTATGTTCAAAGTAGTCGGCGTCAACAAGGAAATCCGAAGAGGTGAGCTCGGGCGATCCTCGCAGGAGAGGGAGAGGCTCCCATTCATCCACCGGCTTCCAAGCTTCGGCATTATTTGGTGTAATACGTGGCTTCATGCTATTATCCCCTGAGGCAAGCTTGGAGCCCACCTGCGGAATCTGCATAGCTGTTAGGCAAAGTTTTGGTTTGGCTGTGGGCGATGAAGGTGAAGATGGAGATCTTTTATGGCATGTCAGCTTCAAGAAAGATGCAGCGCAGGTCATGAAACAGAGAGAGGGAGGATTTGAATGCAGGAAGGGAAAAGAAAAGAAGAGAAAGAAGAGAATAGAGGAAAATAGAAGATGATGAAGGAAAGGAAAAAATTCAGCGCCGGACTACTCACTTCTCTCCAAATTCCAAAGTGTCAGGAGCGGCTGTATCACCCGCAGACGGCAGCAGGCAGTTGCCAACTGGCTCGACTGCCGATGGACTTCGCCGGAATATCTGCACCAGACTTTTCATCTTCTCAGACTCGGTCAAATCATCGGATGCCGAGCCAGCGCTTGAGAAGCGTTTGATTACCGATGGCGAGGAAGGGATGTCTATTTGAGAGTCACCAACAGGACAGTTTTATCCAAGCAAGCCGGTCGTTCTCACCTTCGGTTTCAGGGTTGCAAAATAGCCTTCTGCCTACGTCGCCGCTCTTCTCGGAGATCAATGGACTGGTGTTCAACGGACTTTCGAAGTTGGCGAATCTCTCTAGGAAACTGGTGGACATGCGGCTGGAGCTTCGACGACTCCCCTCGTCAAATGTCTTTGACATCGGTGAGCGATCAGAAGAGGCTATGGCCGGGGACGCAACTCCAGATGAGGTAGACGATGCCATTTCCGGGTTAGAAGAAGACGCGTTTGCTCTCCTGGAGCCTCTGGTGCGGAAGATGGCAAACGGGGAGTCAGTTGACCAGCGCGAGCTGGCTGTGGATGCCGAACGGCGTCTTGGCTGGCCTTTATCGTCTTTCCTGAGCATCTCCTCTTTCTCCTTTCGCGATTTGTGCTCTCCCACCAGTTCTGTGTTGGGGTCTGTCCAGACGACATCCCACATGATGGCAATGGCCCCCTGCAGGCAAGGAGAAGCACCTAATCGGAGTCGTCCAAACAGCAAACGCAGCACACGCAGATTTCACCACAAACGTACAGGTGAAGCCTCCTCTCTGACCTTGTTATGATACAGCGGCAGTAACGTAACCAAGAGAGCCTAGTGTCACAACAGCAAATGATTGATGCAGGAAGTGATGGAAGAGGCTTGCTGCCGGATTGACCAGCTTGTGGCTTGAATGCCACTGACCGTTGACTCAATTAATGTTCAACTGTAACCAGGAACTCTGGTTGGGGAATTCTGACAGTGGTATGGAACTATGACAGATGTTGGAGAATGGTTGAGGACTTGCACCGCTTTGGGTTTTGAGTTGCGAAAGATGATGGATAAGAGATAAAGCGATCAGATATGGTACGATCGTTACTATCCAATATCCGATACCACAGTTCATGGGCACGGTGAAACGATCAGCAAAGCGAGAAAACACACGGCCTCTGGCATCAAGAATAAATGAAATGAGAAATAGAAGAGAGAATTTGTTCACCAGCCACCAGCCAAATTTGCAAAGGAAAAATGCCATTATAGAGGCACGAGACGAGCATAGTTGAAGCTAGAAGGGCTAAATTTGGAGTCGGAAGGTGCTTCAGCTTCTCCTAATTGCAAGCTAAGGTATCATTTGAGCTAACAACAGACAAGCAACAGGGTGTGGGAACACAACAGATGCAAGATCCCGTGTTGTGGCGTTCAGATGGCAAGCGAGGTCTGACCGGCCGTTTGCAAGTGTTTGCGAGCGTTTGCTGGGAAATTGAGAGCAGCCTGGAGGAAGCAACAGTAACGATGACTAGACATAAAGTATTTATGCCTACGATTGAAGAGAGAGAGAGGGCTGCGCATATACAAGAAGCGATGGTCGGAAGAGGAGAGAAACGAGATATCCGCATAGCAGCAACTTTGCAACTTTCTTGCTACTTTGTAGAGTCGTGGATCCTTCGCTCCGTGCGACTCACATATGATGCCACAAACTGAACCAGTGAGCTGAGCGAGCACAAGGCTTTACCCATCTGGGCTTTCCATTAATCCTCTGTAGTTGAAATGGTGACGTTGGTTCTATTTGAACAAGATAAACATTGCGTTGGAACAGCGATCTGTGTCCAGAGAGTGTATATGAGGTTATCGACGGCTCCATGCTCATAATGCAGTTCACGGATATCGATCAGTTCAAAGCCTCGATACTCCATGGTCTGTTACATCCTGTTCTAAATAGTCACTCAGATGCCGAATGTCCAACATCCGCCAACGCGTCAGATTTGCCACGCCATATTTTATCCAACTAGGGAAATGAGACATGGACAGCAGCTTCCGACCATGCAGGTCTCGCCCCTTCGTAATCTCGATGAACGAAGTTCCAGCTGAAGGGATATTCTCTCTCCTTGTCATACAGAGAAGCTGAATATCTAGTTGCCTACACTATGCGCTCATATATTGACTGACTCTTTAGCAACTGTCTCAGGCAGGGCTAAAACATAGATGCTAGAAGGTATTCTCATTCCCCATACTTTTAACACGGCTATTGGATATCTTTCTCAAGCCAGATAATCATATATCTTGTGATCAATTAGCTAAGCCCATCGTTCAGCTTCTCCTCTAACCTCGAATGCCTGCCTGTACGAACACCACCACGCGCTATCACTTCCCGTGCAACGAGCTTTCACGACTCTCCCAGCAGCTTTGACATTGTTTGTACAACATCAGCGCTCTCGGCTATCAGCCATATCACATATAGATTGGCTAAAGCGCCAGGAGCCGAGCGGATACACCCTCGCAGTCAGTTTGCACTCCATGGCTTTCCCTCTATCTCGCTGAGACAGATACGTGTAGATGTGCGACCATGGCAGAAGCCATCCAAGGCTGCAGCTCGGCAGATACCAACCAGCCAGGTGGCATTCGTACGACAGATGAAGAGATTGCATACAATATAGGCTTCCTTGCCGTGGACTTTAGTTTCCTCTCCATCTCGCACAAGCACCGGCGGACTCGAAACGCTAATGGGAATCTTCATGGTAACGTGAGATACGTGTGCTCCCTGCTGAAGGTCTGGAGATCGCTTTGTGCCTCTCCGGAGACACCTGGTACAGCTGGAGTGGCCTGTCTATCTCAAACCCAAGCCGTGATAATTTCAGATTCCATGGTCTATATGCTGCCAGCCGGCGGACCAGCTGCCGCATAATTGACCAACGCAAAACGGGCCGTACGGGCGTGCTGCCTCATGTACAGCGGTTGGTTGTCCTGGCAAAGACTTAGGAGGCCCGTAGGCATGTTCTTCATGTTCTTCAAAGTTTCTGAGTCATGCAACTAGAAATCATCGCCTTTTCCCATTTGTTCGTCTCCATTCCATCTCCCATTACAAGCCATCTTTTTTGTTTCATCTTCCTACATATTTGCGAATAGCCAAGATACCTTTTACTGTCCTTTGTATCCGTTATTAGATATCAAACCAATGTGTTTTCAGTCTCGAAAACAAATCGCCCCCAAAGATCAGTAAATCTCATCTCTTTTAGCTATCATGGAATCTCCTACCATACACCCTAAGAACAGTCAAGAACCCGGAACGCCTGATCCGAGGCTACCTTCTCCAAGGCTTCCTTTGGTTCCTGCAGTTGGCCGGTCCAAGTTCTGCGGATTTCGAGACTTTGCCGATCTTGTTGACAAATGGTTGAGCGGTTCCTGCTTGGGGCGACTGTTTCGCCTGGCCGACTCAGGGCATGTAGGTATCATCAAATTGTTATATAACAGACAGAGAGAAAGAGGATGAGAGGGAGTCTTTGTTATTGTCGAACGGGGCTAACTATATGAATAGGCCAAAGCACTTGAAGGCACAACCTTCTTCAGAGAGATTCGCGCTGGGCTGACAACTTTTGCGACTATGGCATACATCATCGCCGTGAATGTATGTGGTCATTGGCAATTACTCATTGGCAATTACTCATTGGCAATTACTCATTGGCGAAACATCCTTCTTGGTAGAGAAGTTTGCTAACTATTACAAAAATTCATAGGCTTCGATCCTCTCTCAGACAGGCGGAACTTGCGAGTGTAGCCTGGAGAACAAATTCCAATGCGATACTATCCATGATTATGCGGATTGCAAAGAAGGTATCGTTGTTTATCCCGTGCTTGCTTCAGTCTTCAATATGATCATCTTCTAAACTACAGTAGAGGTACGAAGAGATTTAATCACAGCTACGGCAGCCATAGCCGGCGTCGCCTCCCTATTCTTTGGACTGCTGACCAATCTACCCGTTGCCCTTGCGTAAGGAACATAGCAATCTTTGTCACGTGTATGCACTGATACTGACATGAATATTCAGTCCAGGAATGGGTCTCAACGCCTATTTTGCCTACCAAGTACGTTGCATTAGTTATAATGTCTATTTCTTAACTAACACCAAGTTCAACTTTCAAGGTTGTTGGCAGCAACGGCTCTGGTTCCATCTCCTATCGAACCGCCCTTACCGCCGTCTTCTTTGAAGGTATCATATTCATGTTCCTCGCTCTGACAGGGATGCGTCAATGGCTTGTTAGGCTCATCCCCGCCACCATTAAGACCGCTACTGGTGTTGGAATTGGGTTTCTCTTAACAGAGATTGGGCTGTCCTACTCGTCTGGCATTGGCGCCATCACAGGTGGCGGCACATCGACCCCTCTAGCTTTAGGCGGCTGCCCTCCTAATATGATCAACGCAGAGACGGGAGGCTGTAATGCTGGTCAGATGTCGAGCCCAACGGTACGTCCAAGATTTACATCAGAAGCAAGAAAGACACTGACATCCTGTATGGAACAGATGTGGCTCGCCGTCTTTTGCGGTGGTGTCGTGACGGCCTTCCTTATGGCGTTCAGAGTCAAGTACGCTCTCGTCATTGGAATTGCACTTGTCTCAATCATTTCTTGGCCGTGAGTCAATACTATCCTGAAATCCTATCAAGATACGGATATTCACTGATATTTCATCTTGCTGCAGCCGCAACACTCCAGTCACTTATTTTCCCAATACCCCTGAAGGCGACTCTCGTTTTTCCTTCTTCAAACAAATCGTTGCATGGCACCCTCTATCTAAGACCATCAACCAGCTTGACTGGGGCCTCGAATCTACCAGCACCTCTCACTTTATTCTTGCTCTCTTCACGTTCCTCTACGTCGATATAATCGACGCTACTGCCACTCTATACTCCATGGTCCGCTTCTGTGGTGTCGTCAATCCGAAAGACGGTGATTTCCCTCGTTCAACCATTGCATACTGCACTGATGCGGCCTTCATCTCGATTGGAGCTCTATTCGGATGCTCTCCTATCACAGCATTCATCGAGAGTGGCGCGGGTATCGCAGAAGGTGGGCGCACCGGCTTCACTGCTGTGGTTGCAGGGCTTTGCTTTATCATCTCCATCTTCTTTGCTCCTATATTTGCTTCTATTCCGCCGTGGGCTACGGGATGTACTCTCATCTTAGTTGGGTGTATGATGATTCGCCAAGTCACACAGGTTAATTGGCGCTACATTGGCGATGCTCTTCCTTCTTTCATTGTCATGTCGTTCATACCGTTTAGCTACAGCGTCGCATACGGTCTCATTGCGTAAGTTATTCCCCTTTTCCCAATTCCAGCCACCACCATCACATTTTCTTCTTTTGCCCAAAGCTAACCTATTTCCACAATCGCAATTAGCGGGCTATTTGTCTATTCCATCCTCAACGCCCTCATCGGTCTCGTGGTTTTGCTCTCAAACAACCGTATCGAACCCCGGGAATACGACCTCAAAGAATACTGGACATGGAAGGGTTCCGGCCGACCACCCTGGTTTGTCCGAGCCATGAGGAAAGACAGAAACCGCGCTTCACCTTCTTCAGAGGATAGTAGCAATACAGTTCCGCCTGCCGCTGATGAAAACGAAAGCCAACGCGGGCTTAGCCTCCAGCAAAGCCGCGACAATCCTCCCAACAGGGATGGTTCTGCAGCCATAGCTGGGCAATCTGTGTTGCAGATTGATCACGATGAAGAAGATGACTACCATCATTCCTCTCCCATTAGGGGTATTGCTCGTTGATCACATTCGCTCATGTCCCTATTACAGGAAAGAGGGAAGAGAATGATCCAATTGTTTTTGATGCTTCGAGAACTACGCACTGATGTAGATACGAGTAGCTGAAAAGCTTCGTCGAGACAGTCAAAACATGGAGGTGCTATTGCTTATCTAGAATTTGCTTAGCTAGTTCATTATGGTTTCCGAGGTTGGATGTATTCGTCAAGAGTTCTCTAGCACTTGAAATGATAATTTCGATGCGTAGGTATCACAAGTATTCTCCTCCCACATTCTAAGTGATCTTGGGTGAACATAGTGTATGCTTTAACAAATGCCAGGGTATATATTCTCTATCTTCTCCTTCTGCCCCAAAGTCATCCATCATATCACACCATCGCTCTCTCAAAACTCTCACCCGCTCATATCTACATCGCCACCACCTCCTCTTCCCCCCATGGCCCTCTCCGCCGCTCTTCTCCTCTCCAGACTGTCATTCACCCACTTCTTCACTGCATCATCGCCCCCCGCATCAAGCTTGTTCTCCACCACCTTCTTCACCACCTCGCCAGCAAAGCCCACGAAATTGTGCCTCCTCAACGCATTCTCAAACAGCCAATCCTTCCGCTTGCGCTCCTCCCGCTCCAGCAGCTCCTCGTCGCCAAACTCCCGCGCGCGGATCCGCAAGTCGCGGCACATGGCCAGCAGGTTGAAGCGAATCTCGGTGGCGTCGTAGCGGGCGATTCGGCGCTGCAGCACGTCAACCACCTTTAGGGGGAAATCCTCCGTGGCGCAGGGACCATGCGAGATGGGCGCGGGCTGCAAGCCGTCTAGCTCGTACAGCACGCCGTCAACAGGCGTGTAGGCAATGAAGTGGAAGATGTCCTCAGATGGCTCGCCCGTCCTCTGCGTCTCGTCGGCAAAGGGGCTGCTGCGCGCGAAGCTGTTGTGCACCTCGCGAATGAGGTCCGAGTTGCTAAGGGCCTCCCCCCGGAACTCGGGCGGCAGGACCATTGTGAATTCGCGGAAATCCTTCATCTGCTCGCCAATGTCGACGTCCCCGGTCTTGTTCATGAGCACGCTGAGCAGGGCCTGCGTGGCACAGGCGTTCTGGATGGTCTGCGCGGCGAAGAAGATGCGCTCCGAGGCATCGTGGTCGAAGGTGCCGTCGAGCGGGCCATCGGCCGTGGCGTAGGGTCGGTCGGTTGGGAACTTGAAGAGGAAGATGACGCCGTAGAGGGGCTGGAGGGTCAGCAGCTCAGAAGGGTCGAGGGTGAGGAGCTCTTCGAACTGGACGTTTTTGACGCCGAGGTTTTCGATGAGGGAAGTGAAGACGCCCTGGGTGTTGGCATTCAGTTAGCCGCTGCTTTCTTTCTTCAAGTTCCTGTTAAAGGCGGTTTTTGAACGTACTGCATCAGACTCAACTGAAAGAAAAAGAAGGCGTTGCGTTAGTGAAAGAGAGAACCCTCGCGAGCTAGGATAGAAGCTCACTTGTATTCCAGCCGCCGCTCATTATGTCACTCGATGTGCCGTCCAGGCAACAGTCCCCGATTGGAGAAAAGAAACAAAGTAGAGGAATGAACAAAGATTGGCGTGGTTATAACAATTCCCCCAGGTGGTGGCGGTAGAGAGAGGCGTTTTCAAGTTGTTTGGGAGAGCTATCCGTTGATGATGGGCTTCGGCGGGATGCCCTCGGAGCTTTACCTCTGTAGATGTCAAATCGCTGATAAGATAAGAACATTGAGTGCAGGCACACCACACGAGTACGTACTTTGTATTGGTGGCGTCATCAACAAGGGGCGTCAACCTCATACAAGCAAGTCACTGACTGTATCATAAAAACAGATAGCATAAATTTTATTTGTAGAATGCCTCGCTCAGCCCTATTTGCAGGCCCTCTCATCTTCTAATTCTTTAGCTAGTAAATACATAAAATAGAGCAGAGGGAAAAAAGACTCGAGCCTGCCCGTCTTCTTTACTCTCTGCTGGTGAGAGGGCTTTATAAGAAACATTGGTTTCAACGCCCCTGCTCCTAATAGAATTCTTCAGTCGCTAAATCCCACATTATGATCACTTTCGTGTATTTTTTTTTCCTTTTATGCTTTTTCCCAAGCTCATATCGTTCATACACTCTCTACGCGGTAGAGATTTCCTCACGGATGGCTCTGTCTCGTTCAGCATCCTCGTAATCGTGCTGCGCATCTGGCTCCCCAGATTGATGTTGGATGTCACTTGTCTCGTGCACGGCTTCATCGTCGTGATATTCCGCAGCTACGGCAGCTCTAGCATCGGCCATGGCGTCGGCCATTGCTGCCTCTGCCGCTCTCGCCGCAACTTCGGCTTCTCTGCGTCGCGCTTCCTGGGCCCTTGCTTCTCTTTCTTGATTAGCAATATGGCGCTCCGCAACTCCAGGTGCAATACTGGCAAGGAAGAGGAGGCCCGCTCGCTCCAGTCGCCTCAATTGCCCTGTGAGCCACGATTCTTGACCGCGACGCTCGGCAAGCAGTCGGGCAGCCGTCTCAGCAGGGTCAGGCATTCTATTTCGCTCTGCTCTAGGAGCGCCATCACGGTCTGCATTCTCTCTTTGTCCAGGATTCCTATGATCCATACCAGGTAGCACATTTTCGAGATATCGTCCTATTGGTCGCCAGACCTGCTCAGCATAGCCAGCCAAGAGCCCAGTGGTGAGGGCAAACATGAACAATGCTAGAGCAATAACAGTGCACCATCTTGACCAACTAGAGTTGACGGGCGTAAAGAACCATACAAACAAGGCTAGGCGTACTATAAGCCAGATATGAGGAGCTAATTGCACGATCAGATGAGCCAGCCCGGCTGCAGGCGGGTTACCAGCATGTAAAGGGGCAATTCTCGGTTGCTGACCCTGCTGCGGAGGCTGCAAAGGCTGCGGCTGTTGAACCTGTTGTTGTTGTTGTTGCTGTTGTGGAGGCTGTGGCGCTGAGCCCTGGTGGGTTTGAGCAGCCTGTCTTGCGTCAACGCGCTGTGTTTGATGATGATCATTCCTGTTTTGTGCCTGCATCGTCTGAATCAAGCTTGGAAAGCTGGTCGCATTTCGAAGCGGATGATAGCTAGGCGGCTGCATAGCCAACCTGGGCGTGTAGTAAGCCTCCGCCACATTGCCGTTGAAGAGGAGGGCGCGAGGGCCTTCAGGAGACGACAGAATATACACATCAACGCCTTGTCGTGGCTGGGGCGGAGCAAGAGAAGGAGCAGATGTAGGGGTGGGAATAAATGAGCCAGAAACCGACCTTAGCCCTAGGTCTGGAGTAGCTCGACCGCTGCTAGCTCGAGAGCCACCGTTAGCGAAGACAGAGGTAGTGATGGAGGGTTGATTGAGCGCCCGATTGTGAAGCGAAGCACTGGAAGCACTTCGGCGTAAGCCGCTTTGATGCAATGCATTTGCCAAGGGTGCGGGAATCTGGTTGGAGTCTGCCCCTCGCAAAATGTTGTGAACATCATTAGGGGTCAGTACGCCAGGAATTGACGGCGCCGATGCAGATGCTCCTGGAAGCCCACCAGCTACAGTTCGGGTCATTGTCTCTACATGATAGCTTTGGCCGTTGGGTCCAATGATTTCTCGATAAACTGTGTGCGATGGGGCCGGGCTTCCTCTCCCACTATTAGACTCTGGAGTATGCCCCCCGTAGTTCACAGCCGCGGTGTCGCCAACACCGCGCATGCCGAAATGAGCTCTCCCGCGCTGATTCTGGTGAACCATCCTAGCCATGGCTTCTCTCTGGATCTGTGTTAGCCATTGCGTCATGCTTTGGTGTTGCTGCTGGAAAGCTGCCGCCTGCTCGGGAGTATGAGCTGGGGAATGCGGGCGAGCCGGTGACGGCACCTGAGGCTGAGATAACGTGGCATTCTGATGAGCTGGCTGCATCACTGGTCTTCTTGCCATGCCAGGCGGAGCGGGAGGTCCCATAAATGCGGGATGTGGAGGTGTCTGACGCTGGCTGCTTGGAGACTGGTTGTTTGGGGGCTGGCTTCCCAAAGCTGGACTCTGGGTGCCAGATAAGAAAGATGGCGTTGGAGATACGCCATCAGAGACGTCTCTTAGGACAAGATGTATTGTATGCAGGTCGGGTTGGCGAAACTATAGCAACATGATTCAGTCAGTGTTTGCTTTCGTGCGTAGATTGGTGATCCCATCAAGAGGGAAAGTAGACTGACCACATCGCCTCCGATCACATCTAGCAGAGTATCGGTCTCATGTAGAAGCGCTCGGCCGCGATAGATGAGACGCTGGTTTTCGTCAGACGGCCGCAAGGGGAGGCTTTGTCGGATCTTCTCTTTGAGCTGCTTGATGGTCGTGGCAGCCGAGAGTCCAGGGAACATCAGAGGTCGATTAACGCCGACTGATGGCGACAGCACCTGGAGGTTCACTGGAGGCGGATCGGGCAATGCAAGAGAACCCGGGCCCTGGGCCATTTGGTGCTCTGAAGCCATGATTGGGAGATAGCTTGCATGCTACCAAGCTTCAAAGGGCGGGTTTCGAAGAGGGACAGTGGCAAGGCTTCGGGTTGCAAGGGCGAAGAAGAGGAGGAGATGAAAGCGCCAGCTATTGGGAAGCGTGCGTTTCTGTTTGTGTTTGTCAGACAGGCTGAAGGCAGGGATGGCAGCGTTTTGCTTTTGGATCCGAGCCAAGGCGCACAGCGGCGCTATCACTCTGGTGGAGAAAGACACGGCAAAGACGCAGAGAGGCCGGCCAGCAGGGGAGCGAGGAAAAGGAGTGGAAGCTCGCGGGCTTCAGTTCAGTTGGAGGGCGGTGATGCAAGAAGGCAAACCCGTTGCCTTCTAGAAGTCGGACAGATTGCAGTCGAGTCGGTCGGCTGGCCAGGTACTTCGGAGGTACGTACCGCAGGCCAAGTTGCGCAACAGCTGGAAGGACGCCCCATGCGGCTTAGCGCCATGCGTGGTGAGAGGTGTCGCGTTTATAAGCGAATAGCGCTGAGCTGACGGTCTTCAGGGCTGCCAGGTAGAGTGTACTTGGAGCGTGGGTATCGTTATATGACATCTCGTGCCTTTTCATCAGCGACTGCGAGAGTACTGGATACGACGCAGCCAAGTACCGCCATAACACATCAGTATCGCCAGGAGCTCGCAGCTTGGCCCAGAAGGGAGAAGCTTCACCTGCAGGAAGGAGAAAAAGAAGAAAAACGCCAGAAGAAAAAAAACACCAATATATGCAGGGGGTTTAATTGACAGCTCTCTATGCTGTAGATGCAGGTGGATACCTGTGGCGAAGGACGTCGTCGGCTTGAAGTTGGTGAGCGAAGGGATTGGATGAAGCTTGGACCGAGCTTGACTCTGTGCATAAGCCAGCTCGTACCTGCTTGGCTGCTACGCTACTGTATGTACATATGATGGATGGAAACAGTGAGGCTGCAGCATCGCATCGATGAAATCCAAGCCATTGATAGTACTCGCATGCAGCTGCCGGTATCTATCGTGTACCTCGCGATGCAACCTGGTGGTGGTTACAAAGCAAAGGACATCTGGCATCTTTACCCATGCTGCCGACCATCGGAACGACGCAGCACATCATTCAGCAAACGGCCTACATTCCCGTCTAGGCAAGTTTGAACAGCCGTCGAGGTAATGGCAATACTCTGCGAGTAGGTATTACCAAGCAAGTGGTGAATAAATTACATTCCATCCAATGTTAAGAAGTCGTTACTAGGCACTAGGTAGCAGTAGGCAAGTAGGCAAGGTATAGCAGTGCTTCATGTTGCTCAACCGATTTCAGTGGCATCAAAATGGCTTCGATAGCTCTGGGAACCAAGCTCCAGTGGCTCGGCCTCGGCAGATGTTTGCGCCGCCCGCACCAACCATCAGACGGCCCTGCTTCCCCATACGTCATCTCGCAACGACCCAAATCTCAACCTCAAGCGCATGTTTATCGCCTGCGCTCAATCAATGCCTGTCGAAATCGCCTAATTGAGCCCCCTTGCCAAGTGCAAAGCTCTGTTCAGAGGCGCATGCCACTATGGCGACGCGGGGAATCGGTGCCAGCCGTTTGGTGCATGGTGGAGGTAGTGGGGGAGCAAGTTTCTTCGGCCATCCGTTCTCATCCTCCTTGCGCGCAAGATGTTCCATACGAGCTGCTGCTGGACGTCCGACGGGCCCAATGGCCACTCCTTCAGGGCCTACTCGGCGCATTCCATCCTCACGCCGCAACTTTTCTTCTCAGGACCCTGGCAAGCGACCCAAGTTCTCTCAGAGGCTTGGTGAAGCGCTGCGCAACAGCAAAATCACATGGTATCAGATTCCCGTGGGTCTGGGCATAGGTTTCTTGGGACTGGTTCAATTCTACAAGGTCTCATCGCGAGAAAGGGAAAGGCAGCAAGAGCAAGATGGCGTTAGGTCGCCGAAGCCTCGGCCAAGAGTGCGCCCTGATGGACCATGGTAAATAGCCCATTCATCCAGCTGTTTCTCACTCTTTGCAGGAGCGTAAGATCAATATGCGCGCAGAATGTTAACAGTTTCATCTCAGGCAGGTCCAAGTCATGTCCACTCTCCCGCTCAAAGCCATCTCTCGACTATGGGGAAAATTCAATGAATTGACAATTCCGTACTATCTGCGTGTCCCTGGGTTTAAGCTATATTCGTTCATCTTTGGAGTCAAGTGAGTTGTCCCCAACTGAGATCAACGTGGAAGAAGAATGCAAGGCAAAAAATTTTCACTTGACTAACCCCCTTTTTTCACAATGTAGCCTTGATGAGGTGGCTGAACCCGACCTTCATGTGTATCCCAACCTCGCGGCTTTCTTCTATCGAACTCTTAAACCAGGTGCTCGTCCACTGGATCCAGACCATCATGCTCTTCTCTCTCCGTCCGACGGCAAGGTCCTCCAATTTGGCCAAATTGAAAGCGGTGACATTGAACAGGTTAAGGGTATGACCTACAGCATTGATGCGCTTCTCGGAAAACACAGCCCGACATCCAGTATTTACAGTGGACTATCCAGCCAAGCCCGAGAGCATCCCCAGCGAAGCCACAGCGCACCTGTAGGTGACGAAGAGATTATCAAGCAGGAAGAGGAATTCGCCAAGGTCAACGGCATCTCGTACACCCTACCCGACCTCATGTCTGGATCTAAAGATGCGAAGCCTCCGCACCCCGTAACCGACGAATCGCTTGCAGCTTCATCTCCCCATGCCGTCTCAGAGGTCCGCGCCGAGCTTGCTTTGGGCGAGAAGCCCTGGTACGATCTACTGTCGCCCGATAAGACCACGTCTTTGTACTACGCCGTCATCTACCTTGCTCCCGGAGACTACCACCGCTTCCACTCACCCACGAACTGGGTTGTTGAGAGCAGACGCCACTTTGCAGGCGAGCTCTACAGCGTCTCGCCCTACCTGCAACGTACTCTACCTGGCCTCTTCACTCTTAACGAACGAGTCGTCCTCCTTGGCCGCTGGCGCTGGGGTTTCTTCAGCTACGTCCCCGTCGGCGCCACAAACGTCGGCTCTATCAAAATCAACTTTGACCGCGAGCTTCGCACCAACAGCCTCACAACGGATACGGCCGCCGACCTTGCAGCCGAGGAAGCTGCCAAGCGGGGTGAGCCGTACCTCGGCTTCGCGGAGGCTACGTATGAGAGCGCAAGCCCAGTTCTGCACGGACATGCGTTGAGGCGCGGTGACGAGATGGGTGGATTCCAGCTCGGCAGCACCATTGTGCTGGTGTTTGAAGCACCAGCTACGTTGAAGACAGCGGATGGAGTGGAGAAGAAGGGATGGGAGTGGGCGGTAGAGAAGGGGCAGAAGCTGAAGATGGGACAGGTTCTAGGACGTGTGCTTGAAGACTAAGGGGGAAAGCTTAAATGAGTAAGAAAAATAAAGTAAAAAAGTTACACTACCCACTCAAAGCTGGGGGAAGAGAGAGGAGAGCAGAGAAGGAATTATTGTAAAGAGATGTAGCATGAAATGTTATTCGTCACATAAGATAAGAGTAGGATAGCTCCAACGCTGCTCATCAGAAACCTTTTAGCTTACAAACAAATATTCAAGCAAAAAGAAGAAAACCATTTTATTTACCAAAAAAAAAACTCCCCCGAAAGAAAGAATCAGAGAGTTAAAAAACGGGGGGGGATGGGGAAGAGGATATATCACGCTTCGCTCACTCACTCGCCTCGCCTCGCCTCGCCTCGCCTCCCATCTAACTAACCCTCAATCATCCCCTCACACCTCTTCAACACCGCAACAACAAGCCACCTCTTCCTCACCGTAATGTCATCCTCCCTCTCCACATCCCACGGCCTCTCCACGCCATCGCAATCCCGCTCCCAGATGCGCTCAATCTCCACGCCGCCCTCGTCGCGCAGCGCGTCGGCGTCGTAAAACCCAGCCATCTTGGCCCGGCCCGTGTGAAAGCCCGCCACGACCCAGGCCCGCGCCGAGCCCGTCCTCTTGAGGAAGTGGTTGATTGAGCGGCGCAGGTTGGCGTGCTGCCAGGGCATCCAGAGGCAATCCGCCACGAAGAGGCGGTCGGCGGCGTGGGCGTGGGAGGCCGGGAACGAAGAAGAAGAAGAAGAGCCGCCAAAGACGCCCCATTCGTGGCCCTCGACGGTGATGTCGGTCGTGACGGCGGGGAGGCTGGCGGCGCCTAGGGGTGCGAGGTCGGGCTTGATGTTGCGGGCGACGTTGTCGCGCAGCGTCTTCATGACTGCCGGCGCGGGATAGTCCGTCACGGTGACGCTCTTTGCGCCGAGCAGGCCGGCCATGATGCTCGGCAGGGCCGTTCCGGCGCCCAGTTCCACCGTTGCCAGACCCCTGGTGTCGAAACTCAGTCCCTCGCCCAGTCCAATCATCTCGGCCTCGGCCTCTGATGTTGTTGTCTCGAGGGAATCCCGCTCGATAAACTCGGCCAGCAGGAGCGATGCGTTCCACAGGTAGTGGCTGAACAGGCGGCGGTCCGTCTCGCCCTCGGGCTCGGCGAGCTCAATCATCAAGGGCTTGGGCAGCTTCGGGGAGGCGTAGATGAGGGAGTGCTCTGCGTCGCCGTGCTGGTTGGTGACGTCGTCGGGGAAGATGACGCCGAGGGACGTGGAGAGATAGTCTTCGGGGCCGGCGGGCTCGTCTCCCTTGAGGGTGATTCGGGACGTGAGTGTAGCCATTTTTTTTTCTCTTGTGTGTATATCTCTTCTTATAGAGGATGTTATTCGGCTTGATGTTGGATGAACCGCTTTGGAAAGGTTCCCAGATGAGATCTTATGACCCCGTGTCGTCTTTTCGTCCTGAAATCTCCAATATTCCTCCTCCAGCAGAAGAAATCAAAATCTTCAACTCGAGTTGTTATACTTCTTTAATGTTCAACTCAGAGGGATGAAAGTGTACCATAAGTGTAGAAGAAATCCGTCCTTGTCAAGGGTCAGTCTCACAAAGAATTCTCACGCACGCCGCTGCTCCAGGCTCCCGGAGGATAGAACTTGCAGTTTATGAGAAGAAGAAAAGGAAATCAAAATACCTCTTTCTTTTTATTTTTTCCTCTTCTCAGTCTTGGGATCTAGCCTCGGCAGTCTTCTCAAGTTGATACACTCTCTATGGTGCTGGGCTAGCAAAAAGACGACGAGGTGGGGGTTAGAACCAAACAAAATTTGCCAATCGCCTCCACCCACACAATCACACACGTATTTACTTGCAGCAACTTCACTCACTAATGCGGTTCAAAAGTCTCAGCGCATCATCTTTGAACCTTCAGGAAAGGACATCTTAAAAAAATCGCTTTTGGTAGCCAAGTATTCCATAAATGATTTGATATTCATATTTTTTTGGCAGGATTTCATTAATAGTATTACATAAACAACCAAGCCATAATCCTCATGAGATGCTAGTGCCTCATACAATTCCTTGCTCCCATAACCAGAACAAAAGAAAGAATCCCGTCCCTCCTCCAAGATCGTGCCAGAAACAAATGAAAAGTATTAATACATATGAGACCACATCCAGAGGCGGTAAAAAAAAAATGATTGGAAAAAACAGCAACGTTCATGCTTTAGTGTCCCAGAGGGGTAGGATAGATAGGTATACCCAATGCCCCGTAACATAGTCCTCCTGATAATGCCCATTCAATTCCGTCTGCGCCTTCAATGTCCAACATTTATAGTGGTAGTAGTATATCAAAACAGGGTATCAAATCCAGATTATCCGCTTCTTCCCAGCGTTATAAAAATTTCCCATTCAAGAATAGCCCAATGCCCTGGTCCAGAACGCCGTCTGCCATGCTTTGTTCAAAAGTCATGTTGTTAATTTGTGAAGAGTGTGTATCCCAATATCTTCCGATATTGGGAGGTAGAGACTTTTTTTGTCTTATTTTTCCGACTTTACAAGTCAGAAGCACCGGTGTCCAGCATCCGCTGCGTCTCTTGCATCTCCTTCAACTGCTCCTCAGTGGGGTCATCGGAGATCCAAGGGCCCTTCTCCGCATCAGAGGCATTGTGGAAGCCCTCGGCGCGCTTCAAGGTCTGGACGTCAAGGTCTGTGACATAAGACTTGCCGTCCGAGAGCTTGATGCGGACCTCGTGGTCGGTAGAGAGCATCATATCATCCTTGGCAAGGCGTCGAGGGCCGTCAAAGACAGCCATGACGCGCTTCTTCATCGTCATCTGGCCCTTGTTGAAGCCCCAAGAGGAGGGATAGTCGCGGCGCTTGTTGCGGCTACGCTTGGCAGAAAGGGGAACACCGCCACGGGAGTGAGTAACGCCGCGAGACTTGGAAATGCGGTTGAGAGAAGCATTCTTCTTCGAGGGCGAGTAAGTAGTCATGTTGGCCATGTCATCCTCATCATCATCCATCATCTCATCGTCATCCTCAGATTCTTCGGTCTGAGTGGTCTGGGTGGTAATAGGCAGCTTGTTCTTCTCCAAAGTCTGGTGGACGTTCTTGTCGTCAGCAACCTCAGCCAGGCGCTTAGCGTTGATGGCCTCGGCGGGGTCTTCCTGCTGAACCATGCGCAGCACGCAGTCGTCCAAGTGCTCATAAAAGTCCTGGGCGTTGTTAAAGGTCTGCGAGCAAGTGCTGCACTTGCCAGTGGCATCGGCAGCATAGCCGGCGAGGGTCATTGGCGCACCGCCAGTCCTCTTACGGCTGTTGGGGGGAGTCTGCTCAACATTGTGAACAGAAGTGAGGTGTCGCTTGAAGACGTCGGCGCGGTTAAACGACTTCTCGGAGGCAGAACCAGATCCGGGGCAGAAGCCACAGACCATGTTGCCCTTGTAGTGCGTCAGGGTGTGACGGTTCTTGTCATACTTGCGAGCAAACCCCTTAATGTGGTACTCGCATGTCGTGATGGGGCACTTCTCAGGGCGCTCAGTCTGATGGGTGAGCATGTGGGCCTTGAGATCCTTGAAGGTCTTGCCGCACTCGGGATAGGTGCATCGCTGCTTCTCCTTGGTCTCATCGCCGCTGTGGTAGTCGGCGGAGCCGGCTGAAATGAAGTTGTTGCTGCCGCCAGTCTTGCTCATGCTCAGGCGGCGAGCACCAACACCCGCACCGTTAGACATGGAGTTTGCGGCGGAGGCCGCATACGGGCTAGCAGCAAAGCCGGGCTGGAAGGAACCGCTCTGCAGATATGGCGATGAGCTGCTGGTGCGGATCATATGGGGCTGGGGAGAAGGAGCAGAGATGGCAGAGGGTGAGGAGGGATAATGAACTGCGGGCTGGTAGTGTGTCTCAAACGGAGATATCGCCATTGGCGGTCTGGAGATCTCCGGGTGAATCAAAGAGGGATCTGTAAGCGCAAGCCAATGGTCAGTAAGCATCGTCATAAGCCGGCGCACAAAAAAAAAAAAAAAAAAAAAAAAAAAAAGAGAGAAGATGCATGCAGTCAAAGGGACCCAATGGCGGCCACGCACGGGGGAATTGCGGGTTGATGAATCCAATGGCGAGCCAAGGGAGGGACCGAGCAATGAGGCTTTCTGGCCAAGAGCTGAACTCGTGCTCCAAGCGAGCCAAATCAGCCCAGCTGGGGAGCCAACCAGGTGTCGCAGATGCAACACAGCAATGACGAATGTGCAAAAGCGTGCCAAGGGAGGGCAGTGGTGGGGACGGCGAAGACGCAAGACATAAGCAGAGCCAGAAATGAGGTCGAGGGCTTGGGCGGTGATGCCGAAGCAGGTGGTGGTTACGCTGTTGCTGCCGTCACTGAACAGAGGCCGCCGGCAGTGGTGCAGCTGCAGAGTGGGCTTTGGGCACCGCCTGGCTGGCTATGCAGTGCTTGTGCAGCGCTGAGGCAGGGATGCGGCACCACCGGTCCGGGGCACTTCAGCAGCAGCCACAGAGGGCCGGAGGGGCAATCCAGCGGGGAGGGGGACAGAAAACACCATTGGTCGCCTAAACAGGAAATCTTCCCGCGACAGGCTGCCGCCTCGTGTTTTTTTTTTTTTTTTGGAAGTTTAGAGGGGGGAAACAATGAAAGAGGGGGAGAATGAATGAATGAAGGAATGAATGACAAACAATGGCAAAAGAAAGAAAAAAACAAGAGTGAAAATGGAGAGACTCACCAACATAGGACTTGGCGGATGCCATGGCGTTGAAATCATAGGCAGCCACATCCTCCAATCCATGAAAGGCAGAGTAGTCGAGGTATTCGCCGGCAATGCTAGGCTGGATGTTGAGGCCACCCTGAACGGTCCAATCCATGCCAGTCTGGCCGTGGTTTGACAGAGGAGATCCAACGGCAGATGAAGATGCAGAGCCGGTGGACAGGCTGGAGAGGTAGTCGTCGCCGTACACGCCCGGTGAGGTAGGGCCGTTGCTCATCATGTAGGCAGAGGTGGACGCCGGGTCGGTGGTGTATTCGAAGCTGATGGTGCTGGGGCTGGTGCTGTAGTGCTCCTGGCTGGGCGCGCGCTGCACGTACGAGACAAAGGCATCGGCGGGGATGCCCATGTCCATGGTCGCGGAGGAGAAGACGGGGCCGTGAGTGGCTTCGGTGAAGTGAGAGTATTCCTCCTGCTGCTGCTGGGGGAACATGCTGAAGCTTTGGTCTGCTAGAGACGGCATTGTGTGAGGTTGTGATGAGATTTCGTGGCGAACGCCTGCGCTTGGAGGGAAGCTGTTGCTGTTCCCAGTCGATTTGCTTTCGCGCGCAAGGCCGTCTTCACCTGGATGAAGCGCGCGGCGCAAGATGTTAGGTCTTTTTGCTCTTCTGGCTCCTCGGGCGGGAGATCTATGCTTGCGCGGATCTCGTACCTGGAAACCTCGGCCGTGAGTGGAAGCGCAAAAAGTGCGGCGGTACTGCTGCGATGGGCCAAAGCAGAAGACAAGTGCGCTTGTAGTCCTTTCAACGTTTGGCGCAAAAGGACGGCGTGGCTTTGAGCGCAAGTGAAGATGTGATGCAATGCAATGGCAGATGGTGGCGGCAGCGGTGGTGGTAAACGAGGGTCCGTTGTGCGTTGTTTGCTGTAGATGTAGATGCAGATGCAGATGCAGATGGATGTAGATGGGCTTCGTGGTAGGCAGACAATTGGGTCTTGCGAGGGCAGAGAGGGGATATATAATGATGGAGATCAAGCTCTAATTGTATGCTTGCTTGAGGTGGTCTGGCGGCACCAGAAGCTCGGTTGGAGATGGGGGCTACCGACAAAGATATAGCCACGGCGTATATCGTGGGTTACTGGGATCCAGTTCGGATCGTCCATCAAACCAAGATGCAGTCCGCGGGACCAGGTACGCAGAGGTTCATACTAGTGCTCGTACATCTCAAGGTACCACGCTGCGAGTACATGGCATGGTAGGGCAGAGGCGCCGCCTCGCACCAGGGTGTCTGGGACCACCATCAGGCTTCGATTAACGCAATGGCAAAGCCCCTTCGAGGAGGGCCCCCAGTCGAGCCAACAGCAACAGCCGCCTCTGTCGGGACGGTATTAGTCTTAGTCTTTCATCGAGAGAGGCGTAGGGGGTGTGTGTGGTGGAAAGCCAGACAGAGTTTCTCTGCCAGTGCAAGTAGAGTGGGGTGCAAAGAACGAGGAGCGAAGAAGAAGCAGCACGAAAAGGAGCATGGATCAGACACTGAAAGGGGGTGGTGATGCCTCCCATGCCGGGCCCTGGTGCTGGTGGGAGGCTTGAAAAAAAAAAAAAAGCATGTAAAGTTACGAAGTACGAGTAGCTTTTAGACTGGAGAGCCGTGTCGGTATCACTGCAGAGGGGTGGATGGGCGCCATGGGGGTGGCTGCAGTCAAGGCGTGCTGATATCTCAAAGCCCGATACCCATGCTCATTCCCAGGCAAGTGCGATGGAGCCAGGCTGCCATCCCCATCCGGGCCTGGGCAAGGCACGCCAGTATGTACGTACCGGGCTTGCTGAGATGGGCGCCAAACCAGGCCTGGCCGTCACCAACTGCGCTGTCGGCAGCCACCTGCCAGTGGACAAATCCGGCCACCTCGGCTTCGACTTGGGCCGTTCTCCGGGTGCCAGCCAGCCCGCGACCTGCCAGGCGCTGTCAGAAGCTTGAAGGGAGCGGTTAATGGGGCAGGTAGCGCTACCTGGAGCGCCCCCAAACTTTCGTGGCGCTGCTTGTATCCAGGTACGGGATTGCTGGCCCCCCGGTCCCGGTCCCTACTATCTATTTGGGCCATCATGACACACTCTTCTGCTTGCTTTTTGCTCTGTATATATTGGATTAACGTGCTTATTGCGAGCTGGCACAGGATCTCAGCTTCAGTTCCAAGTACACGGTGCTCGTCCCGGGGGCCAGACCAGGGCTCGGGCAGGGTATCAGCAGCGCTGAGCGCGGGTGAGTTTGATGACTCTATCACCAGTGCTAGGTGCTTTACGGAAGCCCTCTCGTTCCGTGCGAGGCTGAACGAAGTGCCTATCACCATCACGTCTTCCGGGATATGCGTGCAAAGACGTCGACTTCCGGGCTGAACTAAGAAACGGTGCCGCAAGCCTTCAAGGGCGCGTGGGAGTGCCGGCGGCCAGCCAGCAAGGGACCAGGTCGCTAAGCGAAGCCATGAGGTTGTCCAAAACACAGGCGAGAGCAGATAGAGATGGACAAGACGTCTGCTTCGGCCCCCACAGAGCCCTAGAAAGCAAGTTTTAGAAGAAGACCGGACCGTGATTTGATGCTGTGCCTGCCTACGGTGCCTGCAGCGCCTGTCTAAAAACTGCTCTGGCGTGCTCGTCGTTGTGGGCTGAGGCTTTTCGCGGCATGCGCAGAGTCAATCATTGGGTGCATGTGGCTTACAAGCCAACCGTTATGGTCTGGGGATGGGAGGGGGGCAGACCAGCTAGCAACTTGCACGATGCCTACATACAGGGAGGGAGGGATTACAGTAGACTATACGGCAGAAGAGAAGGTGAGAGAGATGGAAAAACTATTACATATCATGTGCCCATGCCAGCCCGTGTCTTTGTTTGATCCTCCCGCGACGCAGAGGAATAAAGGAACAAGAAGAGCACTTTTAAGGATATTATTGCAGCGGTCATTACCGTACCTTGGCGCACATCTTACACCAGATCGAGGGGTTCGCTCAAGAGCACGGAGAATTACAGCGGGCTTCGTAGTCCAGGCCAATCCCGTTGCAACAGATCGATAATGAGGCACGGCACTCTGTACGGAGCCAGAGGATGCGGAAATCTGGTCTGGCCAAGCAGCGGATCGGCTCCGTCCCATCAAGCACCCAATCCAATCCCTGGTGGTATCTAAAGAGATGAGCGGTTCAGTAGGCGCAAGGCAGATGCAGAGCCTACCAGGTGGAGTTTGGTCAGAATCTAACAGCAGTAATGACGGGGCAGCCCCCTAAGCAAGCCTTCTCATCCTCCTCAAAGGCCATGCTGCCTACCTACCTAGTTAGTACCGGTACTAGGCCCTATCCCATTACCTCTCCTGGCTCTGATTTTCTACTGTAATACTACTGGATGCCTGCTCTCAACTGCCGCTACAGCAATTTAGAGCGCTTCTGGTAGGTATGGGGTACCACCGCCACTATGGAGCAATGCTACTATGACGGAGTACGAGTACCTGCTGGGCAATATACACCATACAACAGAGTGGGCTACAGCGCTCCTCCTCCTTCTCCGCTTCATGTTGGTGCCAGGACATGGCCCGCGGGCTCGAAGCTCCCAGATTGCGCGCGCGCGCCCTCTCCAATAAATTGTCTCTAGGCATTGTGCCGGACCGCGGATGGAGCAGACTCGCAACCTGCTCTGGACAATTTGCTGTATACAGCTTCGAGAGTGGATAAATGCTTTACCAGGCCAGGGGTCGCTGGCGGAAAGCAACCAGAAGCAGTATTGAATGTACCCTGTACCATGCAGGCGCTGTCTTGCCCGCCATGCGTTCATTGCATATTTTGTGAAACCTATCCAACCGCGCGTCGGCACAGACGTATTTGCGCGAAGGAGCAGGTACATTACTATGTAGCAGGCACCCCTCGATCATGATCCATTGCTGCTATTTCGGGACATGGGCAACGCAGGAGAGAGATATACGAGCCAGTTGCAAGGACAAGGCAGCAACAGCAAACCCAGGAGCAACAACACGGGAGGGCGCGGAAAGGACGAAAGAAGGGAGACTGAGAATGCAAGTGCTGCAAGTGCACCACTATACCATGCTGCTGTGCTGTTGCTAATAGCGGTGCTTGTGCTACCACCAGACCCGTATGCCAGATTCAATTTCATCTTGCTCACCCCTGCATGCACACGCCCACACACAAAGTCGGCCAATGACAGCTTCGGATCCGGCCTAGAGGTTGAGTTGGTGCGCCGGCTCCGACGGGTGCGCGCACAGCCAGCGATCTGGTCTTTTTCGTCTCACATACGAAGGACGAGCAGTAGTCGGTACAAGCGCCCGTGCAGGTGTCCGCTGGTATAGCTAGGTAACTATACTAAGGCGATAGGTAGAGAACCTCTGTCAGCCGGTGGGTAAGGACGCAACAGGACAAAGGGAAAGGAAGGCAAAAGAAGAGATTTGATGTATCCTTTACATTAATAATGTACCGACATGCAGTATCAGTACCTCTTGTACAGCTACTGCTACAAGCACAACAGCATTCCCAGGCACAGCAGAAGGCCGTTGGCGGTGGTAGCACAATGTATAACGTGGGATACCTATTTGAATGATATTGGGCCAGGGGGAGCGGAGCGGGACCGCGAAGAGGGTCTTCCAAGAGGCCCAGAGGCTGCCAAGCAGAGCTCCAAGCAGGCAATGACGTGCAGGCCCAATCCGGCAATTCGTCTGGGCCCGGCTCAAGAGGACGGAATATTAGACGGAGCACAGCATGAGCCGCGACGGAATGGCAACCGGTGACTCTCTTTGGGATGTGCATCAACTCGGTCAGGTAGGGCTCACAAGGCGTTTGCGAGAGTTGCGAGTGCGCTGTCTTTCGCCTGGACCTGAGCTTGAGCGCCCTCCTTTCCGCGGATACGATGCAGCATGTAAGCAGAAGGATTCACATATCGACTGACTTTAATTGAACCAAGGCAAACTAGCAGCTCGACCCGTGAGACATGCGTCCGAACCTCTTTCTGAGAACCCGTCGATAGGTACATGCAGTTGCCGGCAAGCCCCATTTTCCTAGCAGCAGAGCCCCATTATACGCCTCCCATCTAGCATCGCTCGCTCTCTGCTCGCGCGGGTAAGACCGCGAGACATGAGAAATAAATTCGGAAACAATCCAGGTATTTTTAGCCCCAAGACATCCAACGGCACTTATTCCGCAAAAGACGTTGTATGTATCAGTTTTTTTTGGCTTTGTAAGGTGAGCCCCTCTCTCTCTCTCTGTTCCGGAAAGCAGAAACAGGAAAGCAACCAACGGACCAACAGCACGAATATGAGAAAAAAAAAAAAGTAAAATAAGGAAATACTAATTAAAAAAGTTCGCCGACCTTAAGAGGAGCCCACCAACATGGCCGAAACACCTGCAATACCACTTTGACTCCTCTGCCCATTTCGACAAGGGAGACTTTTGCACGCTGCTGCGCGAACAGATTCATGACTCTTGCAAGCTTCTTGTGTTGGTTCCAAGTGCAGCAGTGCTATGCCCAGACGGTAAGAAGGTACATGAGCGATGTACCTCTCCCCCCCATGGCGAATGATACGACGAGATGCGAGAATGAGCAAAGATCGATTCCGCCCTAGCAATGCAAACTTTCCGCACTAGCATCGACGGTAGATGGGCTTTGGATAAATTAAAGGGACAGGGATATGGGGGCCGGATTGGATTGGATGGGGAACGCTAGAAGGGCGACTGACTAAGACCGTGGCTGGGTACTTGCAGCCTGGCGCCAGTTTGTATGCGCGGCTCTTGTACTATTTACTACAGTCCAGTAAGGTATATGCGTTTTCGCGGACTTACACACGCCTACGAAATAGAGAGAGGTACGAGATATACGAGTAACTCGTGGCATCAGCAACAGGCACTCAATTCCAGCAGTGTGATAGATTCAACTCCTTCACAGTCATCTTTGGCCACCCTGGAAGCTGGGGCATAATCACAGCAGCAGCAGCAGCTTCTCATTGCCACCACCCCTCCCTTTTTTTCGAAGCTATCGAATGGACCTCGAATCCGTTTCTGGTATCTGATAATGCCTCTGGCGCGCCTGCCCGTAGGCAGACAGCCCCCCCAGGCCAGGCATATCTGGAAGAGGAGGGGCAGGCATTGGCAATGAGAATAGGCCAGATCCTTGGCAGAATACTTGGAAGCAGGAACAAACGAGCAAGATAATCAGGCCGAGCTTACATAGGGGTGTACCTATGCGGAGTTTGCGAGTTTGTGTGTGCTCAGTTGTACATGGCAAATGCCTGCTCCGCTGGTCCTCCTGGGATAGGATAGAATGAAAGCAGACAAAGAGAATCAACAGAGGGTAGCACTACGAGTAGGTACCATGATGCTAGTTCTCCTGGGTATAGTAGCAGTAGTAGGTAGTCTCAATAATACCCACAGGCAGAAACAGGAAGCAATCGAGCGAGCGAGGCTCTGCGACCCATAAAATATGCACCACGCTGGCTGTCAACCCCCGGCTGTTCCTCCTCCTTCCAAACACCCCCCGATTTTCCCAGGGGTCCTGTCTTATTGGAAATCTGATTTTTCTTTTCTTTTTTTCCTGGTTTCGCATTTCCTGGCTTTTTTACGACCTTGTTGCTGATTCCCATCCCTGGTGCGCGCGGTGCGATGCGGTAGGATGAGATGGTGAGCGAGGTCCCGCCTTTTTTCCAAGATTAGCGCGCTGTCTAGGATGCGGCGCGAATTCGAGCCCGTTTAGGAAAGGCGCAAATCGACCAGATAGTGTCATCCATCCCCAAACTTTTTTTTTTTTTCCCGCGCGGGGGGGGCGGGGGTTTTTAAAGCGGCATAGCCGGGTTTTCTGCTTTTTTGGAAAAGCTTGGCCATTTTCGTGCTGGGGGGGCCCCCTTTTTTTTTTTTTTTTTTTTTTTTTTTTCTGCCCTTACCTACTAGGCTATATTGCATACAATCAATTGCCTCCGCTACGCTACATGACGACAACAGCCTGGACGTTGAGCTAAAACAGCTATATTTTGCTGTGTTTGGCGCTGTAATGTCTCGGAGCGCGCTCCCCTCGTGTAAGAGACAAAGACATGCCATGCCATGCCATGCCGTACTACAACTCTGTAATAAACGGCCCATGCTCTTCTCTTCTTTAACCCCCCTCTCTCTTACCCATGCTTTGCTTGCCACAGCTTGCGAACCCCCATGGCAGATGATGCTCCCAACTATTCCCAAACAGTCCAATGCCCTTGTATGCCGGACCGCGCAAGAATGACATGGGCGTGCCATACGGTAGCATTTTTGGATTTCATTTATTTTATTTTTCTCTACCCTAAGCGTTATAGGAATCAGCCTCGTGCCTTTTGCCATGTCTCGCTCAGACCTCCAGCTGAGCGTTTTGCGTAGTTTCATGCCAATATATTGGGGTTACGCGCGCGAAATGACGAAGAAAGCAGCATGGTGCCCGAAGCCCTGGAAGAGTTCTAGATCTTGTGCGTTTTTTTTTTCTTAACCCTTCTTGTTGTCGTTGTCTTTTTTTGGCCCCCAGCTGGCTTGAAGAAGACAGGAGTATAGATAGTCGATATGTTGTCATCATGGTGATACGTACTAAGCAATACCTGCTGGCAGAATATGGTGGTCGATGCTACCCTGTGGCTTTCGTTTTTCTCCCTTCCCCCCTCTTGCTCTCGCTCTCCTCCTGCACTAATCATCTCCCCTCATTTTTCTACGAGTTTATCATTTCGTCAAAGCATGTATAATGTCATTGACTTCTGCTTTTGGCCAGATGACAACTTTGATGGCTCTTTACAGGTTCTCATTATGAAGTCCAGACCGGGGGGGTGGTCCCTAACGAAATCCTATCCTGGGCTGCCCCTCCATCTCCAACGTGTCTCAAAGCCACCGCCTTTCATGGCCACGCACGAACCCCCCTCCTTCATCCTTTTCCCAGGCTAAGTACTCTAGATCCCATGTGGCGTAAACCGTCTTATAGTTTCTCTTCCCTTTCATCTCCTTTTAACATACATGCAATTTTTGTTTTTGGCGTTTGGCGTTTGGCTTTACCACGCGGGGAATGGGGGCTTTGCCAGCGACAGCCGGGCAGCCCGAGACAGCGGGTGGAGGCGCAGCGCCAAAATATAGTAAGAGAGATTGGTAGCGAAGAATGCCATGTCCATTTTTTTTTTTTGGAACGAAAATCTCATCACTTTAGCTTTAGCTTTTAAAAAATACTCCTTACGTGGAAATTGGATGACAATGAAGGGTAAGGATCGCAAGAAGATGGGTTTGCATGCCAAGCCTTTGAGCTTCTTTTTTTATTTCCCCGTGATCTTTGTGTTGGGTGGTCTATCAGTGTGCACAAAGCCACCCCCCCAAAAACGCAGGAGAGCTGCTGACGTGCATGCCGCGCACTCACGCTCACGTAGTTTGCGTGTTGCCTCATGTATGTGCCCTGTATTAGGAGCATGTGAAAGATGCGATGCGTTGGCGTACGTGAACTATTATCTTAATACTTCTCTTAGCTTGTCTCTCGGCGCAATGGCTATTTGCAATGTGGGCAAAGGAGAAAGATACCGCAGCTTCGTTCTTTCGTTATGCACATCGACGACTCTTATGAACAAGCATAAAGAGGCAGCACAACTATTTGTCCCTAAGCCCCACTCCGGCAGCTCATGTTTCTCCTTGGAAATGCCTGTTTGGGACGAAAACGGTATATACCCCTCGCTGATTGGCCAGAAACATCCACCGGGGCCTCTGATGGCGGTGCATAGCACACATGATGCATCGCATCAAAGCCATCAGACGAAGCTACCTCGTTAGTGAACAAGAAGCTTGGGCACAGCAAAAGTGGTGCCACGTCTCTCTTCATGCTAGCTGCATCTTTTGCCCTTTGCCTCTTCTGCCTTCACACCCATTGCCTTTCCCATCCACCTTGGCGACACATGGCTTCAGGTGGATCGCGCCCTAAAGCCAACGCGCTGCTGCTACTGGGCAGCTCCCTTTGGGTCGTCAGAAGCGCCGCCATGCGCCATAGCCCAAAGACCAGATTTCAAAGAGGCAGAATTGGCCCCCAAACCGTCCGTGCAACACCGGATTGCTGGGTAAATCATCCGCGCCCCGGCTGGCAGCCACGGCGCATTTCATGCACTCAGAAAGAAGCACGCGCCAGGTCAGGTCAGGTCAGGATGGCGAATGGCTTGGGAAAAGCAAAAAGCAAAATCACCCCCAAACAGCGACAGCCGAGACGATGGGACGTGATGCTGCAGCCTCCAGACGCCACCAGGAGCTTGTATTGTCGCATCCCGCATCCTTGCCCCCGGACCCCCTGCAGGCCGCGAGGCCAAAAAAAGTATTTGCAAGCGCAGAAGAATTGGGAGGACAGAAACGGGCGTTGACTCGCACTGCCGTTGAAGGATAATGTTGAATGAGATTCTTACTCTCACACACACGGCCTGTCGCTGGAGCCAAAAGCCCTACTAACCTATGCTGTACGAGGTACGTACCGCGTGGTTCCTCGGAGATCAAACCAGCTGGTCGGGACCGAGAGGGCCGTCGCATCTGCTCTGCCAGAGTTTACCCGGCGGTGCGTGTGGAGCGCAGTGGGTTGCGATCCTTCAAGCTGTGGATGCTGCTCGTAGTGCTCGTACTGGAAAGTATTGGCGGGTCAGGACTGCCGTCAGGGATCTAGGGTGCGTGCCGAATAAGGAGCACAGATTAGCTACATGCTCCGGCCCTCCGTATCTGCGCGGTGGGAGCGCATCTCATCAGCCCCGGGCGCTGGAATGGCATTGGCAGTTGGGCCAAGACAAGATTGCGCATGCTGGCCTCTGGAGAGGATTCCCGGTGCTCTTGGCTGTACTCGTGAATACTTTGCAGTATCGCTTCTACATGCTCTCCAGAGACTTCGCATGATCAAGCCACCCACCCATCCACAAACCCACCCACCTTTACAGAGAGCTCGACACTGCGCCCGAGTTAGCCATCGGGGTCGTGGTCCGATCAAGCGCCACTGGCGCTGCCGTTTTTGAGAGCTCGTAGCCGCCCCTTTGGCTCCCTTTTATTAGCGGCGTGTGTGTACCTAGTAGGACGGGCTGGCAGTGAGGAATGCAATTCATTGGCAAGCTCAGCCCTACGAACCTGCGCAAGCCCAGTTCCAGGCAGCACATGGCAGTCCCAGCAAGATGGGACCTAAAGACTGGAATGAATTCGTCTTTTTTTCCCGCTCGGTACTGACTGGTATGCGGTGAAACATTGGAAACATTTGGAAATAGAAACAAAGTCATCGATTATACTCTCGTAGTCTCCAGACCCTAAACTCCATGCCCCATACCGGCCGGGACCGCCAAAAAAGACAAAAAGTCTATCAATCATGGTTATTCGCAAGAATGATCACTCATCACCCGGTGCTGCATGGCCTGAGTGCCCGTCTCGTTTGTGCCGTCTGAAAATGACTTTTGCGAAGTGGCCCGTCGCATCAAACCCCCTCCCCCCCTCTCCGGTTTTGGGCTTTCGCTACTGGCGGCAGGTGTTTTTGACCCGTCGATTTGGTACTTAGCGCGCTCTGCTAAATGGATCTTGGCGTGCAGCTCGAGGCACACTCGACAGAGCTAGTAGCACTAATAAATAGCATAAGTACTTGTAGTGCTGTAGCAGCAGCAGTATACATGTAGTTAGACTAGTAGTAGTACAGAAGTAGCTCAATCTTGTTACTGTGCTAAAGCACTCGTATATAAATTGCCAAAAGTAGACAGTGGTTGGCTGCCTCTTTTTTCCTTATATATATAATAGAAATGAAATGAGAGAAAGAACAAGGAGAGAAAGAGAAAATAGGGACCTTGCTCCAACTGACAGTCGAGTAAGCACCATCTGCCCATCCAAAGTATCATAGATCTGTTCTGTCATGCACCCGTCCTGATGGTTTGAGGACTGAGTCAACCCCGGGTTATGTAATCAAGGCGCCAACGCTGTGACGTGATGTTCATCCGAGCACCGGCTGGCAAAAGCTTTAGGTTGGAGATAGTAGTCTCTTGTCCTTCAAATGCCCCATGCCTGTAAGCACGGGAGCGCAAACCAAAAACCTTGTCATCCGTGCTACCTCAGACTCGGCAGACATACGACACAGCCAATCGAGGAGCGCCGTTGGCTCGAAGGAAAGGAATAAGCGCACATCATGTTCGACCAGGGTGCCACGCCCGTTGATTGACCTGACCCGGGATCATGGACTCAAGTTGTCGCCCTCTGACCCATCCTGTTGGATTTGTCTTCGTTTTTCTTCTTGCTCTCCTCTCGCTCTCCCTCCAGGGGGCACATCACAGCTGCCATTCTTTGCTGTTGTCCCGCTTGTCCTTGTAGGGTCGTTCAGGGGCGCAGGGTCGTGGCCTTTGTCTTGCACACGTTTCGGGACCCCGCCCGTCAAGATCGTTCAAACATCTCACACATCGGGGGGACTGGAGACGCATGGCGAACTGGATTTAGATTAGAGCGGCTTCGGCCTGCGTCGCTTCGCTCTCAATCGGTATTGTGGCTGCGTCTAATACGGCACTTGGAACCTGAAGCCCCTTCGCCGGCGATGCCACCAGAAAACCCTATTCGGAAAGTGGCTTTGATGGGCTTTGGCTGGCTGCACCAAGCGCTGCGCTGCGCTGTAGGGCTGAGCAAAAAGCTAGCCTATACTCGGCTTTGTTCTTGTGCCGTCACGCTGCCTGCTCACCGCGGCCAAGCACGCATCGTCCAGTACGGTAGTGGCTAGCCGTTCCCAAGAGGGAGTCGGGCTAGATGGCCGCCGGGGTGCGCCTATCGGCACCAACGACGTGGCCGCGATACTCGCACCCCATCACCACCCTGTCCCTACTTTGGCCGAATCCCTGACGTTCATCCTCAGTCCCGTCCATGGACCATCTTGCCGGCACGCAATCTCGTCAGGGTCCCGGCCACACAGCGTGCCATCCGCAATCTCTGTCCACGAGGTCACGCCCTGGGCTGTCATCTCTATCTCACCCTGGCATCTGGTCGTGGGTGGGTGTTGAGTCCCCTACCTGCGAGCCCTTATTGGAGCTTCATGTCCCGTCCTCTACATTCTTCGCGGCTCAAGGATACGTATCGCCTTCTAATCGAATGCGGTAATCAGTGCGATCGCATCCTCCCGAATTCTTTCGTTTCTGCGGAGCCCCACCAATGTCGACCCTGCGCAGAGTGCAGTACAGTACAGTGCAGTACAGTGCAGAGTCCGCTCTTCTTGCTTCGTTGCCCTACAAAGAAAGTATGCTGCTCCGTACAAGCTTGCGGGGTCTCGCACTGTATTGGTATGCACTGCTAAATTGCCAACCGCCATGGATGTATTTCTATCCCATGCCTGGTTGAGGCTGAAAAGGGAAGGGAGGAAGAAAGCATTGCATACACATGCTCAGCATAAGCTTCTCCTCCTGAACAATATGTGCATCAATTTTGCAAAGCTCGGCCACGACGCCCTACTACTACACGCACACAAGGTTGACTCCCGTACGGAGTATATTGGGTAGCATGTCACCCTACTAGGTACTCTGTCATCTCATGCCCGCCTCCGAAGCCCTCGCTCAACTATACTGTACGCATGTACGAGCGGACGGTGTTATAATAACTGCTACCGACATGGGTGACCCCTCGGCGCATCGGGCTCAACCGTCAGTGCTTCTGCAGTTGCGGCTTGTGTGAGGCTGCCATATATATATATACATATACGTCAGAGTCGCATTCGCCGTTCAGCTAGTTTCACAACATGTCAGCCACACCGCAAACAGATTCAAGGAGAAACAGGAATAATCTAACATGACTGCACGGCTCGGGTGTTTCTCGCGTTGTGTCACTGCATCTTCGTACGAATTGATGAGATGTGCGATTTGCGTTGCAGTGATAGGCGCTCATTTCCCGAGACTGTCTAAGAAGCCAACATACACTATCAGGACCGTCCCAATAGGGTAACGACAGTTTGCAGTGTAAAAGAAAGCCCCTCAATTAAATTTACGGAGCCGGAATGGCCGACAAGCAACATTTGAGCGCCCACTTCCCGAGTTGGCCGGCCTATCCCGCTTCGTCTTTTGGTAGCAGTGCTACTGCATGTCCTCCACTGCATCATTGCAATGAGTAGTATCTGGAATCAAAACCAAAATCTAGGATATTACTTTTATCTCCGAGTAAAAGCAATGTTTAGCATAGTCTTGTGTTTTACACGCCTGTCGGCCACTGCTCGTATATCGTATATACGATCCTTACACCAGCAGTTCTGCTGCCTGCGGAAGGCCAAGGACGTTGTTAATTAATTCCATAGGACATGTGGGGCCGGCTATTGAGAGCAATACCCATATCCATATGTACACAACCAATGCGGAAGGCTCCGTAATATGCCACTGTAGCATGTTCTACCATATTGTATCCTGGCCTGGCCTGGCGACTGGCATGCTCCGTATTTGTCCATCACATCACGGCGTCTCCACCCTTGCCTAGGAGACTGCTGATGACAACAACGCTGCAGCAGGCACTTCCATAATAGGAACCGGCAACGCCCATCATTACCACATCGATGGCAGTGATTTCAAGGTTCTTAACGGGCGCCCCCTTTTGTTTAAAAAAAAAAAAAAAAAAAAAAAAAAAAACCTCCGCCAATTACGAAATATACTATACGGCTAAATACGGAATGCCTCTTCATGTCTTCATGAGGTCACCGTCTATCCCACGCACATGCTATGTTGAGGTCATATACTACATAGTACATATGTAAGCCGAACGTTTTGTTTCAGGGGCAGCCTCGAAAGAAACGGCTACGGAACACGGGCCCTTTCTGCTAAGCTCATCAGAGACAGAACATTCAAATGTCGTTTCACTACCGCGCCCACTTCGGGTAATAATTCCATAGCCATCACATCACTGTGCTCCGAAATGAGTTGTAGGTATTCTAGCGACCTTCGTCAGACGCGACAGCCCTGCACCTCGTACACTAGTCCCTCTTTGGTAAGGGCCGAGAGCCTTTCTGATTTTGCATTCTGAGACACTCTCCCTAGCAGGAAACCGGAGCCGTCGGCCCTGCCGTATGATTGGCCGAGTCTGGCTACACCAAACGGTACGAGCAGGGCATGGCAAGACAGGTACGTACCAAGCAACGGTCGGATTGGCTCGTGCTTCGATTCTCGTAGTTGGGCCAATGAGAGCTCGCCGTTAAAGCCTCGTCACATGCTTATTCGCTAAGCTTTGCCATTCAAGGTTAGCCGAATGGGCTTCTGCTTTGGGCCTCTCTCTTTTGCCAGCCAAAGCGAGAAAAGAAACCTAGCCGCCTTGACAAGTCCTCGGAGCGTCATACTGCCATCCCGTCTTCGATCTCGGTTCTCCACGCGGATGAAGACCTTCCTTCACTAGGCCTTGTTCGCAGAGCCTTGTCGGGAGGAAGCCCTTGGCCGTGTTAGTCACCCGTTATTCTGTGCAATGCCTGTAGCACTTCGGCAGCGCTAGCAGCCAAGGGGAAGATGCATGCATCGCTGCCTTCTGGAGATCTTGGGGTATGACGGCAGTGTAGGCGACCGTCGCCTGCGTCACCTCATCAGTCTCGTCGGTCTCCAATTGGAGCATACCGCTAACCAAAGTCTTCTACCGACACGAGACGCGCGAGCGTCACTGGGTGAGCAGGACTCGCTTGCTCTGAGATGGCGCGAGGCGTCTTTGCCTCTCCTATGGAGTACAGGCCGTAAAAATAGATTTTCACGCTTGGAACGAATAGTCGCGACATGCAGCGTTCTGGCCCTCTTCCCCATTGAGAACCGACGCTGCTGCGCAGAGCACCCTCCGATGGCTCGCAGACAAGACCACAGCGCAGCGCCACACCCATTCGTCGGGCCTCTCCTTACAATACTTGTACAATAGCGGCACCTGCTACTGCACCTGCAAGTACACGTCCGGCGCACATGGGAAAATCCTACTGCAGCTTCTTTCCCCCATCTTGTTGGCCAGCCGTCGTCCTTCTGCACCCTTCCGCGCTTCTTGTTGATCCTACATAGCGTGCCCGTCGGATCCCGAGTTAAAGCTGGCGTCCTGTCTCAGTCCAAAGAGGTGGGAAACGTGGCAGGCTTGAGCGGCATCTTGTCCAAATCGAGGCCGTTGAAAAAAACAGTATTGATGTCCATGGCAATGCCACTAGTCACTCACATGTCTCACAAGCTGTGTGGGTCAATATGTCGTTTACTCTGTGCTCCGTACGAGGGACCTACCTATTCTCTCCAAAGCTTGCAGAAGCTCGACTTAATAGACGTGATACATGGTTCGAGAACTGCGCAAGTGCTGCTGCAAGATCTCAGCGCTAGCATTGGTATTGTTTTGACAACCATTTCACGATGCCGTCCATCAGCCATGCAGTAGCTAGGCTGGCAAATAGGTCACAGTCTTATCCCAGACCCCGTTCTGAGGCAGACACGGGTCTTAGCAGGGCTGCTTTCAAGCTAGCTAGCTACCCTGAAGCTGAGGCGTCGAGGTGATTCTCTCTTTTCATTCTATCCAGTGGGCTTTTTTGGCCCCCAACACACGATTGCAGGACTATTCGCTACCGGCGTCTTGTCCTCGGCTTCTTCCCCTCATCTCTCCTGGCTGGAGGCGAACACCCCGGAGTGCCTGAGCTGTTATGAAGAGGCATGGCTATTTGCCGCTAGCCCCCATCATGCATGATACAAGGCTCATCACATCGATAAGCTATGGAGATGATAGAACTCGTCCCGACTACGAAGCACAAAACCAATAGCGCGATTAGAAAGATACTCGAGAATATCAATAGCTCGACGTTGCGACAGAAGCTATCGTGGCTCGCCGAATGCGGTATTATGGCGCGATATATGGACTATCACTGGCAATGCTGTCACGACTATGCTACAGATAGGCGCCGTCAGGGATCTCTCCCGTTTATACATAGTAGCATGTCGCGCAGGGGTGCAAGGGAAGTGGGAGGCGGCCGGGACGCTACCAGTGCGAGGGACGAGAAAAGGGGGGCGTGTGGACGTTCTGCAGCGCTGGGACGAGGGAGGCAGCAAGAGGTGTACAAGTATGTATGCTTGTATGGATGGCGTTTCGAAGCTCCCTTTGCCGAAGCCCACAATTCTCTGTTCCCACACCCTGGCAGCCCCGGCAATCCGGTAGCCCAAGCACTCGGTTCGCCGAGCGCTGACTAACCTCCAGGATCCAGGACCATGATGCGATCGACAGCAGGTCATCAGTGATTCCAGCGCCAGAAGAAGAAGGACAGAAGGAAAGCCTGCGTCAGCCCTTTCGGTGGTCGGATTGCTGCCCGTATGAACACACAGCCACGGCAACGATTCTCGCGCTGTGAATGAAAAGATGCTGATGCAGTCAGTCAGCCACACCGCCACTACCGTTGTATGCAGAATGTACAGCTTGCAAAGTTTGCGATAGATTGCATGCCCACGTTGGGATCGTGATCCTGATCGTCGACTAGTAGTGCATACGAGTACACCGGTTCATGCGCTTCACTAAACTAGCACCAGTCACCGATCGACTCTGCACCGCTTTTCTGCGCCCCCTTGGCCCTCCGGCCCATGACAACTAAAAAAACACATCAGGAGAGCGAAATTAGTGTTTCTCGTGCTCAGATATGCCAAATGTTGGGCTGAAGTGCGGCGGCAAGCGGCTGCATCGCATGAATAAGATGAGATTTGATTTGATTCGTTTTGGGTTGTCTGGAGGGCTCAATATGCCATGACCCCAACCTTGGCCTCTGATTGGCCAGCCCGTATTTTCGCTCCCAACCCCACGATGTTTTCGCAGGGTTGCTTGTCGCAGGCATGTGAATAGTGGAGATTCCCGGCACTGGGCTTGTGTGCTCAGAGTATGTAGGACGCGTTACCCAGTAGGTGCTCTGCACATGATACACTACGGAGACGCAGGGCAGTGACCATTTCATTTGCTCTACCATGGCGGCGGAACCCCTCAATGGCGGTGCGCCATACGTTCCTCCACGGCCACCAGCGGCTCTCCATTGACCAGCCATTGGCCATCTGTTGGAAATTGCTCTTTCAGGATGCTTTCAAGCCACTGGTGGTGGCCAAGTCCAGAGCCACGGGAGAGCTCCCACAGCTAATCCATATGCATCCTAGGTTTCAAGCCTGACGTTGAAAGCCACCGGCAGACCGCCACGCCACGCAAACCCGGTAATCTGGAGGGGGGTCCTACTAGCATCCCTGCTCCATTCCAGATAACCACAAGAAGCTGAAAAAAAGGAAGGGAAAGGACGGATTATGGCGAACCAAAAATGGCAACAGAGCAATGGCAGACACCGACGGGCTGGGAATGACGCTGGCGTCGATATAGCTCACGAAAAAGGAATGCTTGGCGTCGACTCTGCGAGCACAACTTTAAGTTTACGAGACGGCCTCCAGAAAAGGGCCAAGACGATACAAACCACTAGCTGTATCAATAACATGGGTAAGTTATAGGGATTGCAAGACAACTTGCAGCATCATCACGACTAGTGAGGCCCGCTAACACAGGAGTGCATATTTCCCTTGCAGCGGCAGATATAACAGTGACCGCTCGAGGCAGATCTTGTAGCCGAAGTGCTGCGCCAAATGTGCAGTTTAGCTTGCGCAATTAAGTGCTCACTGCAGTCGAACTCAGGAGGCGGCATGGGATGTACAGCACATTGTGCAGGAACGGCTGGTGCCGTCTTTTGTTCCAACGCCCTTTGCTTCTCGTTCTCAAGGTTGAGCCCTGGCAAGGCTGGAGCTAACAATGCTGCGCCTACACCCATCCTTTACATGTAAAACCGTGGCACGGCAAGACGTGTCTATGGCCCGGGGCGGCATGTGTGGACAACGCAGCGAGCAGCCAAAGACGACAAGGGAAAAGAGGCTTGGGCTATGCATGCATTCACAATCTCGCCTTGATGAGCTAAAAAGCACCTCTAGGCGCCGTTGGCTGTCGTTCGAGACTGGTCCACGCAAAGTGAGGCGTCCCATCTGCCGGTAGGCTGTGATCAGAGAAAGCAATGTCTCTCCAGGCGGCGTCTATCCGTCCCAGCCGGCTGGAAACGCTTAGCTTCGTAGGGCTTGTGGCGGAGAACCGAAATCTAGGGCTCCCACCTGACTCCTGGGAAACCTTTTTTGGTATGCATTAGGCTTGAGGGGGTTTGCCCAAGGCTAATGCTAGCAAAGGGATTCGATTCGAGGCCTTTATTGGCTTGGGACGAGTGCGAATCGAGATACATGGATATGCAGCAATGCTTACTGTTCCTCTTCGCAGCCTTCACTTGGACGCTCACGCAGCACAGAAACGTGCTCGACTCCGTACGGAGGCACGGAACATATCTCAAGCACGGTACAAGTATGTATTGGCCATCACGGTAAATTGACGTTGCGTTCGCAGTGCCAACCTCTTTGAGATTGCCCCCTGGCACTCCGATACCCTTGACACTCGACTTCTGCTTGTGTGTGTTTGTGTGTGGGAACAATTGTGCTTGTTAGGAGGGGCCCAATGCAACCCAACATCTTTGTTGGAATACCTAGTTGGCCTCTGAAGTTATTGTATTGTTGCGAGTGTATTAGCGTTCTTCATGCAATGCATGCTGTCCAAAGAGGAAAACGAAGGGAGATGGGCTCTTGGAAATGTGATGTAAGTGGTTTCCTCGAGCACAGGGAAGGGTTATCTGACGTACGGATGACAGCTGCTGCTGCGGAGAAAGTAGCATCGCTAAGCAGCTTTTTGGCGAACTCGTACTTGCTAGGCGGGACGGGATGATCACTGTCTATTCTTTCAGATGCGTGTGTTGGACGTATGGCACTCGCCCCCTCCTTTTGGACGGGAAGCTTCATGAATCTTGAGCGGGGGTGTTTCAGCGCAAAACATTGCAAATTCATGCGCCGCTCACCAACAGAAGCTTTGAGCACGTCTATTTTTGCAGCTTTTAGTTTTTGGGGGCCATCTTGTCTAGCGCGGCTTGCGGGACATGCTCAGACGGCAATCGGCGTGAATCCAGCCAGGGATGTGCTCTGACATCCGCTAGGCCCTCTGCGTTCGGGTCCGTCTCCCGACTAGCACCAAACGCTTAACTACGGGGAATTGTGGCGCTCGCTTAATATAGTGGTCGGCGACCACTCTTATTAGCGTGGAGATGTTGCCGGGGGATCGTGGCCAGGGGGGGTGAAGGGTGACGGGGGGGGGAGAGAGAGAGGGGACCCCTCATAGGGCAGGCGAATTGCCAGTGAGGACAGTCCCCAGCTACAGAGAGATTCGTGGTCAGAAAGGCGGCTTCAGCACCAGCATTCCGGAGAAGGACGAATCACCTCCAGACGCCAGAAAAAGGGGCTGATTAGAGGGCGCGTGCTGAGGCAGACGGTGCAGCTGTTTGATGGCGAGGAGGGGGAGCTATCCAGGCATGTTGCTTGTCCCGACTCTTTGGATGCTTGGAGCCTCATGGTTTGCTTGGCGTGGACGCCTCCCCGAAGTCTTACCCTCGGCGCAAAGCGAAGCTCTTGCGAAGCACCAAATCGGCTACTGTCTGTTATTAACTTTGACACTACCGGTTAGATGGTGTTCGTCATTGCTGGTGGATAACGATTGCTCTACGGGCGTGCCGCTGTCATTCATGACGGGTTGACCATGGCCATGGGGTTGCTGTCTCCGTCTCTGGTGGATATCGTTTCTTTGGCTCAAGATAACGGACAGACAGCAAGAAAAGGCAGAGTGGGGATGACGGGCGTGGCGTGGCGCTCTCATGGCGACGAGGCCAAGCATCTTGGAATAAGCTCGGCCACGTGTGGTTGTCGAGCCGGTCAGCGAGGTGAACCTAGGCCTTGCTGAGATTCGCCCCAATCTGCAGAGCTCTTGCTGGCATCTGCTTTAAGTCATGGCTAGGCGCTCGCTTCCGCCCGCGATTTCCCAGAGAGCGATGGCCTGAGGCGCGAGTGAGGGCGCTTGACCGCAATGGGCTTGAATTCGCGATATGACTCGGGAGGCAACAATCCGAATCGAGAGTAGGCGATCTGGATGGGGAGGGGCAAGCAGAATTCGGTTCATGTTGGCTTCTTTTGCCAATGGTCTGATGCGTTACAGCACTGTATGCATTGCCTATCTTACCGAAACATGTTGATAGACAGGACCGATCGGAGAGCGCGAGAGGGACCAAACGAATGCGACGGCACGTTGGGGGGGAAGATGCACGCACGCACGCAAAGGCGCAGGGTTTGCATGTATGTTCTATGTACAGTACAGGACGTGCCTACTGCCGTACCGCCACCAGGCCTACAGTATGCAATATGTCTACCACATGCTGCCCATTTGGAGTCGTCGCAACAACCGTTTGGTCAGGCCGAACTTTAGAGGGGCGAGAAGCTTGGCCTGGACCTGTCTGGGCCTTCTTGTTGGAATACACCGTCGCACTCGTACGACGATTTGTTGACGGTCTGGTCTTTCAGGTATGATGATATGGTGGGTGCCGTCATGCTGGATTTCCTATTTGGATCGAATATGCACCTTGTGCAGCTCATCGCCATCCAATACAACGGTGAAAACGCCCGATTGAGGATCACACTGCCTCTCACCACCCACCACTCACCAATAGCACATTAAACTATTTGTTCCGGAGGTACAAAGTGCGTTGGCATGCATGTCGAGGTACATACGGCATGCCTCTAAATCAACCTACATTGGCCGCCCGACAAGCAGCATGTACGGAACATGTCTGGAGTCCGGAGCGCAGACGGTAGCAGCTCGGTCATACAGGCCGAGTAATACTACTCCATCTTCCTGCCGTTGTTACACAGACACAACAAATGACACAAATCAGTGACCATGCCGCGGCACCCAATCGCCGGTCCATCTGGCGTGTTTATTTCAATGGCTGCTCCGTCTCATCCTTCAGCAGGTCAAGGGTCAGTGTGGTTTGTATCTGACCAATGGCACGGCCCGATGGACTTGTCTCTGCCCATCCCTTTCCTCGTTTAGACGTGTCCACCAAGATGAATGATGATCGGGCTTTGTTTTTTATGGTGCCTGTCGTCAATGTCGTACCGTATCCTTGGATGGAAGGAAAAAGCGACCGATTTGCTGCCGTCGCAATCCCTAGCCGGCATCTGCTCTATCCGAATAAGGGTGCTCTCGATTTTCTCTCTCTTTCAGGGAATTGAGCGACACGCCCCTTTGTGACTTATATAAGCTTGCATTCGGCCAATGACTAGTGGTTGTCAAAGGCATTTCTTGACTCAATAACCCCTCCATTCTTGCATATCGCCAAACTTCTTTCACCGTAAGGCGCTTGTACATACGGAGTCCGCAGGTACGAGCTCCACATCTAGGCGTTTTTTCCTCCTTCTGGGCACTAATATAGCCTTACAAACTTTTTTTTGTGCATAATTGTACATACATGACAACTATCTCTTCTCCCGAGCTTCATATTCATAACTCTCTCTCTGTTTTTGGTGGAGTAGGTGGTCTTTTCTTTGTAAAACCTGGTTGACAAGGAGGGGCAGAGTTCCCGTGGATTCCTTAATCTTCGGCCACTACGGTGGTCTCTTTCTCCTATCTCGGAGCTAAAACACTGTTTTGTCTACGTTATTGGTTTCTAAAGAAATTTCCTTTCGGAGATACTCTTAGAACCATCAGAAACTAGCACCAACATCCCTGTGTTTGTTTGGTCAACCCCCCTTGCCCATGCCTTATTCGGTGGATAATATCGGAGTAAGGGAAGTCTGGAGAAAAGATTCAAGGCGATAGTGGTAGCTTCTCCAGTTTATCCAGACCAGCGACTGTCCATCCATCGTCTTACCAACCACGCAACGGCGGATGTAGGAATCTCTTACAGAAACAATAGGCCGCGGAAAGGCCCCTCCCCCCTTTCGTGCCAACGGATGATCCGTGCCATCACGTATGGAGTCCTTGTAGTATGATTGTATGATGTGGTGCGATGGCGGAACCCCTTCCGCGTCCATAGACGACATACGAATGTGCACATCGAGGCACCGTTATCCACGCTTTGCATGCAACGCGGATCTCACTTGTAGAGACGACAAGGCGCACTTTGCATCGCATCGCATCACGCTGAGCGAGGGCCCACTATGTCGCCTCGGCTTAAAGTTGTTATGCAGTACTTAGTTTGGGGGGGCCAAGATATAGGCTGTATGTCTCAGTTGAGACGTCAAACTTGTGACGCAGCCTGTCCCTGCCTGCATAGCGAGCGATAGGCTAATCTCTCGTGTACGGAGTATACATCGTTATTTCTGCATGTCTATCGGGTTTCCTCTATCTTTGAGTCTGGCCCCCTCCCGCTCTGCTCTCCTCCACAGTTCGGTCGAGGAAACCGGGGTGCAAGCCAAAGGTTGGTTTTTTCGAGTTAAGAGTGTCTTTTGAATATCCGTGTCATAGATTTACTCATTTTGAGATTTGATTTCGTCATACTTTTTTGTTTTGTTTTTGCCTTGTGTGAGTGAGTGAGTGTCGATCGCTGGCTGTAGTTGAATAAGTGGATAGTATTGGATATTTTTATGCTTGTGTGAAGACACTACTACCTAGTATCACTAGCACGACTTATACATTGTGTATTGAATAGAGAGAAGATTGTCAACTTGTTTCTTTCTCTATTTTCTCTTGTTGCGGATGGTACAATGTTACTATTTTCCACGGAACTAGGGAGCAGAAAAAAAGCTATGTAGTAATACCTACTCGTAATATTGTTTATCTCCGCTTCCTTCTGTAATGTAACCGAACCTGCTTCAACTCACGTCATTCATCCAAGAGTTTTGCCTGCCGTTGTATCTCCCGCTGAAATAAGTGTCTGAGATTTAGACGCTTTGATCCAAGACATGCCCAATTTTACCAGAGACAAAACTCCGTGCTCTTTTAGTACTCGGGCCGTTTTTTTTTTTTTTTCTTTTCCAACGGCGAACCGAGTTCTTGGTAACTGGAGCTCGCTTTCCCTTTTGTACGAAATAGTAAGACCGGGTGTGGAGTAAAGTTCGTTTTGATCTAAAACGTGGCTTTTGTGAGGAAAAACTGGGAATGGGGATCAAGGGCAAGAGAGGGGGTTAGGGGGGGTTTACTTTGACAAAAGAGAGAGAAAGTGAGAGAAAGTGAGAGAAAGTGAGAGAGAGAGAGAGGGAGTGACTCTTACCTCAACCCCTGTGTTTGACTAGGTAAGAACTCTTACTGCCCCTTGTTGTTCTATTCTATCGGATACAAGCAGTGAACCCTGTCATTGTGGAAACTCTCATCGTGATATAGTCATAGTACTGCGTCCTTTTTCTTCTTCTTCTTCTTCTTCTTCTCTTCACCCCCTCCCCTGGAGCGGAAACGGTGATCTTGTGACAGGGCTCTCGCGTGGATTTTGCTCTCTCCCCCCCCCTTGGAGAAGGGGGCCGTTTGCATGGGGCGAGGAGAGTTCGGAAGTTCGGAAGAAGAAACCTTGGAACAGACAGATGAGGATGATGAGATTGTACAGGGTTTATGAGAGATTTCTTATCCCCTTTTGTTCTATTTTTTTTTTGTTTCTCATTTGGAAGGTAAACAAACTGTTACGGTTTGGGATGGGGGTTTTTGCTTGGCGAGATGGGATCGGGTATGGGGAATACAGGGTGTGGAATCTGGTTTTGTTCAGATTTGGGGAGAATGTGACAAGACGGTAGGTACTAGTAATGTGTATGTTGTAAGCGACTGTTGTTTTCGTGTCTGAGAACTTTGGGGGCGGTATTTCCTGTGACGAGGGATGGGGTTATTATGAGGATCCATCGCAGGCCACTTGTTTGTAAGTTGGGGGCGGTGGTGGTTGTGATTTAAAATGTAGGGCGATGAAAAGACAATGTAGTTAGTATATGTAAATATGCATTTCAAGGAAAGGGCTATGAGGGGATGTTGATACTCTTTATCTTGCCGAGCTCAGAGCAATTGAGTGAACGGTATGAATGAGTATTCAGCATTGGACGGGATTGATTGTCGTTTTAAGAGTGAAAGTCTGTTAGATGGAAGAAACTGAGGCATGATTGCATAGTGTAATACTTTGGATAATATAGATTGCACAGGGTAAATACGATGTATTCTGTATAAGTGCCGGTCGAAACGGCGAGCAAATGCCATGCTAAACCTCTTGCATCACACTCGCCGTTTTACGATGAGCATGGCAATTTGCGGAATTTGAAAGTGTTTTTTCTTATATGCTTGGATATCTTATTCAACTAGATTACAGATGTTAACCTTGCATGGTTTGTTTATTGTAGTTTGGCGCGAGAGTGAGAGTGATGTTTGGGCTGAGGATGGGGTCGCTTAAAGGATGGGCAAGAGGACCGAGATATCATCGTGTGAAACTGCATGCTCCCAGCTCCTAATATGGGGCTTATTGATATCGTACACGCTGTATATAATTAAATAAAGGAATGTCACTTTTTGTGAAGAGCTAGATCAGCTTGCCTCACTCGCTGAATGCCGATTGAATTGCTCAGCACACGTTCTATGCAGCGCTGCAGAGACGGCACTAAACTGATAAGCTAAGAGCGGGCTTCAGCATCAAATCGGCTAAGCCACGGAACGCCGAGTTCCAGTCACGTGCTGCTTCAACCAAGCAAGTTGCGTCACTGAGCTTACCTACATATTGTTACCTCCCTTATCAATAACGTGGCATCAAGCATACCGACAATTGTCAATCACCCATTCGAGTCCGTTTCGTCTTCTCACAATCCAGCGAGAGCGATTGCAAGCTCGAATGATGGAAATGTAGAATCTGGAAATTCGCGCTCTTCATCAATCCAAGTCAAGTCTTTGGTTCGCAATGTTCAAACTGCGGCTGGGCTGGTACGCCGGGGTAGGTCACGATCTCCAAGCTGGTGTCAGGCGCTCCTCCAATCAGGCTACGCGGCATTCACACCCGTCCATCAAACAACTACTCGGTATATGCTGGACATGACGCTCACATATGGCTGTTCTAGGTGTCGACTGCCCTGGCGGGTGGCGTCATTCTCTCGGCATTTCACCAGCGTGCCAACTTCTACTCGGCTATGGTGTACCTTGCGCAGAGCAACTTCTGTCTGCTGGTACGTGACATCACTCCCTCCCTTCATGTCTACTTGTCACGGTGGTGGGATTCAGCAGTTGACTCTGTTATCTATAGGTTCTGGTCAATTTCACATTGTTCTTGTACACTAGTTTCATCTATGCCTTGACGCAGATATGCTTTGGCACGCTGCGCGCGATCGAGGTCGAGCAACTTACCGAACGAGCATGGTTTGCCATCACCGAGACATGTCTGGCCATGACAATCTTTCGAGAAGAGATTGGCGCTTGGTTCCTCGTCATGTTCACGGCATTGGTCACGGGAAAGGTCTGGGGCTGGATTGGAGACGGCCGTGTAGACTTTCTGGAGCAGCAACCCCCTACGAATCCCCGACTCTTCCACCTGCGCCTCAGCGTCTCCCTTGCGGCTAGTTTCATTTACGACATCTGGATACTTCGATATACTGTCCTCACCGTCATTCAGCAGGCGAGGCCGAATATGATGGTCATGTTCCTGTTTGAGTTTGCCATCCTGGCCACCAACTCTGGAAGAACGGGATTTCGCTACTTGGTATCCATCACGGAACAGCGCATCCTCGAGCTGCAGACCCGCAAGCTTTTGGCGGAGCGAAAGGCCGAGATCAGCCGCCAGCGAGATGAGATTATTCGTCAACGCGAAGCAGCCGCTGCAGCTGGGGAGCCAGCTCCGGAGAATGAAGAACCTTTGCCCAATCCTGATGATATTGACGAAATGGACATTGAAGTGCCCGGCTGGTCGGCCAAGGGTGAGCTGATTCTTTGGTTGGACTTGGTGACTGGTAAGAGGAGCCCCCCTTTTTTTTTCTGAAGAATGTATAAGAAAACCCCAAAATTCTAACAGTGATCGCTAGACTTTGCCAAGCTGGGAATTTACATCTCCTTCTTTATGATGCTTCTCATGTTCTATGGTCTTCCTATTCATATTATGCGGGACTTGTTTATGACAACGAGAGACTTCTTGAAGAGACTCAATGCGCTTTTACGCTACAGACGGGCTATTCAAGAAATGAATAAATACGCAGATGCTACTGTGCAAGATCTCGCACAAGAGAACACATGCATCATTTGCCGTGAGGAAATGCGTTTCTGGGATCCTGCAGAGAACGTAGGTGTTGTCGACCGCGTGCGCCCCAAGAAGCTCCCCTGCGGTCACATTCTACATCTTGGCTGCCTCAGAAGCTGGCTGGAACGGCAACAGGTGTGCCCGACATGTAGAAGCCCTGTCACAGGCGAACAACCACGACCTCGTAATGGTCGTCGTCAAGCTGGTCTCAGAATACAATTCGGTCAGGCGCCGCAACGCGGCCAGAATCAACGCGGAAATGAAAACGACAATAGAAACAACGATAACGGTATACAAGGCGATGGGCAAGATGGAGCTGCGCCTCATCCTCAAGGGGGACGGGCCGGCGGACAGCCCCGTGTCTTTACTCTTGGTCCAATAAGAGTTGGATTTGGAGCTAATGACCAGCAAGTGCGCCAACTCGCTCAACAGTTTGGCATGCCGCAAATTGCTGGTGGCCAGGAACAAAACCCAGTTACGACAGCCTCTCAGAATCAGTCCCAGTTGCCTCCATCGGGTGATAGCCTTCAACAGATCGGAACTCTCTTACAGCAGGCGGAGCAGATGTTGCAACGCGAATTGCAGAACTTACAAAATACGCAACAAGAACTACAAATCGCCAACTTGCTCAACAATGAGATCCAACGGCTTCGTCAGCGACGACTGCAGCCACAGGACGCCGCGCAGAACGGCCAGGGCCAATTCCCTGCATCATTCAATCAACCACCTGGGGGTCTTCCTCCAGTAGGCCTACCACCGTTGCCCTTACAGGTACCTCAGCTTGGTGGTTTGGCACCATTTCCTCCACCCTTTCCGGGCATGCCGCCAAGAATGAACAGCCCATTGATGACTCGGCACGGAGCTGGCCCCTCCACGACAGCAATCCCTGCCGGTAGCTCTGAGTTGCCAGAGGGACTGGTGCTGCCCCCTGGGTGGTCCTTGACGCCTCTACAAAGGCTGGATAATGCTCAGACTGCACCGCAATTTCCTCCTCAGACCACTGGTGTACCTCACACTGGAGATCTTACAAACGGAAGCCAGGCTGCATCAATCTCAATACGGCCAACACCGACGGTGCCGCATAATCAAGAGACCGCGCGGGCTGAATCTTCGCCATTCCCCGCTCCTGCTCCCAATGCTGCGAGGCTACAAGGAGATCAACTCCCAACTCCTGTAACTTCGTCAGATCACCCTCCCGTAGTGTCACCCAGCCCAATGTTGCCAAATTGGGGCGGGTCCAACCAGCTCTTCGGAAGCGGATCTCGTCTAGACCAAGGAGACACGGCTAGCCAAGCAAGTACACAGGCAGCCCCGCAAATAGAGACTGAAAACGTACCGGAAAGCAGCAGCAGCAATGCCCATGAATCTGTACCCGAGACGGATCTCAAAAGGGAACCGAGTATCTTGGAGCTTGAACAGAACGAAGCGGCTCAAACGGAGGAAGAGCCGTCTGACAAGGGAAAGGGCAGAGCTGTTACTGTGGAAGAAGCTGATGATGAGGAAGATTGAAGCGATAAAGATGAAAGATGAGAGAAAGCTTTCTTATGTGTATGAAATTATTCAGACTACGGTCTGACGTGTAGAGCGCACTTAGCGTCGTATATCCTGTTGATATTTATGACTCGATCCTGCAGACAGGAATGAGCAGTATATATATATATATGCACCGTCCGTTTATATATATACGTATATATATGCACATGTTAAGGCGTTCAGAGCGGAAAGTAGATGGCATTCAATTCAATAGCCCAATTTATACTCATTACTTTCCTTTCCTTTCTTTAAATCCTTTATAGTATGAAAGCGTTCCCATGCTGGTATCTATCTTACCGGTGTTATACAAGATTGATTTACGAGGAGAAGTATTGTATCGTAGACGTGGTATAATTTTCGTTACATACATGTATAAATTGTATTCGAAGCAATTATTCAAAAAACCCTCACATCTTCCCCCCCAAAACAACGCCAATAACACATCGCTCTTCTCAAAAAAATGGGACAAATGCCTCCTTTTTACAAACGCTCTATTCCTGACTCGGCGCCTCCTCAATCTTCGGCCCCTTCTCGCCAATCTTCACGACCAAATCATAACTCACCCTCAAATTCTCCGTGCCACTAAGGGCTCTCTTCATCATCGCCTCGTTCTTCTCCTGCACCAGTTTTCGGATAGCCCCAACGAGGAATCCGGCAACGATGTCGACTGACCACCGGTCAGGGATGAGAGCCAGTACGTCGTCAATTTCGAACCACCCGCCGAAGCGGTCAAGTAGAGCGCTGGTTTGCCCAACGCGATCGCTGACGTCGTCAATGGCGAGGAATTCCCTGAAGACGACCTGAAAGAGGCGGCGCTGCTGTTCGATTTCGGGTACGCTGTCGCGGCGGCCCTGCATGGGAGAGTAGATGGTCGCACCGCCGCGGAGGCAGTACGACACCGCTGTGTCGTAGTCGCCAAGCTTGTGGACTAGAAGACGCAGAGCCTCTTCGTGCTTGCGTTCTCGGCCGGCGAGGATGATGGCCTCGGGGACGAGCAGGTCGCCTGATAACTTGTCGGTGCGCTCTCTAATCGCAGCAACGTCGTACTCATGAGGGCCGCCAAGGAGTTGAAGTAGCCGAAGGCGGCTTTGCCAGACCTCGTCGTTTTCAGGGGCATTTTCAGTCAGGAAATGCCTATACGTTGGCTTAGGATTTTGAAGAGCTCTGTAGGCATCATACGCGGCTAAGACGCGCTCCCGGCTCTCGTCCAATTTGAGATCGTCCATGACAACCTCCAGATAATATGAAATAAGCTCGTTAACGTATGTTTCATAGCCTTTATCAAACACCAAATGTTCCAAGTAATATCTGACGGCACCTGGAGCTTCCGCACGCAGTAACTCCACTGCCTTCGCGGGCTCAAACTTGGGTGCCTTGCTCTTATCCTCGGCGAATACCTGCACGCCAAGTCTTGGGTTTCTGTTGGCTAACCATAGACCGTATTCTTGAACAAGTTCTTGGTTGTTGATCTTGGCAAGGTAATCCCTTATTCTTTGTTCACCGTCAACTAACTCTTGGGCATCGTCTTCCTCTCCTTCGAGGACGCGCTTCCAAGTCGCTAAAACATCGGCAGACATTTTGCGGCTGTGATATAATCGACTCAGAGCAAAGAATCTGTGATATGATTCGAGGAGGCTGACAGCTCGATCCAAGCAGTCTATGCCGCCGTCCACCAGTGCACCTATCTCAGCTCTGACGGCACCTCCCTTCCCTAGACCCTTGGGCGAATGCCTGTCAAGCTCTAGTAGCACAAGTAGTAGTGCTGCATCTACTGTTCGAAACACCTCAGCCTCGACTAATACGCTTCCAAAGCCCTTTAACTTTCTCCAGGCGTGTAGATAGCGCCTCAAAAAATGCAGAGTTTTGAGCGGAAGGCCTCTAATGCCTTCTTGATATAGATTCTGGAATGCTGGACTTGCCAGGAAAGCTTCAGGAGATTCTTTTACACCGCCATAAACCCAAATACCTTGACGACCTTCGATAATTTCATTCCGAACACCCGGAATTAGAGATAGGATAACCCGAGGATCAAGCTTACTTTCGACTAGTACTTCTTGTAAAGCATTTAATTCATCGTCTGAGAATTCTGTGTCTGGCGCCGAGAGAAGGAGATTGATCAAAAGGATGACTCCAGCTTTTTGTTGTATGTAGCCAAATGTAGTGAATTCGAGCTCCGTCTTTGGCTCACGATCGCGAATAGCCGATAAAACCATAATGATTGCGCGTTTATCAATATCTTGCTTATCATTGTATGCTGCCTGGCGGGCAATCTCCAATCTCTTGTCGAGTTGGACAATCAGAGGATTTCGAACAGCCCACCAGATCCGATTGCCACGCCATACAGCAACGCGCGTCTTGGATTTTGCAAGGCGGCGAGCAAATTCCTCACCTTCTGTAATTCGTGCGGCTTCCCACCCCTCTGGAAGCGGCTCACCGTCTTGTGAATCAGCGTCACGCTCGAAGAGTTCTTTCTCCTTTGATAGCTGTTCGATTGAGAGAGTAGTCCGAGAGTTTGAGGGCTTTAGCGTTGGTGACTTTGGAGCGGAGAACTCAGCTGAGCTAGGAAACGGTATGAATTTTCTCATGCTGAGTTTCTCAACTACCTCGTCAGATTGGGTCTCCTGGCTGTTTGTGAGAGCACGAATCCCGTATCTCCCACTTAAGCTAGCATCATCTGCTTCTAGCCATTGCTTTTCGGGATGTGCTTCATTACCGGCGCTCCAACTTTGAATTTCAATTCCGCTGTGAGGGACACCCTGGACATCTTTTGTCATAGAGGCAAACACATAGCCGTCTTCATCTTCTGACGAGCTAGCACCTGATGAATTGCCGTCAACCACAACTAGCTCAGGGTATATATCGAATGTAATTGTTGGCCGTGTAGGATCACCATCAAGGTTTACAAACATGCCAACACCAGGTTCAGAAGGAGTCGTGCCCATGACAAGAAGGAATTCTTCTGGGGTTGGTGAGGCAATATGCGGCTTTAAGAAAACTGTCACAATCTGTGGAGCTGGGCTAGATGGCGGAGGGGGTGCTGGTAGCGGCTTGTCGCCGGGTGGCGGAGTTGAACTATGCTCCTCGGGAGGTCGAGGGCTCGATGGCTGTCCGGGGGGAGATAACGCCTGTGAGGCAGGCGGCCGTGGGCTTGTTCCTCGAGAATCGGGAGCTGGTGAGTCTCTAGACGGGCCTGTGGTTCCCAGGCTAGCACTTCGGTTATGGCTTTGTGAACTGCTTCTAGGCTGTGCCCGGCTTCTCGAGGTACTTCGTCCACCAGCGCCCTTAGCAATGTCTTGGACATGACCAAATTCGGCAGAATTAGGATTTTCTTCCAAAGATGACATGTTCATGAGAGGAATCTTTAGTTGTCGGTCCACATCGAGAAGAGCGTACGTCTTTGAATCCGCGACACATGCTATAGAATCTCGTCGCACAGAAAGAGTGCTTCCTGCAAAGTCGATATTCTAGAAATATGTAAGTGGTGAGCATTGATCATGAGAAAATCTTGTTGGAAAGAACGGGCACTGAGTCATACCTTGACAGCGCGCACATCTTCGTCAATCCTAACAACTTGGATTCGCCTATTGAGAGAAAGAAGAGCCGTGACGGTCTCACCAGTGTTCGTAGCTCCATCGCCAAGTCCCTCTTCGTTCAAGTCAACGCCACCAATCCAGCCGCAATTCTTGACCTGCTTCGTCCCAAAAACTGGACTCAACTCCGGAAGAGAGTAAAATGTGACGGTTCCATTGCATAATATACACGCCTTCCCAACGCGAGGTAGGAGCAAGATCTGCTGAACACCAGGTCGAGAGGTGGTGTTTTCAGCGAATGCGGGGGAGAGCCTGGAGGCTGGAATGAACACCGGTCGTCCGGACGGGTCGGAGGGATCTGGAGGGATGCTAACGAAGTGAAGAAGCTCAGCGGCAGAAGTGCCGACGTAGAGGTTACCGTCTACATATCGAGGATGGTAACGATGAGTTAGCAAATGGTATAAGTGGTCAAGGGTGTAAACAAAGAGCTCACGAACCAAAATACTCGACACAGTTGATCTTGATATCGCCGTCAGTGCCATCTGCGGAGAGAGGCACTGAATCGACCCATGGTTGCAACACAAACGGCCCCTCTGATCGGTCTATAGGCTGCGCATTAACGGTTGGCGAAGCCATGGTGGATGATGGTGATGATGCCCCTCCACCCGGGCCATTGGATGTCATGACAGCGTATCTCCTTCTGGTGATGTCATCTGAGAACCGGGCGCATGTTGGTTTCCGGGAAGATGGATCGCGGCGAGAGATTCGCGCTCGCGACCAGAGCAGCGACTTGGAAACGCGAGCTGGAGGGGGGCCCTTAAAGTGCTCGTGTTCAAGGTGACGAATGCCCCAGCCTTTCGTCCAGCGCTGGAGAGCTGTGAGCTGCTGCGGGCGAGGCTGAGGTGGGGCGCTGCTGCTGGGCCCCTGTGGCTGGTTGTTTAGCACTAGGACACGCTGGAACTACGGGGCACTGGCGCCCGGAAGCTTGCGTTGCCTTGTGCCGATGCAACTTCAGCTACGTCAACTCGTTTCACAATTGACAACCACACGCTGGCTATCCACCAACCTGGAGCATTTAACCATTGGAGCAGCGCCTTTTGCTCCCTGAATAGATACAAAATCCGAATTTCAATGTTTTCTTGACCGAACATCTCTCTCTTCCGCAGCGGCGAAAAACATACACCCCAGGGGCTCAACAACCATGTCGAACGATACAGATGGGGCTGTAGCGCAGAGTAGCAGCCCCGATGCTGGCGGAGGAAACAAGTTCTCTCACGCCATCTCAGCGTGGAGGAGTATGTAGAGCATGCCGGGTATTCGTGCAATTGAATCGACTGACCGTTCGCACAGATGTTGACCTGACAACGTTGGTATCCAATCTGGACAATACGGCGTCGGAGATTGTTACCTACCAACGGGACTCGACGGTGCAGCGCAAGGAGCTGGCGCAAAAGACAAAGGATTTCAGAAAATCAGATGATGCCACCAAGTTGGCAGAGATCAAAGGCCTTCTCAAAGGTGCCTTTTTTTTCCCTGGCTAATGACCCTCGCGTTCAAAAACAAGACCGACGGCTGACATTGCGTGGCTACAGCATACCAAACCTTTATCGATCTCCTTACGAATCACTCCAAATCGGTGAACTCGGCATTTCTCAAGGCATACACCTCGCTGTCTGAGGCCCCCGATCCATATCCTTTACTGGAAGCCTCGGTCGATTCGATGCTAGTATCCGAAGACACGCTACCGAAAGTTACCGAAGAAAATAAGCATCTGCAAAAGAGCGTCTCGAAGCTTACGACGCAGCTCGAAGAATCAGAGTCCAGGCTTCAAGACGAACGTGCTGCCCGCAAAGAACTCGAGGATAACTTGGAGGCCAAGGTAAAAGAGGTGGAAACATCATGGACTGCTGTGCTGGACGAGAAAAAGGATAATTGGGAGGCCAAAGAGAAGACTCTCGAAGAGAAGGTTGCGAACCAGGAACGCCTATTAAGCGAACTGAAGGCCAACTACGAAGTCAATCAGCGACTAGGGAAGGCTAACAGCGAAGAACAAGATGGCCAGCGCAGTCAAGCCTTGAACGCCGAGCTTGAAATGCTTCACGTAGATCTCGAGCGGACGAGCTCTAGGCTAGCCGAGGTCGAAGCACGGAATGAACAGATGAGACTTGAGCTTGCGCAGGCTAAATCGTCGCGACAGTCTCAGAACATATCCTTGGAGGATGACCCTGGATACATGCGTATGCGCTCGGAGAATTCGTCCCTCATCCGCAAGTTGGAGGCAGCGAGAGTAGAGAAGGAAGGGTTTAAACGCGACCTCGACAGCAAGTTGCGATCAGTAGAGCGTGAGGTGGCTCTGCTGAGAGAGGAGAAAGAGTCTCTTAAAGAAAAGGTGGACCAGTGGGGTGACTACGAGGAAGTGAAGCAGGAGCTTGAGGTTCTCAAGAGTATTGAGTTTTCAACTGGCGATGACGACGAGGCGCCGCACGAAATCGAAGGGGTCACTGGCAAGAACGATACCTTGGAGAAACTCTTGCTGGCGCGAAATAAAAAGCTCAACGATGAGCTTACGATTCTTCGGGTCTCACACCAAGACTTGCAGCGCCGGCTGGAAGATCTTCAGGAAGATCTTTCTAGAACTAATGGGGAGCTAGAGAAGGCGCAGAAGTTGAACGAGAAGCTGGAGAGCGATCTGGAAAATCTCCAGGCAGAAGGGGCAAACGCTTTCCCATCTGGCGCATCCGTTGCTGGCACCTACATCACTCGCGCTCAAGGACGTAAAGGCGGGAGAATATCACCCACATCATCCATTATCAGCGGAATAGACCCTCGGACAGCACCCGGCGAGCGTGAGCCAATGGGAGGAGGATCAGGTATCCTGCCGATGGTGATGGCGCAGAGAGATCGCTTCAAGAAGAGGAACGCTCAGCTGGAGCAGGAGCTCTCAGAAAACCATCGGGCGGTCCAGCAACTACGACAAGAAGTGGCCGCTCTGCAAAAAGACAATCTGAATCTTTACGAAAAGACAAGATATGTGTCGACTTACAGCCGAGGAGGGGCTACGACATCTTCATCATCGGCCTACGCAACCAACCCCAACCCGTCGACGGTCACCATCGGCGGGACAGGAAATCCCGGTATGGAGCTGAACCGCTACCAGAAAGCGTACGAGTCCAGCATATCGCCATTTGCGGCGTTCCGCGGCCGAGAATCGGCCAGAGCATATCGACGCATGAGTCTTCCAGAGAGGGTGGTCTATTCAATCACGCGCATGGTTCTGGCGTCACGGACAAGCAGGAACTTGTTTGCCGCCTATTGCGTGGCGCTGCATATCTTGGTCTTCTTCTCGCTGTACTGGCTGGGCACGGCAGACTTTGAGAGTCACGCCAGCAATTTCGGCTCAGCGGCGGCGGCGGCAGCGGGAGCAGCAAGCGGTGGAGGGGGAGTAGGTGGAGGAGCAGCAAGCGGTGGAGGCCATGGAGACTGGCGGGAGGATGGATTTGATGGGTAATACAAATAAGAGGGGAGTGGTGGTGTGGTCATTCGGTGCTGGTCAGCGGGAGGAGATTTTGATTGTTCTTTTTTTAATATGACCACATGTACTACTACTACTACTATATATGATACACACGGAGTTGTTCGTTGCTCTTGGCAGAACGGTGCATTGTGGGAAGGTCAGTGCCTGCTTCCAGCAGACAGCGGTATGAGTGGGAGGACAATGTGCGTCTTCATTTCACGCCATGCTGTGTGCTCGTATCCAATTTGACAGTGCGACTTTGACGTATCTGCGGACAATTCATCTGCTGCCTGTGAATGCGTGTGCGTCTAGAGAGGAAGAGACTTGATAGGATAAGAGAGGCAAGAATGCGGTGGTGCTACTTTATTCTAGACGCCGGCCGTTCAGTGCGGCCCAAAGAGGGGGGGCATTTGCGTAAATTGATTGCGCATTGTAAGGCTACCCCGGCTGCTATTTTTACTGCTATTTTTACTGCTACTAGGTAGTAATAGGTACTAGCCTGCTATTGTTTCTTATTGCTGCACAAATGTGGTTTTCTCTTCTTTTCTATTTGGCTTCTAGTTTGAGCAACTGTGAGTGCTATTTATTCGTTTTTTCTTCTTCTTTGTAATACTATGGTTTATGATGCCAGATATTAGATAGCATGTCGTTCTATTGGACACAGACCTAGGTCGGTATTCTTCCCACGGTCAATGGACTACCAAGGTGACGCTACACACTCATTTCGGAAATGCTTTGCATACATCTGCAGTACAACCAACCGCTGGTAACACCGTACTGTAGCAGTCAAATGAGATATCGCGTGTGCGTGGGGTGCGAGATGGAGAGATCGGAAAGAACAATTGACGGTGGTTTGGTTTGGTTGGCTGGGAAGAGACCCCGAGATCTGTGGTGCTATTTTTGGATACTGCGTGGGATGCATGTACAAAAAAATGGTTCGTTTATTCGGTTTAACCGCCACGGCGGCGGGCCGAACGTGTGGCGCCGAAATAACGGGCAGATTCTGTTCTTGGGCGAATGGAATGGAATGGATTGGTCTGTGTTTTCGTGGGAGGCGCGCGCGGACAATGAAAGAGATAGAGAGAGATAGAGAGAGAGATAGAGAGAGAGATAGATAGAGAGAAGCGGAAGAAGGTTGGAACCTTTCTTTTGCTTGATGGAATTTGTGTTGATTGGCTGCTTGGCCATTTACTTGATTTTTGTACTTGTGCTCGTGTCTTGAAATTGCTTGCTTGACAGGGCACCTGATCATAGCAGTACCAGTAGGTGTTTACTACATATTTACCGTTACCTCATGGTAACTGATCAATACAAGAGCACAAGGCTCTAGACTCTCTCTCTCTCTCTCCATCACCATCGCACTACTTGTGCATTGCCAGACTCACCAAAAATCCAAATAGATTGCGCCAAGCAGGCTATTCATACCCGTCCATATTGCTCCAGCGCTACCACCTACTCGCTTCATGCTCAACCCAGGCTGGGCGCCTAAATCGCCGCACGCCCAGCCAATCGCAACCCTGCCGTCGCCTCAACCCTGACCCATGCGCGCCTCAACCACCGTCGCCTCTCGGCCAATCAAGCCCTCTCAGCGGCAAAGGAAGAGAGCGCGAGATGGATTGGGTAGAAGAATTCATGGAGAGAGAGCGAGAGGCTGCCCCACCCATCCAATATCGTCCCGCCTCGCCCATATCTATTTTCTGCGTCTGCTGCTTCTTTGGCGCTGGTTCGGAAGGCGGCAAAAACCAGGCCAGAATCTAATTAAAGTAAGCTAAAAAAACGAATTGCGCGGACTACGGCTCAATAGTAAGGTAGTACTGCGTGTATGCAAGTAATTTTGTTTGGCTCGCATAGATTGTGTGAGACAGAGTGACCGGGGTGTTTTTTCGAAGCTGTTGGGTTATAAGAGAAGGTTGGTGGCCGCATTGTTTCTGCGTTTTTGGAACCTTGGTAGAAACATCCTCCGCTTGAATATCTTTCTTGCATAACCCGATTTCCTTTTTTGTCTGGTTTCCTTTTTTTTCCTTGAGTCAGTATCTGGTATCACTTTGTGCTTTTCTATCCCTTCAGCATAAAATACAAAAAACAAAAGAAAAATAGTGCACTTGTCGGCTGGTCCCTGTTACGAATCACCCACCCATCATCATCGCCATCTTCACCCACCAATCTGGTTATTGGAATTCAGTGTGTCGGTTTGGGAATCGAATCTAAGACACTATCAAACGTCATCACCATCTCATCTTTTTCACTCTCCTCAACCACACCTCCTCATCCACAATGCGTCCATCAACATTCCTGGTATCATCACTCGCCATCTTCGGGGCTCACGCCGCTCCGGCACTCCCCAAGATCGATCTCAAAGATGTAGCCGACCCGGCGGCAGCCTTGGATGCTCTATCAACTTACTTCAATTTGATTGCATCAAAGGTCCAGACGTCCAAAGTACGCCCCGTTGCGCCGATATGCGACCTGTCCAAGGCACAGATGCCTGCCAGTAAGTAGAGTTTTGAAACAAGATGCGGCCTCGATATATGCAGACAAGCATGGACTAACCAATGGCACGAATCTAGTGGCTGGGCTTCCACCTCCATCTGCCGGCTTGATTCCGCATCACGTAGCCGTCGGCCGTGGCACCCAGAACTACACGTGTGATACGAGCAACCCTAGCTCAGCCCCGGTAGCTGTTGGAGCCTTGGCTACTCTCTACAATGTCAGCTGCATCGCCGCCACCAACCAAGATCTGCTGGAAAAGGTCCCTGCCATGGTTGTCAACTTTGACTACGACGCCGTCACCTCCACAGGATCACTCGGCCCCATGGCGCTTCCTCCCATCTCTGGCCACCACTTCTTCGTCGACAGCACGACGCCATTCTTCAACCTGGATACGCCCACTCTGGACATTGGCACAGTGCCCACTTCCAAGAACAACAGCGCCCCTGCACCACCCACCGCCGCGAAGGGACCTTCAGGCTCTAGCGCCGTTGTGTGGTTGAAGCTCCTTGCCAAAGATGGCGCAACAGGCGGCATCAAGGAGGTGTACAGAGTCGACACCGCGGGAGGCAGCGCACCAGCTACCTGCCAGGGCCAGCCCGCCAACATTCAAGTGCAATACTCAGCAGTGTAAGTTACCATCCCATGCCAGTCCATAGAAAAAGAAGATCACATGGATGCTGACACGATTTGTCTTTAGGTACTGGTTCTGGGGTTGAGTGGTGCGATGGGCGGCGGGCAAATGTCCTTTATTTTTCTTCATTGTAACTTGTTTTTATTCCTATCTTGATTGCCCAGGTCTCATACATAGACTTGGTAGAATATTTCATTAATTATCCGAGGGCTGGTTAGCGATCTTTTCTTCCAAAGAAATTGACTTTGAGTTGTGTCGGATGATGTAGGACGCACACGAGTAATTTAGTACGTAGTGACCGCATCGACACCGAAATCGATGGCCCTAATGTGCACAAGGTACTCAGTAGATGCGCGTGAGCTGCGATTGGCCATTTGTTGAGAGTAAGACTGCAAGGCCGCAGAAGTTTTGCAGCTGATCTGTGCGGATGCGACACATGACGGATTGCGGAATGACAACAGGTACCTGCTTGCGCCGCAACAGGTTGTCGTGGGACATGCTATCTGTTGGAACAGTATCCGTACCCAGGAGTTGGTGGATTGAGACAGCATACCGCTGAAGAGGGACGATTCATGCTGTATGTGTGTGTGTGTTAGTGTGTTAGAGTTAGTGTGTGTACGCCGTATGCCGCCCAGAGCTGGAAATGACATGCAGGTAAGTACCTGGTCTCGGCTCACTCCCGGCCACGCTCTCGCACACTATTCGCTGGCTTCATGTCGCTAAACGTATCCAAGGGAGGAGAACAGCCAATTCTGGAGCACCAGGAGGGAGAAAACAAGATGCCGTCGATCGATTTCGTTGGCCACGTCCAACAGAGGGCCGCATCGGAGCTAGCGAGGCTAGCCGATATAAGGCCTGCGCGATATGTACCTGTACCTTGTGATCTACAAACCCCCGCGACCACTACCGCTGTGGCTCTCTAGAGCGGAGTACAGGAACTCCAGGCCAGCAATGCTTAAACATGCGAGCGCTCGGCCCTTGCCCCGCGGCCCTTGCTAGGCTCCTAGTGCCGTCGCTAAATGTCCGCTTAGCGGCAGCGGTGGTGACACTCTCCTCTGTAAATGCCGTCCTGGGCCCCGCCTCCGCGCTGGCCGTTCTTAGTCGATGCAGCGTAATATTGGGGCTCCCGCCAGAGTAATCCAAGGCGATCTGACATTTTCGTGTGACACAGCATTGATTGATGCACGTTAAGCATGGCGTGAGGGTTGAAGTTGTCCAGTCCAAGAATGCAAGAAACAAACACATTTACTCAGTGGGGGAGGTTCTCGCCGAAGAGGATCGATCATAGCATGACTCGCGGGCGGGCTGGTGGGCAGTGACCTGTTTGAGGGCGGAAAGCAGGCATTCGCGATGCATATCCACAACCTGATTGACGTGACTTGAGTGCAAATAGAGAGGTGATGCGGGTGTGAAATATCAAGATTCTCTGCTTTCAGTCGCTCAAGTAGCACACAAATGCGTGCCTGTTGTTCTGCTAAGTCTTATGTGATGCTGCCAGATATCATTACTACATGGACCTAGGCAGGCAGGCAGGCAGGCAGGCATACAAGCATAACAGAGATTCATCCTCAACGGTTCGAGCAAGCATCTACGTCGACAATTGCCTGCTTCTCCTATTAGTGATCCTTTTTCTTCTTTAATCAGAATTCATCCATCAATTCTATCCCTCCTCGCCCTTCTTCCTACAGCCAACCGACTCTCAAGTCGGGGGTCATCGTCGGCTCACTGCAGGTCTCTGAATTGTCTCAGCGCCAGATAACAGAACACACCAAATGCTCATTCCGTGTCTGACATTTGGCATCAGCCCTCTATAAATCGCAGTCACTTTTTGTGAGAGAGAGTAGTATTATATTAGTAAAAGATACAGAAGGAACCAGCGTTTTGATCGTTCTCAAAGCTAATAGTGAAGGGAGGCTCGAAGTTTCAACGTTCCGTCTCAGCTCTGTTCTTCCAACACCGTTTCGTTTCTCATCTAAAAAGACACGGCCTCCCTTCTAATTGTTTTTCAAGTCTCGTCCCCTGTTCACGGTTCCAGAAATCTTTTGTATTCTTTTTGTTTTCTTTTTTTCTTTCTTTCTTTTCTTTTTTTTTTTCGGGTGGAAAAAGTTGATTGTGTTTGTCCATTCGTTTTCAACATGCCTCTGCTCGGGACGCCGTTTTCAATTGATCGGCTGCTGGGCCTGCACCTGTTTGACAGCGCATTCGGCCCAGCACAACCGCCTAGCAACGCCGCCAACACTGCTAAACAACACCCCGCAACGACCTCGGCTGCCTCACGCTTCGCTTCTTCTGCATCATCCCCCAACGTCTTCAAAACTGGCGCGTCTTCAAGCTCTGCATCATCAGCCTTAGCCTTGCTTGGCCTTGTCGCCAAGGATTCCGATCCAGCACCATCTCCATCGCCTCCCGCCGCTGTAGCCTCTCCATCTGTCCACATCGCCGCGTGGCCAATGGCGCAGCTACCGGTCGAGATTTTCGAAATCATCACCAGGTATCTGACCCGGGCTGATGTCCAGGCCCTCCGCCTGGTGTGCAGGGAATTCGAGGCCAAGGTCTCTGCCCAGTATTTCCGGAATGTCGTCGTTCCCTTCCGCGCCGAGCTCTACACCAGCCTAGATGACGAGAACAACGCTGCCATTACGTCGAGGCTGTTTTCCAACGGCATGCGAATCTTCGAATCGTTTGGCCCTCATATCTTGCGCTTCGCCCTATCGCTCGAGCTGGACGAATTCATCCTTGCTTACCCGCCCGTCAAACCCGCGCAAGAAGCCATTCCCGCCTTTTGGGGCATCTATCGATGGCCTCACGAAACGTATCACCGCTACAGGGATCTCGAAGGTCTTGAGCAGACGGCCGATGAAACCGACAGCATGAAGAAAGCTCTTCGCTGCCTTACCAAGGTTACCAACATTGGCCTCTGCTGTGATGCGGGCCTGGGATTCCTGGTTGGTCCTGAGCATGCGGTGCACAAGATCAACAATCGTGACCCCGTCTTCGATGCCCGCGATTGGCATCAGGACAGTCGTGTAAAGAAGGGTGATACGCTTGTTGCTGTATCCGATTTTAATGGTGTCCGTCGAGATCTGACAAGCGCCACAGCTCAGCATGATAACTTCAAGCGCCGGGTTCTGGAGAAGATGATTTCTGATGCTGGCTTTGCCGGCTACTACGTTCACGAGGCGATCGACCTTTTACTCGAGACCGAGGGCGTTACCATTTCCGAAATCGACTTTGACGAGCGCGAGGTTAACGTTGACGAGCAGCAGCAGCAGTTACAGCAGCAGCAGCAAGAGGCACGCATCTCTCGTAGAGCCCAGCGCCAGTTTCAGATTCAACACCTCCTGCAACAGCATAATGCACAACCACAACCACAACCACAACCACAACCACAACCGCAGCAGCAGCAGCAGCAGCAGCAGCAGCATAATAATGATGTATTCGATATCTTTGGATTTCAGGTGCCTAACCATCATGGGGGGCATTTCCATCTGCCTCTGCCCCCGGATGATAATGGTAACGAAACCACGACTTTTGGGCCACCCGAGGAAGATGCAGCGTTTGGGATACCTAATATTCCTGTGATGCCTCCACAACCGGCACCAGCTACACGCCCACCCCATATCCAGCCGAGGCCGGCTCAACAGGAGGGTCAGCGGCAATTCACGTTCGAAGCCGCCACCCGCCAACCTCTTATTCCAACCAATCTTACACGGGCCCAAAAGGAACTGCTTCTGGAGTTGGAGTGGGCTCATCGTGCCATGATTCAGTCTTACGTTATAAGCATCATCGACAATGCGAGAGATGGATGCTTCACCAATTTGACGAATGTGACAATTGCCAAGATTCCTAGCGCCCACATCCACATATTGTGTCACAAGGAGCTCTGGGAGAACATTCCCAGCATCAAAACCGTCTCTCTGGCCGTTATTGCTGATTGGAGGAAGATTTCCAAGCCTTCTCCTGGCGTTGTCGAGGACGTTCATGTGTCTCCTGTTGACGCCGTGGGCAAGGTCTACAGACTGCTGAATGACCACATTGGACGACGACCCAATATTGAGAGCCTTCGCTTCGAGTGGATCTGCGGTGGTGAGTTTGCGAGGGGCCCGTATCAACGCAATCAATATGTTCTGCCGGCTCCGTTTGTTGAGTCACCAGACTTGATGATTTCTCCCGAGGGCGCCAAGGATACTAGCAGGCTGCTGCATCTGCCTTTTATCAAGTATTTGTCACTCAAAAATTGCTGGTTCGCGCCGCATGTGTTGTTTCAAACAACTCGTTACATGGCGCTGCACTCTCTTGAAAAGCTAGATCTTGAGACTGTCTCCATTTCTGGGCCGCCCACCATTCCTCCACAGCAGCCTGCAAATCCTGCCCCACCAGCTGCCGACGACGCTGGCGTTCCGCTTCATCCACTCTTCCCTGGCGTTATTGGCCCTGTGCCAGTTGCTCTCTTCCAGCAGCCTGCGATTCCTCCAGTGCCCGAGGAGCCGTCAGTCGATAGACTTGCGCTGCCAGACACATTTTCATGGGCTGGCTTCTGCGAGCATTTCAGTCCTGGCATAAAAATGCGCCACCTTCCTCGATTTTGCGAATCGTCCAGCTCGGACACAGATGGATCTAGCAGTAAGGCTGAAGACCTCTCTCCTTTCCTACCGGATGCGAGCAAGCTTAAAGTTGATGAGTCTCGGTATGGTCTCAGCTCCATATCCTTCAAGTCTTGCGGCTATGTCTTTATAGATGTACGCACCCTCGATATCAGAGCGATTCTACCAACGGAGGCCCAGCTTGGTCATGCGTTTGCAAACGCTCTTCGACATGATATCTTCCACTCCATGCAATACAGCAAGGACAAGTTCCTCGGCCGCATTGTGCCGTATATGCTACCTGCCGAAATGAAGACGCTGGAGCATATATTCCTGTTTGAGCAAGGCTGGAGTAAAGTATATCCTGAGCAGGTTCTTGATGATGCTGTTACTGACGGTTTCGACTGCCCCGGTATGGCACGCTTTTCTGGAACTCTCGAGGGACCTGGCGATGCCGAGTCCCTGATGATGACGGAGTGATTTTTCCTTCCTTCTTGGCCTCTGTCTTGTTTGAACAAATGTTTGTTTGCTGCCCAATAAGGATTTTAATGGCTCTTACTACTGAAATGGCCCGATGATGGACAAAAAATCAAGGAAAATAGAGAAAGGACTCACTTTCTCGTCTCTTTTCCTCGACTACTTCACTAGCACTGTCAAAACGGCAGCTTGCTAGAGTAAGTCTTTTCTTTCTTTTCTTTCTTTCTTTTTTAACTCTTCACTTGATCTTAATGCCCGAAATCAATTTACGAATACGAATAAACAAATATACAACAAAATTTTTTCTAAAAAAAAAAGCGAGAGGGGGGGGGAGAGAGAGAAAGAGAAAGAGAGATACCCCTTTGGAATTGGAACTATGGACTCACAGGGTTGGCGATTACCGCCTTTTTCTTTCCCCATTATGGAGAGAAATTTCAAGATTTTTGATGAACAAATAAAACGAGAGGAGAAAAAAAAACCGATTTTTTTACGGCTGAGGCATCTCTGCTTTTACTCCATACGAGAGTGCTGTGCCAGACTCTTGACAAGGTTTAGCGCTCTGCATGCCTATTTTTCTTTTGTTTTCAAATAAGCACCATGAGGCGTTTACATGCATTTGCGAGTTCAGGATCCTTTCCTTGAATCGCTAGGGACTACAGTCCCTCCCATAATTTGGCGTTGGAGTACGAGGATATAATTGGCAGGGTTGCCATTCGAATCGGCTAGACACGACTTCTTAGTCCCCCACGGAAATATTGCTTCTTCTTTTTTTTCTTTTCCTTTTCTTTTCTTTTTTTTTTTTTTACTTTTTTTTTTAAATAAAAAAAAAAAAGAATGGGAGAGACTACAGATAGAAAGGGATATGTTTTGGTTCCCATATCGTGAAAACTGGGGAACTATCGTCTTTTTTTTTTCTTTGTTGTGATGAGAAATGGCTTTGGCTTGATGAGATTTGAGGGCATGATCTTTATTATGTAGGACAAGTGTACCCATGTATTGTATTAGACTTTTAGAATGGGCAAATGATTGCCAAAAAAGATTCGCTCATAATATTGTGAGCAGTGTTCATGTCATGAATATACGCATCCGTATGCTAGAATTGGCATTGCCGCACCCTTGAATCTCATCTCAGTCAACATTCATGTTCCCCAACAGCATGACATCTAAGCACATCAGGGGTTTTTTTTGTAATTTTTTTGTTTATTTCATGTCATTGCTTCCGTCAAGAGAGAAAGACCTCTCATGCGGAAAGATATAAAAAAAGATTTGTTGCATGCAAATAATTTTTGTATTCCCATTTAAATGCCATGCAAGAACCCTCCTTCCCCTTTCTTTCCGTAGCCTGCCCATACACCTGAAGAAGCCACGAAAGAAAAGTGATGTTCCCTATTGCCCCGAGTGCTTTCGCAAAAAAATACCAGAAGGCGAACTGTCCGCTTTTTCCCCGTCGCTCCATCTTTAATAAAAACAAAGCCATTTATTTGCACATCGTTTTGCCGATTTATGCGGCAGTGATGGCCTTGCGGGCACGGACGGCGCGCTGGCGGGCGGTGAGGCGCTCACGGCCAACAACCTCGTCGGACTTCTGGACGACCTCCTCACCCTCGGTCAGGATGAGCTCGATGTGGCAGGGGTTGGACATGTAGGGGTTGATCTGTTCAATGATGATTAGAAAAGAGCGTTCTTGAGGGTGTGCCGTGTTTTTTTCCCTTTCAACGGTAATGTATTGGCTCAGATAAATATATGTCTTCTCTCGGAGAGGGAAAGAAAACAGATATTGGCCGAGGTTCTCCGCCACATGTTGCGCTGATGAAAGGGGAAAATGGCCATGGAAGATTCGAGGGTATACGTACACGACCGTGGGCACGGTATGTCCGTCTTCGCTGCTTGGGAGCCTGGTTGACCTGGATGTGCTTGACGACGAGAGCACCAGTGTCGAGGCCCTTAGCGTCGGCGTTGGCCTCAGCGTTCTTCAGGAGACCGAGCAGGAACTCGGCGGACTTGACGGGCCATCGAGCCTTGGAAACACCGAACTGCTTGCCTGTTGCACAAAATATCCATCAGCATGACTTGTCCAGAGCCCAAACGTAGTGTTCTTGTTCCAATTCTCTCTTTCTGGGGTATTCCACATCTCATATGTCCATAGAATACCCATGCTCGAAATTGCAAAGGTAGAAACAGGATTTCCAGGTCGTACCTTGGGCGGTGCGGCCAGTGCTGCCGGCATATCGTCGCATGGGGACGGCCTCCTTGTGCTCCTTGACGTTCTCGAGGAACTGGACAGCTCGCTGCAGCTTCCAGCCGTTGATGGCCTGAGCGGTCTCTCGGGTGTTCTTGAAGGAAACTCGGAGGTAGGCACCGCGGGCGCGGGCCGACTTCGCGGGCTGGATCTCGGTCGCGGCGTATCGAACCTGAAATTTTCGCAAAAGAGGCAGACGGTCAGTATGTTTGCTCTGTTTTCTTAAATCTCGCGGTTTGTGCCACTATCATCCTCCATGATGTCTGGCTGCTCTCCAGGATGAACAGCTTTGTCCATATATTTCGGCAACAGTCCCAATTCCCGAACAATCCCAAAATTTCCTCCTCTTTCAAACATTCTCTCGACCAAATCAAACGCAGCATGGGGGCAGGCACTCACCATCTCGACGGCTTATGGTGTGGTGACTGATTCGACGACGTGGGTTCGCGGGCTGAAGTTGAGAAATTCTGAACTTTTGCCCTAAAGCGCTGGCAGGGAACCACAATGTTCGCTTACCCCTTCAGGAAGTGTTAGGGCTACTCTGCCCTGCTCCAATCAAATGGCGGCAACACGGGCTTCACTTACTAACACGGTAGATTATACGCTTGAAAACGGTGGAAGCAGGCGACAAAATTACACGAAAACTAGGAGAAAAAAGTTATTAAATCAATTATATTTTTTTCAAGTCGATATGCCTGTATATAATTCATTCATCAGTCAAATTAAGCCGTGCATTTGAGTTTTTCTTCTGCAAAATTGTATTTCTCAATGCATCTTCACCCAACATCACATGACCTTCACTGCTGATTCAGCATAACTCATTTACACGTGACCATGATGTGAACTTTTTTTCTCTTTTTCAAAAAAAAAAAAAAATTCAGCCCGGAATAATGTCGGTGCGACAAGCCCCGCAAATCAATTCGATCTAGCCGTTCATGGCCACAGTGGGGGCTGCAGACTAAAGCTTCTTGCGAAAAGCTTCAAAAATTTCTTTTTCTCGCCGAGCCTCTCAGAAATCAAACGTGTTTGGCAGACCCAATTACAAAGGCAACTCCAGCCTTTTGAGTCGATCTCCTGCCATCTATACTTTCCACAAGCCAATAACTCCTCTCGACTCACTTTTCTGGGTTGAATTCCACTTTTCGCGTTCAATCGCCGCTCGAACTCGATCCCAAAAACTTTTTTTTCCCTTCTCTTTGATCCCACTTCATTGAAATGGCGCCTTTCACTGCTCGAGGCGGTCGCGGTGGCCCTGGTGGTGGCCGAGGAGGTGGTGCTCCTCGTGGAGGCCGTGGTGGCTTCAGCGGCCGTGGCTCTGCCAACGGTGTTCGAGGACGAGGTATGCTGCTCGTCCTGCCATGTCATTTGCGACTCAACTTTTCTGGAGGCTAACTCGTGATATCAGGTGGTGGCCGAGGAGGCCCTGGCGGTCGTGGCGGCCGTGGTGGCCCTGCCCGTGGAGGACGAGGTGGCCGCGGTGGTGCCCGCGGTGGTGCTGGCGGCATGAAGGGCGGTGCCAAGGTCGTCATTGTACGTTTTGAAAACCCTCGCGATGCAAAACTTTGTCTTTTCCCCAAAGTGACGTTGAACTGACTTCTTTTTTTTTCTTCTACCTTAGGAGCCTCACCGTCACGCCGGTGTCTTCGTCGTTCGTGGTGGCAAGGAGGACGGCATAGCGACCCGTAACCTCACCCCCGGCGAGTCTGTCTACGGCGAGAAGCGCATCAGCGTTGACGAGGCCGTTGAGAACGACGACGGAACCACCACTACCACCAAGGTCGAGTACCGACTTTGGAACCCCTTCCGAAGCAAGCTTTGCGCTGCCATCGCCGGTGGTGCTGACGACATCTACATTCGTCCTGGCTCTCGTGTTCTCTACCTCGGTGCTGCCTCTGGTACCTCCGTCTCTCACGTTGCCGACCTTGTTGGCCCTACTGGTTTTGTCTACGCCGTCGAGTTCTCCAACCGCTCTGGCCGTGATCTCATTGCCATGGCTGCCAAGCGACCCAACGTTGTCCCCATTGTCGAGGATGCCCGTCAGCCCGTCCGTTACCGCATGGTCGTCCCCATGGTCGACGTCATCTTCGCCGACGTTGCCCAGCCCGACCAGGCCCGTATTGTTGCCATGAACGCCAACTGGTTCCTCAAGCAGGGTGGTGGTGTCTTGATCTCCATCAAGGCCAACTGTATCGACAGCACAGCCCCCGCCGCCGAGGTTTTCGCCAGCGAAGTCCAGAAGATGCGTGCCGAATCCATCAAGCCCAAATTCCAGCTCACCTTAGGTAAGATTTCGCTCTATTCACAAATTCGACTGTAGAAACCAACTTCTAACTAATTGCTTTTTTTTTAGAACCCTTCGAGCGTGATCACTGTCTGGTTGCTGGTATTTACACACGCGGCGCCTAAACAGCGATCATGGGGTAATGATGATTATCTATCGGCCTGTATAAAGTCCTGATTGCCAAAAAAAAAGTCTTGTTTGCTTGGTTTTCACGAAATGATTCCCAATCAGGCTGCTACTTGCATCTAAGCTCTTCGTGCGCCGAACGGTATCGGTTTTAAAGGGATTGATTCATTCAATAATGGCATGGGGCGTTCCGGATAAGGGGATCTTGCTTAGCTTTGAGCTTGTGTTACTTGTTACTATATGGGGTGTTTTAAGGCCCAGTGCAGAAGAATACTAGTACTTTTCAAAAACTTTATAATTCTTCCTTTGATCTATTTGATATCTCATGTAGACTGTCATGGGTATATCTCAATCTCTGAGGGGGATTTTTTCATGGCTTGGTCGAAATAACATGATACAGTGACGATGTCGGAAAGTTCCATTACATTTCTCCCTCAATGAAATTTCACTCAAAGACATTCAAATCACTGATACTGGTTGAATACATGATTAAATAGGTTTGTTTTGTTTCAAGCTTTCTCCCTGAAATATTGTCTATGCTCGTATATAATGCATATTGACTACGCCGACGTCATGCTACCTAGCCAACGCCCACTTGATACCCATATACCAAATAGAAGAGATATTCCCAAATAAACGCCAGACGCGCATATACTCATAATAGGTAGCCGTAAATCAATATTTATCTCTTCATTCTCTCTTTTTTTTTAAAAAAAAAAAACTCCCAAAAAAACAACAACATGGGGGTATTAATTCGCCAACTGCCGCCGCCTAAATTCAAACTCTGTATTCGGATTTGGCCCCTTTGTCATGACCAAGGCCATTGGCTGCGGCCGTTTGTCTCCCTTCTTCAACCTTATGTCATAATTGATGAGGAAGAATGCCAGAATGAGTTTGATCTCATTGCCAGCAAAGAATCGACCGGGGCAGGCATGCTTCCCCGCGCCGAAATTGAGATTCGTGTCGTTGAGCGATGTGAACTGCCAGCGGTTGCTCGCCTCGGCCGACTCTTGCCGCATGTGATAGAAGCGTAACGGATCTAATTCCGTAGGGTTGTGGAAAAACTGCTCGTCAATAGAAATGCCTGCTTGCGGAGCTAGGACTCTCGTGCCTGCGGGTAGATGCGTGCCGTCTGAGAGATCGATGGGCTTTATGACCTTGCGGATAAAAGAAGCTGCTCAAACTGTTAGACATTGGCGCAGACAAAGAAGATGAGAGTGTAGTTGATAATGACTTACTAACGTTCCCACGGAGCCGCTGGACCTCTCGCATGAAGCTGTCGAGTTTCTTGAGCTTGGTCATGCTTTCCTTGCGAGCCCAGCCATTCTCTGCCTCTAGTATTTGATAGGCCTCTTCTCGCAGCTCTTGCTGAATTTCAGGGTGATCGGCAAGATCTGCCATGCACTCAAACAAGAGGTTATTGGTGGTGTGAATGGACGCAGCAGCCAAGATGAGTTGCAGTAAGGCGTGAGTGTCCACGTCAGCCTTTTCTTCTTCGGGAAGAGCTTCAATAAGCCATTGCATCAGATCATTCGGTGGTTCGTGACAGGCCGAAATTTCCATGTCACGTATTCTTTCCTCCAGCAAGGGCTTCAATAAAGATTTAGCAATGTCAATATCTTTCCGTATCTTGCGCAAGTCTGACACGGCGTATTGAGCGATGGGACGAAACCATTCAGGGAAAAACTGCAATTTGATAACAGACATGAAGACGTCAATGGCAAAATCAATGGTGACTTTGAGCCACTGCTCTTCGCGATTGAGCCAAGGCCCGACGAAAGCCCGGCCGCTCAGCCGAGCAATGCCGCGCAGAGCAAACGGCTGCCATTTGACAGGCGTCCAGTCATCGCAAGCTGGGAACTCGGTACCGATGTAATGCTCTAGTTCGCTCTTGAGCTGGGGGATCAGTTCGGCGAGATTCTGCGTTAAACGAGTTCTGACAAGAAGTGATAGCATTTCGCCGTTGTGTCCCGGCGAGAATTTGGTGTACTTGGTTTGAAGAGCCTATTTCCATTCAACGGTTAGAACTGGGGGTGTGCAGGATATGAAAGTCGGCATCCTACATCAGCTACAGCCTCTGTGGCGCTGAGAACATCCTCGGGTAAACCCTTGATCTCAGCAATGAATTTTGGGGGAATAATGGCCTGAATCCCCTCTGTTGCCTTGATCTGATAAACCTGGTCTTGAAACTAGATTGGCTTGTAAGCAAGTCATCAAGGCTTTGGACACTTGGCAAGGTGATGTAAGCTTTACCTGTTTGTAGCTTTTGACAATCTGTGATTCTGCATCAAATATCCATTTTAATTTTGAGGTCTTGTAGAAAGGAACACAAAGCTTGCTGGATTCGGGGTTTGATCGCAAAAAAAGCCAGACAGAAAGCAGCACGGTGAGGATGGTCAGGTAGTAGCCGGTGCGTGGCGTCCAGTAGGCGGACAGTGCTGACGATTCAGCTGCCCACGGAAAGGACGTGGAGTTAGATTGGGGATCCATGGCGGTTGTTTATGATTACGGCGCAAAAAAACGGTGTTGGAGTGCGGGCAATGGAGATATAAAAGACAAGTTGCCGTCATCGCCAGCCAGCGGTAGAGAATATAAGCAGCAAACGAGGCGTCGCCATGTGCTGGTGCTCGTTTGTGAAACCCGTGTATCGAGGAAGCACTGCAGGGAGAAGCAAGGCATAGGCTCTAGAGACTCCTTGATCGCACAGCAGTCCCTTGCGCTGAAGTTTCACAAGACAGCCGGCAGACAATGCTCAGATATCCGCGATGGGCTCTCCACGAGGCGCGGGCTGGCCATTAATACTGCACCGCCAACCAGGAAGCCAGCGAGCGGGTCTCGACGCAGCTGGGACGTGATGAGCGTGACTAGCGGCTGCTGCTCAGCACGGACTGGATGGATATTATAATCAAAGCAAGAGAGACGCAGAGAAGGGGATGTGGGAGAGGGGATTCAGCCATTCAGCCGCCGTCGTCCTTGTCCTTGTCCTCATACTTCTGCCACGATCTCCAACCGCTGGCTGCGGCAACAGCTGGAGCAATAGCTGGAGCAATAGCTGTAGCAATGGCCGTAGTGGCTCGCCGCATCCTTACGCGCGCGCCCCTCAGCGACAATCACGACCGCATCCGATCGGGCGAAATGAAGAGAAAGGCTTCCATCGCCGTGGAACGTTGCTGAAACAGGACGAGGTGCGTCTCAGAAGCGTCCGGGAAAAGCAGTTCCCGACGCTTAGTGCGTTTAATAGCGGCGACAAGGCGGCCCACGCGGGGCAACCAGACTACATACCTACCTAGTAATTGTCCACGGGGATCGGCGTACCTAAAATATATTAACACTCAACGTTATCAAGCTGTTTTGTTTTCATTTGTTTTGCAGCATGACTGCATAAATGGCGGTTGATTCTGAAAATAGCAGCATCTGGGCGTGGAAGCTGCAGAAGCTGGGGGCGGCACCGAGTTTAAACTTGTGGCTTGTCGATGTCGATACGTTCAACCTTGGCGGAGCTGATCCCTATCCGCGCCACGCTTTTCTCCCATGTCAGCAGCCCCTTGTGTGTTACAGGCGTGATTCGGATATTGCCCGCCTTTACACTTGAATGGGCCAAGCTGGTTCAAACACGGGGACGGAGGCCTTGCCTGGGGAAAGATTTTCCTCTCTTCTTTTCTTATTGAAAGAGCCATGACAAATCTCTCTTGACTGTAACTACCGTCTTGGAGATGCCATGGCGGCATGGATATCAGTAGAAGTATCCAAGGGAATAAGTTGAGACTCAGAGTGCTCTACCTGTACATGTTGATAATATGACCAATTTCTATGACAAGTGTGACAATGTGCGGCTAATAGCAGTAGTAAAGATACAATGCGCCTCATAATCTTATACGACAGCTTATCATATGGGGAATTAGAGCAAATTTGGCCGTTTGTCTCTTGATTAAGAATATAATAGTTCCGGCGGCACACATGGGCAGGGACTTCAATAGGCATATACGAAGCAAAAAGACGTCAAAGGAGCTGACAGCCTTTATTCCTCTCCTCATCTACTTGGCCACTATCAATGACCCGACATCTACCCGCAATATATAAAGATAGTAGTAGTAGTATATGTAAATGCACTTAGACCAGCGCAACTAGATAGCATTTTTACTTTAAAATCAACTTCACCCGCCCAACAATCCCCAAACCGGCTCCGACTATTAGCACGCACGCGTCAATCAGCAAGCCTTACACTGCATACACGTATAATCCACCCCTCTCACACACGGAGAAACATATGCCAGCAGCCAAACAACGTGTAAGCAGTAAGCGAATTACTGAATTCCAGCCCCATCGAATTTCCCCAATCGGGAATTATTACCCGTCCAACCATTGAAGAGTGTCGTTCACGAAGCAGGCATCTCCACTTCGAACTAAAGCAATACGATGAGCCAATCATTCCTTGAGGCCAACACTGGGATATCGATTTCCAGGCTTGTACTGTACAAATGACACCGGACCCGGCCATCTGGTAAATACGTCTTAATATGTACTATTCTTCTTTTATTCTAGATAGCCTAGCATCGGGCCGTGCTGATCGTCATCGTCGTGCCGGGATCACGCAGCATGTGGGCCACTGCAGACTATTCTGTTCAAACGACGTCTCTTTATAAGATGTAAGGATATATTCGAAGCTGAAGGATTACTGCTAAAGCTACGGTTTTGAAAGTTGATGATAAGTTTATGTTAGGATTATGTTTGTTTCAGACCGAATAAGCTGTGTAGGGCTACACGAGCAAGCTATGCACAATCTATCAGAGATTTCAGCATCGACACAATCACCCTCAAAATAAACCATCATTAATTATCTTATCAAACAAATTTGAATTGTATGTCTATATCTATATGACTGACTATATAAGCCCAAAGATAAGCTCAATCAAAAGAGAAAAGAAAAGAAAAACTCCAGCTTATGCATTGCTATCCATCCCTTTTCGTTTCCAAAAACTTCATTAAACACCCCTACTTCCCCTTCCTCTCTTCTATATTCCCGCTTAAGCACCATAGACCTTGACACGGTCGTCAATGTTCTGGAACTCCTTGGGGCCAGCCTCGCCAGACTTGCCACCAAAGACAAGCTGGGCATCCAGTCTCCAGGTGGAGGGGATCTTCCAGGCCTCGGCAACCTTCTCGTCAATCAGAGGGTTGTAGTGCTGCAGGTTGGCGCCCAGGCCCTCGAGCTCCAGCGCGGTCCAGACGAGCAGCTGCTCCATGCCCAGGGAGTGGACGGCCCAGGTGGGGAAGCGGTCGGCGTAGAGGGCGAACTTGTCCTGCAGGGCCTTTGTGGCCGAGGTGTCCTCGAAGAAGAGCACGGTGCCGGCGGCGCCCTTGAAGAGCGAGAGCTTGTCGGCGGTGGCCTTGAAGTTTTCGGCGGGGACAATGGCCTTGAGGGTGTCAGAGGTAATGTCCCACAGCTTCTCGTGCTCGCCGCCAAAGAGCACGACGGCGCGGTTGGTCTGGGAGTTGAAGGACGAGGGCGTGTGGAGGGTGGCGTCCTTGACGATCTCGTGGATGCGGGACGTGGAGATGGGGAGGTCCTTGTTGAGGGTGTAGATGGAGCGGCGGACCTTGGCCATCTGGAAGAGGAGATCGGCGGAGAGCTTGGCAGCCATTGTGAAGTTTGTGGTGGTGGTGGTGGTGTTGTCTTGGTGGAGGGAAGAGTTGTTGAGAGTTGTGAGGTTGGAAGTCACAAAGAGGAATGAGCTGAGAAGCTGAGAGAACTGAATGATTGCAGTGGTTGCTTTATGCTATGAGGAAGATGTTGTTTCTGTCTAGAGCAGAGACTCACTTACAACAGCGAGGAAGGGGGATGGTTATATAGATATTTCAACTCAAGGCCATGCTACTAACTCCGAGCAATACTAAGAAAGGAAAAAAAAAAAAGCCAAAAGCGATCGACTCGAGCCATTCAACGCCCAAGCCGAACCCCTGACCCACGCAAACCCAGATCAACATTGGCAGATAGCATGATAGCACTGCGGACTAGAAGGCGAAAGAAGACGCCATCGATGGGAAAAGAATGGAGAAGTCGAGACTCCAGCCGCATTAGACATCATGACCAAAGCAAAGGGGAGCAAACTAGGCCATGCTTATCCCACGCCCCTTGCCGAAAAAAGCTCCACTTGCATTGGCAGCAACACACTCTTTTGAGCCGAGACGGGCGAGTCACAGCAGAGTTTGGGACACAATTGCCACACAGCCTAGCAATTGCCAAGTGGATATTCTCTTTTTCCTCTTCGTATTTTGGGCCCTGAAGATCAAGTACAAGGCGGAAAGAACTGTCCCGGAATGTAACTTTTTTTTTTTTTCTTTAATCAGGGTCTGCTTCTTTCCGCATATTCGATATACACTTAGATACAAGTCCATACTACAGTAAAGCTATTGATAGTAAAAGAAACTTAAACCACTCAGCTCGAGCGTACTATTAGATAACTCATAGATGAAAAATGTATATTCAAGCTATGTGTATCATGTAAGCGGAACAAAAGGAAAAATCTCATCTCAACCCATCGGAATGCGGAAAGTTTCAAAAAGAACTACAAGTATTTCCACCGGAAAAAAAAAAAAAACAGGGGTAGTGGCTAAAGCGGCTGAGCGGGAATAACGAGCCCCACTAAGCCGCCAATAGAGCCGCGCGCTACAGTATTATGGAAGCTGGATAAGAGAGAGGAATTAGAAAAAGGGCACCACAGTTGATTTCCCATCCGTTAACTAAGCATTTATAAGCCCGTGGGCTATTATGACGGCAGAAACTCCGTGAGCACCCTTTAGCCTTCTCTAAACGTACTACCGTTGCAGAAACACAAATGTTTATTTTTTTTTTTCTCGAATTGGCAGAGCATGTGAGCAATTAGTTCTTTTCATTGGATAAGCAATCGAGATACCATTATCTACTATACCGCATTTACTCGCTCTACTACCTAGGCATCAATAATGGAAATACGGAATACCTGAATCCTTCACTTCCTTTACCAGAGATGGCATTAATAACGGCTCTATACATCCCTCTGGTTAGATAAGAAGAAGAAAAAGACCAAAAAGGATGCATATAAATAGAACTAATTATACAGCTGACAACTCACTGCAACACCATTGTAGTCATTCCCCATTGCAGCATACTCAGCCTTCTATGCGTCATCGCGTCCGAAGACTCACTCATCCCGCTTCGACGCCAATCCCTTTACAGCACCATTACCAATAAGACGTGTCGAATTTTCCTCATTTGGACAAATGCTATCTGATAATTCTGATGTTCAAATTCTTGGTATAGGCTGCCTATCCCACTCTCACGACTTCACTCCAAAACTCTCTGCTCGTAGTAACCCCCAACGATCCTCTCCTCATTCTCATTCATCGTTTTCCAAAAAAAGATATAAAAAATAAACAAGGGAATTCAATTACAAGTATATACGCTTTCTCCCAGCCACAGACATGCCCAAACATCTCATTTCCCAGACATGCTCATTCAACCAAGTATGTAAAAGCCAAGAGGAATAAAATAATAAAAATCAAAAACAAGTAGAAAAACTCCAGTTCCGTAATGCTTTGTTTCCTTCCCATACACTATTTCTCACGGGTTGCTTGCGCCCCGGATCAGTGCTTTTGTCTACTCCTTTCATCTAGTAGAGCTATTGTATTCCCTCCCCCGCCTGGTACTGTCCAAACTTGCCCCTTCGGCAAGGGTCTGACCAATTTCATGTTTTGCTCTTTCAATTTTTGTTTTTTTTATCTTTCCCATATGCAAATGCCAAGCCAGTATGGTAAAACAAGAGGAAAAAAAAAAGAGAAAATGTAGAAAATTGTAAATGAAAAAAGTGCTTTCAGGAGTAAAAGGTAAAATGACGAGTTTAAAAGAAAAATGTGGTTAAGAAGAAAAGTCGAGATACTTCACCACGTCTCGGCAATGTACTGACCAGCCTCCTTCTTGAGCTGCCAGAAATTGCGAGCCTCTTCGCGCTCGAGGTTGCCCTTGGCCATGGCAACGTCCACAAGAGCCTCCTCAACGCCCTCGCCCATACCCTTGGAGCTGCCGCACACAAAGATTCGGCCGTCAACAGCGTTAACGATGCTCCAAACGAGGTCGGACTGGTTTCGGACTTCCTCCTGGACATATCTGCCCTCACCACGGCGGCTCTGCACCACCTTCTTCACCTCGTCTTCGTGGACACCCCACTCGCCACTGTAGATTTCATCTACCAGCGAGTCTCGGATGCCTTGCAGCACCCACACCTTGTTGGCGCAGTTGGCCTGCTTCAGGCGTCGCTGCACGAAGCCTCGGAAAGGCGCAATACCCACGCCGGCTCCAATCAGAAGCATAGGGCCCTCGGCGTTGAACTGCTTGGCCAATGGGTTCGCCATCAGGCCCTTGAACATGGGAATGTAAACTTCCGTCTTCTCACCGGCCTCTTGGGCCTTGATGAACTTGCGGGCCTGTCGCTCAAAGAAGCCGGATCCCACGCCCGTTCGAGTTCCCTCGCGCCAGTCTCCAGTCTCATGAACCGTGACGGCGATTTCAATCAGGCGGTGCTGCTTCTGGTCGCCCCTCTGGAACGACTCGTGTGGGTCATTGGAAAGAGAATAGAAGCGTGGCATGAGCTGCTGCAGGGCTGAGAGAAGCTCGTCCATAGGTGGGTGGGCGCTGGGGAAGGCATGCAGCAGCTGAGAGATGGAAATGCTAGGACCAGATCGGAAGTCGCAGAAAGCCCCCTGTCCTTCAGCGGCGCAGAGGAAGCTGAGAATCTTCTTTTCGTTTTCTGCAGCAGCGTGCTCGGCCAACACTCGCAGCAGTGCTTTGGTGGGGGGATATGACTGGAGGTCCGCGCACCAGGTCAGCAAATCCCGGCGAGTGGTGGCGAGCTCACGGGGCTTGTCGTCTCCCCAGACGGTAGGCCAGCGGCCCTTGGTCGTCTTCATCAGCACAGGCTTGTCTCGAAGGAAGCGTGGCACCATCAGGGCATCCAAGACGTCCTCGACCACGGCCTCAGAGTTGGGGGCCATGACGCCAATGGCACCGCCGACCTTGAAATCAGTGTTTTCCTCTTCGGGGTAATCTGTGATATCCAGGTCGAAGTGGAAAGTACGCTTCTCAGCACCTGGCCTTGTAAGCTCGCGCGCCGTGTGGATCTTGGCGGGGAAGACGTTATATGGAGGGTGAGGCTGGACGAATCGCGGCGGCTGAATGGTCGTGTCAACAGTCTTGAACTTTTCGAGGGGGATCTTGGTCAGTTTGGCGCTGTCAATCTCGTTATCACGCCCCAGAGAGATTGCAGAATCAGTGGGAGAAGATGGGCTCGGGGGCTTGGGGACCGAGCTGAATGAGATGGTCTGCTCTGGCAGGTCGGCCAACTTGGTCAGGACGGTCGGGATGTCGCCAATCTTGAGGCCGAGGGACCGATAGGCATCGTTATCGGGCTCCGTGACCTTTTCGTATTCAACGCCAGCTGGTCTCGCACCGCCCATCAAGCAGCAGCCGCCGCCACAGCAGCGAGTGACGAACTCGGCAGTCGTCTCTCCCGTGATGCGCTGGATATCACGAGCACTCTGGGCAATCAGTCTCGTTGAGGCGCGTCTCTGGCGAGGCTGCTCAACCCGGATGGGTTCATCTTGATCATCTGATTCGTCCGAGTAAGTCAACGAGGGGGCTATAGACTCGGGCTTGGGAGCTGTGTGGATCTCCTCGTTTGTCCCGAGGGACAGGTTCTGCATTCGGGCAGACTGCAGCATTTTGGGCTGTCGTGGTATATAGGTATGTATTCGATAGGTCGAGTAAGGAAGAAAGGGAGTAGCAAGGAGAAAGAGAAGAAGAAGAAACGGTCGTAAGAGTCAGCAGAGAGAGCACTGCGCCTCTGTAGGATGTAAGATGTAAGATGGGAACTGTCCGCCAAGGCAGCTAGAGGGAAAGAGGACAGAAGAATCCGGGGCAGAAGAGACTAAGTAAAGGAAGACGCAAAGACCCGGGAGATTGGGACTGGCGCACGGATATGGTCAGCGGCCCAAGGGGACAAATTGAGTCGTACGAGAATCGAGGTTGGATGGTTTGATGTTCGGAAGAGGTCAAAGGGCTGTTGCGAGTAGTAGTGGGAAAAAAATCCCGAGTACGGCTTATCCGAGGCTTTGCTGGCTTGCCCGTAGCGAGCCCGCTAGAAAAATGCGCCGAGCCACACATGCAGGCAAACACACACCGTTTTTGTTCCAATGCTTTACGCATTCAATTGACCCCAACATCCGTCTACGGAGCCCACTCGACCCGCTCAATTTTCGACGGGCTTAGTAGGACCAGATTGATTGACAGGAAAAGAACTTTGCCCAGAGGCCTGCGGGCGCTGCTGATTGGCTGGGGGGGCGATAATGGCCATGAGCAGTGGAGCCGGTCGATGCCGATTATTGGCGGATGGCCAACGCCACGATGAGCTAATGATGGGTGCTGATTGATTGATTGAGACTGATTGATAAAAACTTACCACATGCTGAGGCTTGCAGCTGCACCCGCATGGCTACACACAGTGCAGTGGGAAGAGCCGGGCGCATTGCCGTCTTTATCAATCAATGACGCATCGCCGTCGCACATTCCAAGACACAACAGCAGCAGGGCATCCCGCCTTTGTCACCCGAAGAGGAGGCGCCTCTCTCTTTTCCTCCTGGTTCTCGCCTCCCGCCCTGGGATGCGATTGAGGTGCTCCGCGTTCAGCCGGGCCTCCCAGGACAAGGGACTTTGTAGCGACTACTCCGTAGGTAGTGGCATCAATTGCACCGATCGCCGGATCCCCCGCCCCATCTTTGCAGGGACCCCCAACATTGTCGGGATTTTTTGCGCCTTTTAAAACTGGCCTCTCTATCGCTGGACCTGGAGCGGCAGGAAGCGGCAAAGCGACCGAAGCAGTAAGCTGCTGATCATAGAGTACGGTACAGTCGCCTGCAAAGCCTGCAAAGCCAGTTTGGGCAGTAACATAAGCCACAAACAAGCCCCCCCTGCCTTTTGACTTTGCAGCATTGATTGATATTCATATTTCGGCTGAAACTATCGGGTGAACTGCCTTTGCCACCGCTCACTTTGGGAGCAAGCAGAGCGCACAAGTGGGAAAATGTTTCCCCCCTTCTATGGGGTACATACATACAGTAGGATAGAGCACTAAAAAAAAAAAAAAAAAAAAAAAAAAAAAAAAAAAAGCAAAAGAAAAAAAATCGGGCTGTCGTACAAACTGGAGACGTGCGTGTTTGTGCGTCTCCGGGGAGGTCTGCGTTACGCCAATCAGCACGCCACTTGCGCCATTCCCAACCGCCAAGTGCGCCGAGGGAAGAGAAACTTGGAACAAAAAGCTGCGGCCGTGCATGAAGCACGGGGGTCACCGTCATCCTGCGTTGCAAGGGCGAATTATCTGATCCATCTTATCAATCCCATCTAATCTTGTCTGCTCTCCTCTCGTGCTGGTGCTTGGGCACGCACACTCTCCTTTTGCGGAGCCCAAACATCTCACGACGTGTCTCTGATTCAAGCGTGCCGATTTCGGTCGTCTTGAATCTTGTGCCTGGCAAATGGCAGTACGAGGCACCATACTGCACTCCGCTTGTACTCTGTGAAAACAATTTGCCATGTGCTATTTGCTGTTCATCTTACTCCTCCCCTATCCTTCCCATTCCTGCCGAGCGAGTAAGCCCAATCAGATAGCCAAAGACGCAGCTGTTGGCAAACAGTCATGCCACATATACGTATTCTAGCCCAATTGAGAAGATGTATTGTGCATGGTGCATGCCAAGCGCCCCCAGTGTGTTGTGAAAAAAAAAAAAAAAAAAAAAAGTAAGCGATGGCTTCAGCACCTTCAAGATTAGCACGGCACTCGGTGATACCCTGCAACAGCCGCGGCATCACCTCAACGCAAGCTGACCTCGTGTCTCAGCAATCCCCCGATAATCTAATCTCCCATCTGATAAGATCCAGCTGAATTTGCGGTGAGAAGGAAAGAGAAAAAAAAAAGGGACGGCTTGGCAGCAGCCGTACTACGGGGTGTTACATGCTAACATGGCCTTCTCCATACCATCTCTCACATACCCGCATGTGAATAGCCTCGTCGACCCGCTAGGCGATCGAACCGATCAATCGTGGCAGCCCAACAAAAACCTAGCCGCAATTGGCAAAAACTGGCTCCTTGTTTGCGAGTCCTTCTTCATCCTCGGGTTCCAACCCCCCCAACTGTTCATCAGATCAACCGCAATTTCCGAGATCTTGTGGTTAAGCTCACCCGGTGGCGTGACATTTCCCCCTTCCAACCCAACGTTCCGGACAGTGAATATTTTAGAGATTTACGAATACGAGTAAGCTCAAAAGCATTCAAGAAAACGCATGTTGCTATTTCTTTCTTGCTTCATCCAAGCGACGTCTAGGTTAACCGCTGACGTTTGACCATACACAATCCTGCTACCCTAGCAAGTTCTCATATAACATGGACTCAAATCTTAAAGTACCGGTAGTAGTTTAGACATTGGCAAAGCGTCGCGGCTAAGCATTAATAAGATTCTCTTCATATGTAGTAAAGCCAAGTGCTGGAAATCTTAATCTCCCCTTTATCTCTCTAGCTTGACACGCTGGTTGCATCTAAGATGGGAGCCTTCCCCCACCGTATTTTCCCTCATGATACATGTGATACAGGATATCCGAGGAAGCAATGCGTCGTCTGCCATCTCCAATACTAGGTGCTACAATCGCCCAGTGACATAGTAGGGTTACTGTGTACGGAGTAAAGTAAGCCACCCGTTACTCACCAGCAGCCAATAAAACCATCTTGATACAAGCAAACCATATAATTGAGAAGAAAAGTGAGGCTCCAACATCCATCAACGAGCTTAATTTATATATGTACGTATATATAGTAGCGGTATGGGGTAAAAATGAAGATCAAAAAGTAAAATAATAGTAAGGGACACAAATGAAACCAATGCTGATAAAGCTCAATGCCACGCTCTGCATAACACGCGATGGAAGGGTACTTGACAAATGACGATGCTGGTGCAGTCGCTATGCAGAGGAGAGTGGTTGCAAGAAAAGAAAAGAAAGAAAATTGAGAAACAAGAAACAAAAATTATGCCGGTGACAAGGTATAAATAGCCTCCCCCATTTTCTTTCACCACTTTTTTTTTTCCCAATCCAGTACGCAATATCCAATATATCGTCCTTCTTTCTTCGTTACTGTTGTAGTACTTTTCTTTTTGTTTTCTTTTTTTTTTTCTTCATCACGGTTTTTCTTCTTCTTCTCTTGTTTTGCGTCATGATTCGTCGGCTGCTGCATCCATCTTGCGCTCCAAGCTTCTGGTTGCCGCCGCGGCTGTCCCCTTGACAGGTCGTGGACTCAACACCTGAGGCACTGACTGTGCAATGCGAGTCTGGGATCCAATGGGCTGTGTCGATATACCTTGACTCGTCCCTCCTGATACATCATCCGTCTTCCCTCCCAGCTTGCGCAATAGCATCGCTGACTGCTGTTGAGCTAGCTTCTCTAATTGCGCTGTGGGATCCTTGTCAGGAAACTCCACGTCAGCTACCCAGCATTTATGTGTAGTCTATTTAGCTGCTTTAGATTGATTAGTACGTACCCATTCGGCCTGTGACGGCACGCCCTCAGCTGCCGGCAGCACTTTTCCAGCGGCATCACGCCCGCGAGGAACTGGCGCTGGTGTGACTGGCAAGCTGGGCCGCTCCGTCTCAGTAGGGAAGTCAGTAACCTTGAAGCTACGCTTTGTCTCTTCCTGTTCCTCTTCGTCGTCGTCAACGTCCTCATCTCCTTCCTTTCCACGGCTGCTTGATCGGTGGCGCTTCTCAATTGCTTCCGCATACTTGGAGATGCTAGGGTCTTCATCCCAAGCATTGCCTCGAGAATATGTTGTCCAAGATGCTGTTCCTGCCTCGCTCTTATTGTCCGATGTCTTGGAGACTGGGGACTTGGGAGGCGATTTGGTTACTGAGGAACGAGCACCTGAAGGCTTGGAGGTCGCAACTTGTGGCTGTAGCTCTGGCTCATCACCGTAAAAGGATCTGGTTGCCTTGGGCTGTTTTCCCTCCCATGGGAATATGGGTCGTGGTGTCTGATTCTGCCCACCCCAGTTCTGAGGCGTATCATTTCGAGTATCGGCTAGAGAGGCGCTCCTGATGCGAGTTCGTGTTAGTTTACGTATTCTGCTGAAAGGTTGGATGAACGAGATCTATCATCTTACTTTTGAGCCTCGTAGGCCTGGTTATAGTTTCCACCGCCATTTGCAAGCTGGGAAATTTCCTAGATGGAAAAATTAGCCGAGGTTTAATTGCAATTGATAGTGCTGCTGTAAACTCACCTTCTCGCGGTAGTGGCGATCATACACGGCCCACCATCTGCCAACCATTTCGTCGTAGGCTGAGCTTCCATATGAAGCGTTACGGCCAGCACGCCAGGGCTTGTCTGGGCCAATGAAGTGGACCATGTTGATGCTGGACTGGAAGTGTCGGTAGGCAGGGAGGTATTGGTAGTGCGCGGAAGGAGTGACGTTGTAGGTGAAAGGCAAACGGTGGAAGTTGTTCTTGAAGTAAATGTTGAGGAGACCCTGGTCGGCACCATCGAAGGAGATGCCCCTCTCGGTCATGGCGACCATGGCGTGGTAATCGCCGGTGTTGGGCGTCAGTGCCATGACGCCGGTGTTGAAGAGGTCGGGCCAACCAATATCGGGGGAAGCCGCAAAGGCGTGTGGGAGATCGAAGAGCTCGTCCGGAGCTCGGTAGGCAACGACGTCGGCATCGATGTAGACAATTCGCGAGAACTGCGTCTGCTTCCACAGGTTGATTTTTGTAAAGGCAGAGTGCAGATCAGCACGGTTCATGAGGTACAAGTTGGCGGGCTTGTCGTTGCGGATTCGGGGGACAGGCAAGACATAGTCGTAAACGGTCTAATTGCTCGCGCAAAGAGGAGAGAAAGCGTAAGTCAGCGAATTGTTCTCTAATGTATGCATATAGACGTATATCTTGACTCGAAAGCGTACCTTGAGCTGGACAATGGCGTCGGCGGTCACACCATCGAGAGTGACCAGAACTGCGAGCTTCTTGGTGGTTCCCGCGTCACGGAGCGAGTGAGCAAGCACCAGGGCACCTAATAGTTCATTAGTTACAATACGTCTCCAGGGGGGGGGAAATGGCGGGAGACAACATACCGGGAAGGTAGGCATCGTTCAACAGAAGCTATAAGAAGACAGCCACGCCGTGGCGACAATGTTAGCTTTCCGTTCTTTGAGCTATATAACGCAGAGAACAAGCGGGGGAGGGAGGAACAAGGACGAACCGTAGCATATGCATGCTCGCCCCAGCTTGGATCAGCCATTATGAGCTAGATGAGAGCAAAGGTTATAGCTAGATACGCAAAAAGGATGGAAGAAGATAACAGGAGGGGTATTCCGCAGTCTCTGAAATCACGCTTACGGGACAGAGAAACGAGAACGACCTTTACGGAGGAGGAGCAGAGGGAATAAGAAGAAGAGGGGAGAGGAAAAAAAGGAGCTCCGGGAGTGGGAACAGCAGCGGTAGAAATAAAGAAAGCGTTGGGAGGCAACTTTATGGTGATGGAGGTTGGAATTGGGTACGGCGCAAGAGGGTGGCGTAGTTTAAGGTGCCGTCGGGTTGGCGCTACTGTTTTTCTCTTCATCATTGATGCGACTGCGACTGCCTGCTGCTGCTACCTAATGGCTAGGTGCTAGACCTGGTAGCCCATCTATCCACAACCTGCTAAGCAGGCACTAACACACCGATTGCTTGAGGCCATCTCCATCCCCAAAGGCACCTAGACCATCCAGGTAGCTATCTGTCCGACAGCTGATGGGCGGCACCACAGCCATTGGAGCAGTCGCAGGCCCGCGCTAGCACACCTGTCATCGAGCTAGCAGCCACTAGCAGCGCTGCAGAAGCTCCTGCACGGCCTTTCCCGGGCCCAGCGCGTCGCTGATAGCGGACGGCTTGCATGATGGCGTGCAAGCGAACTGGCCCAGCTTGCAGACGCAGCACGATGCGCAGCACATCAGGCAAATGTCATGCACATGCTCGTATCAACAGAGAGGTTGGAAAAAGGAGGGGGAGGGGTAAAAAAGTCGAAACCCCTCCAGCTCGTCTCAGCGAGCCAACCACGTTGCTGCGGATTTTTCTCGTCGGCGCAGGCGAAAGCCGTCCGCCAATTCGTTTGTGCTTCTTGCGATGTACTGTAGATAACGCAGCGTACAATACCTACAATACACGCCCTCAATGCCCGATCATTCTACTAACACCACAGAAGGACCAAGCACCCAATGCTCAAGATAAGCAGATGCCCAACTAATGCCTACAGATATAACAAACATGTGGCCTCTCTCTCTCTCTCACTCTCACTCTCACCTCGAGATACCATATGTGCCCATTTATACTAGCATCATATCCAATTCGTCACCTCCACGCAACATCCCACCCACGGACGCCACTCTATAGGCTAGACGGCCAGGCAGCTTGCAGACGGCGAAAATTTTTATTTCTCTCACCATTTCTCGCCATGCCATGCCATGCTATGCCATGCATGCTTGCAGATGGCCTTGCATGAAGAAGCAAGAGCGAAGAAAAAAGCTCGCAAAATAGCAACCTCTAGTGGCTTCGCGTCCGCCGTTGGCCCCTCCCGGATGCTGGTCGCAGAGAAAGGCTCCGCAGTTGGGAATCATTGCTTCTGTGGTTCTGCTTCTCTGGGCTGCGTCCTCAGATTTGCGATCAGTACTGGGAACCGCGCGACTAAGGCCCAACGCCGCCTTGGTCGGGCTCCCTCGCATGGTTTATCAGTTCCCATGCAAATGCGCGCAATTCTCGTGCGGCCGCGGCAGCTCCTCATCACGTACCAACATGCTGCTGCGAGCAGTCCTGATTAGCTGGCTCGCGCTGCGTCTCCATTTGCAATGTACGGCGAGGCTGCACATCCAGAGTCTTATTCGCCTCTGACGCCACGGGGATAGCTTCAACGTCGGGCCGTTAAAACTTGTTGCAAGGCAACGTCGTATTTGGTGCCGTGCAGTTTATTCATCCTTTCAATGGCCATCTCATTATCAATTGAACATCCCCCCTCCTTTTATCCGTCGAGCCCTCCGGGTAATGGAATTGAATTGATACCTGACAAACACAGGCCACATCCGGCCGCCTCAACGCTCCTTTATTAATTGTCGGGCAGAATGGCTCCCACTAGCTTCCGTATCTGTTTGGGGACGCTTTCTTGACTTCGCATTGGGGATGGGGCGGCCTGAGCTGCAGACCCAAGCGATGCCCTATCCTGCTTGTGGTCAACAGGTATGCGAATAATTATGGCAACTCTCCACTTTGCTTTGTTCATGGTCTCCTCTTCTCTTCGTCAACGATTTAGATTCTCCCGAGTCTCCACTGTATTGCTTGCTCCCCCGCACCTTGGTATGCTGAGAGCTTCTTCTGCTCAAAGATGTTGTGACTGCGAGACCTGCGAGATGCACAGTTTATATGCTGTTTTCCAATGATGTCTCTTTCACATGTGATTTCTGACCAGATTACAATATCAAACATTACAACTGAGTGGTGGTAGTTGGTCTATATTAGTGGTACAAATCTTCCGCCGTGCCCCCATCATCCTCTGGCCCCTCTTCTGTAAGAGCTAGGATACGACGCAGAGCAATTTAATAATATTCAAAAGTGATACGATATTAATGCGCCAATGACTCCGCTGCATACTCTCCTCTTCGCGATGACGAAACAGCTATAGATGTAAGAGAAACAAAATGCGTGATAAACAAAGAGAGGAGGGTAAAGAGAGAGAGAGAGAATAAAATAAAAGCCTCTTTCATGCATGCATACTGCAAGACAAGCCTCTCGCAGCAACCTCAAAGGTCCTTCTTGTAGGCGTGCTCTGGCTTGTGAGTGGTCTCGTAGTCAATATGAACGTAGGCCCGCTCAACATCGGGCAGGCTCTCCAGCTTAATCTGCAGCTCCTCTGCAACATCGTGCGTGTCTCTAAGCGTCCGTGATGGATCCATGACAATGTCCACTTCGGCAATCAACCGCGGTCCCGAGTGGTAGACTCGAACCGTATCAATGCCCTCAATCGCATCTGAGTGGGTCAGGCACACGTACGTGATGAGCTGCTGCATGTCCAGAGGCGCGACGACGCCAACAAGTAGCAGGAACTCGTTGAAGGCAGTGTAAAGCCAGATGCCAGAAGTGAGGATAGACAAGAGAATGGCACCCATGGGATCAATCCACCATTCCAACTTTGCACCACCCACCGAAGTCAAGATACCAAAGCCATTGACGAGCAGATCGTTGCGGTGATCCTGCCATAGAATGTTGACCTGGCTGTACTTGTCCTTGAGTGACCAGCAGTACAAGAAGAGGCAAAACTTTGTCGCAAACGCTGCACAAACAGAAATGACCGAAGGGAGATGGAATTTCTTCTCACCATCCCCAGTGGCTAGCTCTCTAGCTGAGAAGGCGATGATGATGAGGGCCACGGCGCTCATGAGAAAGCAGAAGACGATGTTGCCCACCGTCTCGAGCCGCGCCTTGCCAGCTGGAAAGCGTCGCGGGTCGACCTTGCTAATAGCGCGGTTGGACAGAATAAGAGCGAGGGTGCTGAGCGGATCGAAAACGGCATCCGCCATGGTGGTGAACAGAGACAGCGATCCGGAGGTGATGGCAGCATAGAGCTGGAGGGCGGTGAGAACAATGTTGGCCGCAAGCGAGCCATAGATGGCAATCTTGACCTTGGTCTGGTCCTCTCCCTGCTCGACACGGGCTTCCTCTACGTGCTCTTCCACCGATTTCAGCATTCGCTCGATGGTTGCGTTTTGATTCTCGTAGAAGCCGCGGACTTTACGGTGGTCGCTCCTGGGGCCTTGCTTCTTGGCTCCGTTGGCACCTCGCTCACTGTCCCTCTTACGAGATGAATTTGCCTTGATCTGCTCGAGGTCTGAATCCGTTTTATAGGACAAAGACAGCCCGTACGGGTCGCTCTCGGCTGATAGACGCGGAACGCGCGAGTTGCGGCTTGCGGTGAACTGGCTCTCTACATCAGTAATTGCGGAATGGTGGCGCTCTACCGGATCGTGGTCTGTCACTTCGACAGCCTCGACGCCGGTGCTAGAAGCATCTCGGGCGGCAGGTCCTTTTGAGCTGCTGCGGCTGGAGGCAGGCTGGAAACGCTGGAGATTGAAGACATTAGGATGATGAGTGATGGTGTTCTTTGCGTCGGGCGTCATGAGGGGCCACCAAGTCTCTCTAATTCGATTGTGAAGAAGAGGAGACTGCCGAAATCAATTCGAATGGTGGTATCTCTTTCACCGGTGTAGCCGGTAGAGACGTGGGATTGCGCGTGGGGGGGTTGGCACGTTCCCACCCAGGAGGCCTCTGAGAAAATGCTGGCCGTCAAGCGCAACCAAAGAGAGCTCCAGAAAGACCAATGAATCGACGGCTCAGCCCTGATAAACAATCCCAGGATGAACAATCTGGCGCTAGGAAAAAATTGATGATGAAAGGGCAGGCTGGATCGCGATAAAGCAGGTGGGCGATAGATTTATGCCAGGGGCAAAAGAGTGGGAATTTGGCCGAGATAGCAGCTGTGGAGAGCTCGAGATGGCGCACGCAAACAAGGGACACAGTCAGCGCAGACGTGGGGGCATTTTTGGTTGAGATTTGAGAGAAGAGGATACGCTGAGGTGGAATAGACGAAAAGGTTGGTCGGATCACTCCATGTCTTAGCAGGACGTCAAATCGATTGATATGGCAATCTCGGTACGAGCAGAACTGAGAGGGGGGAAAATACAGCCTGGGGACGCAGAGCTCTTGAGCGGTGAAGTCGCCACTTGCCAAGTTTGCCGCGTATCGCCTTCACCCCTCCATCTCACCTAGAGTATGTATTGCGTGTGATTGATGATGCGCGATTGCTTCCCTTCCTGAACCCATCAAACAGCTTCAGCGAATGACGGCCACGGATGAGCGCACGCCGATCTCCATTGTACATATGTATGTAGCACATATTACTAAGCTTTGGGGCTGAGTTTGTTGCGGGACTTCAACGCTTGTTGAGATCTGTCGTGGACGAGTACGTCTACACCCGGAAGCACTGAATTGACAAAATATTAAGTCGACAGTGAGGAAATCCATGTAGAAACAGTTGAAATAACCTTTCTAGATGCAGTGGAGATTGCTTAGATCTTAAATAGATCTCGATTCAGGTTTAGTATCGGCAGGTCGGGCAACTTCGGAACCATCCAGGTTCGCTTCCATTTGCGGCTCAAATCTGCGACCCACGCTGCGCCTCAGCCGTGTTGCTGCAGAGGATTCTTCTTAGCAGCATGGCCCAGCCGCAAGAATATGTATTCTGTGATTGATGAGTTGACTGAGTACATTATTATATGATGGCGTTCTCCTGTGCCTCGCCTTATTAGGAGAGCGTATTGAATTGAAACATGTTTAGTGTTTCGGTTTTCTTCACAGTACCCATCTTCAATATCACAGCTTGATATCCCCAATAGCTGATCCCTAGGTATATGCAAGAGAGCGTAAGGGTAAGTATCCTGCCGAGCATGATAAGCGATACCAACGTGAACAACTACCATTAAGGTATTTAAATCTAAAAAATAAAAACGCCCTGATACAAACCTTGAAATAGTACTACATATTATCCAAACCGCCCGCCTTTTACAGCTTGGGTTCTATCTTGGATCGCTTCAGTATCCAGTCAACCACATCCTTCGCCAACTCGTCCTTGCAGAGGTCTGCATGAAGTTGATGATACCCGCCTTCATATGACTTGGTCTCCTTATCCTCAACAGCCGTCTGGTCATTCATAAACTTCACGGCCGCATCATAGCTGCACGTCAAGTCGTTCGTGCCATGCGTCAACAGGAGGGAGTGCACATCGGCCCCCAGCTTGACCCCTCCCCCAGACAGCGTCGCCGTACGATCCAGCAATGACGCCAAGCCCTCCAGCGTGCCCGTATCGTGGCACAGCGCATCGTTCCTGACGGATTCAACCACCTCCGGGATGCGGCTCAGGTGCTCCGGAGGCACAACATGCTTGAGCTGCTGCCGCGGCAACAGGCGTCCAACTAGTCGTCCGAAGAAGACCTTGAGCGAGCTTGGAACCTCGGCTGGCGAGAAGCCAATGAAGGGCGCCACGAGGACCCAACCGCGGATCTGGCTCACCAGCTGCTTGTACTGCGCGTCTCCAGCCAGCATGAGGATCTCACCACCGCCCATGGAGTGGCCCATGACGAAGACGGGCACGTCCGACGGCAGCTTGTCCTGGATAAAGGCGGCGACGTCGGCAACGACCCGCGACGTCGGACCCGTGAGGCCCTTCTCGGCGGGCTTCGTCACGCTGCGGCCCCAGCCGCGCTGGTCCCATGAGAAGACCTGGATGCCGTGCTCGGCGAGCTTGGGGAAGAAGTCGTTGTAGCGGTTGATGTGCTCGCTGAAGCCGTGGACGAAGATGACCTTGGCTACCACGGCGCTCGTCGGCTGGGTGACGGGATTAGCAGGCTTGCTCGGGGCCAGAAATCACATGCCAAAAGCATCAGAAATAGGGGAGGCGGGCCAACAAACCGTCCATGTCTTGGTGTAGAAGCTCGCATCGCCGATCTTGAACTGGCTTTCTGTAGTCGTTGCCATGGTGAATGAGTATCAGACGATTATATACGGAGTACAATCAGATATATGGCTACAAGAGACCTGAAACGACACTCTCTCACCAGGTTAATAAACGATGCAGTGAAGACGACGACGGGAGCCGCCTAAATAATCGGCAGAGCTCGAAAACGCGCTGAGATGCACCTGTAATGTCACTGTGGGCTAGTGGCTGTCCGCCTGCGGCCACAGCTGTGCCTAATTGGATCGGACCTCGAGCCGGCCTTTTCCTTTACGGTGGAGCTCCATCGGGTAGATCGTCAGCTTCCTCGGCAGAAGCTAATTTTCACAGCTCGTACCTAGGTAGGCAGTAGGTTGTGTATCTCCATATCGGTATGTTTTGAAAGGTGGCATTATCAATGGGAGAGCGGCATAATTTTATGATAGTGCCAACTTTTTCAACTATTTTCCATACCCCGTTTTCTCAGCAAATAACCCCAAGTAAGCCAGAAGTGTAAAGCACATCACCATGCCATTGAACCAAATTGTTTTCATTCATTACCTCTTTAGCCTCTTTTGTCCTTCACTATTTGCTCTCATTTATAATACATTTTCCACAACTTGCTATTCTCAAGACATCGTCTTCCGAAGTACGAGTTCGAGTGGAGTTATTACTACTACCTTGCCACCTATAGATCCGTAGTATTCATTGACATCGCCGCCCTCGAGGGACATGCGGATCTCTTATGTATAAAACATTCAGTATTTGGCTCTAATACGCCGTGTTGAACCTTCCGTAGATAATATACAAGTTTTGACCAGACAACTCAACTCCAACTCCTTTATTTTTGACATTTTTTGGTTTGAATTGCTAGTGATTTCAGCGCTTCAGGGCACAACATGCCGGGTAACACCTCACCGGCTGTTGGTTTTTTTTTTCTTTATTGGCGAGGAGGAAACTTTTCTCAAAGAGACACTCATCGTATTCAAGGGCGCCCTGGTTTGTCTTCTGTTGATTGAGAAGCCTTCTCTCGGTTCGCTTCTTCGCCTTCTTCGACAAATCGTTCCAGGTCCTCGTCTCTAGCAAGATCCTCTTCAATCTCTTCAAATTCGGTGATGTGGCTTGTAGCTTCAGTTGAAGGCCGCTTTATTGGGATCTCGCCGCCGCTCATCTGCCACTCCATCAACTTGCTAAAGGCGCTTTCTTTATCCGCAGCAAGCTGGACATAGCTGCCAATCTCCGCCACCATTCCGTCCTTGTTCAACACAATGATTTGATCAGACCGTTTGATTGTAGACAGTCGATGGGCAATAGATATCGTAGTGTTGTTGCCTCCGAGAAGTTTAGCGAGGGCTTCATTGACTAATGTTTCTGATTCCGCATCGAGAGCCGAGGTAGCCTCGTCAAGGATCAGGATATCAGGGTCCTTGAGCAGTGCCCTGGCTATGGCAATGCGCTGCTTTTGACCACCGGAGAGCTGCGATCCCCGGGCACCAACCTGGGTTTCCAAGCCGTCAGGGAGATCGCTGATGAACGTACAGTTGGCTCTCCTAGCAGCTGAGATGATTTCTGCGCGGCTCGCATGTGGCTTTCCGTAAGCGATATTCTCAGCAATAGTACCCGAGAACAGAACAGGCTCCTGAGACACAACACCGATGCGTCGTCTTAGCGACTTGACGTTCATTGTTGAGATATCAACGCCATTGATGGTGATAGATCCGGACGTAGGATTGTAGAATCGCAGTAGCAAAGATGCCACTGTGGATTTACCGCCTCCAGATGGACCAACGACGCAGACGTTGCTTCCAGATGCAATCGTAAAATCCAAGCCGTTAAAAATGTTTACAGCCGGCCGAGTGGGATAAGCAAAATGAACGTTGGAAAATCGGATGTTGCCCTGGGCAGACTTGACGGGAACTCCAACTGTCTGGTGAATGGTGGGCTTTCGGTCCTGCAATTCGAATAAACGGCTGGCAGCGCCAACACCCTTCATAAGCTCTGAGTAGAAGCCCGAGAGCCCAAACAGACTGGAGCCTGCAAATGCGGTATACATCATGAAAGAGGTCAGATCTCCCAGGGACATGGCACCGGATCTTACGAGATTTCCTCCAACAACAAGCATGGCCAGGAGGGTCATGTTGCCGGCCCAGCCTGTCGAAGAAAAGAACGTTGCGGCGATGTATGATTCCTTCCTTCCAAGAGCAAAAATCTTACGGACCTGCCTGTTGTATCGTCCAATCTCCTGAACCTCTCCAACGAATGCCTGACTGGTTTTGATGTTTCCAAGTCGCTCTTCTGCTATTTTTGTCAAGGTGCCGAGATTTTGCTGTATCGCCCTGCTCACATTTCGAATAGCTCGTCCATAAAAGAAGGCGCCAACAGCAATGGGTGGGAACATGAGAAGTAGGATGCCGGTAAGCTTAGCACTTGTCCAGATCATGATTGCGAATCCGGCACCGCCACTGAAGATTGCTCGAAGTCCGTCGCTCAGGTTGGAGGTGATTGACTTGCCAACAATGACCGAGTCAGATCCGAGTCGCGATATGAGATCACCAACCCGATTAGCGTCGAAGAATTCTGCATCTTGAACATAAGTCCGTCTGTAGAGCTGAGATCGTAGTCTGGCGACAACTCTCTCTCCAATAATCCGCAGCAGAATGATTCGTCCAAAGCTGGTCATGGCTCCGAGTGTCAGAACTCCACCCAAAGCGATAAAAAACTGATTCAGAGAGAGGCCAAAGATGTCAACATCGTCGATACTGCCCTTGGTTGAGATATCCAAGATGCGTCCAACGGAAAACGGTATGAGCATGGTAACGCCAGAGGAAATCACCAGAAAGAAGAAGGCCAGTCCCAGCCAACGAGCTTCGGGTCTGGCAATGGAGAGCAATCTCCATATTTCCTTCATGCCAGCTCTTGCCGGAGCCTTTCCTTCTTTCGATAACCTAGCAGATAGATTGACATGTGCCGCATTGGCTGCCTTTTCGCTCTTTTGAAATTCTTCACTGGTCTCGTGTTCGGTGTCCTTTGTCTGCCTTGCTGGCTCTACCGTTCGTGAAGTCGCATCCTGAGAATTTGATTGAAGTTCCCGTGCAGCAAGCGAAGTACCAGAGAATTGCCGAGTTAGATGTACAATGTGTCCGTATCCGGGAGAGGATTGACCGGAAATGCCAGAGTGCGGCGGAGCCGTCCGTAGAGATCCTGCAAGAGTATGGAATGCGGCGGGAGTAAAAGCGGGAAGAGAACGCCGACTAGCAATTGACGGACTTAGGAAATGCGGCTGGCGCAGAAGAGATTCGGATGTCGAGAAGCATTGCGACAGAGATGCCCGAGCAAAAGCTGTAGACTCTTGCGCCTGCGATGCTAGCCTGGGAGGCAGCGCTCTTCGCAGCGCCCCGGCATTCATGTTAACCGAGGGGACCTTTATTCGGCCGCCCAGCGGTACAGCATCGAGTAGCTGGGGAGCTGGCTGGAAGAGAAGGCCGGGATCGGTGCTGAAGGAGAGAAATCCGGCGACAGGTTGTAAGGAGAGTAAGAATCAGAAGGAGGGAGCGAAAAGAGGGTGGGAGCGAAAGATTTCCACAACTGTGCTAGGAGATACCGTCATAACTCGCGGCATTTACAGCTGGATGCGCTGCAAGCTTGTGCTGCTTGCGCGGGTTAGCAGCTAAAACGCCGTAATTAGTGGGCAAAGCTCGGCCGAAAGTCGGTTTAACGTGGATGCTTTGCTGCGCTCCGGATTCCGTACGGGCCTGAGGCCGAGCTCAAAGGTCCGAGATCCGATGCTGAATTGGGATAGGAACGGCGAATTGGCTCCAATTCACAGAGGCAGTGTCTATGTAAGGTAATATTCGTTATATAAATTTTAACTGCTCTAACTACCACAAGAAGGAATATAGAATCTTGACATTATATCGAGGAGCGAGCGGGCCTCAGCATCCAAGTACGTAGTAGTACCGTACTCGAGGAGCCTCTCCAAGCCGCATCCGGCTTTGAAATGTTGACAAGTCCTACATGGAACTTTGCAATAACCTTAATAAGCCACAGATTGCACTGAAAGTCGGCATACATTTAGAAGCAGCTACAATGAGTGAATCGATCAGATCGCTTCCGACACGACTTAAAAGATGATGTCCCGCCACGGCATTTTGGAGAACACGACTTCGTTTTTAGAAAGTAACAGCATCCTAGTATTTCAAAATCAAACATCGTTGCCTTCTTTTAGCATTTCTGCGACTTCAGGATCTATGTCGGCATCGTTTCCGAGATCGGGAAAATCATCCCCATCGTCCACTCGTCGTCTTTTATTAGAGCCGTTGGTTGATATGGGTAGTGACTGAGTGAAGGTGGTGGAGGGCTCGGTTGCTGAGATGTCCTCTGCTGACTTCACGTCCGCACTGTCTTCGGTATTCTCCATAGGCTCGGGCATAGTGTCGCCGAAGTCATCATCCATACCAGGCGGCGTCAGAGCCTCCATCTCTGGTCGATCAAGCTCGGTCGGCGGGCTGCCAGATTCCCCTTCTGCATGAGAACCGTTGTTTTCTGCAGGTCCGAGTGCTCTCATGATGGCCACTTCGACCTGCTGCTTCTTGTCTTCAATCTCTCGTTTGCGGGTTGACAATTCAAAAGCTGTAGACTTTTCACTTTCCAGAGCCGCTCTATTTGAATCCAGCATTTTCTCCAATCCTGAAATTAGGTTCTCTCGAGCCTTTACGCACTCAGCCACTGCGCTCTCTGCGCTCGCAAGGGTCTTGAGCAAGCCATTTAGGCGTGCTGCATAGACAGGAGCTGAAGGGACCGGTACTGTAACGTCAACTTGCTTTTCGTACTCTTGGTTTGCAGAAGCGATAGTAGTCTTTAGTGGCACGCTGAGCTTGGTGACTGTCTGGTGTGCAGATACAAGCGGCGTGAATTCCGAAGGTACCAGAGCAGATGATCCGCCGCCAAATGGGGAGCCTCCAAAACCAGGCTTCACAGATCCGCGAGCTTTATCTAATTCTAAGATTGAAGTTAGTATCTGCAATTCTTTAACGAAGAGCTTCGAAGACTCGTACCGTTCAGTCGCGATTCGATAGCCGCCTGAATCGGTGCCTCAAAGATTGACCTGTCTTTCCAGACGTCAATCACCCGTCGCAATTTGCCCTGAATTTCAGCCGGTGCTCCTTTGTATGCGACTGCGGCAGCTTCTGCTATGACAGGAGAAAACGCAATGATGAAGTCCTCCTTGTGGCGAATACGAGACTGCTGTGCAACCTCTAGTTATACCGTATTAGCGTCTCTAGGCATGTATAGCAGGCCAAATCCCCCAAATGTATTTTGTATAATCGTAATAGAATGCATACCATTAGCAAGATAAACTAAGCTTAATCGTTTCGTACTGGACGAGTCTTTAAGTCGTTGCATCCAAAGCGCTACCGTGCGATCTGCGTGTCGTCTAAAGATACGGAGTCAGTGCACATTCCTCGTTTAACTAGACTTGTTCAGATTCAAGAAGAAACTGCATTTTACCTATGGAACATGATCCATTGAGCTGCAGTCGCAATGCTGTCATGGCTCTCATTGAGGGCTGACAGACGCGCCAGCACTGAATCGTCGTTGTATGCCATTATTACAATGCGGCAGCTATCCTTGGATTGAAGATTGCGTTCAAGGCTTTATCAAAAGGAACAAAAAGCTCCACCTGAAGTTTTATGGGCGATGCGCCTTATTGGGGTAGATTGACGATGCGACGCGATGGTAAAGAGTCTACAGCAACCAGTGGACCTTGGCCTCGAAGCTCAGCTATGGGCCTGCTATCAACTAGGAGGTGGGCAATTGAGGCGGATCGGGCGTGTATTAGGGAATGAAAACCCGGCTGTATGTCCGACAGTTTAATACGGAGTGGAGAAATATATAAAAAAGAGACTGCAGGTAGAATAGCACTGGCGAATAGCTTCGAGCATCAAGAAGAAACTTTGATGCAAGCTGGATGCTCTGGAGTCTGGTCCGCAAGAAGACTGGATAAATGCAAATATTAGCGTGATTGTACGGCGTTATGCAATATTAGCTACGCCTCAGTGGCTCTCACCGCCCGGCAGAACGCGGGCAGCAGTAGCCAGGGACAACAGGGAACAGATGGTCACTGCTAACGAATGCTTTGTTGCGCAAGCTAATTAGTACCTATTAATCCGACCACTACACTCTCCTTTGGCTGGATCTCTGGAATTCTTTGTTATCACCCTGCGTTTGTCACATCATCAAGTTTTCTCGAATCTAGCTACTTTTACAAAAATTCAAGATGGCCGACCGTTTCCCTTCTCTCGAGGACTTCGACTCTGGAGGTAAGCTCCTGAATGGATCCAGGTGCCTTTGCTCCCAGCTGACCACTTCTTTCCAGCGCAAACCGATATCAAAGATGTTTCCGACGAGCCCTCCGCCGAGGACTTCCTCGCCAGAGAAAAGGCTCTTTTAGGCGATGATGCGAACCAGTTCACGACAAGTGATGACGCAAACGTATTGGGTGAGACCGGCGGAGATCTCTTGGGAGAGACCGCCGCCGCCGAATCTTCTTTCGAATCTCAATTCCCAGACCTTGCCAACCCAGCCGCTGTGTGTAAACATTGGATCTTTACATAAGTCGTTGCGACGCTAATAGGACTCGTTCATTTAGGGCCTGGCGGGCGTGGATGGAAACATCATGACCGGTCCATCTGTGAGCTACAACTCAGGTTACCAAACATATGCGGCCGATGAGGAGGAGCCAGAGGTCATCAAGGAGTGGAGAGAGCGCCGAGACGCGCAGATTGCGAAGCGGGCCGAGCAATTCGCTGCCCAGCGAGAGGAGACGATAAAGGAGGCTCAACAGAACATCGATGACTTCTATGACAACTACAACTCCAAGAAAGAGAAAGGCATTGCGCAGACACGCAAAGAGGCAGAGGAATTTCTCGCGAACAGGGAGGATACCGTTTCTGGTGGCACGAGCTGGGACCGCATTGCAAAGCTGGTTGACATCAGCGGAAAGGGGGCCACTGGCGGAGCCGCCGGATCTGGCAAGGAGCGCTTCCGTGAAATGCTCATGAGTCTGCGCAAGGACGAAAAGGCACCAGGCGCAACTGGCTACTGATTTTTGATAGACTGAATTTATGACCAATTTAGTGATATTACAGGGCTTGGGTCAACAGGCGAGGAAGGGCCGGATATCTGTCATGCGACTTATTTGATTCGCATTCTCTTTTTTTCTTCTTTACCACGCAAGTACTATATAGTGGCACATGGGAATAATGGCTACGCATAATTAAAAAAAAGAAAACTTATGGAATACGAGATACACCAAGGCAAACAAAAACATGGCGGATCAATCCGACGGAGAAGATGAAAAAAATGGACTGACAAGATCCTATATTTACTGTCTATAAGACTACAAGTCATACAAGCTCCCAATCCCACATTTGATGCAAGTTGGGGCAAAATCAATTGGCTCGTCCCAGATATATGTTGACAGCTTAGTCCTTGCTGAACCAGGTGTTGTGGCCAGCGACCTTTCGGCTGGCGGCGTACAGGGTAGCTATGACACCTTAGTTTGAATCTCACAACAATCGTTTCATTCGGAAACTCACCACCGAAGCCTCCCCAGAGGGCAATCAGGTAGGGAGCCATGTACCAGCGGCTTCGGGGGTTCTAACGCTGCGTTAGCACTGTTCCGGCGTTTTCGCAATCGTCGATCCGTGCGTACAATCATCCACAGACGGGTGTGAGCCTTGTAGGCCTGCTGGTAGAAGCGCTGGTGCTCCGTCACCTTGTTCTTGGCGTTGATCATGCTATGATACTGCGTCAGCCGAAGTTCTCCAAGCTATGTGCATACTGCAGAGGCACCGCGCACTCCGCGGGCAGGCTGCAATTGGGAGCTTCCACATGCGCTGCTTCAAGCAAAGACCTTACCTCATTTTGGCGGTGGGTTGAAGACGCTTGCAGGGCTTCTCTTCGTAAATGTGCTTTGTTGTAGAGGGATCTCGAGGTTCGGAACGGCAGAAAGAGCCTTGGTTAGAGAAATGAGGCCATATTCTAGCTCGAAGTGGGTAGCTAGATGACTCAGCAAAGAGACCCATCAAAAATGCACACAAAGTGGGAGTGGGTAGGTGCCCAGCTAGCAACCGCCAATTAGATGCGCTGGAGCGAATATCAGAGTCCAGTAGAATCTAACAAAGGCTCTGTCTTTTGCCAAGTTCAGACTTACAGCTGCGGCATAGCATAACCAAAGCGCCTCGAGCCTCACGCATTGTTAGCGGTACCGTAAGAGAAACAGACCAATGCGGTGATATGCATCAAAGTTCGGCGGCCTGCTGGAGACAAGACAATCCCAGGAATGCAAAGAGCCTTGCCGTCTAGACCCAATCGCCCAGAATCGACTCGAATCGTTTTCAAGCTCTCGGCGCAAAGACCGCAGACAAGGCTTCGGCAATATTCCCAGCATTCGTCTGCCCTAGTTCGCCCATCTACTACTCCAGCAACAAATAGTATTCTACATCGAGCTCCTAAAGTTGTTTTTGGAGGCTATGATCGGAATCCATGGCGAGCACTCTCTGCTGGGAAACCAAGTTCCTTGCTGCAGCCATCAAAATGGAGAGAATACGGGAGTCTAGGGCAGGTGAGACAGCAACATGAGGCATCGTTAAATCTCCTGTCGTCGAACGAATCCCTTGCGGCAAGAATCAACAAGACTCTTCAAGATACAGAGGCCGATATTCAGCCCTACGATGCAGCCACTTGGGAAGCTGTATGTGGCGTGCTGTCTGATATGTATGGCCCTGATGGCGTCTGGGCCGTTTTCCAGTCTATTTGGCAGGGAGGAAAACATGAAATTATTACGTTCAACGATGCCGAAGCCCTACGCTGCAAAATCTTGTCAGCCGCGTTGAGCTCTGAACCACGTCTGTCTATGCTTTTTACTGCGGCTCGACAACTTGTAGCCCAGGAGAATTTCCAATGGCCTGGGCTCTACACGAAAATTGTTCACTTCTTCCTGGAACGTGGCGACTATGAAAAGGTGATTCGCTGGGATGAATCGCTGGCCCCCATCTTTCCAGTTGGAGCGGATGAATTCGGAGCTTTATTAGCAACCTTTGTTGTTAAACCGACTCCTGAGATGCAGAGCACTTTGACGGCGCTTTATGTCTCCGGCGCCAATCGCCAGCTATACGATCATGTGATACCGGCTCTCTTCGCTTCCGGCCAATCCAAATTGGCCCGTACATGGCGAAAAAAGCTTGTTTTGTTTAAAGATCTTCCATTGACGTCAAAGTCTCGTCCGTTTCTGCTTTTTCTTGCCAACTACTATCCCCATATACAGCTCACAGAGAGTGAGCTAGCTGTTGCTGAGCTCGACCGTGAGGAGCTAGTAGCTGAAGCTGAGGACGATGAATCATTCTTCGAAGTTGATAGAAAAGGGGTCGACAGGAAGGGAACTCATAGCGATGCTTTCATCGCAAAATGGTTTGCCAGCACCTGGACATCCCTGGAGTTTGCAATCAACCTCATATATAAGCTCGGTGTACGCACTATTGGCCCACGCGCGCTACAGTCTCTTGCGCTACGAGACCCAGATGCTAAGGAGGTTGCAGCTCGTATAGCTCAGGTGGAGAGACTGGGGATCAGAATCTCATCCCAATCATACTGCAGGATTCTAATTGCATTTGCCAGGAATAGTGAAGACGATCTACTGATTGACTTACTTCACTGCGACATCCACCCCGATGAATTTGATGATATGGAAACTCGGCATTCTCTCATGGCTGAGGCGGCTAGGACAGGGGATTGGAAGATGGAGCGACTTCTTCAAGGCATCGAGTGGGCTATTGAAACTGGACCAACGTCCCGACGCCTCAACTCCCTGCTCAGGAGCGAGCTTTCTAAGCGAAGCTTAGGCAAGGCGAGGGAGGTACTCGACCGTATGGAAGCACTGAAAATCAGCATGGCCCAAGCTAGTGCGACTGGGCTCCTTAAGCGGGTGTTTTGGAAGCTTGACTCTCACCCTCAACGATCCCAACGATCCCAACGATCATCGCATAAAGATGCTGGATCGGGCGACTTCGATGACCCCTTTTTGGACAGAGCCTTGAATGTCATCCGCCGCATTTCGTGCCACGACGTTGCCATCCCTATCCGATATTGGAAGACACTCCTCTACAAACTAGGACGCTCAAGACGTCTTGACGAGCTGGAACAACTGAGCTTGGAAATCATGCAATTCTACACCCCCCCTTACGGAGGGTTAGTACCAGTGCATCGGGAGGATTTACCGAGGCACTTCAATACCGAAGAAAGAGAATCTATACCAGCAGATTTACCATTCGTACATCACCATCATCCGATCCGACTGCTCTTCGATCCTTCGCTGCAGCGCTCCATAGTAAGATGGGGATTTGACCAGACGCTGGCAACCAAACCCCAACTGCCGACAACTCTAACATCTCTGCAAACGCCGAGCTTTTCACAATTTGATGTTGCTCGTGGGGTCCGCCTGCTAGCTACACTACGAGACCAGGGAGCTTTGATAGACACGCAGGTGGTTCGATCAAGCATCATCTCTCGTATCGCCACCGGGATGGTTCCTGGACGGCCTAGACACCGAGCAAGAGACAGTATCGAGTTCTCTGTAGAGAATCTGATGGATCTTATTGAAAAGGCATGGGGCTCAGAGATGTTTCCAGACGCGCCAAAAGTTGTTCGAGAAATAGAAGCGCGAAAGTCAAAGCTGTGGCACCAATATCCAAGATTGATCGATAGGACTTTCAATAAAGATTCCACATGAGGAACAGGCAAGCGGAGCGATATATTGCAAACTTTGCAATAGCACATAGCACGTAAGAATCTATTTCTGGGCACACGCAGGAGAGCCCCTTGTACAATACTATCTACAGAAACATGTAAATAAATTCTAATCAAAACCCCATAAACTCCCAAGTGTATCGTTGGTTTTTCTTTTTCCTCGAGGAGGATTATTCGCTCCATTATTGATACACATGATCACACGTCGTAAAGCAATATGACCATCAACCGCTTGTCAGAACGCCATGCTGAGCCACAGTTATCACGAAAAGAAGAGAGGGGACTTGCTCTCGTCTTGACTGCCATCGTCTCCCTGTACAACGCCGAATTCCCTTCCCACTCCCATCTCCTCTTTTTTTTTTTTTTTCAACCTAACTTAATCCAGGTACTCAGTCCCTATTCTTCTTAGGTTTGACCAAAAGTAGAATGAACAGGCCCGCGACCAATAGCAACAGCAAGAGTATAATCTTCCTCTTGATGCTCCTTTTCTGATAGCCAGACGCTATTATAAGCTCTTTATCGGCAGCTTTGACTTCTGTATTCATGCGTTCAACATTATAGTCGATTCGGTCCAGCATGGTGCCCTGGTCAATGATCATGGTCTGAAGATCTCGGAAAAGGTCGGATAGCTCGATGATGCCTTGTGCGATTTCTTCGATTTCTCGCTCTCGCTGGGCGATGGCGGCGTCGTTTGAGTGCAGCGTCTTTTGCTGCATGGCTACCTGTAGCGTTGATTGGGAAAAGGATCGGTCGGCATCTGATTCTTGGAGTGATGGGTCCATGTACGAAGAACCGGGCATTGGCGATGTTGGACGGTCGATGGGACTGATTGCGCCGAGGCCACCCATTCCGCGGAGTTCTAACACTTGGGGTAAGCATGATTTTTTTTTTTTTTTTAAATGTCAAGGTGGCATCAAGAACTCACTCTTGAGATATGCGCTCTGCTTCTTTCTAAAGTTGGCACTCGCTTCTTGGACCCTTGTGGCAAGGGATATCTGGATGTTTTTCGCCATTGTCTCCTCAGCTCTGCTGATGCTGTCGGACTGTTTCGACTCGCGAACCATGCTCTCAAGCTTTTGGATCCGCTGGTGGCACTGGTGAAAGCCCTTTGTAATCTCTTGGGTGAGCCTCTCGATCTGCACCTCTTCGGCCCGCTTGGTCTCGTCATCGTCAAAGCCCGGGAGCACATGCGTCTGGTGCAGCTTGTCGAGACGCTGGCTCTTTGTGGCAATCTCGGCGAGGAGGTCTGTGATCTCGTCCGAGATGTCCGACCACCGCGGCGGCAGAAGGTCCATCTCAATTACAGCGTCGCCATCATCTTCGAATGCGCCGCTCGACAGCAGCCCGCGCCGGTCTTCGTGCGCAAAGCTGCTGCTCGAGAAGGCGTCCGAGAAGCCTCCCTGGGCATATTTGGATCGTTGATTGGGATGATGAGCGTACGACTGCCGGTAGGAGATGTAGCTATGGGTTCTCCAGGTCAGATATGGCAGACGGACTCAATTAGGCGAATAGGTGTTCGCATCCGAGCTGCAAGGGCTGGGGATGGGATGGCGGCATAACATACAGGTTTGTGCGGTCGCGCCACATGGCGGACGCTAAGGGGGGGCGTCTGGTGGCCTGTCAGGAGAGTAGCAAGTCGACGATGAATGGAGCGGCTCGAGTATGGAAGCAATATTCCGGGATTTCATGTAATGACGGGCATTATCGAGCGCTGAGAGTGTCGACCTGCACCAATGCTCGAAGCTGGCTGGATGCATTACGACACTGCTCCAGCGGCATATACGCACTCAGCGCTAGCCCAAAGCGGCCGATGGCTGTATGAGTTTGGGAGCTCAGGCCAGTGCAGCTGAGGGACTTGGGCGGTGTTTACACGTGTCACGAGCGTTTCTGGCCATCACGGGTATATCTCCCTGCCGTCTGCCCTCTGTAGGTACTTCGCGGCTATGTAGTCTATACTCGCACTCAGGGACGTCTTATCATGGGAGATGGAGATGCTGTTCAGCTCGTCCCGTCGAGCCATATGACCTGTACAGTGCGAGCCGCTGTCGCAGGCCAGGCCCCAGACAGGCCTTCAGGGGGTCTCCTAGGCTAGCCGAGTGCGACAAACCACCTGCGACCCCGTCCTAGCATGGGGCCTGCCTGAGGATTAATACTGTCTGCCGATTCTGCCTTACGGGTCCCCTGACAGCAACGTTCTAGCTGGCCTGGCCTTCGTCTCTCTCCCCACGTCAACGACGACCACAAGCAAAAAGCTTCCGCCTTCGCTAAGACGCCACTAACGCTTGTTGTCGTATTAAATCGACCCTCTTGGCCTCGTTCACTTTTAAACTCTACACTCTTTGCTCGCTATCCATAACCCCTATTCACAATGGTGCGTGGCGCGCTGCAGCCCTCTATCGATCTGTGTCTATGGTCGCTACCCCGCGACCGTTCAGGGCTGCCCCCCCAATCTTCAGGAGCTTTTGTGTGGCTAACCAGCGAGCCCTCGACAGGCTGATTCTCTTACCGAAGAGCAGGTCTCTGAGTTCAAGGAGGCCTTCTCTCTCTTTGTAAGTCTCTGGATTCTCTTTTGCGATGAAATTACAGTCGATTTGGTCACTAACCCGGTGGCTACAGGACAAGGACGGCGATGGTACGTAGTGGCTAGTGACGCGATACTCCTCTTTCCCCTCCTCACCGTCCCCCTTATTTTGTGCGGGCTATTACTAGAGCGCCTGAACCTGCGATAGCGATCGAAATTTCCCCGACTGCCCATTTTTATGACGGATAGGAGGACGCAAAGCTAACAGCTTCGACTTCGCAGGCCAGATCACCACCAAGGAGCTGGGCACTGTCATGCGCTCTTTGGGCCAGAACCCCTCCGAGTCAGAGCTGCAGGACATGATCAACGAGGTTGATGCCGACAACAATGGATCCATCGATTTCCCTGGTATGTCAATAGCAGAAACACATGGACGGCTGCCGAATACGGGCTAATCTAGAGCGGTGAAGAGTTCCTTACCATGATGGCACGAAAAATGAAGGACACTGATTCCGAGGAGGAGATCCGAGAGGCTTTCAAGGTTTGTTACCCGCATTTGCGTAACCCTTTTTTTTATTCTGAAATTGACACTGGCGACTAGGTCTTCGATCGCGATAACAACGGCTTCATCTCAGCTGCCGAGCTGCGCCATGTCATGACATCTATTGGCGAGAAGCTCACCGACGACGAGGTCGATGAGATGATTCGTGAGGCTGATCAGGACGGTGATGGCCGAATTGATTGTGAGTTTTTGATCAACGGAGACGATTCTACGTTTTATTTTCATGTTTACAGAGCTTTGGCTAACCACGATTTGCAGACAACGAGTTTGTACAGCTTATGATGCAAAAATAAGGGACTGTTTGGAGTTATTTGCGACTAAGCCAACTGTTGAGCCTTATTAGAGGCCATGGATATGGTTAATTCTTACGGCAAGACTCAGTTGTTAGCACGCACACAACCTGTTTTTTCTTTAAGAAAATCAACGAGTTGATTTTATTCCCTTTACTGTCAAATCTTCAAGCGATTCCCGAAATTGCTGGCATGTCGAAAGAGTCGTGATGTTAAATTCTGGTAGCAGTCTAGGTAGATACCCTGGGCCTTTCTATGAATACTCTCAAATTATAAACCGGCGGCTCGCCGCGTATACGCATTTGTGGGCAACCATCTATTGAACACACTGGGCAAGCCGTAGATTGAAATGTAGCACAGTGGGATTTCCTGTCGATGCTGTGTTGGTCACAAGACCGACGAAGGCGGACGAGGAGCAAACAAGCGTGATATTAGGCTGCTGTGAGACCACGTTCCTTGTTCAAAGAGAGTCAGGTATCACAAGTGTAACCACGCTCCTTGACAGGCAGCAATTTTGAGGCAAGCATGTTAGGGCAAATATACGCTGGTAGGCAACCATTTAATGAAATTAGATTAAAAAGGGGAGTGGAAAAAGTGCGCATACAGGCGACCAACTCATCTATGATTTCCAATTTAGTGCTGTGTAAGTCTCGAGGTATCGTAGCTGAGGTAGTACTACTTTGGAGGCTCAACTGCTGGGGGCGGACAAGGACATGTGCTGGCGGTACAAAGGTACCGAAGCCTCGCCGGGCCATTGCTTTTTCCGCCCGCATCCTTCGTGTCTTGCTTGGCCCATGATGCAGCGTGGCCTGCCCCACGTAGAATTAGACCCAGGTACATTGGCGGTACGGAGTACTATTAGGGAGCAATAGTGCTGTAGCCAGCGACGCTGGTGGCATTGCGATTCATACACGTTCCACGATCCCAAGCGGTCCATCTCAACGTCGAGGCTTGAAGCTTTTCTCGCCATTCTGCCACAGGTCAGCACTAGCCGGTTCGTAAGTGGGAGCCTGGGGATTGCTGGTGCTACACCACTGCTTCTGCCGCCTACCGCCTCTGCTGCTCCTTGGATAACAACCTGCGAGGTGACCCTGTCGCCGGGTCGAGCTCTTCCTTCACTTCAAGATGAGTTCCTGTAAGACCGCTTCGTCTCTTGTGTTCTTGGTCTTTCGACATAGTGATGGCTGACGGCTGCCCCCTTTGCTGCAACCTATAGTAAAACAATTCATCCGCAACGTGCGTGCGGCGAAGACGATTGCGGACGAGCGAGCGGTCATCCAGAAAGAGAGCGCCGCGATCAGAGCCAGCTTCCGCGAAGAAGGCCACGACCACAGCATACGGTGGGTTTTCAATGTCGAACCTCTGCGCATCCGAACAATGGATTAGAGTGCTCATTTGTAAATGGGAACAGCCGTAATAATGTCGCGAAACTGCTCTACCTCTTCACCTTGGGCGAGCGAACTCACTTCGGCCAAGTCGAATGCTTGAAGCTCCTTGCGTCTCCGCGATTTGCGGATAAGCGTCTTGGCCATCTTGCTACCAGCTTGCTGCTCGATGAGAAACAGGAGGTCTTGACTCTGGTGACCAACTCTCTGAAGAAGTAACTTGCCCGCCCCCTTTTATTGCTGTGCGGTTCAGCAGCAGACGGGTTCTGACTATGACTTTAGTGACTTGGGCCACTCTAACCAATACGTTGTCGGTCTCGCCCTCTGCACTCTCGGAAATATCGCGTCTGATGAAATGTCGAGGGATCTGTTCCCAGAGATTGAGAATTTGATCTCAACCGCAAACCCATATATCAGGAGAAAGGCTGCGCTCTGTGCTATGCGAATATGTCGCAAGGTGCCTGATCTTCAGGAGCATTTCATCGAAAAAGCCACAGCTCTGCTCTCGGATAGAAACCATGGCGTCCTTCTTTGCGGACTGACCCTAGTTACGAGTCTATGCGAGGCGGATGAAGAAGAAGGTGGCGAAGAGGGTATAGTTGAGAAGTTCAGGGTCCTTGTACCCGGGCTGGTTAAAACGCTAAAGGGCCTTTCGACGTCAGGATATGCCCCGGAACACGATGTTACGGGCATCACCGACCCTTTCTTGCAAGTCAAGCTTCTACGACTGCTGAGAGTGCTGGCTGTTGGCGATGCCCAAACCAGCGAGCAAATCAACGATATCTTGGCACAAGTAGCGACCAACACTGACTCATCTAAGAACGTCGGCAACTCGATTCTCTACGAGGCTGTGCTTACCATTCTGGATATTGAGGCTGATTCTGGCCTGAGGGTTCTCGGTGTGAATATTCTGGGCAAATTCCTCACCAATCGGGACAACAACGTTCGCTACGTGGCGCTGAACACGCTCATCAAGGTGGTTGCTATCGAACCTAATGCGGTACAAAGGCACCGAAACACCATCTTGGAATGTCTTCGGGACCCTGATATCAGCATTCGAAGAAGGGCCCTCGATCTGAGCTTCACCCTCATCAATGAGTCCAACGTTCGTGTGCTCATTAGAGAATTGCTGGCTTTCCTGGAGGTTGCGGACAACGAATTCAAGCCAACAATGACTAGTCAGATTGGAATTGCTGCCGATAAATATGCCCCGAACAAGCGATGGCACTTTGACACCATGCTACGCGTCTTGTCATTAGCAGGCAACTACGTCAAAGAACAGATTCTCTCGTCATTTATCCGACTCATCGCCACCACCCAGGAGCTCCAGACGTATGCGGTACAGAAGCTGTATGCCAACCTCAAGAAAGATATTACTCAAGAAAGCTTGACCCAGGCTGGCGCTTGGTGCATTGGCGAGTATGGTGATGCCCTGCTCAGGGGCGGCCAGTACGAGGAGGCAGAGCTTGTTCAGGAGGTTAAAGAGGGCGATGTCGTCGACTTGTTCTCCCTCATCTTAAACAGCAGCTACGCCAACCAGGTATCCACGGAGTACATTATCACAGCGCTGATGAAGCTCAGCACACGATTCACTGATCCCGCCCCGGTGGAAAAAATTAGACGCATCCTGCAAACACACCAGACTAGCTTGGATGTTGAGGTGCAGCAGCGAGCTGTCGAGTACGGCAACCTGTTTGCGTTTGATCAAGTTCGCCGAGGTGTGCTTGAGAAGATGCCTCCGCCCCAGATCAAGGAGGAGTCTAGAGTGCTGGGCCGGGCTCCTTCAAAGAAGGCCAAGAGCGCCAACAGGAAATCCAAGATTATCAAACCTACCGAGCAGGACTTGCTGGATATCATGGATACCCCAGCAGCGGTGGCTGCTCCTACGAATGGATCCCAGGCGACAAACTCTGATCTTCTGGCTGATATTCTCGGAGGCGTATCGACAGGTTCTGCGCCTGCTTCTCCTGCTCCACAGCAGTCCAACATTTCCTCAATCATGGATCTCTTTGGCTCAGGACCTGCGGGCCAAGGCTCACCTTCACCGGCTCCTGCCTCTGCCGGTCTCGACATCATGTCCCCTGTCGCATCGCCACCACCACAGCAGCCATCTCCGGCAACTCAAGGCCAATGGCTTCCCTGCTACAATGCTAATGACCTAAACGTGACCTTTCAGGTTCAACGCAACGCCGAAGGACTCATCCAGGCAACGGCTCGATTCAAAAACACGTCTGGTTCGACATCTTTGTCCAATGTTGGATTGCAAGCCGCGGTTCCCAAGTCTCAGAAGTTGCAGCTGCTGCCCATCTCCTCACCGGAACTTGGGCCTGGAGCGGATACTACTCAGATGATGAGAGTAGCTGGTTGCAAGGGGGTAAGTAATTCTTTGTTTTGATCATTCCTCCTCCCTTCTTGATATATCATGTACTGACTGGTTTTGTGATAGCCGCTGCGACTGCGACTGCGTATCACACTCACTCACCCTGCGGCGGGACAAGTAGTGGATCAGGTGAACTGGGCAGAGTTATCATAAGCGGGGACTTATTTACAGCGAGCAGTTTACGTTACTGGGCTTTTATAGTGGTTTAATATGGAACATAAATATGGAGGTACTCGTGGAGCGGTTGTAGATATCAAAATTTCACGGGGAGTACATTAAGTGAAGGACGATCTGAAGATGTATGACGGGGCCGACTGGTCGAAATAGGCATAATTACGTAGAAGCATCAATGAGATTTGGTCTACCCTATAATTTCAAGGGCATTGTGATATTGTAATATTGTCTGTCGTTAGTTGTAGATATAAGCTTCCGCTAGCGAGTCTGCATAATAAACACTCCGTCTCCCTGTTTCGGGATATAGTGCAGTGGAATGCTGTTCCCTCTCAAAGCTCTTCAACGCACTAACTATTACGCGCAACTTACAATTCATCACCGCATTGATACGAATTAGCTGATGCTCTGCAGAATCTTTGCCAATCGGTCTCGCACACGGTTGGCAGGACCTCTTTTTCGCTCTACGAGAGCGACGCTTGGTTCTTTACTTCACGAGCGGGCATTGAAGAGCTTAGGCCCAGCTATGGCGTCGACGGGAAAGCGAGAGGGGCATCTTGAGAGGACGGCGGAGGAGCCGAGAGATAAAGTAAAGTGACTTTTATTGCCATCTTCTATCTTTCTCTTACACTTTATATTCTTCTCGTGTTGTCTGTCAAATATCTTTAGGGGGGCGGTGTGCTGATTGTTTACATTCCAGGACCTTCATGAGGTGCGGCTTGGTCGGGTTGAGCAAGTCAATGAGAGAGTGAGGCTGTTTCGACTAGATCTTGTATCCGGCCCCATAAAGGTAATAAAACCATTTTTTACACCACTCTGCAATACCATAAATTAAAAATATTAATTGCAGTGCTGACAATCTCTAGTTCTTGCCCGGCCAATGGCTCGACACATACATCCCCGACGTGCCCAAAGCAGGCGGCTTCACCATCACGTCCGCCCCTTCAGCCGCCCTCACAGGCCCATCGCCATATCTAGAGCTCGCAGTGCAGGAATCGCCCGAGAACGAGCCCGCGGCGTGGCTGTGGCGGCCCGTGGACGCGATTCTGGGCGCGACGCTGCGTGTTCGCGTGGGTGGCAGGTTTGTCTTTCCTCCTCAGAGTGGCAGCAGCGAGAGTTTTGATGCCTCTACTTCTTCTTCTTCTTCTTCTTCTGCGTTGAAAAAGGTCGTTTTCATTGCTGGGGGGGTGGGCGTGAATCCCTTGATCAGCATGCTGAGCTACATTGCCGAGGGCCATGGGCAAAATGGCGCTTTGGATGTGAGCTTCATGTACGCGAGCAAGCTTCCTACGAGCGGCAATCTCTCGGATATCGTCTTTCTCGATAGGATTACTCGGGCTTTTGGAGAGGGCAAAGTCAAGGGCGGAGTGAAGCTGTTTATAACGGCTGCTGGGGACGCGCTATCGCAGCAGCAGGAGACTAGATATATCAATGGAGCTGCAGTGGAGGTTCGGCCACGCCGCCTTACGATTGCAGACATTGAGGCATCGATTGGAAGCGCGGACCACGAAGGCACGGTGGTGTATGTATGTGGACCGCCACCAATGACCGATGAGCTTGTTGAAAAGCTTGGGGCGGTGATGGATTCGCGACGTGTTTTGACGGAGAGATGGTGGTGAAGATTAGCCAATTGAAATTAGAATATTCATCTTACAAGGGTTGAATTATTAGTCCCACTCATGAATGGGCGAGAGGGAGTAGCCATGTCAAACGCTTCGTATATAGAGCTGAATTTATGATAGTTATGTGTCTGTATATACCCGTATGCGCACGCGCGACCCCAACGCCCATGGTATCATCAATACGGCCGTCCCAGTAGTCCAATTTCGCTGGCAATTGTCTCCCTTCCATCATATAAATACTATTCCGCAATAGTGCATCTCATCCAATGAACCAAAGCGAATGCCAATCTTTTCATCGTCTTTTCTCACAACAAACTCATGAGAACAAGTCTTCGGCCTTCTGTCTCCTTTTCGGTTGATTCGCACTGAATAATTCCTTGCCTGCATTGCCTGATCCAAATTTTCCAGGAAATAGCTCTTGCGCGTTGGCTGCTCCCTTGATGGAGAAGCCGCTGTCCCTGCCCCCCGCTCGTTGATTAGCGGCACCCCGAATGTTTAAGCCATCACCTGTTGCTTCGGCGACAATCTTGGGCATATCCTCCTCTTTCAAGTGAGCCGAGCCAATGGACTTTTCCAGCTGGTCTAGCTGTCCACCTCCACCTCTATTAGACGGCTTGGTGGGGAAAAGTTCTTTCGATCTTGTTTCGTTTGCGAGGCGGCCTCTTATAGATCGAGCCTTTTCTCTATTACCTGACGAGCTGGCAAACCCATCCATAGCTGCGTCTCCATCGTCATCGCGGCGCGGAGATGCTGATCTGTCCCTCCTAGAGGTTGGTCGCCCAATGCTGCGGCCTGAGAATAGCTCTTTGCCGCGGTTACTTTCTTGAGCCAATGACCTGTCATCTTTGGAAGCTCGCGGCGCATCGTCGTACATGCTTGCCTCAAAAGTTTCAATCTCGTCGTCTGAATAACGTCTCCGTCGTCCTGATGTTCCCCGGTTGTCACGGTCGCGATATCGAGAACGGTTTTCTTGGTGCCGGCGTCGCCTTTCTTCCGGATCGTGCTCGGGGTGCAAAAGGTAATATCGGCTCCGAAGCGCCGCGCCAGCCTGCTTTTTGTCGGCTTCCGTCGCAAAGCGAATCTGCAGAGAAGTTTCAGGTTTTCCTTCGAGAGCCTTGGCGGGGACAGTCTCGCCCGCGCCCAGCGCCGTTGCATCTGCAATATCAATAGCACTGAGAGCGACAATGGCATCGCGCGCAGAAGGTTCAGAGCTGAAGACGAGATTTGCTGAGGTGTCGTCAATCCACTCTACCCTATCCACATTCCCATAATGGGCTTTGACATATGATTTTATATCGTCGGTGTGTAGATTGTCGAGTCCTCTTATGTGAATCTTTGTGGGAACAATGGTGTTTGACGCGTCGTCTTCATTCACTTCTCCATCATCAGCCACTTCGCCTGGCTCTTCTGGCTCGTCCGGTACCAAGATATCGTCGCCTCGAGGGAGATCCTCATGAACTTCTTGGAAAACCTCGCCGGCGGCGCCATCATCCATGTCAATATCCAAATCCATAATTCGTGCTGGTTTGGCGATGGACCTAGCACAGGGGAAGAAAGTAGGTGGCGGATGTAGAGAATACGATTGGCCCGGTATTAGAAGTAGCGAGCAAAAAGGAAGGTAAAAAGAGATCCAATCAGGATTAAAGCAAATGCGAGTAGGAGGGGGAAAGCAAGATAAGCTTTTTGCCTATTTCTAACTCCAAGAAAGCGCAAAGTGATGCGCAAATGGTGAGCAAGCAGCAGAGTCAAGGGCCAGGGCCGGGGAGGATGCTGTAAGACGGAGAGATCGCTGAGTGGCAGAAAGGCGGCTTTGCGACGCGAGACCGAGCTGGCGGGTGGGCGAGAAGCGCGGCTGTTTGGGCGGTGACGGCGCCTGTGCTCAAGCGACAGGCGCCGCGCATGCGCCGACAAGTACCTGCAAGCGCAGTGGTACATCGCGCAGCTCCAGGAGGTACCGCAGCACTTGGCGTGGGCAGAGAAAGGACACCTGCGCCTTAACACAAGCCACCTGTGGCGCGCGCGAGCCCCGCGACCCGAAAAACCCACCGTCGAGATTCCAGGCAATTGATCACGAAGCAGCTGCCGCCCAGCTCCAGCACGCATCGCCTCATTGCGACACGAACTCGCCAACGCAGCATCGAGGCTCTTGCGTACATCCGCGCAAACCGGCGTCTTCTCTCGGCCACTCGTCCGTATCGACCATCTTCTCTGCCCTCGTCGCCGCATCTGCTCGTTAGCTGTGGCTCCGTCTGTACCACCTCCACAGACCACTTATCGCCAACCCCACCAACAATGTGTCGTCTCTCATAGACAGCTCTTCTTCCTATCACGATACTCCAATGTCTTCAGATCCTCGCAACGCCCTCAGCGCCCTCCTTCGGGCCGCTGATATCGACGACCACGAACAGATCCTCGATGCCGCCAATGCCGCACTCAAGGCCGACAAGAACGACCATGTCGCCCAACACACCAAAGTGGTCGCTCTCCTAAAGCTCGATCGCTTCGACGATGCCCTCCGTGTGATTAGCGGTGGGGGGATCAAGATTGAGGCTACCTGCATTCTCGAACAGGCCTATGCGCTGTACAAGACTGGCAAGCTGGCCGAGGCTTCTGATCTGCTCGAGACCCGTGGCCTAGAGAAACGAAGCCTTCAACACGTCGCCGCGCAGGTCGCCTACAGGGCCGAGAAATTCCACAATGCCGAGAGCATTTATAGGCACCTTCTGGATACAGAGCCAGAAAATGAGGAGAGCGATCTCAAAATCAACATCACCGCTGCTGTTGCCCAGACCCAATGGACAGGCATCCCCTCCTCCAGCCCAGCAGTAGCCCCCGAAACTCTGGATACCTTCGAGCTGTGCTATAACATGGCTTGCGGTGAGCTTGCTCGGGGAAACACGAGCGTTGCCCTCACTCTCTTACAGCGTGCTGCTATGCTCTGCGATAACTCGGACGAGCTCACCGACGAGGAGAAGAAGATTGAGCTGAGATCTATCCGCGCCCAACAGGCGTATCTGTTTGCCAAGATTGCAAAACCTAGCTCTGCCCTGGAAGTTTACGAGATGTTAGGTCCTCCAACGTAAGTAGAGCTCTTGACAAGCTTGTTATTTATATTCCAATGCATGCTCTCTAACATATTTGACGCTACAGCGGCAAAGACGGCCGTGACTTCGCCGTCATTACCCAAAACAACCACTTTGCCCTGGAGGAAGCTGGTAACCCATTCGTGCGCCAACGCAAAGCAGAGTCTTTGATGGCGTCAGCAGCCCAAAGCGACCTCTTCAGCTACCAGTCCAACATCCTCAAGCGCAATAACCTCGTCATCGATCTTGGTGCCTTCAAGACCAAGGGTGTCGCGGAGAGAACGGAAAAGATTCTGGCTCAGGCAAAGCTCCCTTCAGCAAACCCACAGATCAACATCTCCTCCATTATCAATGCGGCTGCTCACACCCAAGGACTGGATAACAAGGAGGCTCTTCGGAAATTACAGGCCTTGGCGGTTAAGCGTCCCAGCGATGTTGGCATTGTCTTGGCTATTGTTCAGCTACAGATTAGGGAACAGCAAGGCGGCGCCGCTTTGACGACTCTCACATCTTTCCTCAGCCGCTTAGAGACTTCCGAGGATGTAAACGACTTAGACACCCGCTACAGCCCTGGTATTGTTGCCCTAGCGGTTTCGTTGATGCGGTCGCAGCAGCGGGAATCATCAGCCAAGGCTGAACTTGTCAAGGCCGCTCAGTGGTGGCAGAAACGTCCGGCTCACTCAGTTGGGTCACTCCTCCTCGAGGCCGGAATCGAGCTCATGAGATCATCCAACGCAGACGACTTGAAATTGGCGGGTATTTCGTTTGACAAGCTATTCCGAGAGCAGCAGGACTCCGAAATTGCTGCGGCTGGACTAGTGGCTGCCTTTGCGGCCTCTGAAGCCTCAAAGGTCAGGCAATACGCCGACAAGCTGCCGCCCGTCCACGACTTGATTAGCGGTATCGACGTAGATGCACTCTTCGACTCTGGCGTGGCCGTCGCCCGCAGCAACGTCACCTCCAAGAAGCGAGCAGCCTCAAACGAGGCCAACGCCGAGAAGGCGACCAAGCGACGAAGGAGAAAGCTCCCCAAGAACTATGTCGAGGGCAAGACTCCCGACCCAGAGCGATGGCTTGCCCTCCGCGATAGATCTTCATACCGTCCTAAAGGCAAGAAGGGGAAGAAGAGAGCCGGCGAGGCCACGCAGGGAGGTATTGTCAAGGAGGAGGAAACGCTGGGTCTCGTAGGTGGAGGAGGCGTCAAGGTGGAGAAGGCCCCGGCGCCTTCATCGACCAATAAGAAGAAGAAGAAGGGCAAGAAATAGATTCTCTCTCTCGTTTTGTAGTCATCTTGATGCAGGGAATCTGATGTTTAGTATATATGGATGTATGGATGTGCGTATAAAGTGATTAGGGGGAGCTTAATTCTAAGAAATGTGATGGGTCCTGATCAGTTTGGGAAAAGAGGAATGGAAAAAATAAAAATGACAATAAAATGCATGCTAGCTTCTCTCTTATCCTTTCATTCATCACGGGCCACAATATCAAAGCATTTTACCATCACGATGGGTAGGACAACGACGACAAAGGTGTATCAAAAAGGTTTATATATCTGAATTGCTGTATGGTATAATATATATATATGTATATATAAGTAAGGTATATATGATGTATGTTTTCTCCACGTGGCCTCATACGGGGTATATAAGCCACACCGTTTTCTTCAAATGGTTTTTTAACAAAGGACATAGAGAGGGCGTGTGTAAAAAAGGAGAAAAAGAGAGAGTGAGGCGGCTAATTAGCTCAACAAAAGAGAGAGAGTGTGTGTGTGTATATGAGATAGCATATGCAAAGTACGCAGACCAGTTTTCTTTTCCCGCTTTTCTTCAAATCAAAGGCATAATAAATTGGTAATTGGAAAAAGAGTGAGAGAGAAGAAGAAGAAGAGGGGAAGAGAGAAGGGGGGGGGATACACAAAGTAAAACAAGTAAAAGAGACATCAGAGGTTATTTCCATATGCAGCCCCCGTCATGGTCAAGTAAGAAAAAGAAAAAGAAAAAGAAAACAAAATAAACTGAAAGCCCTCCTTTTTGTTTCGCCGTCACTCACGAGCTCCACGCTCGGCAATAATAATTCGCTAAATAGACATACATATTCGCACCCTTCTAAAACAGGAAATTCTGACTTGTCATTCCTCTATCACTTCGCTGGTTTCCATTCAGTTCATGCATTGACTGCCTGAAGAGGTCGGTTTAGTAGAGATTCAGACCCCTCGGCCTCTTCGCTTGCTGGCTCTTTTTCTTGCACCGGATTTTCCGTTTTACGCTCTAATGGTTTCTCGTCTTCTTGTTCCAACTCCAATGTGGTATCTTCATCATCTTCGCTTATAGCCGATTCATCCACAGCCAAATCCTTGGCGCCATTCTCATCTTCTTCTGTTTCCATAGGGGGCAGGGGAGATCTTCGTCCGTCAGAAAAGCTCACTGCCACCTCACTTTCCGCATCTGAGGGAACTGCCAGCCTTCCCGCTGCGGATACACTTCGATGTTGAGCAGACGAATATTTCCGGTGAAGTTCACGGAAACTTCTCGCCGTAGCTGTGCTAGCACTAGCGGCAGACGCTCTCCGATTGCGAGACTCACCCTCGCCATTGCCATCGCCCTCACCCTCACCCTCGCCCTCCTCCAGGGGGGCCTCAAGAACGGAGTAAAAGTCGTCATCCACTTCTTCATTTAGCACAGGGGCAGGTGGCTGATCACACGATTGCCGATTGCTCTGTTGCTGCTGTTTTCGAGCCAAAATCTGCTCCTCGTTGCTCAGGACCTGCAGCTCTGTGCCTAGGTTGATAACAGAGGCCTTCTTTCCATGAACAACAAAGCTTCCGGTGCCTCGTGCCAACGTACTGTCCCGAGCAGCATCCTCTGATGAAGCAGCTGGACCTCCCTCCCTGCCTTTCCTGCTCCGGTGATGGGAGAGGTGACCAGCACTCTCCCTAAGGGTGCGTTGGAGACTGCGTCGAATTTTATTTCTCTCAAATTTATCTCCAGGCTCGGCGGCTTCTCCAGTGGTCGACGTGATAGCCTTGTCCGATGGATCCCTCCCTACTCTTCCCTGCAGCAGGCCAGCTTGTTTCAAGAATTGTCGTTCGTCGGCATCCACTTCATCATCGTGCGCGTGGTGAGACTTGACCGATGCCGCCTCATCTTCATCATGAGGTTCGAGCTGCGTGCTTTGAATCTTGGCAATTGGTAGCTGCGCAGGGGAAGCAGTAATACTTGAAATTGAGCCGTGTCTGATACTTCCAAGATCGACCTTGGGTGTTTCTTGCACTTCGGATGGTGGGTACACTTCACTTGTTGGCCGTGTTGCTGGCCGTGTTGCCGGAGGAGATGCTGGTCTAGCCGGATCCTGCAATTCCAAGGTGAACTCATCTTTGTCCGTGAAGAAGGATGGGAGATTTTCTGTAGCAGGCGACTGCGGTATCTTTTCGGAGGCTACTACTGACGCCTGGGATTGGGACTCGGGTCGTTTAGCTGCGGATGGATGCGGTGCTGAAGACACGCGACGCTCTTCAACCGTAAGCGGGCCGTCGGCCGTGACCTTTGTCTCCGTAACCACTTCTCCTTCTTCTTTGAGGTCCAGGACCAAGATATCGCGATGGCATATTTCTTTCCAAATCTCCATTCGCGCCCATCGAAGCTGCGCAGACATGCGGGCCGCAGCCAGGAGAAGCTGCTCTCTGGTCCTCGGTTGGATAGGTGCCAGTATCTGCAAATGCCGAGCATTCCTGAGTTGATTCTCCAAAGCCTTCTTGGAGTCCTCTATCTTTTGATTTGCTTCGGCAATCTTTTCCTGCATGAACTCACGTCTCGCCAGTTGAATATCTTGAGCCATCTTGTAATCGATCCGGCTCTTGGCAATCGATACAGGGCCAGTTGGGGTGTCAACAAGTTGCGTGGCGTCAGAACTGTCAAGTCTTCTAAAGGCTCGGCGACTGTGGCCGTCATATGTGGCTCCACCAACACCACGCATCTTCACGCCGGATGTTCCAAAGGCGGCGGCGTAGTTGAGTTTTGCCAACCAATCATTAAGCTCATGTTCATCATCGGCGAGAAGAACTTCGTCCAACCCCCCTTGCCTCACGTAGATGAAAGCGTTCTTATGTTTTTTATACGAAGTGTCAAGGAGAGCTACGGCGCCCTTGGTAGACATGAGGGCATCAGGTTTAAACTCTTCTAGCGGTGGCTTAAAAGTGATTGGTATGCCATCGTGTCCTGCTTTGATATGGCTATCATACTGGTGCATGAGATTCTTTACCCAGCTGGTGTTGCGAAAGAAGTAGAGCTGAGCGCCGGTGAGAATAGCCCCCCATTCCTGCCATGGAGATCGCGTCTTTCTCTTTTTGGCTTCTTTGCGCCAAAGTAGACCGACTTTTGTGATTTTGATGTCGACGATTCCGGGTGCATCATCTGTGTTCTCTAGAGGGTTATCGGACATGAATGCGTCAGGACGAGACCGAGCGGAGACGATTTGCAAAACACCGGTCCTGAAGAATGTCTTTTGCAAGTCCTTGAGATTGAGGGACTGTGCCGAACCCAAGTAATTATACTGGTCCTCCATGGGTATGGTGGCCTTGAGATTCGGCCTCAGGACATCTAAATTTCCATCAATTATGAGAGTATAGGGGTCGAGGGGTTCTTTTGCCGCCCGTTTGGCAGGATCGGCCACGGGGGCTGGGATAGCAAGTTTCCTCTTCGACTTGATGCTGCCTGGGCCCTGACGCTCGCTGTTGAGTTCCAGGTCATCTTCAACGTGAATGAAAGGGGTATAGCAAATGTTGTCATAGAAGCACTCAAGGATGTCGTCGAAAATGCCCTCCCCGCGAGTGTTTTTCAGATAATCAGTCTTTTGCATTTTGTGCTTGTTGTTCTTATTGAAAACGTCCGTGTGGAGAATGAGCAGAGAGAAGGCGATGAAGTATGCCTGATCAGGAGTGGAGTAGATGCCAGGGTTGCATTCATGATAGCGATTTGCAAACGCTTGCAGAAATCGGTCAATCTGCTGCGTCTCTTTGGGGAGCTCAACCTCCATCAAGAGCTTTCGAATGGCCATGTCCATGGGGTCTCCGAAAAAGCTAAAAGTCCTCATGAAGCTTCTCAAAGCGGCGGTAAAAAAGGAGTCCGTGCCCTTTGACAGCGCGGCAGCTACGACGCCTCTGCTAACCATTCCTTCGATACGGGCAATATACTTGGCAGGAGACTCGTCCTCGAATCGCTCTGGAAGGACTACAGACTCCTCTCTTGGCAGCTGAAGAGAATTGCTCTTTGACGCAACAGATCCTGGCGTGGCGGGTGTGAAGGAGCCCTGCCGGCTAAGGTCCGAGTTCTGACGAAGACGAGTCAAGCCCAATAAGTCGCCAAAGCTCTTACGGCCGATAGAGGTTGATGTCCGCGTAGCGGTGGGGGGGACGAGATGCTCATCGTTAGAATCTCTGCCTATAGAGCTTAACGTAGATGATCTCCCCCGTCGTGTAGGCGTCCGTGTGGGGGAGGAATGGTCGGAACGCGGTCCACCATTTGCATTGAAAAAGGCAATGGCTGGGTTTAGCTGAGGGCCTTGTTCGTTTTCGCCGGGATGAGTGCCTGCACTCTGGGCCGAAGGTGGGCGTGGTGTGGCCTCCACGCCCAAGGATGTAGTCGAGGATCGATCAGTCGCAGCGACGCTGCCCTCTTGTCGGAGGTGTGCAAAGGGGAACAGCGGCTCCGGTGGCTTCTTGTTTCGCCGTAATTTGCTAAAAAAGGGCGTAGATGGTAAAGGCTTCTTGGGGGTAGAACTGAGGCTGGCGTGAGATACTCGATCAGTAGAACTAACATCTGATCGTGAAGATTCGGATGGTCGAGGCGCTATGTTGAGTCCCGTGCCGGTGGAATCAACCGTGGTCTGGGTCGACGGCCGCGGCGATTGAGGCTCGTCCGTAACGCTCAGCGAGGGCCGTCCTTGGTCGCCTGTAGACTTTCTAGGCATAGGATCGTGGTGGCGGCGGTTGGCACTGGTGGATAAAGGATCGTCACGAGGGATGTCCGTGGAGCGTCGCAGCATTGCGGCCAGTCCCAGGCGGGAGGCGGATTTCTTTAGGTTACCAATTTCCATGGTGGGAGCTGTGGTGATGATGGCAGGAGCTAGACACGGGGGGAAAAGGCACAAGTCAGTCGCCATGAGGTCTTCGCTAAAGTCTGGACATGAGGGGAGGGGTTGGTTTACGTCGAGGCACAGGAGGGGGCTTCTCGGCCGCCTGCTTGACTCGGAGAGACAGCTGCGAATCGGAGGCATTTCGAAATCGCAGGACGGAGAAGCGACGGTGCTTGTTGGACTGCGGCTGGACCGGCGGGGTGATGGGACGATCCAAGGAAGTGTCAGATTCGCGGCTCTGCGGCCGAGATCTCGCGGACTCAGGCTCGGGCTCGGGTTCATGTTCAGGTTCAGGCTCAGGCTCAGTGGCCGCATCTGGCAGCTTGACCTGGAGCGGCAGTTCAGGGACATCGTCGGCTTGCGGCGCAAAGGGCACGTTGTGGCGACGCATGTCGGTCTCACTGGCCATGATGCCGCGGCGGCGTAGGAATGGCATGACGGCGGCCGATGCTCATGATCTACAAGGGCACGCCTGGCCGCTGGTGATTCCGACAAGGCCGCTGAGCTTCGGACGACTCGATTCGATTCGCTTCACAGTAGGTTACGGTATCGAGGACGAAAGGAGCGACGAGAGGCGAAGGGGGAGAGGCGTGGCCCTGGCTAGCTGAATGCGCCCGGCGCGTCGAGAAAGAGCATTGAGCGAAGGTCGTTGGAGCGTCTGGAGATGATGCCGGATGGATCTGGTCTGAGATGCAAGGTGGACGCAAGAGATGAGCGCCCCAGGGGGTTCGTCAGTGCAATGCAAGTACCGGTACGAGAGCAAGTACACGCAGCATCGACGCCATAGCCTTAGCAGATATGATATTGCATGGATGGCACCAGCAGCAGTTCCCACGGTGGAGAGGCTTCTCTCGCAGGCCCAGGGGGTTGGGTTGGCATTTGCTGAAGGGGGGCCGCAGCTAGGAGTGGACGCGCGTGTGCTTGGGAGGAAGTTGGCAGCACGGCGCTCCCAATTGGCCCCAGCAGCAGAAAGAGGCGACCATGAGGCTGATGCGCAGTGGATCCTCGCCCCGTCCAGAACACAGCCAGAAGACAGAAGCAAGCAAGCAAAGGCCGCTATAATAAGCTACATTGGACTACTGCTAGTCATCAGGCAGCGCCTAGCGATTCAGAGGGGAAGGGGGTTTTTGCGCTCTTCCTCTTGCTGCGCTGCAGCACCTACTGCCTACTAGGTACCTACTGTACTGTACTGTATGTCCGAGTGCCACGCCATGCCGCCGTGCGTGTTGCTGACGGGTGTGGCGGATGACACGCTGCGGCCAGCACTGTGCAGCGTGCTGAACCTTAGGTTCCTAGCTTCTACTTGCAGGTAGTCCCTCGAGCACAGTAATACGGCCGTCTTCAGGCCACTCGCGCCGCATGGAGCAAATGCCAGCCAGTAATCCTACCCACCCGGGAAGTCTGGATTACGAGGTTCTGGCCGCATGCCAAGGCGTTTACCAGCGCTTTTACGGCGGGCTCATTCATGCACCACCCCCGGAAACAACGGGCTACCAGTGCAAAAAATCCACTCTGGTAATCGGTACCGGTACGAGGCCCTCAGCAGGAGCTCTCGCTGCTCTGTAGACTCCAGCGCACGTTGGGCACAGCCCCGCCATCAGGTACAGGATACCTACGGGCTGGTACGTGTATTCGGTAGCGGCTGGCTGCTGCCCCCAGCACTCAATACATGTGGCCCATGTTCCCTCTACTCCGTAAATTCTCCGGGGCCTCCATGTCTGCAGCGGATACCCTTTGCTGCTCAGGCTCTAGAGCACTTGCCTAGCACTGGCAGCGCTGGAGCATCGCAGCCGCTATTGCTTCCGGGTTCTCTAAATTAATGCCTAGAGCAGAGCCTCGCCGAATCGCAGCTCTGGCTGACTACTTCGCAGTTCCAACACCCGTGTCTCCCGTCTAGTATCAGTTATTTGCTGCCGCAACCAACCTAGAGTACCTATCACCTAAGACAAAAAAAAAAAAAAAATAGTCGCCTCCCAACCGCTCCATCGCCAGCGCTATGCATATTGAATAATTAATCCTTTTTTTTACTTGTCGCGTGTCTCACAGCAATTTGCTCGATATCCATTTCATTTCATTGACCCCGCTGAGCCGAGTCGCTCGCTTCAAACCGAGATGAAGGCGACGGTCGCTGCCGTGGTGGCCTCGTTGGCGCTGCTCGGCCCAGCCCACGGCGCGGGCATCTCGTCAGCATCATCGCGAATACCCTCGACCAGCAGCCACAACACCAACACGGCCGTCTTCCCTTTCCTCACGAAGCTCCGCGATAGTGCCATTGAGTTCATCTTCGGCCGCCATCCTTCCAAGGCCGCCCAGCCTTCTGCTCCCAGCTACTCACATTCTCGATACGTCAATGAGCTGGTCTTGCGATTCAATGTGTCGACTGCCGTCGAGGAGGCGGCTCTCGCGGAGGCGGCTTCTCGTCTCTTCCTGGATGTATGGGCCTTTACCGATCAGTTTGTCGACATTCGACTCCATGCCGACGAAGTCGCCCCGCTGCTCAGTCTCCTGCCTCGATCTCTCCATCTATCGCAGTCGACGCTGATCCCCGATCTGGCTACCGCAGTCTATCAGTCTACGCCTTCATCAAAAGACACCACCATGGCTTCGGACAGAATGATGATGGGGGCACTGTCAGCGCCACTGAGAGCTGCCGATAACCTCTTCTTCCAGGACTACCAACCGCTGCCCGTCATCGTCCGGTGGATGCGCCTCTTGGAAGCCATGTTCCCGTCGTATGTCAAGTACATCACGATCGGAAGGTCGTTTGAAGGACGAGAGATACCGGCACTCCGCGTGGGAGTACCGCAGCTTGCCGACCCTAGCAAGCCACGAAAGATGATTGTCGTCACAGGCGGGCTCCACGCCCGCGAGTGGATTTCAACCAGCACTGTCAACTATGTGGCGTGGTCGTTTATAACCTCGTTTGGCAAAGAGCCAATGATTACCAAGCTCCTCAACCACTTTGACATTGTCTTCATTCCGGCGGTTAATCCTGACGGTGTTGAATACAGCTGGCAAGTCGACCGTCTGTGGCGCAAAAGCCGGCAGCAAACCAACCTGCGATTCTGTCGAGGCATGGACTTGGACCACACTTTTAGCTTTGGCTGGGATAGTGCCGAGGCTCGAAGCGACCCATGCTCGGAGAGCTACGGCGGAGACAAGCCCTTCCAGGCTGTGGAAGCCGCTGAGCTCGCAAACTGGGCTGTGAACCAGACGGAGAATAACGTCAAGTTTGTGGGTTTGCTAGATCTCCATTCATACTCGCAACAGGTCCTCTTCCCATATTCGTATACTTGCGACACCGAGCCGCCCAACCTAGAAAACTTGGAGGAGCTTGCCATGGGAATTGCCAAGGCAATTCGTCTCTCGAATGGAGAATCATACTCAGTCACCTCTGCCTGCGAGGGCGCCGTGGCTTCCAAAGACGCCAAAGGTCGTGATCCCGTCTGGTCGCGTATCGAATCAGGCGGCGGGTCTGCCATCGATTGGTTCTACCACGAGCTGGGCGCGCACTTTAGCTATCAAATCAAGCTTCGAGACACGGGGAGCTATGGGTTCCTCCTCCCCAAGGAATACATCATTCCCACAGGAGAAGAAGTATTTGATGCAATGAAGTACTTTGGAGATTATCTTCTGGGGAACAATGGCATTGAGAAGACGATAGGCAATTACATGGAAGAGGAGGAGGTGGAACTGGGCGTCGTGGATGTGGAGTTTGACGACGGCCAGCAGGAGACGTTGCCGATCCAGGAGCTGCGGCGACGCAGATTACGAAGATGAAATTTTGATGTAGCACTGCTGGAATTGGCGTTTTTGTGTTTTTATTGATGTTGGTGTTTGTAATTCTCTCTTCTTCCGCCCATCATGATATCCTTAGGTACGTAATAATTGCTCGAATAGCAACACTTATAATGAATTTGTAAACAAAAAAAGTTACAACAGACTTGGGCCATTTTTGTTCACAATCTACGTACATGAGAGATGTACACGAGCAATCATGATTGGAGGCAAACAACTGTGGTTTCAGCTTAGGAAGAAGGGGCTTCTATTGTGGCCAAGGAGATTGTTATAAGGAGAGGGCAAAAACAAGCACACACTTCCCTGTCAAGGCATCTATCTCCAACAATGAATATATCTGGATTAACCGAAATTTTATTTTATTTCCTCTAAGATAAGATTGGTCTATCTCGCAAAATAAGAAACTCAAATGAAAAGACAAAACAAGCATATACAAAAAAGAGAGAGAGAGAGAGAGAGAAAACTTAGTTGCTTGTAATAACCAGGTAGGAGGTATAGGCAGCCATGAATTTGAGAGCAATATCCGCAAGGCCGGCGAAATAGGCACCGCTAAAAAAAAGGAAAAGAAGAAAAAAAATCAAACGTTAGTTAAAATGGTCTCGCGAAATTTTACGATTCTCGGGTTGAAAAATAGCAAAAAACTCACAATGTTCGGCCCTTGGGGCCAGCATCGCTGGTGTAGCCGTACAGGTAAACCACGCGGCCAAAGGACCAGCTGGCGCCGAGGGCGGCAGCGGCAACGGGGAAGTTGAGGCCGGCGATGAGGAGGGAGCCGACGGCGGGGAGGAGGTTCTCAGTGTAGTTGTTGTGGGCGCGTTGAGCTGGATGTTTGGTGATGTGTCAGTTAGCATGGTGTTTTTTTTTTTTTTTTTTGGTGTTTTGTTATGCCACAACCACACACTACTCGATTTCTCTACTCAACTCGTTCTCTCGGAAAATAGCGGCACAAAAAGAAAGGGGGGAGAAAGAAAGAACATGGGAGTTTCAGCAGTTTATGCACACACAGATTCACACACACAACTTACCGCAGTTGAACTTGTACGCGTTGGGGTCCTTGGAGGCCTGCTCGTGAGAAGCATAGGCGTTGGGGTAGGTGACGCCGCTGGCCTTGCGGAACTTGCCGGTGCGCGCCATGTGCAGGACGTTGACGAAGAAGGCCGAGGTGGCGGCGGCCAGGACGAAGCTGTGTTGTAAGTTGTATGTCAGCAATTGAACGGTGATGGATTCATGGTGTTATTCTGTCTTTTTCTTTTTTCTTTTGTATTGTTTCACTGAGTTTCTGGCCGTTGCTCAATCTCCCTCTCATCCACCTCTTCTTTGTACAATTTCAAGTTCCTCTTCTTCTTTGCTGGCGGTGCTGTGCTTGTTGAGACTTACCCGTAGGAGTTGGAGATTTCAAAAGCGAAAGGCATCTTGGGCAGCGATGATGATGATGATGAAAAAAAAAAGACTAGGATTTAAAAACCGTGCCGTTGGTTAAACGCAATTGAGCTGCAATTCTTTGTTCAACACGAGTCAGAGAGAGAATGCGGGAGAAAACGAGTCTGGCAGCAGCAATGGCGGTGGGCATCGTTGTCCATTTAAGCATTGAATGTCCGCAACCTCGGAACATCTCGCCTCTCCCCTGACTCGATCCATCCGAGCCCGACTCCAGCCAGAAAGATAGAACCAGCTGCTGCTGCACAATACTACTATGCACTACGTACTACGGCTGCTAGTTAGTTAGGTAGAGAGACTACGGGGTTCAACACGCCGCAATTCCTGGCCATTCGAGGCCAATCTGAGACAGAACCTCCACTAACATGAGACCTGCTTTTAGGTATTAGCAGTAGTGAGTAGTAGATCAGTAGGCTAACAAGACGCGCGCGGCAAAAGAACCCAAGCCCCCACCACAGCTACTGTATACGTGGTATTTTTGCTAGATTATTTTTTTTTTTTTTTTCTTTCTCTCGTCCAATTTTTTCTTCTCTACTATTCCAACTCGGGGATCGAGGAATTCCGAATGCCGCTATTCCTTGCTTCTATTCTGCTTCTTCTCCCCTCCCCCCTGCGTGGAGACATGGATAACACGGCAGATGCTCCATGTAGTTTTGCTTCTCTGCTGCGGAGCGAGCTCAAAGTACTTTAAAAAAGATCGCCAAATGCTTCCGCAATAGGCATTGCGTATTATTACGTAGCTACCCTGCCTATTTCCTGTGACTAGTTTAAAACATATGAGAGAGAAAACTTGCAACGGAGAATTGTTTACCGTCTAGGCTGACAGCTATACGCGGATTGTCAGACACTCAAGGGTCCAAACACCGATACTTTACTTGTTCAGTGCAAACCGAGGATACTGCATGACCAAAGCTCCCTCAGCCTCCAATATTGACTCAGCCCAACTCTTCATTACACGTCTACAACTTGTCTTGTTACTTAACACAACTTAGAAATGATGAAATAAATAAATCATTAATAACACGTTGTCCTTAACTCTAGTAAAAACACAGCCAGTCAGTCTAAAACGCGGCATTTCAACATTCGCCGACGGTCCGCATCGTGCAGATCGGGTCTTCGCTTTGCGACATCCGCAGCCACATCGCAAAAGACTAAACGTATGTTTCGCGTGCGTCCAATATCAAAATGGCCCCTCTTGGTTCTTATGAAAGCCACTTTTCCTCTTCATTCTTCCCGCTCCTTTAGCGAGTCTCGTACTAAGACGTAACCCATGCGCCTAGCTGCATCCGTGAGGAAAAAGGGATGCTCAAAGTCCGCCGCTCAACGCCAAAAGTCCGCCTCGCTTCAGCTTTGAGCACAGGCATTCGGGCTTCAAGCCATCAGGCTTCGCAATCATCGCCCTCAGCTCAATCCTACGCAAATGATTGTCATGCTTATCAAGCACATTAATAATATTGTCTTCAAATGAATCATTCTCAGTCACGCTGTGACGCACAAGAAATGCATGCCTGTGTTTTCCCCAGTCCATGTATAGTTCGGATGTCGGAGGAGCTCTGAGAAGGACCCGGCTATCGTAAAGGGAGAAAGACATGGAGAACAGAACATCATCAGATCATTGGCTGTGTCGTAAATTGCATTCAACCGTTCATAGCCCTCGTTATCCCGTACACCTCTCAGCCGGCGGCCGCCACTCCAGCCCCAGCCCTTCAAACACGCGCCTCTCGGCCGTTTCCATATCAGGCGCCGGTCCTTGCTCGGAGCTCTCCAGGTCCACCCACGAGCCGTCTGCACGTCTCCGGATGCCGCTGCTGTCAAACTTCAAACCCATCTTCACCTTGCAGTAGCGTCGAAGGTCTCGCTGGAATGTTGTCTCCCCACTCCATCCAAGAATTGCACACCCGGCCGTCTTCCAAGGGCTGATGATGATGTCCACTCTCCGGTGAGGCGCCGGTGCCGCAGTTTCTTCTTCTTTGTCGTCTCTCGGCTCTTGCCAAACTACCATTGCCTTGTCCAGCGTATCAAACCCCGATCCGGCAGAGCGATTCTGGCCACGCCATGGCAGGGGAGCCTGGCCACGCTCGCTATTTCGCGTCCATACACTCAGAGTGTGCTTGATAAAAGAGCTCTTTTCCAGGCTGTAGATCAACTTTTCAACAACGTCGAGTGTTTGAGCTTCATCGGGATGGCTTAGGATCACGTCAACGTCCCCGCTCTCAGGCTTGCCTCGCCGATAGCTGCCAACAATTACCATTTGGAAGCCCGGATCGATTCGCCGGACGTGAGTGAGAATGGTGTTGGCGATGGCTTCTGTCTCTGCTCGAGGGATCTTGAGCTGAAAATCGTCATAGTATTTGACACCAATCTGCTGCGCTCTGCTCAACGAGCTCCATTCATGCTCTACGATATCGTCGAGATCTCGCCACCCTAAAGTATTATAAAAGTAAAAGATTCATTAACCCTGAAGCCGCTTTCATTGTGACCAGTCTTGTAGAATCAACATACCCTTCTTAAAGAAATGGCGAGCAGTCACATCCGCAACTCCCCATATATCGTAAAACTTCCTCAGCACAGTTAATTCGGTGTCGACTGCAGCTGCTTTGGTCTCTTCAGTACACCCATCAGTTGTCCACTGTTGATACAGCTTTGCAATCTTGGCACCACATCCTGGCAACCTTTCTATCTCTGAAAAGAAGAGGACATCAGTTCGCATCCTGCGCTATAAAAGTGTAAAGAAAGAAAAGAAACTTACCCTGTGGTCGCTTTATTAGAAATGGATACGCAGCCAAGGAAGCTATCGACGTAGAGTAGGCCCTAACACCAACTTGATCTCCCTGTAGAAGCCGCAACGTACGAACTGCCTTCAACTCCTTGATGAACGCAGCATTTGGTGGGTTGACAAGAGAGGGTCTTTCGCAGGAGTATGTAGTATGAAGGAAATCAGGAATTGGCGGCAGGGGGGCATCATGCTCTGAAGTTGTCTCACGGTACAATGTCGGCGGCTCAGCTCGTTTTCTTCCACTTGGGGTGCTTGGAGAGTCTGTCCGCCGTCTTGCTGTCCGCGGCGAATGCGGGCTGGTGCTGATTCTCTGTTGGTCCTCAGCAGCACGAGCAAGCACCGATGAGGCTCGGCTGGCTGCATGAGAATGCCCCTTCATCCTCTGTCTTGACGGAGAGGTTTTAGGAGTTGTATCCTTTTTCGGCTGAGATGGCAATTTGCGGCCTCGGTACAGCAGATAATCATCAACGGGTAGCGCAGCATCTTGCTCGAGAGAATCCAACAGCCATGCCAGCTTAAGCACCAATACAACATCTCTTGGCTGTCTCAGCACATCATCAGAAGTGACATCGCCACTTGCCTCGTTTCGCGGTTCCAAAGCCTTTGATCCAGATAGTCTCGGACGTTTCGACGGCAGCTCTTGCGTATCATCATCTCGTTCACGGTTGCTGTTCTGCCCTGCCTCTGCCGCGGCCTCCTCATAAGCCACCGGCTCTGTCGCAAGCCTAAGTCGCCTCAGCTCAAAAAGAGCGCGCTCTGGTCTGGATATCTTCCCCAAAATAACAGCAGCTTCCTGAGAGTCGTGAGTCAGGGTAGGTATCTTCGCCTCCAACTTGAGCCGCTCATCCTCTTGTAAGTGAGTAGGAAGCAAGAAAATGCGGGGCAGCTCAGGAGCCATGGCTCAGGGCCTTGCGTGAGCTCGATGTAAGCGTCATTTCACGAAGTCACAATAAACTGAGAGCACGGGGCTCTTTTGTATTTTATCAGGCAATCTTGTCGAGCAACTTCTGGCGGTTGTTGGATGTTTGTCGTCATGCAAACCGCTTGCGTGAATGCCGGATGGAAACTCTCCCATTGGCTCTTTAACCAATTTAGGAAGGCTGTGCCCCACCATTGTCAATTGGGCAAAAGAGGGAAGAAAGAAGGCCAACCAGCCAGCCGGTTTCCAATGTTTTTAAACAGTAGGAGTGAGCATTCTTATTCAAAGCTGCTTCTATATCCATCTACCTCTATCCCATTCAAAAGCAAACAGTACAAAGTACGCGGTTATAACGGTGGGAGGCCAGATATCAGGCCATCAATTAGCAGAGCGCCAACGGCTTCCCTCCCACCTATATCGGGTATAGAGGTGCTTTGGGCTTTTTTCTATGTATTCAGGTTGGGTTGCCCCAGCCATGTGTAACCACCATGATCAAATTGCAAAAAAAAAAAAAAATTTATATCTGAGACTCAACGAGCCGGCTTTCAAACATCCTCAAACTCGACCTCATCGTCATCCTCGTCTTCGTCAATGCCGCTATCCTCCTTCTTAACTTCGGGTTCGACCTTGACTCGTTTAATCGCCCTGTCATCCGTGCTGTCTCCGTTTCGGGACGCATCGCCTGTTGGTGCCTCGGTCTTGATGCCTGGCGTGCCAAGCCCAGAGTTATTACCAGTCGCCATGACATCCTCAAACTCATCGTCCTCTTCCTCAGAAGCATATTCTTCCTCTTCTTCCTCTTCCTCTCCTCGGGCTAGAATAGCAGCCTGCTCTGCTTTCAGCTTCTCGAAAATGTCATCAATCTGTGTAGTGGAAGTGTTTTCGACCAGCTTGCTCTGAGACGGATTTCGACCAGCCGACTCCCTGCTCGCCCCCAAAGCATTGGCATCAGCAGTTGCGGAGAATGACTCTCCTGTGATTGTACTATTGGACATCCAGGCAGGCAGTGCATTTTGCTGTGCAATCTTTTCCTTCCGAAGCCTTTCGGCCTCCTTCTCGGCCTCGGACGGCCCGTCGGATGTAGAGATATTGACGGCAATTGACTGCGGGCCGGTATTGGCTAAACCTCTAACCGCCATGGGTCGGGACGATGCATCGTCAACAGGTATCGTGGCTGCGCGTTGGTGTGTAGCATCGCGAACCACAGGTCGAGCTTTCGATAGAGCTCGATCAAAATCGCATTCAGGGATGTGTGCTGCATCGATTTTGGGCAGCAGTTCGCTGATGAATTTGAATTGGTCGTTCAGTCTTGTAGACTGTTCGTGCCCGCCGGCGTTTCGATCTGCTTCAAACGAGAGAGGGTGGCGGCATCGATGACAGATGAAGCCCTCTGGTCCAACGCTGTCCAACACCTCCATCAACGTCCATTCGGCCCTACAGTATGAGCAGAAATATTCCTTCTTCTCATTTACCGGTACCGTGGTTCCTTGAACCTCCTTGTCTATATTGTAAACCCGCCACTTGATGGCGTCGATGGTGTGTCGATAGTTGATGTAGTACCACGTGCGATTGCTCGGTCGGGGATTACCCGGTCGTAACTCTGATCTCGTGTGGCTATTATAATAGTAAGCTCTCTGATCGAAAGGTCAAGGCATAGAAAAGNGACGTACACTGTCAGGAAACGATCCTCTCGTAGCTTTCCGCATATCTTGTGCAAATCTTTCGTATTGATTGCCATTAGATAGGCAAGATCGTCATCGCGTAGACTATCCAAGACTTGTTTCAGCATATTTCATTCCCCCATTCAAACATGCAACTCGTCAAAGAGGCGTACGCTTCATGAAGAATCAGTGCGTCTACAACGAGGATGTCTCGCGTCGAATAGAACGCCCGCATGACGGCTTTGATCAATGTCACAGCGAGATCCATGATGCCGACTCCGTATAGATATCGTTATAGTCGCAGAAACAAATGTACTAATCGTTCAAGAGGTCTGCGCTGGATCGTTCGCCTCGATTTCTTCACGGGATAACTCTCGGTTTCGATGCGCGCTTGGGTGTCTCGCAGCGTCGATAAGGTAAATGTCGATGGAAGAAGAGGATAAACAGCGATTCGGGTCAAAAAGTAAAATATAGAGTGAATTGAATAAGCTTCACGCAAGAGAGGTGGCGCTGTTTCGGTTTGCAAAGGAGGAAGGGTAAATCATGTTCATCGGAGGAAGTGCATCGTTCTGGTGGCCCTTGGCTGCGCAGCTTGACCCAGATGATGCAAAGAGGGATACGCCGGGAACCGCTCCCTTTTCTTTCAGCAGAATAAGTGATTTTGCGCTTTATGAGGAGGATAAGTAAGGCTGCTACAAATCAGTTTTTCAATGGTGTCGCTTCACAGCGAAGTATATGGAGAAAAAAGTAAAGTTTGTCGCGTCATTGCGCCTCTTCTGCCTGCTGCGGACTCCAATTAAGGTCGGATATCGGAGAAAGTTTAGACCAGCCAACACCATGTTCGTGTTTATGCTGCGCACCCCATGAACTTGTCGCAGACCACCTTTTTTTTTTTTTTTTTTTTTGTCAAAAGTTATAGATTCACCTTCCAGATTCCGTCTTCTTACTCCCATAAAGCATCTTGTTATTTTAACCTGCTAGTACATACATTACGTGCATATACCCTTGCCTACTGGATATCTTTATGGTACCTGGGCATCAAGTTGAAGGGTTGACCTATATAACCGTAGCCAAGCTGATGCGCCCTGTAACCATATCCGCGAGAGCGGAATCAACTAACTCGAGAACAGCAAGAAAAGTACATATTCATCCATACGCCAAGTAAATCATTAACTCGTAGTAATCCAATGGTCGAGGTGGCGGGCCCCGTTCATTGATTTCCTGCGTTTTTCCTTATCCAGTCTGCCTTGCTCTTTACACACTGCCCCTCCCATCCGGTCGTTAATATTGATACATAAATAAGAAATACTACCAGAGAACTTGCTTGCTATCAAGCGTATTTCCTAAGCTGTAGTTTGAAAGAGAGAGAGAGAGAAATGATTAGCTCTATTGTATATCAATACGAGGTGGTTTATAGATATATGACTTACATCCAATGTTAATGTCCGAGAGCTGTTGACCTCCTGGTCACGATAGACGCCCACAAGACTCTCGCTGTCCTGGAACAGGCCAGCCTTCAAACTGATGACGATGAACTGCATGCCTGGGCCAGCATGTTCCCGAATATACTTTTTGATTTTATCCACATTGGCATTGTCCAATGCAGCGTCTACCTCGTCCAGGACAAAGAAAGGACTTGGCTGGTAGCTGTGGATGGCAAAGAGAAGCGCCAATGCCGCCATAGTTTTCTCACCACCAGAGAGATGCTCCATGTCTCGGAATCTCTTGAGCGGGGGCATGGCATGGAACTTAATGCCTGACAGATACGGCATATCTGTGTCTTCTTCAATATCCAAGTATGCCTGACCACCTAGCGGATAAGCATCAGATCGGGTAAGGTCTTTGTAGACATTCGTTATTTGGTCCGAGATGTGAACAAAGGCCTTGTTGAAGAGCTCGTATCTTCGCTGCTTGACATCATTGAAAGCTTCCTTGGCCTTGTGGGCTGTTGTTTTGGAGTCTTCGTATTCTTGATCCGTCTGTTTGAGCCTTGTCTCAACGCTTTCTAATCGCTCCATCGCTCTCATGTTGGGATTCAATTTCTCCAATTCTGCTGTTAGAGATGAAATTTTCTCTGTCAACGTGTCTTCGACGCTAGATTCGCCAGATTCTTTGAGGTCCTCATCAAGGCCGTCGAAATCAATTTCAATGCCGTGGTCATCGAGCGCAATATCCATCATCTCATCATCTCCGCCATCAACGTCCATGGCATCTGGATCTTGTCGTAGCAAGTCATCCTGCGTCGGTAGGTTGTCCAGGGCTCCCTCCGTCAATGGAATCTGGATCTGCTCAAGCCGACATCGTCGCAGCAGCGCAGACTTGCCAGCGCTATTCTTCTGCACAGTTGTTTCCAGGGCATTGATTTCTCGTTGGCAGGCTTCGATATCTTTGCTACGTTTCTGTAGCTCTGCTTTAGCCTCGCTGACCCCCTGATTCTTCTCTGACAGTTCAGCCTTCAGCTCCTCGAGGGTCTCCCCAAGGGCGTCTAGCTCGTCTTGGTCTTCGCGCTTCGACTCCTCGATTTCGGCCTTCTCTCTATTGTAAGCCTTCACGTCTTGTTTCAGTCGTTTTACTTGATCTTGTATTCTTTTGATACGGGCTTCGGTGTCGCTGTGGCGTGAGACTTCCCAATTGAGTCGAGTTTCCAGTCTCTGCCTCTGGACTTCGTACTGGTTGCGCTTCTCGGAAATCTCTTGTTCCAATTTACCTTGGGAAGCCTCATATGCACGAATATCGCTGTATCCAAGCCTCTTGCAGAATCCAGCGAAGACCTCGTCTTCGACACGCGCAATTGCGTTTCGGAACTCTTGGACTGTCTCCTTAGTGCGATCCAGTTGCGCCATTTGATTTTCATATTTGGGTTGAAGTTCGTGTAGCTGCTTCTTTTGGCTGTCGAGCTCGCGCTTCTTGCTTGTCCAGTTCTTATTCAACGCTGCTAGCTCGTCTCTGGTCGCCGCCAGCTGCCGTTCAAACCCGTTTAGCTCAATCTGTAGAGATTCTTCCTGAGTTCCCCGACGGTCCGCTTTGGGTAGACGATCGATCTCGCTCTTCAACTTGGCCGCCATCCGCTGAAGATTCTGAACGTCGGCTTCTTCAAACTTACGCTTTCCGCCTTTGGGTTCAGGGCCACGACCACCCGTCATTAAGCCAGCTTTGTGGATAATGTATCCCTCTAGCGTAACAGCCTTGACTGGTATTTTCTTCTCGTAACAGATGTGTTTAGCGACGTCAAGCGTGTCGCAAACCACAGAGCTACCGCATGCGTATGACATGGCTCTCTCGACTGCTGGTTCAAAGTTGATGGTGTCGATTGTGAGTCTGGCGCCGGGAAAGCCCTTGATGGCGGTGTTGACGGCATTGACCTTGATATTGTCCAGCGGAATGAAGGTCATGGGAGAGAATCTCTGTTCTTTCAGATATTGAACACACTCCACGCCGGTTTTCTCTGTATCAACAACTACGGAGTCGAAATCTCTTCCTAAGGCAACGATAACGGCCTCGTCGTACTTCTTTTGCTTGGGCGTACACAAGTTCCCAACGCGGCCACGAACTCCGGGAAATATACGTTTCAAAGTCGTTACCATTTCTTTCATGCGTGTCTCCCTGTCATTTTGGCGGCGGCCATCGTCAGCCTCTCTTAGCTTTCTCGCGACATCTTCGAGCTTCTCTTCGAGCTCAGTCCGTTTCTGATTGGTTCGCACTCGTTCGGACTGGAGCTGGTTAAACTCCTTCTTCTTCGTGGTAATATCGTTGGTGATGTCTTTCGTTGCAGATTCAGCAGAGCTTCGCCTTTCCCCGATGCTGGTGAGCTCTGCCTCCATTTTCTCAATGGCGGCGGAGATACTATCTACCTTGCCCTTGAGACTGCTAACGGTGACCTCGTCTGCCTTCCTCTGTCGTTCAAGATTTTCCAGTTTTGCCTGGTTGGAACCAGGGCGGGCCAAAACCTGTGCTCGGAGCGCGTTGTACTCTTTACGGTCATCATCACTGATTTCTCGGCCAGTCTTCTTAAGCTGCTCTTTGACGTCTTTTTCAAAAACATCCTGAGCTTTTTTGACACTCGCAATATCCTTCTGGACCTTCTGAACAATATCCGTTTGCTCTTCAAGTTCCTTGCTGACTTTCTGCGATTGCGCCTGTAACTTTTCAATTTGCTGTGAAGATTCATGTATCTTCTCCTCGAATGGAACCAGGGCATTCTCTTTATCCTCGATATTTCTTTCCGCGTGCTTGATATCCCTTTCCACTTTGTTAACCTGCTTCTGGACAGTGGATTGGTCTCTTCGAGCTTCCTCCAGGCGATTCTCAAACACTTCTACATTTCTCCGCAGCTCTTTCAAGTTTTCATGGTGATCTTGGATGGCGGTGCTCGAATCGTCCATGGCTTTCTGGAAATGGAAAAGCTTCCACAGGTAATGCGTGACAATGGCCGCATCTCTCTCTTCGGTTTTCTTTTGGAAGCTATCTGCCTCCTTCTTTTGCTCACGATATTGTTTGATTTCGGAGTTGATACCACGACGTCGGTGGAACTGGAAATTCTGATTCTCGATGGCTTGCTCGGCTTCGGCCTGGAGTTTTTCGTACTCCGACTTGTATTCCAAGCTTCCTGATATTTGCTCGATGAGGCGCGTAAGGTCCTGTGGGGACTGTGAGGCAATAGCCTCGACATCTCCTTGGAAGACAAGGAAATTGCGCGCCTTGATCAGGATGTTTTCCGCTTCTAGCGCCTCGTTGTATTGCTGGGCCGTGACCACTCGGTCGTTGATCCGGTACTCGCTGGCTCCCTGGCTAGTGATGGTCCTCTTCCATCTCTGCTCCTCTCCGGCGTCGTCTTCATATACAGCCATGACCCAAGCAGTCTTTGGATCTCCTCGAGACGCCTTATCGTCGTCGGCAAAGTTGCTCGCATCGGCAGGCGCCTGGGCGGACCCATCATCGTTGATCTTGGACGTCTTTAGGACGCGCCCACGGTATACGAGTTCCTTAAGGTGCGTGGAGCGCAAATGAGAAGATTTGATGCCAAGGACAAAGGAGATGGCGTCCATCCTGTCCCACCCTCGTGATTAGTACGGCGGCGGCCCAATAGCGACGGGCACGAATATTTTGAATGGAGTAACTCACGAGTTGGATTTACCCGATCCATTGGGTCCAATAATCGAGGTGAAGTAGGAATCGCCGAATAGGAGAGTATGGTGGCCCTTGTAGGACTTGAAGTCTTGATGCGCACAGTTAGCGAAGCCCAGCGATCACGATCAGTAAGTAATTCGAGAAGAGCATACTGTGCAACTCGAGGCGGATGAGTTTGCCCATTGTGAAGAAAACGCAGCGGCGCCCGCAGCCCGCAAATTCAAATCAGATTTCAGTCGCAACCGATACAAAACAAAGCGCTGGTAAGGATGCAGCTCTGGCGGCGGAGCACGCGCGGAGTAGCCCAAGTCAGGAGGGTTGACAACACCACACGATGAAGACCCTTGGTGCAGTTTTCTCATAGACGGTGCCGCGCGAATTAGAAGATTCCCCGGCGATGCGTGAGGCTGCAGCACGTCATGCTAAGAAAATGCGAGGCGTTGCTGCTGAGCGTTGCGCAATGCGAGAAGCAGCTTTGACGCGTCGCGAACTGCGATTCTGTAAAGTTCACTAAAACAGGCACTACGACTCTGCTGCTGGGTAGCACCACTAATGGGACCTGGCCTAAGGTAGGACGAAGGTACTGTAGCGAGTACAAGTTATGGTGGGGTAGGGCAGTTTTGCGCTGGCCGTGGGCGGGAGCTGGGCTGATTGCTTGGCCATGGATCAACCCATTTCCGCATCTCAACATTATAGCGGTACGTACCGCTCCCAAGGTGTTCCGCATCTGATTGCACTGATTTTGATGATGCCTTGGTCACGTGACTATTTCCCGCCCAGACAATCGGCCTGGTCAACTCGACACATCAAATGCGTCACAGCTGACTCGAGCCCCAAAAAGGCTTGTCTTTGTTTAGCGCCCGGCCTCCTCCAACCAGAGAGCGGGACGGCAGCACCTGCTACGCGGCAATGGTTCTGGATTTATTCTCGTCGACCTGCCTGAAAGCAAAAAGAAAAGAAGCCAACACAGTGGGCTGTCAGATGGCCTAGACCACATTACCTTTTTTTTTTTTTTTTTTTTCTTCTTCTTTAAATCAACGGCGTGCTGAATATTTCTCTACAGCTACTCTTTGTACACAAGATACTCAACTCTGAGCCTCGTCTTCGCGCAAGACTGTCTTCTGCGTCCATCTTTCAAGTCGTTACCGGGTAGGGTACTGCTTAGGCCGCCGCATGTGAAGCTGTCGCCAGCCCAATAAGACGCAAACATGTCCCAAGTCCCCGTTCTTTTTCTGTCGTGTGTAGTATCTTTGCCCGAGTAATGCGACGCATGTACCTCCGTACTCTGTACACTCTTTGCTGGGTACAGGGGTCCAGCAGCCGCTAATTAAGAGGGCATGTGGGGTGGTTGGGCTACTGCCTTGTTTTGCAGTACTTTATAGCTTCAACGTGTTGGGAGATGTTACCCAAAGAAACTTCCATCCCCTAGTAGCTGTTATGAACTAATAAAGTATTAATTTGTATTCTCATTACATCGCCAGGTACTCCCTAACTGCTTCAACTATCACATGGACGAGACCGCGACCCTGGGGACAGCTTAGATAGAGGCGTCTTGCGGATGATCATCGATGGAACCATGGCAATGATTTAGGCTCGCATCAACATTGCAACCTAAGAGAAGCTCTTTTCCTTTCTGTATTTTTTTCTCCCCTCCTTTCTCAAAACTCCCTCTCCTGGGACCTGAAAGACAATCCTCGCCTCTTGCCGGCGCTCCTTCTCTCCTTCATTATCCTGTTTCTCCCCCTACCTCTCTTGACCCACGTTGCCGATCTGTGGTCGTTACTTGCGGTGACATTTTTGCCACCGTTTGCGATTACATCAACCAGTCTCGCAGCTTGAATATTCACAATCTGATCTTGCTGTGATACTGCTGAACTGCTTGACTCGTCGAATTCATCGGACTGTAACCTATGGGTCTGTGAAAGGCCAGCAAGCCTAGCTTCATCTATGCCAACCAGATCTTGCTGCTAGCCATAGCTACCGTGACGATGGACGAAGAAACCAACTCGACTACTCCTATCTCAACGCCGGGGACTAGATCATCCGGCAATATAGACCGCCCACCAGCTGCTGTAGAGGCTGACCTTGCCTCTCCTCTGAGCTCGTCGCCCCTCGACGCCGACATCCTCGATTCCCCTACCCTCAGTGCTACGACCCCCAAAAGCCACAGGCTGTCAAGGAACCCATCCTTCTCTGGCAGTAGCAGCACCTACCAAGATGACTGGGACACGCTCCCGCCTCTTGATCGACTGACTGTTCTCGATCTCCTGGACAACTTTGCCCTGCCGCAGCAACTCGAGAAGCTCCAGAGGGGCATTTCCGCCCAGACCGACAAGGTTCGACGATCAAGGGATGCCTTCAAATCAAAGACCCAGCTTGCCCGCGATCGAATGGTGGAGGAATGGAGGCGGCGTGTCCCCTCAGCCGATGAGCAGCTTGAGCGATACAGGAAACGCATGCGGGATCGAGTTGAGAAGCTCGGTAAGCAATGGAATAATACCAAGGCCATCAGCCTCCGAGAAAAGATATCCTTCATTTGCGGCGTTATGAACATCTTTGCAAGCGGGTACCTTATAGGTGGTTATCCCGAATGGTTCCACATCTGGTATACCGCCCAGCTCTTGTACTTCATGCCCATCCGCATCTTCACCTACAAACGGCGTGGATATCACTACTTCTTGGCCGATCTCTGCTATTTCGTCAATGTACTGCTGAGTCTTAGCCTTTGGGTTTTCCCCCAATCAAAGCGGCTCTTCATGGCGGCCTACTGTCTGGCTTATGGTAACAATGCTGTGGCAATCATCATGTGGCGTAACTCCCTGGTATTCCACAGCTTTGACAAAGTCACGTCTCTCTTCATACACATCATGCCTTGCGCTACGCTACACTGCGTTGTGCATCTCTACCCTCCTGCAGAGCAGTTGATGCGGTTCCCAGCCATCTATGCCATCAAGAACTCGGCTCCTGGATCTCCGACGGCGTATGCGAATGTCTTCTCCATGCTGGCGTGGAGCACCATTCCCTATGCAATCTGGCAGCTAAGCTACTACTTCTTCATCACCGTCCGCCGAAGGGAAAAGATTGCCGCTGGTCGTCCTACCTCGTTTACCTGGCTTCGAAAATCATATGCCAAGACCTGGATCGGCAAATTGGTCCTCGCTCGGCCCGCCGCATTGCAAGAGCCTATGTTTATGATGATTCAGTACTTTTACGCCGTGCTGACTATACTCCCGTGTCCGCTTTGGTTCCTCAGCCGATGGGCATCCGCTGCATTCCTCCTCGTTGTGTTTAGCTGGAGCATCTACAATGGCGCTACCTTTTACATCGACGTCTTTGGCAAGCGATTCCAGAAAGAGCTCGAAGCTATGCGAGCAGACGTCATCAGATGGCAGAACAACCCAGAAACGCTACTCCAGTCACCTCATATGGCTCCGCACGTGGATGGTCCACCCGTACAAGGTGGTACAAATTTAGATGCGCAGTTGGCGGCTTCGCCCCTGGCACCATCACCAATGCGACCGACCGCTGGAAAGGATAGAACCACGAGCCTGGACCATATACCCATGTTGGATGAGACTTCCAAGGTTAGCGCTACCGGAGTGGATAGAGGAAATGAAGGCGTCGCGAGAGAACGGAAAGCAGGCGAAGATTAGGAATACTCTTCGGGAGAAAAGGGTATCTGTGCAAGGAAGAAGGGGAGAGGAGACGATGTTGGTGAAGAACGAGGAGGGAAACTGGAAAGTCAATGTGGCACTCAACGTCTTTAATGTCAAGAACCGTGAAATAAACAGTAAATGATGATATACGGTAAGCGGAACGTCAGAGCCGGGTTTCTAATGTATCTATCTTTTTTGGTGTTGGAATGATATCCTCGCGAGTTTTGTTTCGTCTTGTTCCATTTTTTTTTTTTTTTGGGGGAGGGGCGTAGACCTCTTACTCGATCAAACTCTTGGGTTTCGTCGAGGCCTTCTTTCTTCTTCTTCTTTGTAACGACATGGACATGGGAATGGGTTGGATTAGCTGCAACAGGAGAACATGAGCGTAGCTTTGTTTCGATATGGACTCGTACTATATACTGTCTATTTGATTATCTTTGTCATTTATTAGCTAGTACTCAATGATTACGACCTCATACATATTACATCACTGTTTGCACCAAATGCAAGTTGTCAAATGTAGATTGATGTTATGTTCATTTGTCATTTCATGATCAGATATATCCCCCTATCATCTCTATAAATGCGCTGGGCTGCACTGAAGCAGCAAAAACTATGACCGCTGTCAGGAAGCTTTCCTGGTCGTCTTAACTGGCCCTTTGCCGTTTCATACTGCAATAAGGCGTGAAATAAAACAGCCAATGTACACCTTGGGCTTGATAACAAATAGCCCGACCCAAAAACACCAGAAAAATACCATGCCGCTTAAGCGACCCAAGAAACAATTATCCTCATCACCACCGCGCCAGATTATGCCAAATGATAAATCAAATGAATAGCAAAGACGTTATCGCATTTCATTCCCGCATTCTCAATATCCCAGGCTCGCGTGGAAGCATCTCACACGCATTGCCAAACAACGCAAATACGCACAACTCCTTGCGTAAAAATAGAAAGAAAGAGCCAAAAAAAAAAAAAAATAGTATTCTTTGGAAAAAGAAGAAGGGGGCGAGACACCCAGGGTATAAACATAAGAAATGGAGCATCTTGCCAAAGGAGAGATGTGAATTCAATCAGATTATCATGATCTCGTGCGGCTTGATCAGCCAGATTCCAGATTTTATCGAATGATTCCCCAGTCAGCGAATTTTCCGCCTCCTGTCTCACCATCTTCCCGAGTGCCTGGCCGTCGACCGAATACGGACCAGAAACGCAGAGTCTCATCGCCGGCTCCTGTCACGATAACACGGCCATCGGGGCTCATTGCCAGGTATAGAACACGATAGGTATGTCCGGTTAAGCTGGCCACTTGTGTCATAGACGGATACTTCCACACAACAATCTGATTTTGGCTATAGCCGTGGGTTGACACGATCTCGTTGGAGTTTTTCGACCAGGCGAGATTGCACACCTGGCTTCCGGTATCGATTTCGTTAACGACGGTTCCTTTAACGGTGTCGTGGAATATGATGCGGCGGTCAGCTGTACCACCGCCAGAAGCAAGCAGGCCTCGCTGGTGTGGTGACCATGCAATGGCCTTGACGGCAGCATTGTGATCAGAGAATTTCCAGAGCGGTGTGTCCGAGAGTTTATCCCAAACCATGAGCTTGTTATCGTTGCCACCACTGGCCAGCTGGCCATCTTCACAGTTCCATTTCAAACCACAAACCTCTTGTTTGTGGCCGACAAGCTTTTTGAGCCACTGGTCTGGCGCCCGGACGTCTCGGTGGTAAATGAGCCGGTCGCGAGAGCCAGATGTGAGGATATGCGAATTCCACGCCAAGGATCCAACGCGAGCTGTATGCCCAGTCATGGTTCTTAATCTTCTAGCTTTCTCCGCATCCCAAATCTGGACAAGGCCCTTTCCGGTTCCAATGGCGAGGTGTGTGCCCTTTTGTATCCATGATACGCTTGTTACCGTATCATCCTCCAAGGTGCATAGCTTGTTGACTTTGCTGGTCTGAGCATTCCACATATAAACGCTAGAACCGAGCCCGACACCCAGAACATTTGCACTTCCCCAGTCAACCAGATTGAGGTAGAAATCATCTGCGAGCTCAGGGGCATCGAGAACTTTGTAGGGGACTTTGCTGACTGCCCGAGGCTGGCGACGCGGGCTCAAGAGCATCTGCTGACTACCAAGACGCACAGGTGACAAGCTGTAGATTTCTGCTCTTGTGTCTAGATTCGGGCCATGCCGACTCTGGGGGGTTTTTGACGGAGTGAGATGGCCCACAGGGTGGCCGTGCTGACGGGGCGAGAGGTATGAGAAGAGGTTCTTATGGGGGGTTGATGGGGTCAATGAAGAAGGTAGAGTGACGGCAGAGCTGTGGCTAGGAGGAGTGTGAGATCGTGTGCCATCCTGAACACTGATATGTGAGGAAGCTGGCAGATTGTTGTCTGGTGATAAAGAGGGAGTGACTTGTGGCACTGATCCTTCAAACAGCTCCGCACGCAGCAATGTTGAGAATGTGCGATTGGCTTCCTCGGCTGTGACGTAGTTAGTAACTATCTTTTTTCATGGCTTTGAATATCACGAATGAAAGCATGATAGGGGGTAATAAGAGAGGAGAATCGGCTTACTCTTCTGGAAGTGAAGTTCTCCTTGCGGCGTCCTCTTCTTATGTCTTGAGGGAGTAGCGGGAGAAGCATCTTCATGCAAAAGGCTGAAGCTGGCTTGTAAATCTTGGCCAGTGCGAGTAGGGATGAATCTAGATTCTACAGTCAGAAGCCGCTTCAAGCCATGATAGATGATCTAGCGGGGATGACCAACCGATCGCCATTGATCCTCTGGCGTTTGCGAGACGGGCTTGCTCCGGGAGTGCTTTCACGCTGGGGACGCTGCAGTTCCCTCAAGAGGGCGCTGTCGACGGCGTCTACATCGAAAGCCGCGGGATGGGCGACATCGCTAGTTCGTGCCCTGGTTCGCATTCGCCGCATCGTGCCGCTGTTGCTCTCGGCGTTTGGTTTTGCTTCCAGCCGGCTGCGATCTGATACAGGAGGAGGCGTTGACAAGCGAACGGTGTTGTTGGCGGATGACTGTTTTGATTCGCCCATGGTCTTCTTAGAGGAGCCCATGGTTTCGGCGGATGGAGATGTCGCTGTGTGGTGTTAAGTAGGCCTCAGGCCTTGCGGGCGTGGTCGTGATGAAAGACGCAGCACCGTCGTGGGGAGTCCCCTCGGAAGTTATTGCTCGTATCGTAGGCTCTCCGGCGGGGCGGTTGGCGGGTGAAGAGAGAAATGATGCTGAGCTGAAATAATATTATGCTGGTAGCAACCGAGAAGAGGGTGAGCGAGCGCGCATCCAGTCAGAGCGTGGGTGCAAGTCTTGTGTTCATCGAGTAGAGTCCACCGCGTGCGAGGGCGAGGGATGGAAGCAGAGAAAAAGAGGGCGGCTTGGCGACTATTGCCTGGGACGACTGGTGGATGTTTAATCAACACCGATCGCACGGACGGTAAGGTCCGAATACAAAAAAAAAAAAAAAAAGAGAGAAAAAGAAAGTCAAAAGGCAGTATGGCCCGGCACACTCAGTCGTTCGCAATTAATGGCACTTGCAGGCGCACAAGTGTGTCGAGGAAGTGGAAAAGCGAAGGAGGTGGTGGGCGATGAAGACGGAAGACGGGCCTGTGGTTGAGACGGAAAGCTGCGAGAGGCTGCTGGAGGGAGGTTGAAGCCGCTGGGAGATGGCTGCGAGAGCTGGACTATGCCTAGTCGGGGGGCGTCAACGTGCTAAAGGGGGGTGGAACAATAATATTAGCAGCGAGTGCTAGTGGGAAAAACGCGGCGTGCGTGCACAACAACATTGGCTGCGGCACACGCCAAAACTCTCGCACTGCTACCATTCGCCTGTAAAAGTAAACAATAAGAAGGGCAGGGGCTTCTTTATTAGTATTTCATCCCACTCCTCTTCCTTTCTGACCTATTGTGTATGGGTAGATAGTTGTTAAATTTCACAATGGATACCTACCGCCCTTTCCGGATGAATGAATGACTAGATGAATGCATGCGTGGCTACAATAAATACAATAGCATCATGCCCTTTCTTTCCTTTTCCTTCTTCTTCCTTACCCCATCCATACAACGGCGACGCGATGCAATGCATGGCAACAGGACATCGACTCTGCCTTGTAATAGCGAATTTCGATGATTTGGTGCTCGTAGTTACCAGCCACATGCACCTGGTCACAAAGTTCGAGGCTCTTGTATGTAGGGCGGCTCTACACCTTTTACAATACGCTAGAAACTGGAAACTCAAATTAAACACCAGCCCGCAGAGTTGCTTCAAGAAGAGAAGCCTAAGAAGAAAAAGCCCTCGGCAGCATCCGCGTGCGCGTTGGTTGTCCCAGCGCTTGCAGAACAGCACTCTAAAGAGGTACCTTAGTACCTGCGACTAGAGGTACCTCAGGTAGCACCTCTCAGGGACCTGCTGCTGGCAAGGTAGTGTCGTATGGACGTATATTAAAGTACTCACATACGGAGTGCTTGTATGCGTCTACACGTGCGCGCATTATACACTTAATTAATAAAAAAACGACCGGCTGACAGGGCTTTGGACGCTTCGCCACCATTTGCAGCGTCGCCTTTCCGTCCTTGCATGCGCTGTTATTGTTGCTTGTGTTGTTTGTTTTGAATCTGATCAACGAAAAACTGCGTGCACCTGCATACGGACAAGGTAAATATTATGGGGGGTCTCCAGCAGGGACGCGCCACTTACTGGCCAGATGCGGCGGTTGGCTGCTAATGCCGGCCTCTCTTGTCTCTGAAAGGACAGCAACGCCCAATCAGCGGCGGTTTCGCCTCTCCCTGGCCCTGGCCCGCCCCCGCTGCCCACTAAAGTGCGCAGTCGCGTTTTTCGTGCCGGGCGTCACTTTGGACGCACCAGTTTCGCGTCAACGATGCGTTGCGACTCGCTCCCGCTCTCTGACGTACGAGCATAGGCACCATTTTTGACATGGTCTCGTGTTTTTTCTATTTTCCCCATGCCACTGAGTAATTAGCCCGTCCAACGGAGCTATCCCCATGGGCTTAGTGCTGGGACGGTGCTTGCAGTGCGCTTGCAGTGCTTGGAGTAGATCTACAAAGATTATAATACTTGTGCGCTAACATGGGAATGACGGTATCAATCAACCTACAAGTAGTAGCAACTACCTTATACGAGTACTAGTATTATAAGATACAAGATATACTTCTTGGAAGGCTCAATCTTTGAAAGCCTACGGCGCATCCCTCTATGCTTTTGAGCACCTCAGAAGGCTTCCCTTGTGCAGAATATTCACTTCAATTGCTGCAAGCTACTTTCATTGAGGGAGTTGGTTTGGATCGCCTTGTGTTGATTGTTGATGTTTACCCTTAGACGAGTTCCCTCCCCCAAGATTGATTCGCCGTTAAGAAACTCAGCGGTTCTCCATTTAGTGCTGGTTCTCGAAACATAGTTTCAATACTGGCGCCCCCCCTCGGCTGCCCGTTTCCGAGCATATTTGAGGAGGTCCAATGATCTATCTTTATCCAAACAAACACCTTCTAGATAGCGGTGGACTCCTTCTATGCCCCTTCTTACCTACTATCCATGTCTAAACCAATAGCAAGACAGCAAGTAAGTGCCCAGCTTGCAATAAATAAGATTGATATTGTGTGAGTCAAGCCAGCCACGCCAGCTATTTTACATGATGGTAAACACGGCCATTAATATTCCATTTATGAATCTATCTATCAAGCCAGTTGCAGAAATAACATGAAAAAAAAAAGTGAAATAGGTAACAAAATTGGTGCCATTCGCTTATCAGTGCAGCCGCCGTCATCTCTATCCTGTCCCTCTTTATCAAAAAGTAATAGCAGTGGTGGTAATAAACGCAGCAATAGCAATAGTGTAGTAAAACAGAGTATTTACGCCTGGGATTCGGCCTGGGCTAGTAGCCGCTCTCTCCAGGAATTGCAGACATCTTCAAATCCACCAATCACTTCTCCGCAGACGCTCGCACACTCCCTTTTCTCCAGCCGCTCGCCCCAGTTTCCTCTAGTCAGCCACTCCTCCCCTTGCTCTCTCAAGTCATCCTCTTTCCTGATTTCGGCAACGAGCTCCTTTGCGCTCTTCAGTCTGCGGCTGGCCGCGGCCGTTGTCTGGCGAGACATGTGCAGCGTATCCGAGAGGTAGCTCAACGACTGTATCAGCTCTGATGTGATGGAATGTAGCGCTGTGAGAGAGTTGAATGCGGACGTCGATGGTCGTGGCATGTCTTCTGTCAGAGATACGAGTAGTGGCTCAAGTGTTTCAATCGTTTCAGTGTCAGGTGCTGGTGCTAGTGGAGATAGCAAGGGAAAGGTGAGGTTGTGCAGTTGACGAGTCTGGTGTGCAAGATGCGTCGTCAACGCAGAGTGTGCTGTTATAAGTCTAAACGAATATTCCACGGGTTAGCGCTTAGATGCCTCTTTCGTTTGCGACTTCAGAATGTTGGTTTACCTCGAAGCGCTGCCCTCGACGCTGGATTGCGATCCCAAGTCACGCAGCTCCTGAATCACCCGCTTCAGTACATCGTCTGCTGTGCCTCCGTAGTTATCCGTCCCGCGAATGGTGAGGTTCTCGACAGCGTCAATCTTTGCCATCAGACTGGGGGGTATGCCGGCAATGTCAAGGTCTGAGTCTGAGCCGTAGTCACTGCCATCATATAGACTGGTTTTTCTCTGGTGGCCCTTTGGACGAGGGGAGAGCAAGCTCGCCGCATCGCCTTCGTTTCTCCTTGGCTCATCGTTTGCTGTTGCGCCTCGTGATGCGTCGTTGGCATGTTCTGTCTGGCCTGTCGGTTCGGGGTCGTAGTCGCCCTCTTCCCCTGAATCGGAAAATGCATCCGCCAACTCATCAGCTAAGTTCCCCATTCCGTTGGCCCCTGATCCGCCACCGCCAAGTACTGAAAGATCGAGAGCATCATGGCTTGGGCTGTGGTTGAACGATGTTATTGCATCTTGCGTTGAAGACCTCGAATACCGTCGAATTTGGGGCGAACCCGCAAAGCTATCGATTGCTGATGAATTACGAGAGTGTCGTGGAGTTCGTGGCGACCCGGGCATAATGTTGGAGCGCAGTCTTGCTGAACAGTCTCCGAAAGAAGGAAATGAAATACTTTTTTCTCAGTCTAGCTTCGATCTCTGTCGATTTTCTTTAGTGTAGTGGTTGGAGGAATAGAATTTGTTAACAAGGCCGACCTTGGGACTGGGTATCTGCTATGGGTAGGAGACCCCGAATCATTCAGATCCCACCTAGGTCGAGCAGCAGCAGGCATATAGCCCCGGCCAAGAACCAAAGATACGGTAAGCAGCTCCCTATCACGATAAGATAGGGACTTTGCGAGTACTTTCCAATACAATGAAACGTAGGAGATAACTAGTGGGGACAGAGGTATCCCGAAGGTTCCCATTAACTTTTAGGCTTGCATTATTTCACAGGCGTAGCCTGGCTGCTGTAGCGCTCTAAAAAAAAGAAGTCCTTCAGTGCGCGGCCATTCATTAATGAAACTGCGGAGTACAAGATATTTACTGTTCATTTCATATGACAGTGGCTAATAAGGAGCTGAAAAAGAGCATTCAATATTGGAAAAACGGAAGAAGTGGATAATCCATCTGTGGCCTGGAAGTGGTAAGAATTATAGAGTTGTATTTCCTCTTTCCCAGATTTATGTGGGCTTACAATTTGGCAGAGGTTCGTATCCATTTGCTGTGCTTCTGGCCCATCTCGTGGTTAAATATTCAGCGGCCATTCGGGAATCTCCACTAGTACGAATCACTCACAATAACTTGCTCCGCCAGTATCAAGTCATAATCCCTTACCACCAAAGGCAAACCACCAGCTGCCGGATCGTCGTCAATTGCTGGACTGGCTTAAAGTAAGAGCGAGCAAGGGCTCGTCCGAGCTAGCACGATGGCCACATTCCGACGGTTTCGACCTGATGACGTTAACAAATTCTCAAAATGCAATCTGGATCCCTTAACAGAGACCTATGAGCTCAACTTCTATCTTCAGTACCACGCAAAATGGCCCTCGCTGTTTCAGGTGTGCGAGGATTCAGAAGGCAATATTGTCGGATACAGTTCGTCGCCCCCCTTCACATGGCACTGCCTCTCGATACTGACTAGTCTGACCTCTCAAAGTCATGGGAAAGGTTGAATCATCGCCAGATGCATACAAATTCTCAGAGCATTATCTTCCCTGGCACGCCCATATCACAGCCCTGACTGTAGCCCCGGAGGCAAGAAGACAGGGCATTGGCAAAATCTTGGTGGAGCAGCTAGAAGCCGCAGCAGATACTCACAACACATGGTTTATGGATTTGTTTGTTCGCAGTAGCAATGCAAAGGCCATAGCATTTTACAAAGAACTGGGCTATAGCGTCTTCCGAGTTGTGAAGGATTACTATGGAGAGCATGCCACGGATCCCAACAAGGACAGCGAAGATGCGTTTGACATGCGCAAGCCCATGAAGAGAGATACAAAGCACGAGCATGTTAGAGATGACGGCGAGAAGCACGAAGTTCACCCAGAGGATGTTTGGTGATGTTTGTGATTTTGGATAGGCTGAGAAGGAACTTCAATACACCGTGGAACCTCACTAAGAACCTTTGATCATTCCTGTCGCCACTGTCTTTCAGTGAAGAAACCAGTCGCTGCTTTGTTTGTTCTCCAACATCTCCACAAGATACAAAGCACTCACTATAAAGATCCGTTACTTTCTTCAAGCTTGGATATCGGGGACCGAAGTACGAGATGGAAAATAAGTATATATGGCCAAGATAGAATTAGGTGTACCGCCTTAGCGGATCAAATCTGACAGGACCAGATGTTGCAAGTTGGAATGCTACAAGATGTCCAGTTGCATTGGTTGATGTGCAATGCATGCCTCCTAGCTCGACACAGAAATACTACGTATGTGTGCCAATTTCAATTAGCATCAATGTCTATTACCAATTGAAGGTGCTTGTCAAAATTCAGAGCTACAATAGCATAAAGAAAGGCAGCACGGTTCCATGTTGTGGTGAAGGCGGCTGCGCTAGTACATGGTAGTAGTAGTAGTACCTGCAGTTCTTTGTACTCCGTACCAGGTACCAAAGTCGCCACTCGCCTGGCCCATGCTTCACAGTAGCCTCAGAGCCTCGAGCTGACACTGGCCTTGGATAGGCCGCCTTCTCGCAGCAGCTTCTCGCATGCAGCTCATCCCTTCCTTTACAAAACCCAAGCCACAGCCGGCAACGAAGCACCTGAAATCGTTTTCTTTTGTCCAAAATCCCACCTGAAAAACCAGCTCCGGGCGTTGTTCAGCTGCTGTTGTGCTCTCGCCCTCCCGCCCAACCCGCCTAATCATCGGCTTTCTCTGTCACAGTACATCTTTTCCCTGTGCTACCAAGTTTTTTTTCCAGCCTTCCCTTCTACCCTCGCCAAGCAGAAGCGAAACTGCCAAACCATCACCCAATTCCATCAGATTTCGTCGGCTGCTCACTTTTCCCCATCTCTGGTCATCTGGCAAACATGGCGACTACTTCAATGGATTACGAGGCCGCCAACGGCGATCGTTACGATGGTTTGTCCTCCTTGGTTCTGATGACGACGATGGCCATGGCGACGACTGACGTCGACGCGTTTGTGCCGCGTGCCTTTGATTCATTGGGCCTCCGCTAACGCTTTACGAACTTCACTAGACGAGCCTCCTCGTTACGAGCGTGACAACAGAAGCGCTTCTCCTCGTCCGGCGCGCGACGACGCAGGCAGCCGTCGCCGATCCATGTCTCCCACCGGAAATCCTGATGTGTAAGCCTGATGACTCTTCTCGCCTCTTTGTCGCACTGTTAACGTTAACCGAATTGCAGCAACGTCAAGGATGCACCTGCCCCCAAGGAGGATGATGATGGTGCCATTAACCCCGGTTCCAACCTCTTTGTCACCGGTATCCATCCTCGTCTGTCTGAGGCTGAGGTCTCCAAGATGTTTGAAAAGTATGGTGAGGTTGAGAAGTGCCAAATCATGCGAGACCCTCACACCAAAGAATCTCGTGGATTCGGATTTGTCAAGATGGTCACCTCCGAACAAGCTGAGGCCGCCAAGGAAGGCCTCCAGGGTGAGGTCATCGAAGGCCGCACTATGAGCATCGAAAAGGCCCGCCGCGCTCGTCCTCGTACGCCCACGCCCGGCAAGTACTTCGGTCCTCCGAAGAGAGGTATGTTCAGACAATGCCTTCAGATACGAATGAAATCCACCTGTGATACTGACATTTTTAATCTAGACCCCCGCTCTCGCTTTGATGACCGCCGACGTGGCGGTTACGGAGGCGGCGGTTATCGTGATGACTACCGATACCGTGGCAATGAGAGAGGCTACGACCGCAACTACGACCGCGGATATGAGAGACGATATGAGGACCGTGGAGGAGGCTATGACCGCAACTACCGAGATGATCGACGATATGATGACCGTAACTACGCAGGTGGACGAGACTATGAGCGCAACTATGAGCGCCGCGACCGCGATGACAACTATGGCCGCGAACGCTACAACAACTCGCGCGAAGACCGTGGTGACCGTGGTGACCGAGGCGATCGCTACGGCGCTCGTGGCGGCAACAGCAGCGGCGGTGGATATGACCGCGATCGATATGAGCGTACCGGTGACCGTGACGGTGGCCGATCTCGCGAGCCAGCCGCCAGCAGTGGCCCGGCATACGCCGAATCTGCCTCACGACCTGAGGCACGCGAGTCGTATGGAGGTTCGAGCCGATACTAAGCAATGTTTTTGAGTGATGTTTGCTAATTTTCCCAGGCCCTGAGTCGGCTATGCACTGATAACGCCCGCCGTTTCTGATTGCCCTTTATCGATCTTTGGCGCAAAACGTCTTTTGACATTAATGGACTGCCTGTTGCTGCTTTTTCTATTTTTCCGTTTTTTTTTTTCCTTGTGTTTTTTATTTTACTTTATTTTACTTGTCATGCCCGCAGTTGTCAATCGACATCCGTGGACAGCTGTGGATCTCTTCGTCAGAATCTACTCAATTAGGAGTTTCGTGCGATATGCGACTGCTAAGGGAGGGGAAACAATATCGGGTTTTCGGCCGTCGTCGCGGATATTTAAAATTTTCATGCTGGTCGGTCTTGCGGCTACAGAGTTGCGTTTATGGGCAGCTTCCGGATCTTTGCAGAATCAAACACTTCATCACTCGTCACCTTGCGCTACTTAAACAAACCAACATTTTGATACCGTTTTAACAACGCCACAGCCCAGCAATATCAACCTAGGAGCTCTGATTTCCTTTCCTGACGAAGTGACCCTAATGGAACCAATAAATTCGGTCGTGCTTCAGATGTTACGACCATGCTCTGCAGCCATTTGTACCGTTTGTCAATAAGGCCTGAGGTCGACGAGCAACAAATTCGGATTCAGATTAATACCAGCCGATAATGAACACGCTACGCCATGAGACTGCTAACTGCCACCTGATGAAGTCAGTAGCCACCGTGTAAACTTTTTGTCATTTCTACGCCAGCCAGCAAATTCCACCAATTCTCGCCGTAATAATCTCGTTCTTTCGTCCTTTTGATACAACAAAAATACAGTTATTGTCAACTGTCTAGTAAGGCCTTGTGCACGCAACTTTTTAAACCCGATTCCCGGATGTTTTGCCCATCTTTGAGCTCGGTAGATGGCTTCCCTCGATCACACATCCTTTTCAACCATGTCTCGCCATTTCTTTTTGCTACACTGCATAGGTCACGCACATCGTACCAGCCAAGACATCCTGGAATACTGAAATTGCGAAATTCTCGACGAACTTGCAAACGACTATTAAACATTTCTTTCTTATGCTTGCTTTCATTTCTAACTGCCTACTGCGCGCTAGATTTCCAACTTACTCAGCTTAGGTACTAATTGAGCATAGGACTGATTAGACATGTTCTTGTAATGGTCATATATTACTCGGTAAATCGAGCTCCGAATGCGATAGACGATAGTTTGGTACATGGGCGCTTATCAAACGTCCCCGTTTCGACATTACCGAGCCCTTATGTAGTGTGATGAGGATTGTCCGACGAAGGCCTCAGCTACACAGTCCGTGGCTCTCGCCTTTTTTGCACCTGAAGCTTCACTCTATCATCCGATTACACCGCCTTGCATTCACTTGTTCTATCATCCGGAATACCACGTTCGATGACTTGGAAGCTGAAGCTCGTTGGAATCCACTGCGGTAGAAATTCCATTTGACTGGATGCTGCTTAGTCCAAAAAACTCATTTGCCATATTATCTATTTCTGCCAAGGCAGCTCCTGTTCATCGTCCAAGTAAAACCAAGGGCAATCTAGTCTTAGGATATCGTCCGCAAAGATTCTCAATATCATTATTTTTTAAGAATATCATCATTTTTTAAGTCTCAGTCGCTTCTCGATTGACATTTGCCCCTATCAGCCAACCAACTCCAGAAACAAGCGTGCCAGTGGCTGCTTCTCTGAGCTGGTCCCTCTTCCTCACCCGCTGCGGCGTCTCCTCAGATGGAGATGGTGAAGTCGGTGTTCTGGAGGTCGCGAGGGATGATAGACTGGACAGTTTGGTAAAATTTCGCGATGCCACGCTGGCGGTTGCCCGCGAGAGATCGAAAAGGGACATTGGTGCGTCTTCTGCCTGCCTTGAGGCAGCCGTAGCCGTCATGTTCCTTGCTGGCTGTAGATTCTGTGGAGCTTGTGATTCAAACGCGCCGGGAACTTCTCCAACACCGGCCCAGGAAGCTTCCGCAGCAGCCTCCTCGTTAATGGCGGAATCTAACTGCTCTTCACACCGTCGGAAAGTTTTGAGGATTTCCTGAAGCTGAGAGGTGGGTGCGACACGCAGCGCAGTTGCGAGACACTCTATACGCTGCTCTAGGTGACGGATCTCGGGGTTGCCACTCGCAATACCCAGGTGCGTTGGCAGCAAAGTTCTCTCAGTTCGGATATACTGCCCTGCTTTTAGAGCTGCCTTCCAAGACCAATCGTCTTGATCTTCTTTCCGGCGTGCTTGGTTTCCATCAGAGCTAGATGATTCCAGACGACTAACAACGTAGGAGTAAGCCGTTTCAAAATCATCCTCTCTTAGCGCGGCTTCTACGCATGAAGCAATAATCAGCTTTTCTGCACGATGTAGCTCTTTGCTATTGTCTCCTGTTTCTGAATCGAATTTGACGGAGCGGGCTTGCTGCGTTATACCGGCGCGGACCATGTTGGCAGCCATTTCCAGAAACTCGGGGAGACGTGTGTATGCCTTTGGGTTTTGCTCAAGGACTTTGTCGATAATGGATATTGGATCAGAGTGCACCCGAAGGACTACGGGCTTAAATGGTTCTCCTTGCTTGAGCGTAAGTCGATAATCACTCAAGGCATGCGTGCATCGTAACAAGGCCTCCACACGCTTGGTAGCTGGATGTGTCTTGTCCAATGTCGCTGGGAACGAATGGATGCTTGGGAGGGTGTTAGTGAAATGGTCAGAATGGGAGATGAACAATGCCATAGAATCTTACATTTCATCACATTTCTTGAGCCCTCCCCTTGACCGATTCGGGTTGGAAGCATTGTCAAAGGCGCGCAGTGCCGCTTGATATACTGTGTCCTGTATTATTTCTGCGGCAAGGGGCTTGTTGGGATTGTCCTCGTAGATGCTCTTAGCAAGAGCGTAACCTATTATAAGTCAGCAGCGTAAAAGACGATCGATAAGTAAGGGATATCGTACGTGAGTTAGAAAGGAGAGCTTTGAGTATCTCAGTTTCGATAAATTCCGTAGACACTGTCCCAGCGATACCCCTGATGGCTTCAGGATTGACAGGCTGATCTCTACTGATACCCCAAGTGTTCAACCATAGAACCTTGTCTCTCACTTGTGACCAGTATCTATCTTCGTCGCCTTGAATTCGAGTAGACGCACTTCGAATGAGTTTGGCAATCTCGCCTTTTTGCTCCCGCTGATCCTGAATAAAGGCCAAATCTCCGGCTTTTCTAACGGAGTAAGGCACTCCTAGGCCAGTACAAATAGAAGCACTCATTATCAAAGCCAATAATAGGGTCATTGCTGCCTCTGTGGGAGAAGTTAACGGGTTCTTCTCTTTGAGCAGATCATTTCTCATATAGGTCGCAGTTTTCATGCCAAGGAATGACGATGCATCGAAATCAGACATGATAGGCAGCCTAGAAACTGCCATGTCGAGGGTTGGAGAGATATCATCATAGTCAAGTAATGACCTCACACGGTTCGTAATTTGATAGGCGCCAGGTAACGCCTCTACCGTAGATTCGGAAATTAAATATGCGGATGCAAGAGCCGCTCGTGCATACCCTTGGAGCAAATACTGAAACTGAGATTCCGTAAGTTCTGAACTGGCCGTTTCTCCCAAATCCAAATCTTTTGGTCCTCCCCACTGCTCAATTGCACCAACAGCAACAGTCCATGAAGTGACTGCTTGATCAGTGAGCCATTCTAGAAACTGCTCCCAACCAACAGAGAAGACGGCGTCGCTGGCGTTGTGATTGTCGTCGTCGGTTGCTTTTGAGGTCCAACGATTATTCCCCTGAAGCCATGGCCCGACCAGCCCTCTGATATCACGGCCAATGAGACCTTTCTCCCCTTCACGGCTGCCAGTCCGGGAAAGCAAGTATAGTACGGCAGCTGGGTCCGGGAGCTTCTGGAATTCGAGAAGAGAATATGGCGGGCTCTCATCGGTATAATATTCCACGTTTCTTCGTACATAAGGAACCACAGTTGACGTAATCCAAGAGCGAAGTTCTGATGAGTGAGATAAAAAGGGAGTAAGTAGACTGAGAACCTGTGATAAAAGCCCAGTTTCGCTGTCCATCTTATATGACCTCTGGATCAGAAATATGCTTATCGGATCATTTTGAATGTGACTGGGTGTGTCAGTGCACGTAAGCTGTTGAAGATGTAGCTTCCTTGCCCGTTTAGAGACCTCATCTTCTGAAAAGCCTTCAACTGGAGCTGTGTCTAACACGCCCCCAGAGTATTCCTCGAGACTATCCCTAGCCAGTGAGAGTAAGAAAGGAACATAGATAGAAGGTTTTATAGTTTCAGGAAGATATGTAAGAAGGATCCTCAACAACAGCTCCTTGTGTAGCACTTTGGCCTGCTGACTGGACAAGCGGGCCAAGCTCTCAATATCTGCATGCGTGGCATAGTGTGCTGCGAGAAGCAGCACCTTTCCTGGCGAGAGAGTAGAGCTCATGCTGAAGCTGTTTGTCCACAGATGAGGCTGTGGATAGTCCAGGCCTTAGGCCGGTGTATCACAGGAAAGAAATCTCCTTTGAAAAGAAAGACAGCAACTTGTTAGCGACACAGACAGCGGCAGTAGACTGAGACTCGCTCTCGCTATGGGCATTGTTTGATGCTGTCATCAGCAAGTGTTATTGAATTAGCGGGACGGTCCTGTCTCGATTCGCCAATGGGGGGCATTCCAGCTAAGTAGCGGGGCTACTTTAGTAACGGGGGTGTGTTGTATATCTGCTGTACTTGAAATCTGACCAAAAGTGGGTGCAAAGTAAAGTACCTTTGTTAGAGCCTAGACGCAGCATTAATTCCCGATGCACCGAACCTTGACTGCCATCACTGGTTGATGCAAAAGGCAGACAGACCCTGGGCGTCGCAACACACATCACTCGGCACATCATGAGTTCAGGATATGGCATGCACGGCGGTACGGTCTCCGATACGGCGAGCAGCATCTCTCGATACTGACTGACTGTGCTTCTAGGCGTTGGCCGCTGCTTTCCGTTCTGGCAGGAGGTCATGGCCTGCTATGTCGTCAACACCTCAGCCGAAGACGACTCGGGCAAGAAGAAGTGCTCGCCCGTGCTAGAAGATTACTACGAGTGCCTGCACCACAAGAAGGAGGTTGGTGTTTGGGAGCAGCCCTGCTGGGCGAGAGAGACGCGCTAACGAGATACACAGCATGCGAGAGCGCTGGCGTTGCAAGCCGCATATGCCCGAGCTCAATCAGCAACCCCTCGAGACAATGCGCCGAGCGCAAGCCAGATACGGAACTTGGGACTTCTAGGGAAGACGGAGGACACAAAAGCGGTGCTTGGACAGGGGAACTAAGACAATAGACGGATTGAAGCGACGTGGTGGAGTTTCGACTTTCTTCTACGTATCTACATACACACCCTTGATGCGCATAGATATCGCAGCAAGTTGAAAATATATAAATCAGACGAAACCGGGGAGCATATTCGACTTTTGAGTACTACAATGTGTTATTGGCTCGGGCATCTGCCCGTCTATACCCGAGGTTGATATCAGCACCTGATCCGTATCATAAATCGACGCATTTTTCACTCAAAGGGGGGAGCGCGTGATATAGTAATTGGTGGCCGATCTCTATAGCTGAGGAACTGGCTAATACACTGATACACCAGGTAATGTGGTGGTCACTTTTTCTCATTTCACGCACTTGGGATCTGCAAACTGCTGAGCTGAATATCTCTGCCAGCCCCATGCAGCTGTTAACTCTGTAGTATATATAGTACGTGCTGGCTGAGCATTTCCTTACTGACCAGGTTGCCTTGTCGCGGCTTGCCATGTGGCCTCTAGTATATATCAGCTGATTTTTTTTTCTTTAAAATTATGAAATTAAAGTTGAGGTCCTGATAGCTTTGTTTATAGCATCAACAAATACATCACTCATCACCCCCCTCCATAACCCTTTCTCAGTCTAATAAATACTATCTTTTAAAGGGTATTCTATTCATTTTGAAAATATGCCTTGCTTGCGAGGTATTGAATTATCTCTCGTCATTCAGCCAGAATCGCTGTCATTGCCTGAGTTTCCACACCCCGACGCTTCTTCATTTCGCGTTGTATCTCTGGATGAACATTCGCAGACAGAAGAAAATGAGGTGAGCACTCATGGCCCGGACTCGGCTCGTATCCAAAAACTAGCTCCGAGAGCTTCTGTCTATATACCTTCAACGCCAGGCTCTCGGTTCTGGGTACAATACCATATCCATCGTAGTCCAGAGCCTTCAAGCTATCTCCTCTTCAAAGTGTTTATGAATGGCCGCCATATCACGAGCTGTGGAATCAAGCACGGTGTCGTATCGGGCACAATCAGTCGAGCCCTCTACGAGCCAAGCGACAGATGGCACTTGAAGCAAAATGGAACTCTGCTCAAAAGAAGCGGAATTGAGTCTCGCTCTTTCTGCTTCTCTCCTGGCCCTGATGCCGTTGATGTAGCTGACGATGGAGGCGTTATCGAAGTTCAAGTTTTCCGGGCAAAGAGTCGACGAAGATGCACTGCTCAACCAGTTCCACACCGTGACCAGCAGCAGTATGGCATAACGTATGTCAACTCATGAGATCCAGAGAAGATAAGAGAGGAAAAATAAGACTAAAAAACTGTATATGTGCTTATGCTAATATCGAAAACGGCAGATCACCCTCAACAGGACTTCTTGAACACCCTGAAGATGCTGTTTACTATGAGTGGGTTCTACACGATGCCGTAGAGGCACCGTTTGCGACATTCTGTTTTCACTATCGAGCATGGGCATATCTATGGGACCTCAATCTCGTCACTGATGGTAGCAACTCTCCGCTACACAATCACGGACTTGGGGAAGGGCTTGGCAAAAATCGACGCAGCGATATTGCTCACGACAGATCGAAAGGCGAAGTAGAGTCTTCCCGCGAAGAATCGGACTTGGGGAACTATGATGAAGATACGAAAAATACTCAAGTGATTGAACCAGAAACGACTCGCACTCGTCCATATTCGCAACGTGAAGCGCTACCGAACAAAGAGCTGAAATCCTCGAAGCCAATCAACCGTCAACCTTCCCACCGCAGAAAACCTTCTCTCCACTCAACAGCATCACTCAGGGAGATACCACGCTCGGGTGACCCGTTCATCACATTCTTGCTCCCACCGGTCATGGAGGAAGAGGATCCATTTACGAGTCCCTATATTCCTCTTGGACACGAAATGCCAACAACGTCTCCGACTCGTTCTTACTATCGACACAATGCCCGTTCACGCGTTCACAGGCCACTGCCAACAGTGAATGAAGTCCCAAAGCTGGAATGATCAAACTGGGCTTCTGGCCTACCAAGTTCTTTTTATCGCGTTGGTGAGTTGGATAAGGGGTTGAACAGTAGAGTTATGTAAGCGTGATAATGCACTGTAAAGGGTAAGGGTGACGATTTACAAAGTAATAAACAGATACAAATTGTATAATTGAATTTCACCTCTATAAGTTTCAAAATACCTTACAGAAGAGCACCTATCGCGCTCTATACACTAAGAATCAAATGCCGTCTAGATAGTGGAAAGCAGAGCAGATATGCCTCTAACAATAAGTATTAAAGCTCCAGCGCTGTTGACAAAGCATTGCACGGTAATAATTCACCAGGATTTCTGGCAGCTCCCTTTGTTTTCCTAGATTCACTTCTTCCATAAGCTGACGGCCAGCCGCCGGAATCACCCGCTTGCCAGAACGGTGCTTTCCTTTAGAGTTATTGCTTCCTCGACACTCACTTTCTAATTGTCCCATCCTACATATCAATAATCACTGCAGATGTTTTCCGAAAAAAATAAAATAAAATAAAGCTCTCTAACGGCTATTTCTCACACATTATCTCGACTTCAGAACTGTCCAACAAAGCTTCTTATCTCAACCGATGCCACAGACAATCCCATCAACAATCTAGCAGAGTATGGGAGACTCGAGCTGGATGCGACTTCTACCAGGACAGCGATGTCGCACTCCAGTTTCCCCTTTGCTTCACTACGGCCAAAACGACAATGAAGACACACACGAAGCAGCTGCTCTAAAGATCACTCCGCGACCCCTGGCCGGCTTTAATCAGTCTTCCGCTGACTTTGCAAACGACATCCTCGTCAGAGAAGCAGACAGGCTGCAGAATACTCCGTCAGTCGACGGAATGGCAGATATGCTGCGAACTATCATCATGGTATCCCCGACACCACCAGTCTTGGACCCGCAGTATACGTCGTATGTGCTTCATCTCATCGAGGGATACAGCAAGCTCCGAAACAAGCTATCGACCAAAGAGAAGGAAGTTGCCCAACTGAGAGCAAAGCAGCAAGAAGATCGGGAAAACGGCAAGATCCTCTTTTCCGAGTGGTCAGCCCAAGAAGCTCGATACAAAGCCGAGATTAAACGATTGGAGTTGATAATCCAGCAAGTATCTGGCAAGGGCGTCGAGGCTGTTGCTCTGGCTCGATCTGGCAGCCTCATCAGGAAAGGCGGACCGGGCAAAGCACATACAGCAGAGGCAGCGACCTCCGAGCAAGTGCGTGCAGAAGAGGAATTCTGCCAAGATGAATGTAAGAATGCCTCTCCTTGCAAGGCCACGGATATCCAGGGTAGGCGAACATGTGAGTATTAAGACGTAATTATAGCTGATTGGCTTCACTGTAAACTAACGCGTTTCTCTCTATTTGATGTAGCCATCTCGAGTGACACTCTTGATTTGACAGCACGTCTCAATATAAAAAAACAGCTTTGGAGACACCGCTCCGAAAACAATCTTCTGGAGCCAAGTCGAAGAGTAAGACTCAGCCAGCGAGAGCATTGCTACGGCCATCTTTTATCGCATTTAGCATCTTCTCATCTGCGCCTCAGCATGGGTACTCCAGAGCCCGAACCAAAGGAAGAGTGTATGTCAGACGATGAGCAATGCTTGGATGAAAGCGATGCAGGCGATAGCGAGTTAACTGCAAGGATACGTTAATATCAGCCAAGGTGCAAACGAATGAACCGACAACTAAGGGACTAATTATGTCGTTCTGCTCAAGAAAATCAAGTTACACGTTCAATCACCACTAGCTTCAGGAAATAATATATTGACAGTGTCAACGCCATCCAAGGGCGGTATTATAATGTTTATCCGTAACAGCCGTCGGTTGGCTAGCCAGATACAGGTATATTATGTCTCCTCGCATTCGTAAAACTTTGTGTGGCTCCTTGTAAAACGCCAAAGAAGAAAAAGATCAGAAACGCCATGAACCAAGCCGCTTAACTGTATGCCCCCAAAAACCACAGCGAGTTGTACCATCTAGATATTTATAGATATATGTCACCACCCTTACCCAAAACCCACCGCCGCCATGCCTCTTCATAGGCTGACTCCAAATCGTTAACCCACCGCCGAGTGTTGAAGAGCCCACATTGCCATCTGCTATCCCATAACAGCTTTCTAATTTCTGCTAGACGCCCCGTGCCTTGGCCATACCCTTCGTCTGTGACCGTATAACTCAAGCCTCCGGCTAGTTCAGTGGCTGAATCTTCATACTCCGTCTCGTTTTCTGCAATCAGCTCCAATGCTGCTTGATCGCCTTCGGGTGTCTTAGGAAGCGCCCCTCGCAAGATAGACGCAGCCATTCGAGAGCACATCTTGTAAGAATATCGAGGCAAAGTGAGAAGCGGAGTGCTTGACCACAAAACATCAGCGGCAGTAGTATGAGCGTTACATTCCGCCGTATCAAGGAATAGATCGCACACTCTCGCCCTGGTGATGTGTTGGCTCTTTGGCGCTACATCAGTAAAGATTAGTCGGCTAGCAACTTCTGCCCCGGCCCAAGCTTCAGCTGTTCGGCGCAGATTGACTTCTCCTAATTCGGGGAACCGTAGCAGCCAGAGTAGGGCTTTGGGCGTCCTCGCTAGAATTCGCAACCAAGAACGGAAAGTGGTAGGGTCAATCTACTATCAGGTTAGCTGGGGAGCCCAGTCTAAGACGTCTCGCATCCTTCACTTGCCTTGTACAGTTGATTGAAGTTGGCTAGTATGATTGCATCATCTGGTATAGCCGGAAATAGCTCCTTGCGCATCTGCCACCTGCGTTTCTCTTCATCCTCCCATGTTACATCCCGCTCACCACGGTCGCATGACTGTGCATGGTCACAACAGAAGAAGGTATCCCGACAAAATATGATATTCTCCGAATACATCCACGAGAGGTCATCGCCTTCGGTATTGTCGAAAAATACATCCTCGATGCTGACGTTTGCTCTCCAAGGACGCAAAGTACTTTGTGGGACAGCTGTTGCATCAGCAAGTATATAATCGCACCATTCTGCGCCAAGAGTTCCCGCAAATCCCATAAAGGACATCTGAATTGGGGCTGGGCGAGCAGCGAATATCTCATTGCGAGCACCTCTGGTGTAACCATTAAGATTGACCAAGATGTGAATTTCGTCTTGGATAATCTGTTGGATAAGCTTATCTGCTGGCCAAGAACTAACATCGCGAAACACAGGAGCCTCTCTCTCAATCTGTTGTCGATGGACAGATTTGTCACTAGGCGTAGTAGCATAGCAGAAAGCGCGAGCTCGCTGAGGGTTATGGAACCCGAACACGGATTGCATTCTGTGTTGGGAAAATAAATTAGTTCATTTGGTCATAGATTTAAATTAAATAACATCATCAGATATGGAAGATATTTCTTACAAATGAGCCAGTGGATGATTGTTAAAGTCTGACGACACGTATCCAACATTCAAATGGGGACTTGGCGGCGGCGGTGGCGGATATACAGTAGGCGGCAGCCAAGGGGACCGAAGAGTCGAACATGATATACGCATTGCATTGCGCTGGGAAATCGATCGTATGTCTTTAGCAGACAATGGGTATGTGAAAGTGTGGAAAGGAAGCACAGTCGGCGCAGACGGTATGGTGAGAGAAGAGGGTAGTTGAGGCCGCAGATAGCGCGAAGACGTGGTCTCTCTCTTGGCAACGTACTTGTCATGATACCACGTCCAGAGAAGTACTCTTGTAGCCCGCTCCACGAGACGCACCAAGCGCGGGCCTTCCCACGGTTTATGAGCCCAAGCCCGCAGCGCATTCTCAAGGTCAAATCCCGGTGTGCGCGGGAGGCCGTGCAGCTGCTGCGCCAACATACGAATTGTCGGTTGCTGTAGTATATTACAGCCCCATTGTGATGCATCACCTAGCTGCTGGTTGATGATTCCAATCACGCGTTGCGTTAGGCCGCTTCCACGCATGGCTGTCTGCACATCTACAAGAGTGCCGTCCTCATCAACGTGCCATCGGTCATATTGACCCGATTCGAGAAGCGCTCCTCCTCTGCCACGCCAGTCGCATACAGAGTTGAGAGCTGTCAAAAGCCCGCAGACGGCTTCGGCGAATCCTGGATTCGCTTCTACAGCTCGCCTGTAGTACGCAATGGCGTCCTTTATACGACCTTTGTCTTTTACTGCATTGGCCAAGTTGGTCAAAGCGATGTCGAAGGTTCGGTCGCAGGAGACTGCTCGCTCATACATTTGAATTGCCAGATCTAATTGCCCAACATCTTTCAGCAGGCTTCCAAGGTTCGTGTGCAGGTGAACATGTCTAGGGTCAAGACGAAGCCCATAGTTATAGTATGCCAAAGCGAGGGCAAGGCCGCTGCCAGGCACAATACCAGGCAGACTAGGCCGGGACGATGCCATCCCCGACGCACCGACATTGTTGGAACCAATCTGTTGCACGCCGGCAAGGAGTATACCGATGTTATTTGCAGTAGAAGGGCTTTCTTGGAGAGAGAGAGAGAGATAGTACAACGCTAGGATATCCCCGATCCCCGAAGGCTGTCTGAGCAGACTTGGAGCGATGCCACCGCCAGACGTAGCATCTTGGAAAATCTTTGCTAGTGAAAGTAAAGCATTGCTAGTCGTTTGTACAGCAACTCGCCTGGCGGCGCCCTCGGGAACAAATGCCAGTCCTGGTAACTCGCTGCCACCTCCACCGCCAGCAAAGACAAGATGGGCAGTCTGACGGGCCTTTTCTGGGGGTAGCAAAAGAGGTCGCCGTGAAGCTTGTCCTTGATTATTACTGGCGGGGAAAGACCCTGCTGGAGAAAGCACAACATGGATTCGATTCACCAGATCTTGGACACTTTTTATCCGGTCTCCAACGCTGATCAAGACGGCTTCTTCGAATGCCTCGGAGGCTCTTTCAATATCCTTCAAGCCGTACAATATTGTGCCTTTAGCATGAACTAATGCTAAAATTCTGCCATTTTCACTGTTGGGGAGCGCGTATCCGCTGGACCCGAACTCGGAGCCATCCAGGTTATGGCCGTCTATTCGAGGCGCAGACTCAGGGTGGTAGCCGTGGTTCGTAATAACTGGTTGTTGGACGCGCACATTCCTCGTCTGCTCATCATCGCAAGGCACGGAACGAAAGCCTGGGGCAGAGTACGTAGTCTGAGTGGAGCGTTCCTTTGGCAATTTCAGCGCTTGTTGCACAAAGCAAATAATTTCGATCGCTTCTCGGCTACGTTTCTTGTAAAGCAACCCAACGAGCTGTTCTGTAGCTTCTAAATGAGAGGGACATAGCTTGATAGCATTTAACCAATGCTTTTCAGCTTCTTCTTGGCGGTTAAGACAATAAAGCGTAGCGGCTATATTTGTGATAGCCTCAACATGGCTATAATCTGAGTCAGATATAGAACAACCACTTGATAGTTCATCTGGAACAGGTCAAACCTTGAATCTAGAGCAAGAACTCTCGAGAACCATTCTACGGCATCCTCGAACCGCGATAGGCCATATAAAAGACACCCACCGAGTAAAATTCCATCAATCCATTTCCAATGGCTTTGCTCACATAGACTTTTAAGTAGATTTAAAGAGTTTCTTGCATTAACAACCGGCAAGGCTTTTGCCATGGCAGCCGGACCAAGTGTATCAAAGGACGAAGGTGGGGGATATGTGGTAGGTGAAGCACCGAAATGAATTGCTGACGTACTTGGCTGGTGAATCTCTCCATGGGCACTTTGCCCTATCTGCTGTCTCATATTATTGTTCAATGTATCCTCAATGTTAGATGTAAGAGCCCGGGGGTGGTTCTTCGGTGTGAATGTGGAAATGTTGGATCGTCCAGTACTGCCATGAGCATCCTGTAGAGCACCAAAATTGACTTTTCGGGACTTTGGGGGTCTGGGAAATACCAAGATTTTGGATCTGGCGTTGGAATTGGCGCCAGTCATCTGATCAAACTTCCTTGCGGTTTGCAGGTAGGAGAGCAGTTCAACATAATGTTCTTGCGCTTGCGATAGTGCTTTTTCTGTAAAGCTCGATCGAGAAGTATACTGCTTGGTGGCAGAGGAAGCGTGCGCAATTACATTCTGGCCCCCATAACCTCCGTGCAGCATTGGCTGGGAGGACCGTGGGACATTGGCGTTGGTCTTCAAATCTGCAGTAGATCTACTCAACAGCTGAGGATCCGATCTCTGAGGCTGCAAAAAGCTTCCGGGGGCGCCCGGGGGCATAAACCACTGTGAAAACTGCGAAGAGGTATCAAAGTATCCATAGTTTGGCTGCGTGGAGATTGGCTGCATAGAGCCTGGCTGCCAGCCAAACTGATTGATCGTTGCAGCGTCCGCTGCTGAGGCAGGCGGCGGGCAGAAGGCTCGCACATTGTACTCGGCCGCCCTCATAAGCGGTTGGTACATGCCTGGGATCTGGCTGAACATGGGGTATCCGTTTGACTGCCAGGAGAGATTAGGTTGTTGAAGGGGAATAGAGGAATCGCTACTAAGAACAAAGTTTGGCCTTTCTTGGACAACAGGCCATGGTGATGTCAGAGGAGGAGCTTGTCCCAGACTCCTCTGCTCGTGCTCTGAAAGACGGGACTTTGCGTGAAAAGGAATATTATTTGGCGGCAAGTATGGGTATATCCCTGAGGGCGTTGGAAGTATCAGCTGCTTCAGCGGTGGCGGGCCAAGCGACAGCTGCGTTGGCGATCCATCGTATCCCGCGTCGATGGTGCCTCTGGGCGTTTTCCTACGCAAGTGATAGTCGTAGTCTCGGGAGCTTGAGCCGGCAGAAATGGCCGAACTGTCATACTGCAGCTGAAACGGTCGGATGGTGGAGGGGCGATGGTAGGGAGACGCGATGGCTCGCCTCTCTTGTTCTGGCCGGGCGCCATGGCTGCTGTTCGAGGCCCCGAATGCGTCGAAATTGGTTGGCACCACGCGAGGGTGCGTCTGTACTAAGGGCAACATGCCCGAGATGGAGGATTGGCGAGATTGATGGCGGATGCGAACTTCGTCAAGGAGAGGGTATCACTTGCGAACGAGCAGCAACGTCGTTCACATCATGGCTAGGGACGGCGCCGACAGGCATCGGGGGCTGAGCTGCGGCGGTATGCACGGGGCAAGTAGCAGCAAACAGCGGCAATGGCTTACCTCTCGCAATCCAACGCCGCGACTCAATGTACCGGGTTTGTGCGTCGTACCTTGATATGAGCAAACGCAATATGGGAGTTTCAATCAAGGAAATGACAGTGACAGCCTGAGCTAAGGAACTTAAAGGTGCTTATTCAAATATGGGGTATGGGGTACTGCCTGGTACTGGCGTGTACAAGAAATGCGGTGGAGGTACCTGGGGGGACACTGATGCATGCGTTAGACTAACAGTGACAGAATGATCCTCGCGCCTTTTTGGGAGGGTGGCATGCATGAGGAGGAGCCCTTTTCAAATTGATGAACTGCTGCTAGGTGCACTTTAATTATGTTTTTTTTTTTTCTCCTCTCCTTTGCTTCGATAGATTAAATTAACGTTAAACTAATATTCTCCGCACCTCGCAGCGGATTATGCACTTCAATTCTATATAGTTTGCGGTAAAGTAATACTGGCTCCGTAATATTCTATAAAGTGTGTCGCGGCTCCGCCTTTTGCGCTGATCTATGGATCCTGCAAAAAGTTCACCACAGCTGCATAAGCGTCAGTAAACAAGTAACAACTTGGAAATGTGATTTATAATGTGAATCACCTTGTCTGAAAGCCTCAGGCTCTTCCGATATCAGCCAGTGCCCAGCATCAATGTCTGCTAGACGAAAGCACGGGAAAAATTGCCCAATGGCGGGCAGCACGTCATCTGGGACGTATTTGCTGCGTGTGCCTCGCACAAAAAGTGATGGTTTAGTGTACCGTGCCTCCTGGGGACTTTTATAGGGGAAGTCTCCAAGATGGTTTAGCGATCGACCCAATATGTCCAACGGGACACGAAATCGTTGAATTCCATCCTCTGGTGAACGATACAAGTTTCCGAGCAGGAATTGACGGATGGGCAGTGACTATTGGCGGGCATGGTTAGTTTTACCAAGGGATGTATGCAGAGTACCCGGGATATTGACCTCTTCGTAATCTTTGAGGATGGCATCCGCCTCAGCCTGGCGGGTAATGTTGGCCTCCTCTATTTTTTTCATCCCCCGGACGTAGGTAGCAAACGAGCTGCTGAGCGTGGTGTCGGTCGGGGCATTGTCAACTGCAACGACTTTTGCTACCGTCTCAGGGGAACGGAGGGCAACCGCCATAGCCGTCTTGGCGCCCCTGAGCAAAACAAAATCAGCCAATGGTCATGTTTCCAGCTGTCTCATATATAACATACATGGAGTGGCCTATCAGGATGGGCTCCTTCAGACCATGGTCGTCGATGAAGGCCAGTATATCTTCCGTCATGGCTGTATAGTCATGGCGGGGGTCGTGAGGGGATTCTCCATGATTTCTCAGGTCCTTTATGGGTTTTGTTTGTTTAACATGGGCTGGCTTTGCTCTTCCCCGTAAAATCCACCTACCACTGTGTATACATGAGTCCTCAGATCTCTGGCTAGAGCTCTATTGAATTGTGAGCAACATCCTGCAGTACGATGCTTGGCAGCGCTTACTTGCTAATTCCTCTGTTGTTCTTTTTAGAACCGAAAAGGCCATGAAGAAAGAGGATTGGCGCCGTTCTCTCGTCTGTTTTGGGATTTGCGGGCGCATGAAGATCAAAGGATAATGGCGAAACGGGCTGAGGAAGCGATGTTGTAGAGACTAGTCGCATATGGCGATGTGCGCCGAGCAGGGTGGCATTCCCAAGCCGCGAGCGCAGAGGCGATATCATATTTGCGCACTGGTATGGCCTGACAGGATCAAATATTTGTCAACGCCACTTTCTGTGGAGAGGCTGGACACGGTGATATATGCCAGCTCACCTAGTAAGGATTCAAATCGGTGTTATCAAATAGTACGGCTAGTTCCAGTGGTAAAATTCGACGTCATATACCGCCCTATATCCTTAGCGTTACGGGGTGCTCGGAATTTGGAATTTCAATATGCACAAAGAATGCAACCAGCAATTTAAGGAAGGTTCTCTGTACTCACGATGGCCTAACTATCGCAGCGCACTAACAGCAAATGCTACCTTTGTCGGCAAGCAGGGACAGAGACGCAGGGATAGCAAAAGGAACAAATACGCACATCTTCAAACCGTCTTTATAGAGTTAGCTTGTCGCCACTTTTGCGTGTATGGCGCCTATTTCTGCTTGTGGATTACTACTTATAAATTCCCTCTTTTCTACGCCCGGGAGACGGAAAAACGGGGGTGGCGAAATGAATGAGTGCTACATACAAGCGATGACACGAGCATCCTGATTGATGAGTCAATGGCCGTGCTTTTAAACATACAGTTTAAACCTTGCGTGCTCTCAGTAGACTATAGTAACACGAGAATTATAAAAGTGCCGTGCTATATATACACACAGTTAATAAGTATACACTAAGCAGCAGCAGCAGCAGCAGTGAGTGCAATAGAAGCAATAGACGTAGTAGTAGATGTAGTAGAAATATTAGATGCAGTATTGAACTACCTAAGGTAGGGACCTATTCAAATACAATCATGATATACTACTACATTAGTAGTAGTAATGCGTGTAATGAAACATAGAGCTATATGTGTGCTGGTAGTTTCAAAATTCCTCCCATATTTTTTTTTTTTTTTGGCTCCCCCACTTGCTCGGATGACGCTGCTGCTGTAGTGGGGTGGTGGATTATCATCAGTGGCAGCAATCTCACATATTTTTTTGACTTTGCGAAAGAGCCGACACCGGCCAATCAATGCCATGACTACGTCCTATTACTAGTAGTGCCGCAAACTCGCGCAACGTTGAAGTAGAAGTGGCATATTCTGCCATGCAGTGAGTCACGTTAGTTACTAAGTAGAACGTACCTATCTTACGAATCCATCAATTTTAAGCTCCCGGTACCAGACATAGAAATACCCTCCATTTCCTAGACTGAAATACGATCGATCGACATACCATTGGCCTCGGCACTTCAGGCTTTTCCAGCTGTAAAAACACCATAACACCTAGATCCGGTCTATCGCATCGCAGCCACCATGTCTTCAGCTCGCGATATCAACGCTAGCGTTCCAATTGCTCACAGACCTGCGGTCTCAACCAGCTGGGGTCAAAATCTTTCGACATCGCCCACTGCCACCTTCCAGTCGCCTCCAGCCAGCTTTGGCGCCGGATTGCAGCCTCGCAAGAGCGTGCCCAAAGTGCTCAAGCCCTTCAATACCCAAGACATCAAGATCTTGCTGCTAGAAAATGTCAACCAGACGGGACGAGACATCCTTACGGGTCAGGGTTACCAGGTGGAGGCCCTGAAGACTTCCCTTCCAGAGGACCAGCTCATTGAGAAAATCCGGTAGGTAGTTGCAATTGTTCCTCCGTGGCCAATGGCCGTCTCTGACTTCGTTGGGTTCCAGTGATGTCCATGTTATCGGAATCCGATCAAAGACCAAGCTGAGCGAGAAGGTTTTGAGCGAAGCCAAGAATCTGATTGTCATCGGATGCTTCTGCATCGGCACCAACCAGGTCGACCTCAACTACGCTGCCCGCCGCGGAATCGCCGTCTTTAACTCTCCATTTGCCAACTCCCGCAGTGTTGCGGAGTTGGTCATTGCCGAAATCATCACCCTAGCACGACAACTCGGCGATCGATCGCTTGAAATGCACCGCGGTACCTGGAACAAAGTGAGCGCCAAGTGCTGGGAAGTGCGTGGAAAGACATTGGGTATGTTCCGACTTCCTTGCTTATACTAGCAGTAATTCTGGGCTGTAGAATAAACCAATGCTACGGCGAGAGAAGAGAGGTGTAGTCATTGGAAATACTCTCTAACATTAAACCGCTAGGAATTGTTGGCTATGGGCACATCGGCTCTCAGTTGTCGGTCCTCGCGGAGGCTTTGGGCATGAGCGTTATCTACTACGACGTGGTAACTTTGATGGCGCTGGGAACCGCCCGCCAAGTTCCTACGCTGGACAACCTCTTGGAGGAGGCCGATTTCGTGACTCTGCACGTGCCAGATCTCCCCGAAACGAGAAACATGATTTCAACCGCTCAACTGGCCCGTATGAAGGAGGGATCATATCTGATCAACGCGAGCCGCGGAACAGTTGTAGACATCCCTGCTTTGATCCAGGCCATGCGCTCAGGAAACATTGCAGGCGCTGCTTTGGATGTTTACCCCAATGAGCCGGCTGGCAATGGCGACTATTTCACCAACAATTTGAACCAGTGGGGCGAGGAACTCCGTAGCTTGAGCAACCTCATTCTCACCCCCCATATTGGTGGTAGCACAGAAGAAGCACAGAGCGCAATTGGTGTCGAAGGTTAGCCCAGCGTTGCCCCATCGTTAATTTTCGACTGTATGCTTACGAGATTTCAGTTGCCGACGCGTTGGTCCGCTACATCAACCTTGGTATCACTTTGGGCAGTGTCAACCTACCGGAAGTTCAACTGCGATCCCTGACTTTGGACGAGCCAGATCACGCCCGAGTCAGTTTCCCGTATCATCTCTTTTCATCACGGCTCTAACTCGAACTCTAGGTTATCTATATCCACCGAAATGTCCCTGGTGTGTTGCGTAAAGGTTTGTCTTGCGCCTTGAACTCTACCAAACGCTTCGTACTAACAGTCTTTAGTCAACGAGATTCTCGGTGACCACAACGTCGACAAGCAGCTCAGTGATAGCAAAGGAGATGTAAGATCCTATTCTCTGACGCCATATTGATTCAATGCTAACAAACCCCTAGCTGGCATATCTGATGGCCGATATCAGCAACGTAAGATATGAGCAAATCAAGGATATCGTCGAGAGCTTGGAAAGCCTGAGCTGTAAGTGTCACCGCTACGTTGTTTGTCTAGAACACTTCTAACATGAGTAAATAGCCTGCATCATGACCAGGGTCCTCTATTAGACGATCCACGGTCTCCTGTGTAGGATTGGAGCCAAGTAATCTCCGCTCGTTATTGCATATTTATTGGCTAGGAAAAAAGTTTTTAGAAACATGGGTTTGCAGACTTGGTATTGAGAAAATCAATATATATGGGCAGTGGTCATAAGTCACTTCAACAGTGCCCGTGCTGCTTCAACAGCTGTCAGTGGATTAATATTTTATTTGATGGCTGGTATTTTATGTGCACGTGCAACAATAGACCATAGTAATTAGGAACAAAAAAAATTCTGGAAAATGGACATCATACATTGCATACCTCAATTCTTAAATGAGTCCTTGTTTAGCACTCGCTTGCTCATGAAAAAACAAATATTTGAGGCAGCCTCTTTTATTCCAGTCCAAGCATGATAACGATGGGTGAGTATTTGAGTAGAGATTTTACTCATATATCGTTAACATTCTACTATCATTCACATATATTCCCCCAGCTAGACAGCATTTACAAGTTGTAGTCTATTGGAAGCTAATCTCACGATAATGGAAGTCTGTTCTTCACCACAGCGTGCAAATCCAGAGCCAGTGCTTTTGGAAATACCGATAACACATAAAAACAGGACATCGTTTCCTGGCATTAAGACAGCATCACCAGCAGGGCCTCTACTGACAATTCGAATATGATAGCAATTGTCAATTGGCTTTAAACGAACAGTATGAAGCGTAGTCGATATATGAGTAGTTTCAAGGTGGAGATATATTAGGTGGCAGTACTTTGTACTATCGCTGTTTCGAATCCCTCAGTCGTATACAGGGAATGCCACCCCAGCATCGAACCGCAGTCTAAATGACGCCGCCCCTAAAGCTGTTACCCCAAATGACAAAATAGCCGGCTTCCTAGTTCTCGATTCTCGATATTCGCTCTAGCTGGGTCGTCTAGTGGTCCCAGGGGTGCTTCCATCCAAGCAGAACGGGGCCTGCGAACAATATACTCGTTAGCAATGCCGGGACAAAAACAGTGTACACGGATTGAGCCCTTTACCATCTTTCTTTGCCCGGTACATCAGCTGGAGATTATGGTCAGCATATCATGTCTTCATATACGATCTCGCCGTCCACATCTAAGCGCTGAGGACACTCTGCTTACCCAGAACCACATTCCCGCGCCAAGGGCAGTGGCTGTGACTCGGTAGATCGGGGCGACGTGAGGAACGGGAGGCTTCGGGGGACCCATGGCTGCTGCGGGTTTACGATTGCACCTAGAGGCAATTCAGTCGCTGAAGACGAGGGGTAGCAGTTGTACCAAATTACCTAGGACAAAGATAGTCATTAGTACTGATCCTCTGGTATTCTGTGTAGATCCTGCGCCATATGGGACAGCGACAGAATACTTACCTGGCAGATTAATTGAGAGTCGCTGATTCGCGATATACGGAATAGCAACAGCCCATAGAACAAATCAACCGCCGTAAATCTAGGTGTATGATGAGTAACACGCATGCGCCCCACTTTTCACATGGGATATGTGCGAAACTCTGTATATAAGGATATTTATGTAATCAAGCCGCTTCAAACACCCAGCTGCTTCTGTTTGACATCACTATTGGAAGAAGTCGTGTGTTACAAAGATCGAATAGCTCAAGACTCTTTGCAATAAGCAAGCACGATCTAGGAGGCACTCTCGTATTGAATTACGTTGCCAGGAGAGCTGAACACTATTCATTGTCAGGTGCTCTAGATATTGCTAGTAGCCCTAGAAATACAATCAAATATATTTCGGCATTCCATGACACTTCCACTGAAATTGGCGACAATAAAAGCTACGACCTAATAAAATGAAACTGTGTTATATCCAAAGGCGGCAAGAACTCACGCTCATACTTAGTCATCAAATCATTATTCGCTAATAAGCCCTTGATCATCATTACGAGCATGCGTGATGAGCTGCTGCGATTTCCATGGCAGCTAATGTTGTTTTCTCGATATATAATCCGAGTCTATGACATGTGACGAGAGATCTTGAATTCAAATGGTGTTGCGACGCCTGTACTGTATTGTCGTGGAGTGTAGTGCTGCGCCAGGCACTTACTATGGATATCCTAGAGTTATCTGGTGCAAGGCAAATACGCCAGCGCCCAGCAACACTGGCACAGCCCGCAGAGCCTATTAGCGCCGTTCTCGAAAGCGGGCTAGCATAAATTTCATGCACGTGACAGCAGCTGTCCTTGGTATGGAGGAAGGGCCAAGAGGGCTGAGGGCGGTGGAGCAGAAAAATTCCGCCCACAGAAATAGCGGAAAAATATATGCCCCGGTACCTTTCTGGTTTGGCTCGCTTAGATCTTGGTTGATGCACACAAGAATTGAATTTCTTCAACCCCTCCACCAACTTTTTAGTACCTTTGGATTCCCAACTGCTTGTACGCTGGTAAGGAATCATGGCTGTTGGAAAGTGAGTATCTATGCTGCGAATCTTGGAAACGACAATCGCCAACCAGAAATAATAGGAACAAGAGACTCTCCAAGGGCAAGAAGGGCCTTAAGAAGAAGACCGTGGACCCTTTCTCCCGAAAGGACTGGTACTCTATCAAGGTATGTGCAAACCATCAAGAAAAAAAATTGCACTCAGCCTCAAAACGATACGATTTGCTAATTACGCGTTCTACAGGCTCCTAACCCCTTCAACATCCGAGAGTGAGTCGAATTGCAACATTTTGCCGGACACAAAATCTCGAGATCATGGACTGACGGATTCGCTGCAGTGTTGGCAAGACTCTTGTGAACCGGACAACCGGTCTCAAGAACGCGAACGATGCCCTCAAGGGCCGCATCGTCGAGGTCTCTCTCGCCGACCTCCAGAAGGATGAGGACCACTCATTCCGCAAGGTTCGCCTCCGCGTCGACGAGGTCCAGGGCAAGAGCTGCCTGACCAACTTCCACGGCCTTGACTTCACATCCGACAAGCTCCGATCCCTGGTCCGCAAGTGGCAGACTCTGATTGAGGCCAACATCACCGTCAAGACCACCGATGACTACCTCATCCGCCTCTTCGCCATCGCCTTCACCAAGCGACGCCCCAACCAGATCAAGAAGACCACCTACGCTGCTTCTTCCCAGATCCGCGCCATTCGACGCAAGATGACTGACATCATCACCCGCGAGGCTTCCAGCTGCACTCTCACCCAGCTGGTTTCCAAGCTGATCCCCGAGGTTATTGGCCGCGAGATCGAGAAGTCCACCCAGGGCATCTACCCCCTCCAGAACGTATGTTGTTTGCAAAGCGAAATTACTACGATTTTTTTTTTCCTTGGTTAATCAGCTGCTAACTCGATTTTTTCTCTGTAGGTCCACATCCGCAAGGTTAAGCTGCTGAAGGCCCCCAAGTTCGACCTGGGTGCCCTGATGGCCCTCCACGGCGAGTCTGGCACTGACGACCAGGGCCAGAAGGTTGAGCGGGAGTTCAAGGAGCGTGTTTTGGAGGAGGTCTGAAAAATGGGCTATTTGTAGAGAGATGAAGGCGCAGGGAGCCCTGCGAGTGCTAGATTCGCGCCTGGCCGTTTTCCCAGTCATTTTACATGGAGTAACAACCCATAGGCGGGTAGGGAGGTTAGGTAATGTCCCTATGATATATTAAAAGACACTCGGATTGCTTCTACTTTATATGTGTGTTTATATTAGCCCTTTAACAAAAGGCGATTTAAATTACTGTAAAGACGGATAATTGTGACCAAGGTTGCATTGCAATGACGCGACGAGGCGCGAGTTATTCGCGCCCAGAGATTAATTTTGTAGCGAGGAATATACTATTAGACACAAATTTATGTGTGGCACGTGTCATGATTGACATTTTCTTTTGGATTCACTCTGAAAAGCAGCAAGATATTTTACTCGCCAATATATGCAGATCCGTGGTTACCCAGTTGATGTCATCACACAAAAATATTTTGTTCGTGGTGATGAGATTGCAGCGCCAAACATCAAGTTCAAATCCAGAGCCAACCTGGAAAATAGAGTCACATTCTCACTTTTAGTAGTATGTTTTCAGACGCGAATTCAAGTTGTATGGAAAAACCTTTGTTTATTTATATGTAAAGCCTAGATAAGTGAACGGAAGCAAGCTGAATGTATCAGTCATGATATCACGAAAAGGGAAAAGAAAACTGGTAAAAAGGGGTTGCATGTTGGCCTTATTGGAAGGACCAATATACCCACGGAAAAGCAGGGTATAGAGGTGAGTAAGTGGCCTGTTTCAATCTTCCTTGAGCAAAAATAGAAATACACCACAGAGCAGTGACGATGTATCTCGGAGTGAGCTAAGGGGAGCGGTGTCAAATCCGCAGTGGGAGTGCATTTCAATAACATCACGTGGAGCAAAAATATCATGGTGTTGTACTGATTTCTTTTTATTTATTTGCCGTCGCTAAATGAGAATTTCTTCTCATCGCGACGTTGGTCTGAATCAGCCAAATTTACTCCTCAGGAACTACATCAAATGTTAGCAATTGTAAACATGTTGGGGATTGTTGGAAAAGTCCATACTCTCAATCTCGCCGTTGTCGATAGCCTCGATGACGGACTGAGGGGGCTTGCCGTCGACCTGGCAGCCGACAGAGTAAGCAGTTCCCAGAATCTCCTTGACACTACCCTTCAGCTCCTTGGCGAAGGACTTGTAGCGCATGGTGCGGGCAATCTCGATGACCTCGTCAATGGTGATAGACTTGTTGTGCTTGATGTTCTTCTCCTTCTTGCGATCACGCGGGGGCTCCTTGAGGGCCTTGATGATGAGAGAAGAGGCAGTGGGAACAACAGAGACCTGAGCCTGACGGTTCTGGATGGTCAACTTGACGGTGACACGGAGACCTTTCTGTCTATGGCATTAGCACGAAAAAAAACTCTTGTTCCTCTTCTATAGCAGTTGTACGCACCCAGTCACCGGTAGCCTTGGCGATATCTTCACCAACCTTCTTGGGGGAGAGACCAAGAGGACCGATCTTAGGAGCAAGGGCCGAAGAGGCACCAACCTCACCACCGGTGGCACGGAGGTGGCTATAAGTTGAAGGTTAGATCAGCATGTTTGCGGAATTGGACGGCGCCGAATAAACTAACATGACCTTGACCTCGTTGGGATCGAACTTGGGAGCTGCCTACGAGTTAATAACTGCAATAAAGCATCCTGGTACATTTGGAACTTACGCATGATGGCGATTGATGATCTGGCAGAGGCTCGTGGTTTGCGTGCCGAGAGGAGTTAATGAGAGGGTTGGTTAGTTAAAAGAGTGATACTGGAAAAAAATGAGAAATTGTAGATAAGATGTGTGCCCCATATGGGTGCCCTAATCAAGGCCCACCCCGCCAAGAAGGAGCCTTGCCTCTCTGGGCAGCCTCTAGTTGGCTATAGTTGTGCTTATGTAAGCAATATCGAATGGCTACCAGCAACAACTTAGATCTAGCTAGAGGTAGGTATGGAGGAGCTTGAGTTTCATATCCCCCCAGCTTAGTTCTTCACTGAATGTTGAAATAAATACAGATGGGAAAAGAAAGAGAGAGAAAGGAATAGTCACCCTAGCATTACGCAAAGCATCTGCAATGAAACAGCAGTGCTCTGTAGAGCACGGCAATCAAGGTAAGCCACGAGAATATGTATAAATTGGAGGATCTGCTCTGGTTAAATGGATAACGAAGCTGACTAAGTGCATGTACTCTGCTCGGCTGACCAGATGCCTACTTGAACAAACGACAGGGGGCGCAAAACCAGATTGCGGCTGCATTGCTGCTGCACGAGTAATAAACGCTTATCCTCCGTAGCTCCATTGGCCAAGCAGCTAAGTCGTAGGTGTGACCAGCGCTTCTGCTTGAAGCCAGTAGTCGATCATCCTAACCATAATATGCAATTAAGATGCTGGCGGCGGTCCCCGAATATCTGTGTAATAGGAATTCTGGACCCCTCTTTATCTAAGGTTCTTTATCGCCAAAAGCCCGACTACCGAGTAGATATACTAACTTATCTGCCAGCTGGGTAGCTTCGTGCCGCTGCAACCAACCTGAAACTTTTTTGAAGCAACCACCTCTGTGTACCAACATTCAATTCAATGGCTGAGAAACCGACAACAGCTTCTGCACCCACGCAGTGCGTCGGCCCGACATTCAAGGGCATTGACGAGAAGCCGAGTGCCACTGTATCTGCTGTGGTGCCGTTCGATAACGTCTATGTCTTGCCGCAAACCCCCCAGTTGATTGCCCTTCTGTCGTAGGTCTTGGGCTCTCTTCCGTGTAGTCTTGACATGCCGCCCTTTACTAAGCACTTCACGCAGCATGATAAGAAACAAGGACACCGAGCGAGCAGATTTCATCTTTTATTCGAACAGAATTATCCGGTTGCTAGTAGAAGAAGGCCTGAACCATCTGCCCGTCATTGAGCGAAGCATCACTACCCCTGTCGGTCGCACCTATAATGGTCTTATGTTCCAGGGCAAGATATGTGGTGTCTCGATTATGCGAGCTGGAGAAGCGATGGAGCAAGGACTACGAGACTGCTGCCGCTCTGTAAGAATTGGAAAGATATTGATTCAGCGGGATGAAGACACATCGCAGCCCAAACTTTTCTATGATAAGCTCCCTGAAGATATTGCGAACCGATGGGTTCTTCTGCTAGACCCTATGTTTGCCACAGGTAACCGCTCTCTATTGACTTGTTCCTCGTCATCTCGATTGATATGGCGATCTGCGCCGATGACTAACAACGTAAAGGTGGCTCCGCTACAATGGCCGTCGAAGTCCTCAAAGGCCGAGGGGTGCCTGAAGAGCGCATTCTATTCCTCAATTTGATTGCCAGCCCAGAGGGAATCACAACCTTTGCCGCGAAATTCCCCCGACTCAAGGTTGTAACGGCGTTTATTGACGAGGTAAGTGCTGCCATTGATCGCTGGTTCACTCGTTCTGTACTAACAGAATCTGTCCGCAGGGTTTGGATGAGAAGAAGTATTATAATGATCCCGGCTCCACGATGCATTGGCTGACCCTGTTGCAGTTATATTGTGCCTGGTCTTGGAGACTTTGGCGACCGATTCTATACGATTTGAAGAACGATGTGAATATAGCTTTTTTCGATAAGATCCTGGTATTTAGTATGCATCAATATCCCCAATTCTGTAACGCCCTAGCCCGTCCCTGTAGAAATGCACAGTATGGCACTCAATAATCGTCGTGATCGATCTCCTCGTGCTCGTCAATGGTATTTTTGCTGTCAGTAAGCCTTCGAGCACCATACCCTCTGCCGGCGCTGCCAATTCCACCATCTGCCTTCGAGACTGCCTCTGTTCAAAAAATTATTAGCCCTGAACTGTAACTTTGTTTACTGGGGTCTGTATCATACCAGCAGCATCAACCCATTCTCCATACACATCAACGGCAGCCGAGAGGTCTAGAGGTGACGATTTAGCGACAAGATCGTAAGCATGCAGGCAGCGGGAAAGACGAACAGTTGACGGCGCATTGGAATTTTTGCCCGCAGATGCGACAGTCTAGCTGGCCGACACCAGCTTTCCTGTCAAGCTTGACCGTTACCGACTTCTCATGGTTGCAGAAGAGGCAAGTGAATGTGGTTGGTAAGGGATCAGCCTGTGGCCCAGTCAGTTCCGGAAGACCGCGCGCAGCGGAATCTCGGCACTCACCCTCTTGGGCCCCATGGGTTTTCTTGACGAGGATTTGCGCTTTCCCATGGTGTCGGGTGTGATGGAGATAAGGAGTCAGCAAAGTGCAAAAGGCAGATATCTCGTGCTGTAATTGAAAGTCGCATCGCGTTCGCTACGTGTGAGACATCCTTTCCAGCACAGTCTCTTATCTTATCGGCGCTGTGATTATGTACAAGGCACTCCCCCGTACGGTACGTACCTAGCAAGGTACCTAGACACTCTGCAAGCGCTGCCTTAGCGCCAACTGCCTATCGCTATATCCGCACACTAGGCTTGCCGGGGCAGTGCTCTATCGGGGCGACCGCTGTCCAAACGGGGCTGGGGTCCGCGCTTCGGCGCCTGCCGACAACCAGTGCTGGGCTGCCAGGAGTGACCCCGCATTCCGCTATCTTGGATGTCCGATCTAATGTTCCGTCACCACCGCCGTGGAGGCACCGGCAGCGCGCTCGTCGGATAAGGTCGCAGCCATTACGTGTGACGCACTTATCGCGACCTTAGGCACTATCACAGCGGACCGTCAACTGACTGCCTGTTTCGCCTGATTACGTACGATTAGGTGCTGCTGCTAGCTCTACTATAGAATGTCTCCCTGCCCAACCTGACTGCTCTCTTCTCTCGTCAGACGTTGTCCCAAACCTGTGTTGAAGCTTCTCCGTGTTTCCTCGCCGGCTTTGCGTAAATCATTGCTCTTCTTCCGTCTACAACCTAACCCGCGTTCAATCCTCTTTCAGAAAATCGTCGTATCAAAACACCCCTCCTCTTCAGGCTTACTATCCCGATTTGGCAGATCCCAAGCCCCTCATGGCTGCAGATGCACAGCAAGATGGTGTCCTGGACACCCTCCGGGACATCCAGCAAACCCAGCAACAGCTGCTAAGCTCGCTTGAGTCCCTCAACGGTAAAATTGGCTCCTCTGCAATCTCAACGGAGGCGCTATCGGGGGCCTCCCTGCTACCCGGGGATAACAAGGATGCTAAGCAAAAGGATGCTGAGGCTGCTGAAGATCTGACGCCAATCCATTCATCATTTGAGAATGGAGCGGCACAGCCTAGTTCGGCCTTGTCTCCAGCCAGCCGGTCAGGCTTTACTTCGCGAATCGTGCTCACGTGTGTGCTGCCTTTCCTTGATACGTTAATCGCCGTGTGAGAATCAATGTCTTATTCAATGTGATAAACCACAGGACGTATCCCAAGCAGCTTGGCATTGACCCTATCCCTCTGGACTGGGGAAACTCTGATCCATTACAGCGCGGCCCAGTAGTTGTTTCGAGAGCTGCGTCTACCATTCGTCGCAGAAATGGTTTGTTGTTCCCCGTGTTGTCACGTATATGATAGGCCTTGATCTGACTTATCGTAAAATACGTTTAGCTATTGGAGGTGAGTAATACTTTTCTCGTGTCTAAAGTATATGGAGCTGACTTTCATATAGCTCAGTAAGTGATAAGAGAACAAATGCATAGAAACTGGGACATCATGTGTTGACCAATCTTTAGCGGTGGCTCGTATTCGATTTACTACGCACTGGCTGTTGCTAGCAAGGAACTCAACGTCGATCACAGGTTCGTCTCATAGAAGGCACTACCGTTCGTTTTCTTCGTACCATCATATGCTGACTTCGGATGCCCCAGACCCGATTTCACAAATGCTGAGCCTGCTGCCAACATTGGACCATTCCCTCAATGGGGCGATAAAAAGAAGATCGTTGCCATGGATCCTTGGGGTCACTTGGTTCCATGGACCTTCAAGGATATTATTGAAAAGCAAAACGGTAATGGACAGCCTACATTGTAGTGTCTCTCAATTGCTCATTGGTGTTTAGTCGATATGCGACCAACAATTGCTATTACGAAGGCTCATATGAAGGTAAGACTTGCTCCATGTCCTCACTATGCTCTACTTCCTTACGCTAACCATGAAATAAATAGCTTCCCGAACTTGAAGAGAGTGTGAAGAGTGGTCGACTGTACGTCGTGCAATCGATCTAAGCGCGAGTTTCTCAGCTAACGCAATTTATAGGGTTCCCGATGGGAAAGTGTGCTTGAACGAGCGTGGAGAGTTGGCAGTGACCAAATTTGCTGTCGAGCCGGTATGAATGGATTCTCGAGAAGTTAAAACGTGATACTCATGTTATTGGCTCTAGGTTTGGTACCTTCCCGGTGTAGCAGAGAGATTTGGAATTGGTGAGTGATTTGAGACATTTGGGAGTATGCGAGTTAACCAGTCATAGATGAGGCTACTTTGCGCCGCTCTCTATTTGAACACACGGGAGGAAGCTATCCAGAGGTAAGTGCATACTCACTCTCATGGCAGAGATGACGCATATTTATCAGCTACAGTTGATAACCCGTGGAGACATCAAAGTCTTCCTCCCACCAATCGGTATGTGGATGAACCATTGAATTACTGACTGCCACAATTCAAAAAAGGAAAAGGGAAAGGGGAAACAGCAAGAATAAAGCTAACGGTTTTGCGCAGGCGGGTTGACTGTATATTGCTTCGGTGACCCTGAGAAAATGTCGGATGAAAATGTTCGGTTGTCACTGAGAATTCACGATGAGGTAGGCCTTCGCTAGCAAGTGGCGGTGACAAGACGCTGACTGGGCGTAGTGCAACGGAAGCGACGTTTTTGGCTCCGATATTTGTACATGCCGGCCTTACCTAATCTTTGGCATCGAGGAAGCTGTCAAAGAGGCTCAGAATGGTGGCAGTGGTGTAGTTATATACTTCAGAAAAGAAGGTCGCGCTCTTGGAGAAGTGACAAAGGTATGCTACTCACACCCCATCATCCACTAACAAGCAAGCTTGCTAACACTTATCATAGTACTGTATGGCTGCCTATCCTAGATTAGGGTTACATTTAATATATTACTTAAAGCATAATACTGACAAAAAGAATAGTGGTATACAACGCACGCAAGCGTGGCGAGGATCGAGCATCCGACTATTTCATGAGGACTGAGAATATTGCTGGTGTGAAAGACATGCGCTTCCAGGCTCTGATGCCAGATATCCTTCACTGGCTAGGCATTAAGAAGATCGATCGCATGTTGAGCATGAGCAAGTAAGTAATTGCTTACATGTCTCTAGCCTGTGATATATATATATGTGCTAACCTGGGCACCAGTATGAAACACGATGCCATAGTTGGTCAAGGGTAAGTCAAGCTCTATACTTGAATGTTTATCGTGGCATGTTGCCTGATTATTGCAGAATCCCCATCCACGAGAGAGTGGAACTTCCAGATGAGCTCATCCCCGCCGACTCAAGAGTTGAAATCGATGCCAAAATTACTGCTGGTAAGTCATCCAAACCAACACTCTTGTGGACACTAGCCGCTAACATTCCAAGGCTATTTCACGGCTGGTAAACGGTTGACGGCTGAAGAATTGCAATCTGTACAAGGCAGACTTTGGGAAGAGTGAGTTTCAAGGCCCCGCCCTACCGGCTCGAGGAATAAGAGATACTAACGCATTTTATCTCAGTATCGATCACTAAGAAATGGCTGCCACAAATTGTGGAATGAGATGCGTTGATTCATTTTGCAATCTTGCACAGTTGGGCTTAGAAATCAGTATCTTATACGTCCTATGACAACCACCTGTGGTTTTGATTTGTAGCCTGCACTGTATTCAGAAATATTTACGACTATGCTGATTAGCGGTCTCCTAATGAGAAAAGATCACATAGTATTGTTATCGTGTTTATCTGTCTGTGCGACTCTTAGTCCTATCTGTACCTATCCAGTGCCATTTTGTATACAAAGTAGCAACATGATTAAAATTCTACTAATAGCGGCGTTATTATCCTATTCCCTGACTGATATTATAGCAAGGACGTTATTTAGCGTCTGTGAGAAAAGGGTTCTCTGCTCTAAGATATATCGTCTTGCTGGCGGGCATCTCTTTAGCTCGGTATGAGTTACATCAAGAGACAATTGCTCTTTGCTGGGGGTTCTCCAGGGCTCTGAGATTTCTCAATCTCGCCAATCAGAAGCTCAAATGCCCTGCCAACATTCTGATTGTATCTCGCGCTCGCTTCTGTCCAGCCGCACTGGAATTTCTCGGACAGCTTCTTGCCCTCTTCGGGGCTGACTTGGCGCTGCTCTGGTCGAAGATCGCTCTTGTTACCTACGATGACGATGGGAACGGATTCGGTACCCTGTGCGCGATTTCAAGGCACGTGTGTCAGCGGTGGTCGTTATGTCATGGACGGTCTCTGAGGGGAAGATGGGCACCCACTAGATGATTAAGGATCTTTTCTCTGACGATCTGAACCATCTCAAACGATGGCAGGGACGATACTGAATAAACTAGCATGTATCCATGGATGCCGATGAAATGCTTCGAGTTTAAGATGCTGTATTCATCCTGTGTCACGTACAGCTTGTAAGCGCTGGGTTGCGACGATCGAATGGCGCGACCGCGGTGCCTACCTGTCCAGCGGTGTCGACGATTTCCGTCGAGAAATCCTGGCCCTTCCACTGTATAGTCTTGCTGAAAGTGTTTTCTATCGTCGGGTAATAGCTCTCCACGAAGTGACCGTCAACGAACTGCACAGCGAGCGATGATTTGCCTAGCATCAGGAAGTCAGGTATTGTGCTGCAAGGGTGGCGAAGCGGCTATAGATAGGCTTGGAGCCATATCATGGGCTTCGTTTTGTCTTTTTCCTCTCTGACTTACCAACCGATCGACTGCCCACGATGGCAACCTTTCTTTGCTTCAGGGAAGGCATTGAAATTCTATAGGGGCTCTTGGGTGGATGGATGAAGCGATGATAAAAGTAGTGATGTTATCAGGACTTACCTTGATGGAGGGATGAAATGCCGGGGCAGAGGTGGGACGTTGGGGCGCTATCACATGGGAAAAAAAGCAGGCTAATGCAAGTGCTAGTACCAATAAAGCGAACTAGCCTAACGCAGAGTGTCGCGACTATTTATACATACATGCAGAGTTCGAATCCGTACATTTAAATTAAACGTTGATAAAGTGCTAGAAACATTAATTATTGAACAGTATAGTTAAAAATAGAAACATATGTCGGATCTACGTGCATAGTTACTTAACTTATACTAGGTTTTACTGTACTTTGATAGTGTAGATTACACACTTCAACATCATGGTATGGAAATGAGTATTCAATTTCTGCAATTTATGACAGAGGTATATATACACGGCGTTACAGAAAATGTCCCTAACAGGATCTTCCAGAGAGGCTATGTACAAGGCTTTCCAGCTCTACTGTTTTGTGGTTGACTGTCTTATATATCGTTATGAAGTGTTGTATAGCTGGGAGCAAGCCGTTTGTGACCGGTAGCTCCGGGTGACCTAAGTATGAATATCCCAGCACTATAGCGAGGTAGCTGTATGCTATGCCGAGTTTTGAGGTCTCGACTGAATCGTCCTATAATTTATGAGTTAGTGAGTGTAGAAAGAACTTTATGTTTTAAGAAAAGGGGAGGGGGGGGGAGGAGTTTTTTTGTATAAAGAAAAATAAACATACCTTTTCCATTACACGTTCGAGCTCGGACCAAGTCGAAATTAGCTGATTGATTTCATCCGCATCGATAGATATACGCGCGTCCGAGGAGTGCTCCAGAACATTGATCATGATCCCAAGTATGAGGAGGAGCTCGTCATAAATGTTACTTTCGAAGGTTGACTTTTGAATAGCACTCTCAACAGCCGAAAATCCGGAGATTATACAGCAGGTTAGGCTTGATAGCAGCTGGGGGGTTTGAATTGCGGCTGCCCTTGTCTCATTATTAGTTGTGTTGATGGCAAGCTTTAACAAGGTAGCATCTATGTCGTTGTGGGTTTTTGGCCAGTCTTGCAGCATGCTTCGGAGGAACGTAGCGATCTCGGACATTTCTTGCTGGACTTGGGCAAAAGTGTCATTTGTGGAGGTTAAGGAGCTGGATTGCGCCTCGAGAATGCGGATGGTGAGCGCATAATTGACATCGTTGCGAGAGTCGAGAGACGCAAAATGGGATCTCAATTCCGAGATGCTGGTAGCAGTATCATCCAATATAGCTTGGACCTCTTGGGGGTCTAATAGACCCACAAGCATAGAGAGCAGTTGCAAGGCAATGGTTTGAGGAGAGAGATGCAGCAATTGGTAGCCATGCCATAGTGGCATTTCCAGCAGTGTCTTCTTCACGCTGGCTAGTGAGTTTCTGGTTGTTTTCGGCATATTAGAAGATTTCTGAGTTGCTATAGCGTTTATATCCTCCTGTATATTGAGAAGATTACTCAACCATGCGCCAACCTTGTTTTCTGTTAATTGGTGAAGCATATGCGGCGCAGGACCTGATGATAGGAAGATAACAAAGGCAGCAGCGAGGAGAAACCCGCTGATTGTATCTTTCTCCTTACTAATTCCCTTGGCTATGTTGTCTCGCGATGCATGGTCACGAAATTGATTCATAAACTCTTTGTTTTGCAGCTTATCAGCTAGCTCGCACAGGGCATTTCTCCGCATGGTTGACGCCAAAGATCCTGGTGCTCCGATTCTAGAAAGCAGATCATCGACTTCATCTGACGATCGGTTATTGGCGCCGGCTCGTCGCAGCTCATGAACGCTCCTAATAGCAACCTTGGTCTTCAATTCATCATCATCATCATCATCGTCTTCTTCAATAGTCGGAGACGGAGGCTTCAAAGGTTCGTCGATATCATCGATAGAAGGAAAGTCAGTGGGCTCAGTTGCATTCGACTCCTGTGAATCTTGAAGAATGCTTCGGGATTGGCTGTAAGTGAACTTGATCTTCCTCTTTTCCAGTGTAGTGGTGTCGGAGGCGGTCCTGCGCAGCGGCGCGTCCTTGCGAATGCTGGGACGCCCATCCGGAGCTTTATGCTCGGTCCTATTGATATGCTCAAATACAGGGACACTCTGGCTTGGGCTAGCGCTGGGATCACTAGTTTTTTCTGCTACAAGCGCATCGATCAAACGGCGTCGACGCGTCGGCGGCGTTTCTGGCGACTTGTTTCCATATAATATCTTTGCTTCTATATCTTTCTCAAGCCCAATAGCAGCCAGTTCAACAGCACTCGATCTTTTTGGTGTCGCCGGTAGTGAGGTTGTGGACTTGGAATATACCGATCCATTCTTAACAGCATTCGGTTTTGTATCTTTGACATCTGCTCCGTCGGAGTGTCGTATCTGCTCCTGGGCTGAAGATGGCCTGGAAAGCCGGCGTGCGGCCACGACGTCTATCGCCGCTACAGGGTTTCCCGTACCAAACGCAGACTTGTGGCTTCGTTTGCGTGTTGTGTCTGTCTCGCTCGCCTGTTGTTTACGAGCAGCATCGAGGGCTATATGCCTGGCACTGCTAAGCGTTTTCTGCGGTCGCGAAGAATCGTCAGTCTGCAAGGGAGATGGCTGGGGCTGTTTAGGTCGATGAGTCGCTGAAGTTGCTGAAGAGCTTGTTTCTGTCGACGAAACCTGGAGAAGCGACGAGGTTGGACCTGCGCCGGTGTGACGTTTGCGAGAAGCTAGTTTCCCGTATGTAGTGACCTTTCTCCGCTGCGCCTCGGCTGGATTTCGTTGATTCTCCATGCTAGATGATTGATTCGACGTCCTCAAGAGTTGTACAAGGAATCGGGTGGAGAATTAGCACTTCTCCCATGTTGCGACAGCAGTGAGCTGATTGAGGGAATCGCGATGCGAGACGGCAGTGCTGATGCAGGTGCTTAAAAGCGACGTCCAATCAGGTGAGATACATGACAGTTCTGGAACACCCTTGCCAACGAGGGGCAGCTACTAGACGCCGCAGAGCGCGCATGGGGCGCAGATCCGCAAACAGCGACTAGAGAGTGTTGTATACCAGAAGTGGCCCAGGATCGAGAAATTACGATTATTGAAGAAGTAGAGAGTCGCATATGCATGTGTTGTTCTGTTACCTACATGTTGAGCAATACTTGGAGCCGACGTCGTCAAGCCGGTTAAAAACACAGTCGCCCGATCCCAAGAGTGAATGCGAGGTGACTCGACGGGCGCATACCCTAAATCTCATCAGGAAGGACTCGAGGCGCCAACAAATCACTACTACGACGGTAGCGAAGGCGATGGCTTGGGCCTTTGGAAAGAGAAGACCTAATCTGCTGCATTTACTACTATGGGTAACTATTGTAGATAAAATTATCTGACGGGGGGCGGGGGCCTATGGGCTAGACACTCTCATGTATGGTAGGTATTAACACTCAAATTCTTTTGTATATCAACAGGGGATATGCTTTAGATCGACTTTTCAGCACCACAAAATGCTTGGCCAGATAATGACAAACCAACATCAAACCTGCAGATGAACGACCTATAAATGGCTATAACATCAAATTCATATGTACTATATAGGAAAGCGGCCTACTTTTAGAGGAACTTGGGATTTATCCATTTATCTATACGGGTATCTTAAAATAGTCCCCGTCAAAATTTTTATGTACTTGCCGGCGAGCCTGGGGCGCTGGCTAGTAAATCACATCAAAATCAATATGCTGTTTGGCTTATTTTGTCCACGTCTAATACATGTACGCCATTGCCGCCCAGCACTAAGGCCAGGGTCTTGCAAAAGAATCAGACCCCACCTTGCGCACCCCTCCATTTTTGTTTTGTGACTCGACAGATAAGAGAACCTCACTTTAGCCTTCAACTTCGTCTCTATTTTTCAGGTCCTAGAATTTGCACCTTCCGAGTCAGCTGTGAAGTTCAGACAATATTAGCCTGCAAATACAACTGTTGCAAAGGCCTTCACCATGCTCGACGTAAACGACTTCATCACCGAGCGCGGGGGCAATCCCGAACTCATTCGCGAATCGCAACGCCGCCGTTTTGCCAATGTCGAGATTGTCGACGAGGTGATTGCGCTGTTTGAGGACCATCGCCGAAGTACTTATTGGTTCCAACTTCCACAGCCGGTTCATCTTTGCTAATCGCGTTCGTTACAGCCCAATACAGCGCCAGTCAGATCAAGGGCAAAATAAACGACGTCCAGAAGCAGATCGCGACCAAGAAGAAGGTAGACTATATCTATGTGCCTAGGTCTGGCGGTGCTTTTGCTAACCGTAGCTGCAAAAGGCCAAGGAGAATGCGGATGACCTTCTTCAGGAAAAGATCGCGCTGCAGAAAGAAGAAAAGGCCCTTAGCGAGTCAGCGGCTGAGAAGGATGTGCTTCTGAAGGCCAAGGTCAAGTCCATTGGTAACCTTGTTCACAACTCTGTGCCTGTGAGCAAGAACGAGGTGCGGCTTCTCCAAACATCCTCTTTTGACTGACACTACTCTAACCCTTGATATCCAGGATGACAATGCAGTTCAGCGAACCTGGGCCCCCGAGGGCGTTACCGTCGAGAAGCGACCGGTCCTGTCGCATCACGAGGTCCTTCTCCGACTCGATGGATATGATGCTGATCGAGGTGTCAAGGTCGTTGGTCACCGTGGATATTTCTTGCGCCAATGGGGCGTGTTTCTCAACCAGGCCCTGGTAAACTACGGTCTTGAGTTCCTCACTCAGCGGGGATACTGCCCTCTCCAAGCCCCTCAGTTCATGCTCAGGGATTACATGGCCAAAACAGCACAGCTGGATGACTTTGATGAGCAGCTGTACAAGGTTGTGGATGGAGATTCAAAGAATGACAAGTATCTCATTGCTACGTCCGAGCAACCTATTTCCGCATTCCACGCCGACGAGTGGCTGCAGCCCAAAGAGCTCCCTATCAAGTACGACATGCCGTAGACATTAAGCATGTGGTGGTTTGCTAATCATCAATCACAGGTATGCTGGTTATAGCACGTGCTACCGACGAGAAGCCGGATCTCATGGCCGAGATGCTTGGGGTATCTACCGTGTTCACCAGTTTGAAAAGGTAAACCCACCTGTTCCATCCACCTGTGACGTAGCTAATTTATTATAGATTGAACAATTTCTGCTTACTGACCCAGAGAAATCTTGGGAGGCATTTGAGGACATGATTGCTGTGTCAGAAGAATTCTACAAATCTCTGGAACTGCCATACCAAGTGGTCGCCATCGTTTCTGGTGCCCTCAACGATGCTGCTTCCAAGAAACTGGATCTGGAGGCCTGGTTCCCCTTCCAGGGAGAATACAAGGAACTCGTATCATGCTCCAACTGCACCGACTACCAGTCTCGTGCTCTTGAAATTCGCTGTGGCACAAAGACGCAGACAGATATCAAGAAGAAGTATGTCCACTGCCTCAATTCCACATTGTGCGCAACGACGCGAACTCTGTGCTGCATTCTTGAAAACTACCAAACAGAAGATGTAAGTCTTTGATGACATGACCGTTTGCCAGTCGATAGCAATCCTAACCTGCTATAGGGTTTACGTGTGCCGGAGGTCCTCCGAAAGTATCTGCCTGGAGCTCCAGAGTTCATCCCCTTCTCAAAAGAGCTGCCGAAAGAGACCTCGTCACAGAAGGCACTTCCTCAGCGAAAAAAATAGGCAAAGTAATATTACGGGTGCGAGTTTAGATATAAAGGGTGGGAGCTACACAAAAGAATCAAGATATCACATCAGCTAGCCACATAGAGCCCCAAACTGCATCTCACTAAACATGGAATCTCTTTTTGTTTGTGTCCTCCAAAACGGACTGATTTTTATAAAAGCACAAATCATTCCGCATTAAACTATTAGCAAAAATACATATTGCCCCTAGTACCTGGTTACTATTATTGAGATAAAATCTCTGAGTACGTGAAAGACAAGAAAAAAAAAACATTCTTTTGGGGACGATCACCAATGAAACAAAACATATAGCGATGTCATTAATTCAGATACGCCATTCCTCTCATCCTTATCCACTTTGCATCCTCCATCCCGCGAGTTTCCTCTAATGTGTAGAAAGCTTCCAACTTCTAAATTTGGGCAGATTCTGCTACTTAGCTCTGCTTGCACTCGGCTGCCTCTTGCTTGGGCTTTCCAGACTCGTCCTTTATCATTATTCGTTAGTCTCGCCACAGACGCTCAATGGAATAACTGAACTTACATCCTCATCAGACTCCTCGTCATCATCGTGATCCTCGCTCATGTCGTCCTCATCATCATCTTCGTCGTCGTAGTCACCGGCTTCCAAATCATCCTCATCATATTCTTCGTATGCAAGTGCCTCACCAGTGAACCAATCAACCGCACGTGGGATCAATTTTTCTTTGATATCCTCACCAAGCTGGTAGTCTAGCTCCAGACGCTCCTCGATGTCTGATGTAACATCGTCTTCTGGATCAGCATCGTCGGTAGGAGGCTTGGGAGGGGAGAAGAAGTTGAAGAAGGACTCCGTCGGCACCGACTTCTTAACGATACGGGTCTGCTTGGTGTCTATATCAGGTTAGTTTGCATTCAGGAAAAAAAGCTCAAAAAAGGCAACTCACTCTTATTCCTCTGCTTCTTGGCCTCGACACGGACCGTGAGGTCCTTACCGGGGTACCAATCGATCTTGTGGCCTTCAGCATGGTCATAAATGAAGTCGCCGCCGTAGCCACTCTCGTTCTGGTAAAAGTACGTCTTGGTGAGAGTCTTGTCTGAGAAGAACTCATTCTCGGCGAACTCGAAAATGAGGCGGAAGCCCGGCTTGTCAAGGTACTCCATGCGGATATCGGTAAGATGCTTCAAAGCAGCTTCGTCCCGGTCGGTAATCATCTCCGCAAGGGTAACTTGGTTCTTCATGGCAGACAGCCAGAACTCAGGAATTCCCTTCACGGCCTCAGCCAAGTCATCGGGCTGTGCGGCCTCCTCAGCGGGCTCCGCTGCATCTGCTTCATCCTCGTTGTCCTCATCTCCCCTCTTGACTTCCTCCTCCGTGGGCTCCACATTGCCGTTGATGATGGCAGATCGCTTCTCGTACAGAGGAGTAAACTTGGCAAAGTATTTCTTCTCAAGCTGAAGAACTTCCTCTTGGAATTCAGACTCCAATTTGGCATGATCTTTCTGAATGGCTCGCAGCCCTGAAACCCGACGACGGACAGGGGCGGGAAGGGATTCTATGTAACCAGAAGACTGTCCAATGAGAGAGCCAAGTCGCCCTTGAATCATCTGCACGAGTTTGGGGTTTTGCGCCAGGAGAGAGGCGGCAGCTGCTCGTTCCATATCATCTATATGATAGTGACAAGGTTAGATACGCTGTATTTGATTCCGGCATCTGGATTGGACTTGCCTTCTTTGATGCTGGCCACTCCGGGCTGCTGGGCGCGGGAGGTTATGGGCGCGGTAGCAGCTGGCGTATTCTGCGGTGTACTGAAGGCGGGGTAGTTAGTATCGCTGAAATGCAAAAGAGAATGTGAAGACATCTCATCACTCACGGCGCAGTATACTCAGAGCGCTTGTTTCGAATAGGCTCGGCCATGATGCTTGTCGGGCGAGCAAAAAAACATGCAAATAGAAACTGAGGCCGTTGGGGATTGGGAGAATGTGAAAACGGAAAGTTTTGGAGAGGAGGCGTTGGCGGTGGCTAAGAGCGGTGGTGGGGCCTCAGGTTCGAGAAAATTTGGCTAGCGGAGCAGGCCTGAGGCGCGTCAACGGGCGCGAAACCCTCAACAATTTAGTACTGAGTACAGGTACCTTTAGGCAGTAGACAGTGCTGTAGGGAGCGCTCACATTAATTGATAATAGATAAGATAAGAAGAAAAAGTTGCTAATGGTACCGCCACTACTCTGTGCAAGTGCACTATCGTTCCGAAGCAGCTCAAGTAGGAAAATATTGAAATACTTTTAAAAAGAAAACAAGAATTTTCTCATGCAGGCTATACAAATGTTAAAAAAAAAAAATGATTTATTGAGCATTTGAATTAGTACTTTTACCAGTTTTTCAAGCCATTTGGCATTTTCTTCATTACATTGCTTATTTTGCTCCCATTTAGTGCTAGGTACTTGTATTCATCTGTCACTAAGCCAGACGCAGTGCCGTCCAACGATTAGTAAACGCTATGCCTGTTTCTAGAAGGACGGTATCTAACCTCTAAAGTTTAGTCGCAACTGTTAAGCTATTTGGCTATCCACCAAAGCAGCACTGACGCTCTACACTCTCAAGTTCTTATCGCGGCTCGCATTTTTCCGTCACCTCGCGATGCTTCGAGTGAACTCGGAACATCCTCCCTCTTCGTATTAGCATAAATCCCACTCCATACACCCGGCGCGAAAGAGCGCTACCTTCTATAGGTGATACTCGACCTTTTTGCCGCCGATAATTCGCCAAATTGGGTATTCTGTACGCCTCTGCAGCATGACTGCTAGATAAAGTCACCTAGCCCGCCATCATACTCAATTCCCCAGAGGATTCGCTTAAATCTTCGTCATGAACCGTAGCTTCGGATAACCAACCGCTATGGATCACCGTGATGTTGCGTCGGCAGCGTCGGCCGACTATTCGGCAGCTGTTCCTGCTCGTCCTCGTCCTCCGTATTTGCGCCCTAATGGCAGTCAAAGTAGCTCCGGCATTTTCGACGATGTCGAGATGGCCCACGATGAGGCGAGTAGAAGGCCGAAAGTATCTGTGCAGCATTTAAAAATAACTAACGGTTGATCTATAGCCTTACTCTGGCCCTATGGCGGAAAGTCTTCCGAGCAGCGTTTCAGCGTTTTCCCATCGACGATCTCGAGCCGATTCTACAACTAGCTTTATTTATTACGAAGGTGATGAGGCCAACAATGAAGCAGGTACGAGCTCGTGGCTTCAATTATAGCATACACTCCGCTAAGTCTAGTTTGAAGATATCACTGAGTTCGCTGTATCGGCATTAGACGACGAAGACGACGATCACTCGGCAGATGATGATTTCCTAGCTTATAATCACGATTACATGCTTCATCGATGCTCGTCGAGCCAATCGCGTACTTCCGTCCATGCCCATCTTCTTCGCAGGGATAGCAACGTCACGACTACCAGCTCACACCCATTTAACCGTACAAGCCAGAAGGTTTACGTCGAGAATGAAGATTTGACGATTGCAATCGCCGGTTTCCGCACGAGAACTACTGGCTATATAGCCTATATCGTCTTGTGTATCTTAACCGGAGGGCTTGTCTATCTCCTGCTCAGGTGGCTTCCCAGACTGTACATCTCTCTTCTTGGGCAGGCCTGCCCTTTGAGAGACTGTAGCTGGGTTGTTATAGAGAATCAATGGGGAGAGATGGAAATCTCCCAAGTGCAAGTCCAGGCCTACGGTCAGCCGCTTTCTTCGGTCTTTGGGCTTCCAGAAAAGTCGCCATCTTATGGTCTGGACGATGAGAATGACCCTGTCATCGATAGTCTCCGATCTCTCAACTACCGTTATGTCCGATTTTGCTACCATTCTCTCAAAGATAAATTCGTTTTGCTGAGTGGCTGGAAAGATCCTAGCTGGACTGACATGCAAGTTGTACGAACTGGCCTGGATAGCGACGAGAAATCGACTCGCGAAATCATATTTGGAAGTAATCTGATTGATATACAACAAAAATCCGTGGGCCAACTGCTCGTTGATGAGGTAATTGCCAAATTCTTTTCTATCACATTCCACTCGCAAATTTAAGACTACATTAAGCTTCTTTGCCTTGTTTTATGATTATCATCAACTTCATTGACTCACAATCTGCTTAGGTGCTGCATCCGTTTTATATATTTCAAATTGCCAGTATTATTCTGTGGTCTCTTGATTCTTATTATTATTATGCCATCTGCATTTTTCTCATGTCATTTGGGAGCATAACGACGACCCTCGTTGAAACTCGAGCAGTACGTTTTACTTCTTTGATTCGCCGATGTTTAAATTCGCATCTAACCTTTTGAAGACGATGAAACGGCTACGCGAAATCTCCCGCTTCGAATGTGACGTTCGAGTATTGCGGAATGGATTCTGTAAGTATTATGGGTATCATCAAGAGACGATCCAGTACTGACACTTGTAAGGGACCTATATGTCATCCGGGGACCTTATTCCTGGCGACGTTTATGAGCTAAGCGATCCTAACCTGACCCAGCTTCCTAGTGACAGTTTATTACTTACAGGAGATTGCATTGTAAACGAGAGTATGCTTACAGGTATGTTTATAATAACGATTTCTTCTCCTTGTACCCTCATTAATGTACGGCACAGGGGAATCTGTCCCGGTTTCTAAAATTCCAGCAACCGATACAACGCTGGCAAAATTGGACCTTACTGCATCTACAGTTTCTCCTGAAATCGCTCGCCATTTTCTGTTCTGTGGAACTAAGATAATTCGGGCGAGACGCCCCCAAGAAGATTTAGGTGGCGATGCCGTCGCCCTGGCACTCGTTGTTCGAATCGGATTTAATACTACCAAAGGTTCTCTTGTGCGGTCCATGCTCTTTCCCAAACCATCGGGGTTCAAGTTTTACCGCGACTCATTCAGGTATATCAGTGTCATGGCTGTTGTTGCTCTGCTTGGATTTGTTGCCTCGTTTATCAATTTCATTCGACTGCAGTTGGAGTGGCACCTGATCATTGTTCGTGCTCTCGATCTCATAACTATTGTCGTACCACCGGCTCTCCCTGCAACTCTGACAATCGGCACAAATTTTGCACTCGCTCGCTTGAAAAAAGCCAAGATATTCTGCATTAGCCCGCAAAGAGTAAATGTCGGCGGAAAACTTGATATCATGTGCTTTGACAAAACGGGTACACTCACAGAAGATGGCCTGGATGTCCTTGGAGTTCGTGTTGTTTCAACCGACAATCATAAATTTAGCGATGTAATTTCGGAGCCCCGATTATTTGAGCAAAGGGAGACAAGCGCTTCTTTTCAGAGCATCTTACAAGCTGCTCTCTACACTATGGCAACTTGTCATTCACTTCGCTCGGTTGATGGCGAGCTTGTCGGCGATCCCCTAGATCTCAAAATGTTCGAATTTACGGAGTGGTCCTTTGAGGAGGGAAAGCACAATGTTGTGGAGGGTGAAGAAGAAGAATACGGCAGTCTTTCACCTTCGATTGCCTCCCCCCCTGATGTAAGTCTTTGAGAGCGGCTTTTCACACTGCTAGCTGACAAGACGTATAGAGATCAATTCAACTTGGCGTTCTCAAGTCATTCGAATTTGTCTCGCAACTTCGAAGATCCAGTGTTATTGTGAGACACTTTGGGAGGAAGGATGGCGATATATTTGTCAAAGGTGCACCAGAAGCAATGCGTGATATATGTCGCCCAAGCAGCAGTGAGTAGCTGTTTCTATTGTTCGCATCAAAAGCAACGACTAAAGACTTTTGCCAGTTCCCAAGGACTATGATGAGCTTCTTTCATATTACACCCATAAAGGCTACCGTGTTATCGGCTGTGCTACGCGACATCTCAACCGACTGAGCTGGGTTAGGGCGCAAAAAATGACTCGCACTGAAGTTGAGCGGGATTTGGATTTCATCGGCTTCATTATCTTTGAGAACAAGCTGAAGCCCAGCACTGCGGGTGTTTTGAAAGAGCTCAAAGGCTCTAATATTGCCACTGTAATGGTAACAGGCGACAATATCCTGACGGCTATCAGTGTTGCTAGAGAATGCGGTCTTCTCGACCGTCATGCGCATTGTTTTGTACCTCGATTCCTTCATGGTGAGCGCTTTTAAGTTTTTGGCTCCCCTTTTCATTATTTTTTTTTTACTTACTTCAATCAGGTGACTCTCAGGATCCTACAGCAGAGCTGCAATGGGAGAGCATTGACAATATTATTTACTGTCTTGACAAGACAACTCTAGTGGTAAGCCAAGGCACACTTTGATTGGATCATATGTTTGTCTGTGTGCTTGATCTAATTCATCAACAGCCGCTCCCAGCGCCACCAGAAGGTGACATTTCCCTTCCTTACGACATCTCCAACATGCAGAACTATTCTCTCGCTGTAAGCGGCGAGGTATTCCGATGGATAGTTGATTATGCCCCAGCCGACATTTTGTCTAAAGTAAGTTCGCTCACACCGGCTGAAGGACGAGTCTAACAATCCTCAAGGTGCTCGTGAAAGGCAAAGTTTTCGCGAGAATGTCGCCAGATGAAAAACATGAGTTAGTAGAGAAACTGCAGAGCATAGACTACTCTTGTGGCTTTTGTGGCGATGGTGCAAATGACTGCGGCGCCTTGAAAGCTGCAGATGTGGGCATCTCACTGTCGCAGGCCGAGGCTTCGGTAGCCGCGCCATTTACATCGCAGGTTTTCGACATTCGCTGTGTCCTAGAGGTTATCAGGTTTGTACAAAATATGGCTTATTTTCTCCTCTTTTTGTTAATGTCTTGACAGGGAGGGCCGTGCAGCTCTGGTAACAAGCTTCAGCTGCTTCAAATACATGAGTCTATACTCAGCAATACAGTTTACCTCGGTCAGCTTCCTCTACTCCAAGGGTTCGAATTTAGGAGATTTTCAATTCCTATTTATTGATCTTCTCCTCATCCTCCCAATCGCAGTCTTTATGGGCTGGGCTGGACCTGCGGAGAAGCTTTGCAGGAAGCGGCCAACAGCGGATCTCGTTTCGCGCAAAGTCCTTGTTCCTCTACTTGGATTGATGGGCGTTAGCATAGTTATTCAAGCTATAGCATACGTCACTGTCAGGGAGCAACCTTGGTACCAACCGCCGGAATTGAGCCATGACGAATCTAGCATAAAAAGCTCCGAGAATACAGCACTGTTCTTGGTTTCATGCTTCGAATATATACTCTCAGGGGTTATACTGAACGCAGGGGCTCCTTTTAGACATCCTCTCTGGGAAAACTGTGAGTTACTTTGTTTTTCGTTTTCTTCCCCCCGAGTTGTTATGCAGCAAGTCTAACTTTCCCAGGGCCATTCATCGCAACCATCATCTTGAGTTTAGCAGTGACTGGATATATGCTTGCGAGTCCCCCATTCTGGCTGTATGATTTAATGCAATTGAGCCAAATGAGCTGGGACTACAAGTCGTTCCTAGTCCTATTAGGGCTTGGATATTTTGCTCTGGCTTGGATATACGAAAAGTTTATGTCTCTACGACTTGCGAGATTCTTAGGCGCGGCTAATGAATGGTGTACGGGACGAGCAAAGACAAGGAAGCGGTACAAGCTGATACAAGAAGCCATGAAAGTTGACACGCTTTAGCTGTTATACTGCGAATTACCCGCGCCTTGATGTATTTTAATGGAAAAAGGCTATACATAGACTAGATAAGCTGCTTCCCAGCCGGCGAAGCTTCGCCTCTGAGGATGATGGCCATTCCATCTCTTCGACGGGGTAGAGGATGCTGTCAAGATGTCATCTTGAAGACCGACATTGCCAAAATGGACATGGACATGAGTGCAGAAGCGAGTCCTTCAAGGCCAGCTTCTGTCTGGTTATATCATTCCCATGGAGCAGCAGCCTTGGAGTAAGATAGGACATAAAAAAAGACTAGGAATAATACTTCGTTGATTCGTAGAGAAAACTGATCCAGCTCAATCAGCGTGGTCTGCCTTCCACTGCTTAATCCAAGCTTCAATGCGGTCTATGTTGGACTCCATTTCTTCGGAACTGTTGCTGGTAAGCTCAACAACGATTTCCTCGTCAAAGGCCTCACGCGCTTCTTGTAGTAGCACCTCCATAATCTCGGAATCTAGGTTTTCTTGAAGCTTGACCTCTGGGTAGTTTCTTTTATGAGTTTTTGTCAGTTGATTCGGATTTCTTTTTAACATATACCATATTTGTTAAGCAGCTGATGAGCTTAGGGAGGGAGGGGTGTAAAAAAAAAAAAAAAAGTGAGCTGAAAAATGAAAATTTTTACCTGGCCTCAAGACGATCATATAATGTCGTGGAATCAACTCGCAGCACCACCACAAGATCAACCCAGCTACGAGGAAACAGATCACAGGCGTGCCAGTCAATAATACAGCCCCCTTCCTTCACGTCATCCTCAATGACATCTAGCAGCTACATTTCCACGAGGTTAGCGGCGAAAGAGAAGAAGAAGCTTTTCAAGTGGCTCCCTGTCTTACCTTGTCTTCGTCGACAATCCAGCTTTGATACTCGTCGTCCCAGCCTTCATGGCATTCTTTATCTTTGACAATTTGATTTACAGAAACGTGTCGCAGACCCGTCCTCTCGGCAAGGATCTCGCTGTGCGTGGTCTTGCCCACCCCGGGTGTACCGGTAATAATGATATTTGGTGCTGAGCGCATTTTCTTGAATGTATAAATTTTGATAGAGGACGGATGCGGCTGGAGAGGAAATTATTTCAAAAGCGCGAATGCTAAAGCACGGCCACTCCACCCTTTCCCGCGCACCTCAAAAAAGCCTTTTTTTTTTATGGTCGATTCACTGCGTTCGTAATTATTTTCATTTGATACTAGCGGACACCGCGTAATTGCCTAAACAGGGAGAACTAAATCCGCTCCGCTCTATACATAAAAAATGCCCAAATATAATTTGTTGTCACCACTTGACAGAAACCCTTTTTTTTTTTTCAACATTCGCTAGCCGCTCTCCCAATGCACAGATCAGATTCCCTAGCAGACACTCTTGTCGTATCAAGCCTTTTATCTAACATAGTGAATCACTTGTCGATATGCAATCTCTAGATTCCGCTCACTGTTCAGTCTCAGATTCTTCAACTTCGGCCAATTGCTGATGGCCGTCAAAGCCATCAACTTCGCCCGTCTCTAGTTTTTCTTGTTGTGCAATAGCCTGCGCCGAGACTATCTCTGCCAGTCGCTTCAGGCGAGGTGTTTGTAACCCTGGGCATGAGACAAGTCATTAGCTCACTTTTCGCTACATAGCAATAGCGCAGGACCACTTCTTGACTTACATGATGGTGTATATGTTTCGAGCGCCGTAATGACACGAGGCTCTGCAATCTCGTATGGGCCGCTATCTTCCATATCAACTGCCTGTAAAAGCAAGACGTCACTCTTCTCGGTAACTCGAGATGCCACAGCTTTCATAATTTCTCCGTTAATAGGTTGCTCGTAGTCGGCAACAAGATATTGATTCAAGAGTTTTTGGATTTGGTTTGGTGAAAGCCTATTTTCATGCTTGTTAGCGCCGAGATGGATGATGTAGATTGATTTGAAACTTACATCCAGCAAATATCTTGAATGATTTCAATATCGTTCAGCGTCGCTTTCTTCAGCTGAAGCAGTTTAGTTGCTTGCTAATAAGAGGTTCTCAGAGTTAGCATTCTGTTTTCATCGCTGTTATTCGCACTATCTTCCTTACCATCAAGTGCTCGAGTTGCAGCGTGCCTTCCGGCATGTCGTGACTCTTACACCATTCCTCGATACGAGTTATGTTATAGTTGATCTGGAGTCCGCGTTTCCATGAGAGGAAGTTGCGGCGCATGAGCAAATCATTAAAGGCGGTTACACCAACAAGGTGGAGCAGTTCTGTGATGGTTTGTGTGATGATGGAATCTTCCAAGTAGTAGGCCTTCATAGCCCGGAAAACGCTATTCAGGAGACTGAGAAGGTTATCCATACTATATGCGGGTGCAGAATTAGACTGTAGCAGTTTGCCAAGGAATCGGTTGCTCTCATTGGTAATGAATCCTGGCAAGGATTGGGATTCGATAATGGCTGGGATAATCATCTTTTGCAGCTTCTTTTTCAAAACTTTCATCCAGGTGTGGTAGATGTTGAACTCGAGACTTTCAAGGTCGTGCTTGACAATCTCCAGCAGGCGGTCGTACTCGTAGTTATCTGTCTTTTGTGTCTGATACCAGTCCTCTGCCAAAAAGACAAAGGAGAGCATCTCGTGGACGTTAGAAAGCCAAAACGCGCCAGGATTAATGGCCTCATCACCATCATGCTGCATCACTTCCTGCTGGATTGATTGCATCACATTGGCGAGGAAACGCTCCGATTCCTTGACGAATCCATTGTTCCACATTTCGGAAGTTACCAGGTTTATGAGATATGAAGGGAACAAAACCTCTTTATCAGAGGGAGGGGGGTTTGTGTTTGGTGACGGTATCTTCAAGTTGCGGATGAGACCCATAGTAACCTCTTCATTGAGGCCGTCCTCATCGGCAAGAAGACTTTCAAGTTCCATTTCAATATTATCGACACCAGGAAGGAGAGTGGATCCTGATAGATGATTTTGACGGCTGAGAGAGCTTGTAACAGCCATGGAGACTGGCCTAGGGTTGTAGGTTCCGCTCAAGCGATCCAGCTCGCGAGGCTCCGCGCCAGCGCTTCGGCGCTTCGGTTTCTTAGATGAGACGAGATTGATGAGTCCGCTAGTTGCGGCTGACGTAGTACTAACACCATTAGTGATATCACCATTGAGTGATCCGTTGCGCTTCGCCAACTCCAACGCATCCCGAAGCGCCTCTAGTTCCTGTCGAAGGCTCATATTATCTCTCTCTCGCTCCAAGTTGGTCTCTTTGGTTGTCTCTAGCTCAGAACTGGTTAGGCGAAGTGATTCCCTGAGCTCGCGTTCTTCTTCCTGCATACGCTTGATGTTCATAGTCGACTCGTCGAATGCTTGCTGAAGCTTCTTCATTTCGTCCTCCATAGCTTGAAGGCGTGCAACCGCAATACCGGCTTGGTTGGCCTCCGTTTGTAACTCCTTGGTTCGCGCCTCGAGCGCATTGTGGCGATTCTTCCATGATTTGAGCTGGCCCTCGTAGCTTTCCACCTGCGAAACTAAATTCTTGTTCTTCTCCTTCATCGATCCTAGGTTCTGGGTCAATTCGACAACCTTGTTTTCCAGCTTATACGAAATTTGCTTCAAGTCGCGAGCTTCTTCTCGCATGTGCTTGTATTCTTTGCGAGCACTCCTGCCGCGCCAGAGGCTTTGAATCAAAACCACCTTCTTGCGATACTGTCTCCAGGTGCGAAGCTGTCTACGAGATCTCCATACCCTCTGAATAATGAGAGCAGCATTTCCTACCCTTGTCTCCATGATATTCTTCCTGCGAAGGTAACCTTTAGCGACTGATTCAAATAGAATGACATCATTCCTAATCCGAAGGAATTCCTTGCGCTGTTTGTATCCACGCCAAACACGCTGGATAGTTGTTGCCGCGCGAATAGTTCTTAATTCTTGAACCTGTTTTCTCGCAATATACGCCCGAATAGCCGACTGGGTCTGTATGATGGACTCTCGAGCCTCCAGATAACGACGACGGTAATACTTTGCCCGCAGATTCTTCTGAATGAGAATGGCGCATTCATTGAGACGGCTAGTACGTAGATTTTCCAGGAAAGCAAGCATACCGGCGCGGAAGAAGATTTTGGTTAGGCCAAGCTGATACTTGTCCATTCCCTTCTCGGTGCTGGTGCCCAGCGCTTTTGACAAAATAGCATCAGCCATTTGCCGAATTTCAGAGGTCAATTGGCTCGAATGAACAAGCATGTAATATCGCAGAGCAAACTCCTCATAAGTCCAACGGGTCGGATATCCAGCACAGCTAATACGAACAGTCTCGAGAACACCACAAGCACGAAGCTGGCTGAGAACCATGGGTCCTTCAAACTGCCAAGCTTCTTTGGCTTCATTAGGCTTGATGCATCTGATGTAGTGCACGTCCGTGTTGTTGATGGTGTTCATCAGCTCTATCAAGGAGGATCGGAAGATTCCTCCCAGAGTTGGTTTTCGGTTTACGGCTACGCCAATTTTCCTACCAGCAGCAGGTTTGACGGCATTCGATGACGCCGATGCCAAGTCTTTTTCTCGAACGGCTGATGCCGCATCCAAAACTTGTTTCAAGAATGCGTTGCTTGTAGCGCGCAAGACTGCCATGTGCTCATCAGGTACCGTATCTCGGTTCTTCTCAATGAATCCCTCAGACTCGTATGTTACATCAACAGCATAGTGGCACACGGTAAATGCTGACTTGCCAAATCTTGGCTTCTTGAAGAAGGGCTGCTTTTTCTCAGTTGCAAAATTGTGGTGAAGCTTGGTGACAAATTGGTCATCTGATCCCATTGGAAGACGCGATTCTTCATCCAGAAGAGAGAGAATGCCCATCTTGCCTTCAATCAGGTCAATACAAGGCTGGTTGTCTGAAAAGTCGATGAAAGTCCAATCAATCTGCTCTCGTAGATACTCCTCTTGCTCGAGCTTGAACACGTGCTGGTTAAACTCTTGTTGAAGCTTTTCATTGGCGTAGTTGATACAAAACTGCTCAAAGGAATTCTTTGCAAAATGCTCAAAGCCGTAAATATCTAAGACGCCAATAAACGAAACGACGCGGCTCAGGATCTCTTCTGTAGCAAGACTGAGATTGATGACTTCAACGAGCCAATCGAACAAGCTCGAGTAAATAAACTTGGCAACTGAGTCACGCACAACGATAGCCTGTGCCTGACTAAGGTTGGATGTAATCTTTTCGCCTCGAGTTACGAGCTGCTTCTTCACAATCCACTTGGAAAACTCAGTGGCATCAACTCCCAGTATGCCACAGGCCAACTCCAGGGATGGCTCATTTGGAGCAAGGACACTGTCATTCCGTGAAGCAGTGATCTTGACGTTGCCCAGGTGAAGCAAACCAGCCAGCAGCTTGAAAATATCGGACTGCTGTGCTTCGGACACGCCAATGGTGCTTAGAGACTTCTTAGTAGCGTCAAACTCAGCTTTGTCGTCCACGCCATCAATGGTTGGGCAGTTGCCCTGGTTCAAATACTCAAACTGCTCAATGGGGAGGATATGCAGCGCCTCCCGTTCTTCATCTGAGGCGCCTGCAACCAACTGGTAGAATATGTGGTAGTTTCGCTCTTTGAGGGGTTGAAATACGAGACGTGATCGCTCCAGCAGATATGTACGAATTTTGGCGCCAATGATATTTGTCTTGTCATCAAACATGATCTCAAGGTATTTGCCGAATCGCGATGAGTTATCATTACGGGTAGTCTTGGCGTTGCCGAATGCCTCCATGATGGGATTGGTCGCCAGAATCTGTTCCTCCGTCTCACTCATAGTCTCGGCTCCTCGCTTGGTGCGGGCACCAGGGTTATCTGGAGCCTCTCTCGTGGCGAAGTAACGCATAATGTACTTGGCGCTCACTGTCTTTCCAGCACCGGATTCGCCAGAGACGACAATGGTTTGGTTTTTGCCATCACGGATCATGTCCCTAAAATAAAGCCGGTCAGCATCGAGCGCAACTTGCAAGTTGTGGCGGCACCGTACATGAAAGCCTCTTCAGCAATCGCAAACAAATGAGGGGCCTGCGTTGCGCGCTGCTTTCCAGCGTAGACTTGCACCATGCCAGGGACATAGAGAGAGTCAACCCGAGCAAACGGGTTGGTTGCTATCAAGACGATACCACTGTAGGTATAGATCTCCTTTTGTAGGTAGCGCAATCGAATGGCCTGCAACACTGCTCGCCCAGTCCTGTAAGTAAAGTTCGGTAGCAAGATTTCAAGATGCGGGGAGCAACATACCGGCCGGCTCGTTAAGATGCGACAAGTTAGTAAGGTCATCACTCGCTTCGAGGATGGTCGGATTCATCAGCGGCGGTAGTGAGGGATCGGAACCGCCACTCTCCAAAGCCTCCGTTGAAACGTCAATGGTCCGAGTCTGCAATATCGGCATTCAGTCAGTTAGGGCCATCTAAGCGGGGAACTTGGTTTGTATGGCTCTATCGCCGTGTAGACTGCGTGTATACCTCGCCATTGTCGAGCTGGAAGACTAGTTTTGTTTTGGGGCCTTCTGCGGTCTTGCTGATGAGCTCGGAGGCCACCCAGCCCTCGGCGGCGTCAGGCTGCCACGCTCTCGTGCCGACATCGTAGGTCGCTGCCATGGAGGAGCTGGTCAGGCGGGAAGCTAGAGCTGGAAAGAGTAAGACAGAAAGAAGCTGATAAAAACTAGACGGCCTGACGATGAACGAGAGACATTCATGGGCAAGTCGGTGCCAGGTCTGATGTAACGATGAAGAGGTGTAGATGGTAAAAATGAGTGCCTTCGCAGAAGTTGCGGCGGTGAGAGTGTTGTCCACTTCTCTTGAAGATTAGGGGATAACACCAGACTGGAGAGGCTGGACTTTTCGACAGGATGCTAGTAAGGGACAAGTGCCAGGCCAGCACGCGCATCCCGCCTCAGCACAGTGCCGCCACATGAGGGTCAGGGGTTGATTGGTGCCTCTTCCCATATGGGCAATGCCACCAACGGTTGGCTGCTAGAAGCTCAAGCGGCGGCTGGCATGGGCTAGAGCGCAGGCTAAAAGCTCATCATATGCCAGAGCATTAGGTAGTGAAATCTACTGGTGAGGAGCTACCCATCTGACCTAGTGTCGGCCACTTTATGCCTCTCATAAGGTAGACCAAGTTCTATATGTTTGCTTGCTGCTGGGCTATAGATATTCTTTCTCCTTTGCTGATACAAAGATTGCCTGGCGTTTACTGCTGGGTATCTTATTGAGAAGGGTGCACTGCAATTTGCAAGGGGGAAGTTCAGGCTTTTGATTAAGGTACTTCCAGACTCCATATATCCGCCAGGCACACCTGGGTATCTGCTTCCCCCTCACTGCCAGGACCTACTAAAATACCATCCATGGATCCCATTGTTAAAAAGGGGATACTATTTCTACAGTAGTGGGCTAGGTCACACCCCCACCCGCCACCAACTTAGCTTGGGGCCATTTTCCCTCACTGTACGGAGTATTTTCAGATCTGATTGCAACAGCGCCTTTGCTTACCCACGCGATTGCACCGCCTGATCCCTGGGCGGGCAGCCCCTATGGACTCCTGTGTAAATTCACTCAGATTTCCCAACGCTGCGCTAGAGGGATCGCCCTCCGAGTCTCAGGCCTCAGTTCATCCTCGCAATGGAGAGCCGTCTAATCCTAATCCGATCCCAGGCATCAAACCCGACTTTATGAGAGCGTCTGCCGACAAGGAACCGACCCCCAGAGATGAGGCAGAGGCGTCGGCCACCCATGTGCGTGCCTTGGCAGCCGTCGCACAGCAGCAGAAGACCCGGCGACGCAGGGGATCTCTCAGAAAGGTGGCCCTTCTGGGAAGAGGTGCACAGCGCGACAGGAGAGACAACCGACCGCTAGCTATTGAAACAGATTCAATACCTGACGCATCTATATCTAAGTCTGCCCGCTTCGAACCTGGCTCTGACATCACTGTACATAATGCTCTTGGCCTCAACATCCCCATGTCATCACCGACAAACGAGTGCGCCTCGACACGTTTTAATTCCGGTTTGGGCCGGAGCGAAAGACCGGCGGACGTGTACAGCTTGACAACAGATGAGGAGGACATAATCCAGCTAAGACCTCACGCCTCTCCGTCGCTGCGATCCAGACTTCCTCTATCATCAGGATCTGAGTCCTACTACGCCGGACGGGACACAGCTGAACGCCAGAGGTCGCTGCAAAAGGCGAAATCTCCACTCTCCTATTCCGCCTCGTCGCTACCCCAGCCAGGTGCAGGCTGGGACTACGCCGAGACTGAATGGTGGGGCTGGGTTGTTCTTACAGTAACTTGGTTCGTTTTTGTCATGGGAATGGGCTCTTGCTTCGATGTTTGGAGCTGGGCATGGGACGTAGGCAAGACGCCATATGCGCCTCCCGAGCTTGAAGACGACCCTACTCTGCCCATTGTGGGATACTACCCTGCGCTTATTATCTTGACGTGCGTTATGGCTTGGGTGTGGGTTGTAGTCGCTTGGGTAGGCATGAAATACTTTCGACATGCAAAAATTAGTGGTGACTGACCCCATTGAGCGTGTTCATTGGCACACGTCTTCTTATTTTTTTTTTTTTTTNTTTTTTTTTTTTTTTTCAGAACGCCCGTGATGTGTTTAATAAACACAATATAACAACAATATACATTTTCCCCAGTCATATAGCATAAGTTGGATTATTGAGTATTCAATATTTAGTAGGATAAGTCTGATGATTTGATACTAGCTCCAAGTGAGTAAGCCTTGGAGAGAAGGCGGGGTGTTATGTGATTCAAAAGAGAAAATTGCTATATTCTTTCATCTAAATTCATTCGGTTGTGTGTTTTCATATACCGACAAAGCGGATATCAGAAGAACAGGGACTGAGGAGGTTTTGAACACACAAAGTCGTAACTATGCACTCACAAAGATTAGAATATTCATTTTGCGGTCCCTGTTTTTTTGATACCCGCTTGCCTACCCTACTAGGTAGGTACTTGGTGAAGTATGTAGTACTACTTTCCGGCAGTATTCTGCAGACCCGCTTATTTGTCTACCGCTTTCCAGGATAGCCCGCTTGATACGCTTGCTTTCTCACCGCCCTACAGGCGGTGGGGACAAAAAATTACTTGGGACGGCAGAATATTGAGATTTTCCCAGGCTCGTCTGCGGCAGAGCAGCACTTTCAAGAGCTAAGCCCAAAAACAAAAAAAAACTTGCTGCACCATATAACCCAAGAAGAAGAGGCCAAAATGGTGACAAAAAGCAAACTGAAGATGGCCTTGGCCGCCGAAAAGGGAATTGACTTTTCAAAGTTGAAGCAGCAGAAAAAGAGCAAGGAAGCAGCCAAACGAAAGGCTAGCAAAGAGCAAAACGGCGAGGATGAGAGTGATCTGGATCAACCAGGCGAAACCGCCGAAGACAATGAGGTAGACGACGACGAAGAGAAGGTTGGTATTAGAATTTGCCCAAAATTTCATTCGTCTTCATGCTGACAGAGTCTCGCAGATGAACCTTGACGCCATTTACGAGAGCGATACTTCGGAATCCTCAATTGAACTTGAAAAGAAACTCCCCAGAAAACCAAAGACCACTACTCAAACGCTTGCATCAGATGTTGCAGATGAAGTGGAGGAGGAGGAGGAGGATGATGATGATGAGGAAATCCCTGTTTCCGACCTTGAAGATCTCGAGGAAGAGGAAAAAGAGGACATTGTCCCCCATACCCGACTGACCATCAATAACACATCTGCTCTTCTGGCAGCGCTCGAGAGAATATCAATTCCAACAGACAAGAGTGCTCCATTTGCATCCCACCAGTCTATCGTCTCCGCTACAGAAACTTCTGAATCCATACCCGACGTATCAGATGATCTGCAGCGTGAACTTGCCTTTTATTCTCAATGCCTGGAAGCCGTGCGACTGGGCCGATCTCGACTAATTAGTGAAGGAGTGCCATTTTCTCGTCCGAAAGACTACTTCGCTGAAATGGTCAAAGAAGATGCCCATATGGAAAAGATCAAGGCAAAGCTGGTAGAGGAGGCGTCTGCTAAGAAAGCAGCGGCTGAAGCACGCAAACTTCGAGACTTGAAAAAGTTTGGCAAACAGGTGCAAGTCTCCAAGCTCCAAGAACGACAGAAGGCCAAGCGTGAGGTCTTGGACAAGATTAAGACGCTGAAGCGAAGTAAGTTACGGCCTAGTATTTCCTTTGTGTATATATATATATATATATATATGGTGGTGTTTGTTATGATTATTATCGTCAATTGGCTAACCAGTATTGTCTCGCAGAACGCCAAGAGCATAGCTCTGATGTGGGTACAAAAGAGGCCGACATCTTTGATGTTAGCGTCGACAATGAAATCGCCAAGCATTCGCAGCGCTCTGGATCTACTCGACAACAGTCAGGAGCTCGTGCTCCGAACGCAAAGCGTCAGAAGAAGAACGAGAAATATGGGTTTGGAGGGAAAAAGCGACATGCAAAGTCAGGAGATGCCGTCAGCTCTGGTGATCTCTCTAGGTTTAATGTGAAGAGAATGAAATCCAAGGCCGCAAGGCCCGGTAAGAGTAGGAGAAAGGCCGCCGCTCTCAAATAATTGGCCCGGGGCTGATAGTTGTATTGTCTTCGTCTTACTTACCTGGGGCTCGATTCCCCGAGTGGCGATTGGCCGCAGCCACAGCTCCTTTGATTTTGCGATTCTTATTGGGTACGATACTGGAGTTGATTGGTCCCAAGTTGTGTCTTCATCAATTGAGAAGCGAATTATTCTCAGCTTCATAAAATCTCTGGGGCCACACAGGTACATTTATTACTTTTCATCGGTGTTCTGTATAAACTAGAGTCTCACAATTAACTTGCTTAATATCATCTCGTGCCACTTTTCGCTGTAAGCTCGCAAGAGAATAGACTAAGCCCCGTAGCCAGTCTTGTAGATGTGATTTCAACCTCCCCCTCCACCTCTCCCCGTTTCGTGAGCATTATTCTGTATGAAATACTATCTGTGTTGTAATCAGATGTGCAATAAGGGGGGTACTCACGGGAAATGTACCATTCGTGCAGGACCAATGGTAACTTAGTTCATTCGGATACACGCGAACGAAGGGCTGGGTTATACAGGAGCCAGGGCAAAGACGCCTCTTACTATTGCGACACGAGGAGATGCAAATAAATGATTTTCGTTTATAACTGTACTCTAAAATGATGCAAGATAAAACTGATAATGTATTGACAAATAACCCAATCATGACCCCCGCCCTCACTTCGCGATGCCTTGACATCAATAGATAGGTATGCAGGCATATATATCATATATTCCAGTTTGTCTGTCTGATGCATGAGTATAATGCCGGCGCGACAGAACATACTTGCTATGAGACGCCTAGACTTTGAAATAAGATAATCTCAGAAACAGCAAAATACCAAAACGAAACTAAAGGCAGTGCTAAGAGCACAACTTAGCACCCCATGATTTAAGAACCCAATACGCCAAGACAACCAATGGTATCGAGAAGAAATGCTATGCGATAACGAGACGCTTAATTATGTAATGAAGTCGCAATTTTCCAAAGAAGATTTCAAACCAAAGCCGTGTTTGAATGAACTGATTTTTTTTTGTTAAAAAAAAAAAAAAGGAGGAGGGGGAAAGTAGCAGTCCATCGTAGCGCGATAAGCCATCATTGCGCTGCAGCTACGCACCAATGGCGATGAAAAGCCCAAGCGCTTTTCTGACAGTCTTTACTGCAGTATTTTGTTCGACGACATCGACGACATTTGGCAAACTGCCGAGTGAATTCCTCCCATTTGCCACATTGATAGTATGCGCATTGCCGAATTCCTCCACGTGTGTCATCTTTTCGACACAGATTCCTCATCACGACTCCAGCCCAATATTGCATATCCGTGCTATGGTGCCTGACAGTAAACTTTTCGACTAACGGGAATAAATTAAAGTCATCTTCAAGCAAATATTCGTCGTCACTCTCGCTTTCGTCTTTAGTAGAAGGCGCTCCTTCTTCTCCTTCTTCTTCGGTATCTGGGTCAAAGAGATCGTCCCCAATTGCAAGAGTCGGCACAAGGTGGCTCTTCTGAAAGTATGTACGCAAGCAACAATACTTGGACACATACGCCAAGAGCTGCAGAGACATAAGCACGTCCTCTTCGCGGGGCATTGCAGATAACAGCTGAGGATTGGGTATAAGATGTCGGTCGAGTAGATAACGAGGGATCGTAGAGCTTGGTGTTGGAGGATGTGGCGTTACACCTAGAGCCGGGCGATTAGGAGAAAGGCCCACAGGCGCACCCGGGTTATGCGTCATATTGTCTCGGATGCTCCCATCAAGGTTTGTACGGTGAGCAATATTGAAGGTCTCAGCGTCTTGGTGGGCTTCAGATGCAGTAGGATTATTTAGATCCAGCGTGTCTCCTGTTAGGATGGCCTCGCTATCATCCATCGTGATGTCTTGAATCCCCACCGTAGATTGTATCTCTGCAGCTCCCGTCATTTCAGTATCTGGGGCTTCATCAGATGGCATGCTGTCCCCATTAAAGTCATCAGACTCAGCTGTTGAGTTTTGATGTCTGATTGATGGCCGTCTTCGAGACCTACTGACCGTAATGTCTAGATTCGTTGCAGATCGTACTGTCGGTGGCCGCAGTTGAAGCAAAGGAACTGGAGTGGTGGGAGATGTAGGCTGAGTTACCAAGTCAACAGCACCAAGAGCGCTAATGGAGGTCAGACGATCTACATCGCGCAAAGCTCGAGTGAAGCCGTCGTTAATATCCGCAATTGGAGCAGTGGTGAGAGTATGAGACTCCTGACGCGCTGTAGTGGCATATGACAAGTCGGTTGTTTGTGCATTAAGGACTTGGTGGTTTTGTGTCAAGGTTGGGCGATCTATATTGGCGTAGATGTGGGAATAAGTCGCCGAAGTCGTATCAAGGTTTTGTCCGCTTGAAATAATAGAGGGACCAGCGAGAGCCTCCGAAGCATCGGTGGACGACGATTCTTGTCGCATGGCATACCTCGGGTCTCCATCTCGAGATGATCGGGAAATGTTAGAGGATGGAGAAACTTTTGAATGCCGGTGGTCGTGGTTCTTGTGCCTGCGGTGATCATGTGCCTGCTTTTGTTTTAATTCATCAGATTTTTCGCGACAGCTGTCTATGACTTTGATATAGTTATCAAGGATCGTGGCTATGACAGGGACCATGTCTGCCTCCACTACCCTTGTCCGCACGTTCTCTGTCCCTCGGACGCCGATATTAACAACACACTGGAAGGCGAGGTTCCACTTCCATATGCTCATCATATCTCCATTTCGCCCTTCTTTGAGGATACAGACCAAACGCTCTATTCCTCCATCAACGGTCAGAATATCGCGAATACGTGCCGAAGATGTTGTGAGATATGCAAGATGATTAAGGGAATTGATAAGTGGTAATGTAGAGGTACAATCGAGTGCTCGACGATCGTATAAAGCTGTGGTTATTCCCACAGACGCCTTGTTGACGTTGGGGATGCTGAAATTGACCTCTCTCATAATGGATGAGCGAATTCAGTTAAAACTAGCCGAGGCCCGCCACAGCAACAATAATGCGACAGGTCACACCAAGGCTGATGGTTTCAAGAGGTAGCTATAAACCGGATCGGCGCGAAGAGATGAATTTTGTCAAGCAACCCGCGATTCTGAGAAATATAGGTGGTCGAAGGCAACAGTCAGGTTTGGCACGGGCCAGTTGACTGCGTAAGGCTAAGATCGCGTGATCGTTATTTGCGATAATACCGCTGCGAGCGCCGGATAAAACGAGGGCCAAATGCTGATGCTACCGCCTCGAAAACCGCTATATGACAATGATGGAATATTGGAAGAAAAGTTCGACAGAAAGTTATCGAAGAAGCGTGGCGTTGACCCTTAGCTTGGCGGCTGTTTCAGGCAGGGATTTGGGCGAGGGGGCGAGTTCCATAAGCGCTCTTTAGATGAGAGGAAATAAGGGAGGTAAAACAAGGGAGAGGAATGAGAATAGTCGAGGCAAGACTCGTGTTGTTCGCTCTACAGCACATGAGCGAAATCGAGATAGGTCTGGCCAGGAATGTACCGCCGTCGATGATGATGGAACGTCGAGCCAAGAAAAGAGGCGCGAGTAGCAATGGCCGTTAGCGCCGATGGGAAATAATCAAGGGCTGAAGATATTAGTGAGCATACCTGCGTTATAAGAGAAAAACATGCCCAGCATATGCTCTATAGTATGCATTCACTAAAGTAATTATATTAAATGTAAAAAAAAAAAAAAAGGTATTAATTATATATTAAAATTATATTATAAAATTATATATATTAAGAAATTATTTATGTAATTTAATACATATAATACAAATATAGTAGCTTAAAAACTAGTAGTGTTTTAGTATATATATTGTATAAGCCTAGTGTTAAAAATTTCAACAACCAACCTAAACTCATCATGCCTCACAAGCACAAGTTAAAAAAAGGCAAGGACGTCGAGGGGCAGTATGTTATTCAATGAGTACACGTGAATTAATGCAGTTATCTAATTTATGCCTAGATTCGATCTCCCACCAACGGAGAGCGCTCGGCCTCTCCCTGTAATCAAGCGAAATGGAAATGGAATAACGCCTGGAAAACAAATTGCGAAAAAGCGTCCGCGTAGCTCGACAAAAGCTAATGACACTCCGCGAGCATTCAGACGACTCATGGCTGTGGCCGGAGGCAAGAAAATCAGATCAGGCTTAGACGACGGCGACGCAGGGAAAACAACAATACAAGATGCTAATATATCAAACGAGAAGCTACAAATTCGTCCTGGCGAGAATTTAGGAGCCTTTGCCAGTCGAGTTGATGCAGCACTGCCCGTATCAGGACTGGCAAAAAAAACCACAACCAGAGACGGCAAAGATGAATTAGGCTTAAAGGTTTATCGGACTCGCAAGGAGCGCAAAATGCACAAGCTTTACGACCAATGGAGAGAAGAAGAACGGAAAATACAGCAAAAGAAAGAGGATGAGCTGGAGGAGATAGCCGAACGTGATTTAGAAGATGATGCCGCTGGTATTCTTACTTCTGCTGCATTTCAGGATGAAAATAGCCAGGGTGTAAAAAGAAAAGGGAAAAAGAGAAGAAAGCAAGTAGACGAAGATCCTTGGCTAGTATTAAAAAAACTAAGAGCTGAGAAAAAACCAAAGGTACATGAAGTTCCTTTAGCTCCTTTAAAAATTAATTAATATAATATAAAAGTTTATAGTAAACCTTGGTTATAATAATAATAGTTAATATATGTATTTTTATTATTATATTTAAAATATTATTATATAAAATATAATAATAAAAAAATAAATATAGTATTTTAAAATATATAATAAAATAAAATAATATATTAATATAATATAAATATTAGTATTCAAATAATATATTTTAATTTTAACTTTTATAATAATACTAATAAATTTATAAAATAAATTTTTTTTAAAACAAATTATAAATTAAAAAATCAATAAAAACTTATTTAATATATTTAATTTATAAATTATATAAATTTATAATATTAAATAATTTAACTAGTTTAATTTATAAATTAAATATTATATTTATATTTAAAATTTATTTATATATATATAAATAATATTAATAATATTAATAATTAATAAAACTTTAAATTTATTTTAATTATTTATTTATTTAAAATATTAAATAATTTATAAATATATTTAAAATAATTATATTTATTATAATTTTAAGTTATATTTAAATAAGCTTATAAAATAACCAAGGTTTTTTTAAAGTTTTTCTAAAACAAACTTAATCTAGGCTTAAAAAAAACCTTAATTAACTTATATATAATTATAAAAAGTTCTTTTTTTAATTATATTAATATTATAATAAATATTTATTTATAATAATTATAAAACTAGTTTTTTATAATTAATATAAATTTTATATAAATTTAAATTATATAAAAAAAAATAATTATAAATAATATAAAAAATAATATAATTATATATTTAAGTTATAATATAAAAATAATTAATTAATTAATAGTTAGTTAAAGTTTTATTTTTATTTTTAAAAAATTAAATATAAAATTAATAAATATTTTTTAAAAAATTAATAATAAAATAAAAATATTATTATAATATTTAATAATTATTTTATTAAAATTATTTAAATTTAAAATAAATATAAATTATTATTAATAAAAAACTTTTATTATAAAAATTAAAATATATTTATAATTTAAAAGTTAATAATAATATATAAATTTATTATAAGTTAAAAGTTTATTAAATTTATTAAAAATTACTTTATTTTAATTTAATAAAATTTAATAAATAAAATTAAAGTTTATTATTTTATTTATAATAAAAATAAACTTTTTAAAAATATATATAATATTAATAACTTTTTAAAATATTTTATTATTATATTTATAAACTTTTATAAATAAAATATTATTATAATAAAATTTAAATATTTTTAATAAAAAAAAAATTTTTATTATATTTTATATATAATTTAAATAAAAACTAATTATAATAAAAGATTTTTAATAAAATAATATTATTAAATTAAATAAATTTTAAAAAATATCTAATTTTAAAATATATTAATATATTTTAAAAAATATCTAATTTTAAAATATATTAATATATTTTAAAAAATATCTAATTTTAAAATATATTAATATATTTTAAAAAATATTTAAATTAATAATAAATATAATTATTATAATATAATTAATAAATAAATATTTTAAAAATTAAAAAAGTAAAAAAAAAATATAAATAAAAAAAGCTTTAGTTTATTTTAAATAATATAATATAATAAAAAACAATATAATATAATAAAAAACAATATAATATAATAAAAAACAATATAATATAATAAAAAATAATATAATATAATAAAAAAAACTTTATATTTATTATTAGCTTATATAAAATTATAATTATATTTATAATAAAAATAATTAATATTAAATTAAAATTAATAAAAATATTAAAAAAGTTATTTAAAAAGCTTTATAATTTTATATTATTTTTTAATAAAAATTAAATATTAAAACTTTTATTATATAAATAAAACTTAAATTATTATATTAATTTTATAAAAAAAAATATTAAAAAAAAATAAAATTTTTTATAGCTTTTTATATAATATATTTAAAAAGTATTTATTAAAATTATAATAATATATTATAAATTTAGTAAATAAAAGTTAAATTTAAACTAGTTTTTTATTAATAATAATATTAATTTTTTTATTAAAAAAATTAATAGCTAGTAATTTTATATAAATTATAAAATATTAAATAAAGTAATTATATAAAATAAATATTTTTTATTTTCCTTTAAATTATTTATTAAAACTAAACTTTTTATAAAATTAAATATTTATATAACTTTTTATTAATTTTATATTAATAAAAAAAAATATTTAATAATATTTTAAATTTAATTTAAACTTTTTAAATAGCTAATAATTTTATTTAAATTAATAAATATATTAGTTATTGTTTTAATAATATATTAATAAAGTATTAAAAAATACTTTAAGTAAATTTATAATAGTTTATTTAAATAATATTTTAATTAATTTAAAAAAGTTATATAAAAACTATATAAAAAAGTATAATAAATACTTGAATTTTTTTTTAAAGTTAAATTAAATATTAATATTAATAAATATAATTTTTTAATAATAAAAATTAAATATTTAAAGTATATAATAAAAAAAAAAAAATTTATATAATTAAATTTAAAAAGATTTTAGTAATTTAAAATTAAAAAGTTATAATAAAAGTAATAGCTAGGTAAAAGTATAAAAGTATATTAATTTTAATTTAAAAATTTTTTATTAAAAAAATATCTAAAAGGCTATATATATTTAAAACAAAATTAATATAATTTTATTACTTTATATATATAAAGTACTAAAGTTATTTTATTTTATTATAATTATTTCTTTTAATAAATATTTATATTTATTAATATTTATTTAAATAATAAATTAATTAATTTATATAAAAAACTTATTTAATATTTTAAAAAAACCTAGGTAATTTACTTAAGTTTATTAATTTTTAAAGTTTTATTATTTTTATTATTTATTTATTTATTTTTTTATTTTTTTATTTTTTTTATAAACTAAAGTTTTTTTATATATTTATTAAAAAAAAAATTCCTTTTTAAATTATATTAATTATAATTTTTCTATAAATTATATTTATATTTTTTATAATATTTTAATAAATATTTTTAATTTTTATTATTTTAATAATATTAATTAATATTATTATTAAATATATTTTATAAAAAGTAAATATAAATAAAAAAAAAGTATTTTTTTTTAATTTTTATTAATAATATAAAACTTTTAATAAAAAATTTAATATTTTTTAACTTAAAGTATTTTAATTAAAATTTTAAATAAAATAAATAAAATAAAATAATTAATATTAATATTTTAAATATTTTTAAAAATAAAAATAATAATAATTTTATAAATTTTTTTTAAATTATTTAAAGTTACTTTAATATTTTATTACTTTAAGGCTTTTTTAAACTTTATTATTTAACAAATATATAAAATTATAATATAAAATATATATTAAAATTATAAAATATATAATTATTATAAATATATAAATATTTATATTATTTATATAATTTTTTTTTAATATATAAAATACTTTTAAAATATAAATATTTTTTATATTATAATATTAATTAAAAATTCTAATATAATTATAAACTTAAGTTTATTAAAGTATTAAAAAAATAATATTAATAATATATATTATTAAAGTTATATTAATAATAATAAAATTTATATATTATATATATTTTTATTATTTTAAATTTATTTTTTTTATTAATTAAATATTTATTTAATATAGCTAGTTTTATAATTAAAAATAATATTAATTATATATAAACTTTAAATTATTTTTTAAAATATTTAAATATAAATATAATAATTAATAATAATTAATAATAAACTTAAAATTAATAAAATATTATTTATTTTTATTAAATATTATTAAATTATTTAAATTATATATAATTTATATTTTATTTTTAAAACTTATAAAATTTAATATTTTTTTTTATAAATTTACTATATTAACTTTAAATTATTTAATTTAAGTAATTGTTATTATTTATAAAGCTATTAGAAAAATTAATATTTAATTATTATATAAATAAAAATTAATATTATTTTTTTACTTTTATTTTATTAATTATTATTATATATTTTAATAAATTATTTTTATTATTATTAAGTTTTTTTAAATACTTTTAATTATTTTAAAAAACTTTTAATTTATATTATATAATTATAATAAAAGTTTTTTATTTAAAAATTTAAAACTTTTTAATTATATATTATTTAATTATATAATAATTTAATTTAAATAATTATAAAATATACTTATATATTATTATATAGTTTTTATTTTTTTAAAGTTTTTTAAAGTTTTTTTTTATTTTTAAATTTATAATAAAAACTTTTATTTTTTTTAAAAAAAGTTTTTTTATTGTTTTATTAATATTTTATAATATTTATAAATTAAATTTAATATATTATTTATATTTTTATTTAAAATTTATTAATTATATTTAAAAAGTTATTTTTTTTATTTAATTAAATAATATATTTTTTTTATTAAAAGTTTTTTAATTATTATTTTTTTTATTTTTAAATAAAAATATAAATAAAAGTTTTTTAATATTTTTAAAGTTTTTTTATTATAATTTTAATAAAAATATATAAAATATATTATAAATATAATTATATTATTTTAATATAGTTAATTAATATATTTATTTTTTAATTTTATTTATAATTTTAAAAAAGATAATAAATTAAAATATAAGGTTTTTTTTTTAAATTTAAAAGTTTTTATTAATAATTTTATTAAATTATTTATTTTTAACTTTAGTTTTTAATAATATTTATTATAATAAATTATTTATTATTTTACTATAAATTTATAATTAAATTATTAATTATTTTTTAAATTATATAAACTTTTTTATTTATATTTATATATTAAAAATTTTTTTTTTTTTATAATTTTATTTTTAATATTAATATAAAAGTTTAATTTATATTTATATAAAAACTTATATAAAAATATTTTAATAATTATATTTTTTATATTATTAAAGGTTTATTTTATATTTTATAAAAAGTTTAATTAAATAATTTATTATATTTTAAT